ACTGAATTCAATACTCACTTCAAGTATTTATTTTGGCGGATCACTGATCGACTGTGTAAATGCTCAACTTTCTAAATTAATTGGAGAAACATGAACTGTCAGATCCGATCGGTTTTGAATCCTTGTGAAAGCACTTGAAATTGGCTATCAGAATGTGTGTCCATCTTTGTTCTAGCACAAATAGCCGCTGAGTAATTCAAGAAGGAAAAAATCCAAATTTTGGCGGATCACTGATCGGTCACGTTAGGAGAATTATTCACGTTACCATTCAATTTTCGCAAAGCCCCTAACCAGTCATTAAAGTCTCCAAAATTACCTCGATACCAACACAATTCAAATTCTGATGTCCACGCACCACGATCCGTATCCGGGGCAAGCCCCTAGCGGTGCTCTACTTCACGCGCATCTCGCCGGAAAGCTCCATTTGGGTGTGCAAGTGCGGCCAACACCGAACCCAAGATTGTCAAAAATGTATTGTTAAAACAATTATTTAAATATATTGCAATAATTATTTTATTATATTGTTCCTGAACAATAAAAATATTTATTGGAAGAGCGAAATATATTGTAATAGTTATTGTTTTCCACAGAATTAGTGCAGAGTTATTTTATTGGACCCCACGCAATATTGCCATAGTTATTGGTTTCCATAGAATTATTGCTGTTGTTTTATTGCAATAATATTGGTTTTCCGAATCCAATAGCCCTGATTGGACAATATATGTCACCCTACAATACAGTGTATGACTGGTCAAGTTTTTGGCTGGCTCACATGTTCCAATCTTCTCTCGCATTGGGGACTCGAAACTGCTCGCAATATCCACGCCACACCAAGACCAAATGACCGGAACACGTCAGCAAGTCCTTTGACCCCAGTCCGCGCGTGAGTCTTGGACCACGAAAGAAATCATGGACGTTTTCTTCGGCCCCCGGATCGTAGACCCGTTTCCGGGGCCATGACATTCAAGCGCCGCTTTAAGTACGGCAGGTGGACAGAGCATTAAGCAAACATCAATCGGATTTGAACCGATACCTCTGACTGATGTCAGCGCTCAACCATAGTGCTTTGATGGGTGGAGGTGGAAATGGAAAATGAGGTTTGACATTTGTGTTTGTAAATTGAGAACAAATATTTCACACATGCGTAATCATAGCGTGGCATGAGGATAAGATCATCAAAATGATTGAGTAAACGAATGATTGAGTTATCGAATACGCACCTATATGGACTAATGGGCTGTCCATACCCACCCGTACCTTCGCCTCATGGCCAAAATACCTTCTCACTAGGACTCTAAAAATGAGACCCTTCGATCTGTGAGCCGAGAAAACTCGATATTAGTTTTTTGGCTTTCGATACTCGAAACTCTGGCTGGAAATTATTAATCAATTGTGCATCATTTCTGAATACAAACATCAAATACACACCATATATATTTTGTCAGAATTTGGCCAATCAAAGCGCGTTATAAATGCGTAAGTAAGTTTTATTGGCTTGAATAGGAGTTTGCTGCATCTTCGAAACCTGCAAAATCTATAACGTTGGCCTGGAACTGACGTGCAAAACAGCTGAAAATTCTGTAAACAATCGAAAGGCAACATTTGGACTCGTAAATTGTTTGCCAAAGTATTTGCACCACTTTAACCAATGGTTCTGTCAGAGTTGGTGTAAATGAAATGATCAACCCCACCTCTCTAGAAATTGTGGATACGCATGAATTTGAAGAGGTATTGCGTCGATTTTGTGTGCAGCAAAAATAAGTCCACCGAGTCGGAATCTTAGCTATACCTTAGCATATGACATGTGCACACAGAACATCAGTGCAAACATGTGACAGATATTGCTTTGGATGCACAGATATCCAGCTATTTCATTTCCAAAAATGGGTTACAGCCTCGAGATTAATTGCAGATACCGTCCTCGTATTATAAAGGACGCGAGGTTGACTCTGACAGCGATGAGGGCGAGACAGAATGGCTATCTCCACAAGAAACGGCAAAGAAAGCAAAGAAAGACGAAGCGAAGGTGTCCAAAGAGAAGCGCTTTCAAGTCAAGGAAAAAAACACTCGGGGAAGTAGACAACAAAATTTGAGTGCAAGTAATTATTGACGAATTAAAAAAATTCAATATTTATTGGCGAATCATTAGTTATTGTAATAGTTATTGCCCTTTGAAATATGGTTGCATTAGTTATTGGCCAATCAAAATTTAGTGCAATAATTATTGGCGAATCAATGGTTAGTGCAAAAGATATTGGCCAAGCAAAATATATTGCAATAATTATTTTTATTCTATCGGAAACCACAATAAATAAACAATAAATAACTCCACCAGAAAATATATTTAAATATATTTTTGACAATCGCTGGCTCCACCCACTATATCGCCATGTTTGCCACCAATTCTCTCCGTGGATAAGAGAAAGTACTCTTGGCAACGTCGCCAATGAACGACGAGGACTCACTAAGCGCGGTGGCGCATGTTGAGTACATCGGCACTAGTGAAGATAAGCCCCCGGCCCCAATTATAATAAACACCGTTCCAAGTGTAACGTATTCCGGATAATTACTTATACATCCAGATAAAAGGCACTTTGACCGCCAAAAACTCCCACCAAAAATGTACGCAAGTCAGGTTTTGCCCCCACTTTCAAATTTGCCGCGATGGAGGAACCCAGCGAGTCGCACAGTATGACATGTCTAACGCCACGCAGTTCAAGTTCAGCACCGTTATGCCCGCCACGTGTGACGAAGCTGCTTGTAGTGCGTGGTGAGGTCGGGCTTCTCAAGTCGAAGATGATGTGTCCGTCATGCGCGAAGGACATGACCTTGAGCGGGACAAGGCGGGATGCCGTTGTGCTAGCTGCGGTTCCATCGAGCGCAGTATGAGGGTTGATCGTTCGAAGAACGATCCAAACTTCCATTGTCGAAGGCGGTGCTGCTAATGTATGCATGGGCCTCGCGCAAGCCGGTTACGGTCGCCGCCCGCGAGACGGAAGTCTCAAAAGTTGCCACAATTGACATGTTCAATTTTTGTCGAGACATGAGCTCTAACGAGATGTTGTCCAGTGCTACGTTGGTATGTCGAATTAGAATTAGATAGTAAGTACTACGTAGTATTCATTGATGTAATTAATATATCCGAGGTTGTTGAATTATTCCATGTATTTCTCTAATTAACACATCCAAGGGTGTCGTATAATATTTATGTATGTTATTGATATATACAAGGTTGCCGTCCAAGGGTGCCGTATAGTATATATGTATGTTATTGATATATACAAGGTTGCCGTGTTATACAATTTTATTTCTGTATCTAAGGTTATCGAATTATATAATACTAATTCCTGTAATTTTTATACTCAAGGTGGTTGAATTATGTAATGTGTATTTCTGTAATTAATATATCCAAGGTTGTCGATTTATATGATATTTATTTCTGTAATTAATGCATCCAAGATTATCGAATTATATGACATTTAATTAATGTATCCAAGGTTGTCAAATTATATGATATTTATTAAAAAATCCAAATACAACCGCAGAGCCCAGAACCCCGACGTTTGGTTGTTCGGCGACGTGGGCAGAACTACGGGCAAGCGGTTCGGGCGCATTACGTTCCACGACTGTATGAAGCCAACTTTGTCTGCCATGATTGGGCAGCACATCCGACCAGGTACTCTGATCGTATCAGACAAAATTTGGTCCATACGTGTCGTCGGACGAAACACACACTGTCTAATAACCCATTGCTGGCCGACAAGAACTATGGTGATCCTTGGGTGAACCATTCGGAAAACTTCGTGGATCCAGCGACCAGCGCACACACCAAGACGATCGAGGGTGTGTGGGAAGTTCGCATCAAGCGCTTTCTCAAAACAATGCGCGGAATTCGAAAGAATTACCTACCCGCCTATCTGGACGAATTTATGTGGCACACTTGGTTTTTCCCACCGCAAGCGGACGAAAAGATGTTTTTCACCGGCTTAGTTCACGGTATTGGAAAAAGTACTACTAATAATACTAAGTATTTTGAGCTTTGACTTTTCGGTTGCGACACTATTACTTGAATTTGTTACACTTGGAACCGGTGTTTCTTATAATCAGGGCCCGGGGCTTATCTTTACTAGTGCCAGTACATCGACTTGTCTTGGGCATGTACAGCAAGCACTGTGGGAATGTGACTCGACGTGCCTGCTGGTGTGCAAGATGACGAACGAAAGTCGGATGCTGATTGCATGTAGATGGCATCGCGTGCAAAGAAGCGGCGCAAGATGCAGCAGTCGTGCAATGGATACATGGACTGCCCGATCCTGCGACCAATCTCGAACATGCGCGAGCGACTGTTTTAAGTGACGAAATGGGCTTTCACTGATCGCCGTCAGAGTATGCTGCCGTCAAACTTTGAAGAGCACTCTTCCAGATAAGTCCCCGGTCACTAATTATATTAACTTTATTCAATTCCAAAAATTCAACCGGATAAAACATCGCCGCCTCGACCGCCAAACAACCTTCGACCACACACAAAAGAATGTCAAGCAACCAAATCAAGTACGAAGTATTTATTAGATTAGTTCAAGTACTGTTTACGAATGGCAATGACAAGTCCATTGAATACCATTTTGCCGTCAGCTTTCCGAGGAAAAAACTACGAACGCCACAAAAATTCGTCTAAATGCCCAGGGTGGTGCTTGCGGTGCACCCCGCGCATCGCCTTGAGGTATTTCTTGATCCTCACCTCCCACACACCTTTGATGGACTGTCTGTGGGCACCGTTGATGGGGTTGACAAAGTTTTCGGAGTGGTTGACCCAAGCGTGGGTGTAATTCATGCCACGCAGCCGGGGATTGGTCTCCAAGGCGTGCCGCTCATTCGACGACACGTACGAACCAAATTTGTCCGACATGATTTTGGTACCTGGTTTCATATACTTCAAATCAAGTCGGACAAAGTAGGCTTCGTACGGTCGTCGAATGTCAAAATCCCAAACCACTTCTTCGTCGTGCGGTCGACACCTCCAAACAGCCAACAGTCCAGATGGTGAATGTCGCGGTTGTACTTGGACTTTTTTCAACGACGTTTCGTCGATTTCGACGATCGACCCATGAAGCTGCATACAACAAGTAAGTATACTCTATTGCTCAATGACTGGAATAAGTAGTATTTTCCCGGCACTCGTACATCGGTATAGCCGAGTCGAACAACGATATCAACATTTTGAACCGGTTAGGCAGCATAGCCAATTAACAACATGTAGCTTCATAAACTTTGTAGATCCCCGCTCAAATAGCAGTAGCCAAAAGGCAGACAATCGCCTAGCCAATGAAATTGTTTCAATCCAAAATTCTAACCAATGGTAGTTCATGTTTGGCCAGCAAATTACAAATTACTATCAACCATGATAAGTAATTTGACATACCATACATAACATACTAATCACAAACTAGTTTCCAGATCCCCTATTTTCTTGCGGACGACATCTACCCCGAGCACCCTCTTTGTCAAGACGATCAGCGAAGCGCAGGGACGTAAGGCCACCGCATACGTCAAGGCCCAAGAAGCAGCGCGCAACGATGACAAAATCATATTAAGGGCCATGAAGGCTCGATTCCACATCATGGACCGTCCTTGCAGACTCTGGCACCTGATACAATCGTCTCCGTGAGGACAGCTTGTGTTATTATGCACAATATGCTTGTCCAGGGCGAACGCGACACGTGGTGAAGGGTGACCAAGACTGCGGTCACTTTGAAGTCGACACAACGACCATTGACAAAGACGATTCTCAGTTTGATCGATTCTGAAGGCGTCGAAAATACAATGCGCTGCGTGGGGCATTTGTCGACCACATCACAAGTATATCTAGTTAGTGCCATACTAGCTTTTAGTTTTACTCATCGCATCTTCCCGCATCCCTGTCGCATCTTTGTATCTTCGCATATACGCACAGTCGAATTGCCTCGCATCGCCCTATGTCAACTCGCATCCCCATAGATATATGCAAAAACGATGATCGTATTAGTGGCTGTATTATCTAAACATCGGAGTCGTCCGCATCCTTACTAAGCTCGTCAAGAAGACGCTTACGAGACAAAGCAAAAAACTTAGGGCTCATCCTCTGCTGCGGCGGGGGTCGAGCACATAACCAGTGGAAGGGTATAGTAGCCAGGGGGAACACTGGGTGATTGCGCGTGAAACGGAATGTGAATTAGCTTGCTGTTAGTAACCAGTGAGAACAACTGGCTCTAGAGGCTCCACGGACTAGCTAATGCCTAGCCAATCAGGGAACGGCATCCTAATGATGGCGTTACCTGATTGGCTCGTGGGTTCGAGTCTTGACGCTGTCTTCAACTTGTGGCGAGGTACGACAACGTGGATCCGAGTCATATATCAGGAACCGTGACACCCTCCCACACTCTAACGAGAATATGGGAAGATGCGAACCTCCTGGCGCATGGATGATGGTCCACCGTCACTGGCGGTCGTCAAATTCGGCTAACGTGGAAGGGATTCTTGAATGTGAACAACGACCAACTGAGGAAGCGAAATATGTCGTGGACTTGATGGGTGAACCGTGGATATGGCTGGATATCTACTATGTGAGGAAAAGCCTCTATAAAAGGCCCAGAAATAGCCTGGGCCATTTAAAATCGATTTACCTTGTTTTTGACCGATTTAGAAAAAGACGTCATAGAAAAAGGGTACTAGTAAAAAGGTAGGAAACTGTACTTGGAACCAATTTTTCATTTCTAAAAAATATCTACTTGGAACAGGCCCTAATAGCTGCAGTCAATGCTGCTACAGTACCTGCTGTTTCAGGGCAGTTGTGATGTTCATGACAGAACAGGTGGTCTGACTCTGCGGATGCGGCTTTGTAAGCGATATTCCCTACTACACATTTTTGCGGTTAATTTTAGCTTTTTTCACTATAATTCGCTTGCCAAATGGTAGTAATTATTTCCCAGAGATCGCTGCTTTGCCCTGAACTTCTTTTATCCAGGCGATTCTGCTGCTTGGAGTTGAGGAATCTCTCGTTCATCCACACAAGTACTTCCTCCGTTTCATATTAGTGTCCATTTGATACAATCACTTTTTTCAAATTAGTGTACACTTTTGATTGTGATTGGCTCAAAACGAATATGCACGATTTTCATTAGTTATAAATCTCATTCCTGAATTTGTCGCACCGGAATGCCATGGTGTTGGAGGTGCAAGTCCGCTTGATAAAGAAGCGCCAAAGGGCAGGTAACAATCGCCATGAGAGTACCAGCGCGCCTCATTGCTTCCTTCTTCAGGTGAGGCAACCGGAACTGGTTGCCGCCGAGATGGTGAAGTACGAGCCGCATGACCACCTGCAAGGTGAGGTACACGTCCTCCAGCTTGTTGCTGCAGAGAGGGTCAAAGGCACCCATGGTTGCACGAATCACATCATCCACAAATATGCTGAAAGACTTGTACTGTTGCGCTTGAATCGAAGCAAAGAAGCCAAGATCGAGTACGTTGAGGTAGGGACTGTTAAGCGGCTGGCAGCGCACGACAAACGTCCAACCGTCGGTGGACACACCCTGAAAGACGGCACTGTTGATGGATCGGTGCGGTTTCGCGTTGTCGTGCTGCAATACCACCTGTTTGTTCGCACTTGGAAATTTTGCCTTAATCGCAGGTACGACCTTGTTTAAGACGAAATCTTGGTACACCAGAGTATTTACGTTGACCAGCGTTGTAACCATAGTTCCCGCTGCGCGGTTACGAGAGTTTCGCATGGCCGGCACCTGCTCTTCGATTGGCCACATACCGATCTTTCCGTCCAAGTGCCTGTCACGAGCGATATCAAACCGCGATTGTGTAACAGCTGCGTGAAACATCACTTTCTGGATAAACCATTTGCTTTTACAAGAACGTCGTTTAGGCGTCTCCCCTTCATAAGGTACATCTTTCTGCGATCTTTGTCAGCATAGAATCACTTCTCGTTGAGATGGATGATGTCCCACATTTCCTGAAATGGACATTCTTGTAGGTCGCCGATTTGGTCGATGGTTTCAGCGAGCATTATGTCTGGTGCTTCGCGCCGGACATGCGAGCCACAAAACACAATCCGTTCTAGTTGGTTCGCTTCGGTGAGCAACGGTTTCAGTCGCGACGAACAGTGCTCAAGTGTCCCTGCTTTGAGGCTGCGACTGAACCTCGCCGTCGACAGTCCTGTTGCCTCGGATATGTTGCGCATTGTCGATCGCTGGGATTGAGGTATCTCACGCACGATCTTAATAACCTGATCAGGAGTGTAGAGTGGCTTTCGTCCGACGCGTCGTGCCTTGCACATGCATATTCACTGAGGGGGGTGGGACATTCTTGTTCTCGATGTCACCAAGTAGAAATGTCTTCCAGATCCTTGCGACGGTACTGCAGTAGAGCTTGAAGTGACTTGCGGCGGTGCTTATAACGCCATGTGCTAACTTGCCCTTGTTTAAGGAGTGCTGAAGTTGTTTAACAACGACCATCTTCATGGACTCGGTGAGCTCTCGTCCGGTGCGCACGCGCTCCATGGCAGCAAAACTCGATTCGGATGCACATCCCCTATTTTTAATAGAAATATATTTATTTCGTATTTTATTCTTTGGTTGTTTAAACCAAGTCGATTATCATTGCTTGTGTTTTGTGTTCATTGTCAATAGATGGTTCTAATAGATGGTACCTCTAGTATCACATGCTCTTTCCAAAACGATACTCCGGATATATGGCCCTCAAATTTGGACAAGAAATAAATTTTTGGGGTCAACTCGAAGTCAAATGGTAAATAATGAAACAGTGGAAGTACCAGGTACCGGTAGAGTTTGGCAACCGGTGTGAAATATGATGAAACACACTAAATCATGCTGCGTGAGCCCACTTTAGATGTTGTTTTAGAATTCTGGTATACCTTCCATATGTTACTTGAGATCGTTCTCGCCATCTCGTGCCATCGCATCCATCAAGTAGGTTTCGGTGATATATCTGCCGTTGTGTTTGAACCGCCTCGGCAACTGATCTCATCACTGTATTCTTGCTGGAAATCATCTGACTCACCATGCAACATCCTTCTGCCATCGTCGATGTAGTGACACGTTTGATTTGGACATGTTACACCTCCAGCTACTATCCACCAGGACCAACCTCGCGTTTGTCGTGTGGTGCTGCCTGCTACTCGTGTCGGCGTCGGCCACTGTGTTTCGTACAGACCACCGATCCAGGACCGGGCTGTCACCGTGGAGTGTCGCCGTGGGCCGCGTCGTCTTGCGGGATGGCTCCATGTGCACTGCCACCCTTGTCCATCCTAGCGTACGTCGTTGTCCCCTCCATGTACTTAGGCATCTGCTGAATGGAAACACGAGGGAGTACGTAATAATGTTGAAGTTCGTGGTGCACTGTGTAGTTTGCCGTGACGGCTGCCGCGTGCGTGTTCCAACGCGGCAACCGGTCGTCTTTAAATGCGTCCAATGTTGTGGGCATCATGTTTGGCAACGCGTCCGTCCCGATCATGACCGATGTCGCCCGCGTGATCCTCCAGCGGAGCTCATTCCCCCCCCCGTCGTACAACTACTTGCTTCTCCAGCTGTCGTCGCCAGTGACCACCCTCGCGCCTCTTGCCGTCCCGGGGGACGCTGGCTGCCCCATCATCCCCCCTCAACGTATGTCGTCGTTTGGCAGTTTGCCCCCTGTTTTTACTGATGTTTCCAATAGGCCGAGCCGTGGTGAACGTCACGTGCGTGCAATTTGCAGCGCCGGACTTTGTGTCGGCGCCCGTGGCCCAAGCCGCGTGCCCGTTGAACGTGTCCTCGTCTGCGATACTGGACGCCACCCACGGGTGTGACACGTCCGTCCGGGGCAGCATCGGCGCCCCCCTCGTCACATCGTCGTCGGCAGTGTGTCTCGCGGCGCTGCATGTTCCTGGACCCATCGAATCCGCCATGGGAAACGCAACAGCCGACTACATCGTGGCTGCGTGGACCCTTCAGAATGCCAACGTCGCGCTGCTCTTGACCGACCTCCGTGCCCACCTCCGAGACCTGACAACGTCGTCGACGATGCAGACAAGTCAGGACAACAACCGAGCGACGTGGGTCGGCGTGTATGTGTGCATGGGCGCGGTGGGGGCAGTGCTGTGTGGGCTAGCGCTGCTTCTGTTTCGGACGCGCTACGTCAACGTCCAGAGCTTGCCCACCCCTCCACCAGCATGCCCATCACGACCACCCCCAAGAACATTCTGGCACTCGTGAACATCATAAATAAGTTACTAACTACTAACGTGAGTAGTTTTGGGTAGCGCTACTTACTGTACAGTATCGCCGGATAACCTAATGAACCATGCAATAGTAGTGCTTAATACTCCGGAGTAGCATACTTCTACTACTTCGAACTCCCCCGTTGGTCCCATACAATTTTGAGGACAAAAATCTATCCATCAGATAGAAGTAGTACAGAGTAACGTTCATCCAGAGGCTGCTTGACCTGCTACAGGTTTGGCAATTCTACCTGAACAAGTGTTTGGCCACCTCCATCGCCATGTTGTAGTACCTGCGTTGAGCCTTCATCTGTAACATGTTTCCAATCAATTCATTACGCAAGTGAAACTTACAGCTCAATGCGCTACTATGTTTCAATCAGCGCGAAAGTGGATGCAGGCCATGGTTTGCTTCAAACTAGTAGCACTGCCGAGTGCAGCAGGGCTGGCTGTACTACATACAGTAGAGTGTGGACACGTTAAGCTGTAGATGGTGTTAACATGAGGGACAACCAATAAATTACAGTCAATATAATACAAGTTCTAGGTAATGATTTCGCCTAAGCACCACATAAATCTATATGCAAAACGTTCTGTCTGCCTGTCGAGCTTGTGCGGCACTACGTTAATGGAAGGATCTCCTGCCTGGACGGGGGGTTGGTTTGCTTCTCGGCTAGTAGTGAACTCACCAGAGCGAGCGACACCGTTGCCATTCGAACTGTAAGAAGGGCAAATCACGTACATACTAGTACTCATCAAGGCCAAACAATTCGAGCACTGCTTAATATGATATCTTATCACTGCACACCAAAGTCCGCCATCAAGCCCGTCAACTAACTTTTATAGGTAAATAGCATGCGTCGTTCGTTCGTTATGTCGTCTGTCGCTGGTTCGTTTGAGCTCAATGCATGGCCACGACAGGCACGTAGCACGTAAACGACCCAAACTGGTCCACGAGAATCGCATGGATCACCAGTGCTTGTTGGTCGATCAAACCTGATATATCATAATGTAAATGATACATATATATATAGCACATTCAGAGGTAGATGTGGTCACGTACAACATAGCACGGAGAGCACAGCATTTCCGTCCACCGATAGCATCTTGGACGCGTGCCGCGCGTCCACTCGCACAGACGACGCGGCGTTGTCGTCGCTTGCTTCGTCATCCACAATGTCGTCACTGCTTGGACGCTCTACCAAATCGGGTCGACAGCGCAAGTTCGTGTGCAATGTCTGCAACACAAACGTATCGCTTTGCACGCGAAGTCGAAGGGTGCCGTCCATCCCAGCTTGGATCTATGTGCATAATGTGCATTAAACAGTGATGGCGTGGCGGAATCGTACGCACGAGGAGGTACTTTTGCATGGTTTTGAGGCGATCGGTGATGGTGCGGAACGCGCGAAGCGGTGGCATTTCCAGCGCGACAGTGGGCGGCGGAATGTTGGGTTCACGGTAGTTTTCTGCGGTCGCCATGGACACGACTTCAATGGGAATGTTTTGGATGATGTCGAGGTCCACTGTCTACCATACGCGACGCCACTAAGCCCACAGCGGTTGACTCGATGGATGAGCTAAAAGCTGAACTCACCCGAGCCCGTAGGGAAAGAAACGAACGTCCATCGCGTTTGAGCAAGCGCAGCATGACGCCGCTAGCGTCCTTGCCCGATTGAAGCGCCCTTGAAAAGTTTGCGATCCCAAGAGCAAATGCAATGTTGTTGTCGGCGCGACTTTCCACGACGACGTCGGCAAATAGCTTGGCTACGCTCAAGTGCACGAACGTCTGCATGTCTTCCCCGCTGGTCTTCATCGCGAAGGACATGCGCTCCTCGTTCAGCATCACGAAGCACGTGTCCGAGCTGCTCACTCGATGCATGAACTGGGACACTTCCATCAAGATCGGGAACGACGCTGCCGTCAATTGCCCGCGAAATCGCATTTTTCAAGTCCGAATTATCCGGTATTTCGGAAGTATCCGGTAACATTATCCGGAATACAGGTCTGCACTGCCATTCCATTCGCGCTCAACACGATGACCGACATCGGCGGCGGGCTCCTCAACGAAGTGGACTTGAGCTTTCCTGACCGCAATGACACCCTTCTCCCCACGGATCGATCCAAGGCGGCGAATCCACGCAGTTTTGACAGGAAGGTGCGCGTTCTCCCAAAGACATCCGCCGAGCTGGGAAGTGATGCCCGTCCATCACTTCATCAGTTTTTTCCTGCTTGGGACGTTCAAGCGTATGCGCGGTTCGCCGAAATCAAGCTGCACATGGTGAACTCCCAATACCCAGAATATGAGACCACAGGTACACGAATATATCGGCGTATGCGTCTTGTCTCATGTCGTCATCCAGGTGCGTTGCCGCAGTTGAACGACGGGCACTTCCTCGTCCCGGCGGGAGACATTATCCTGCATCTTCAAACCGTACGTTCCGCCTTTGTCGTCCTCGTTCTGACTTGGTGTATGGGTACAGTACTACAAAGACCTGGATGCGCCCTTGACGGATAAGCAGCGCGCCGAATCCATCGCGTTCCGTGCACTCGTCCAGGAAAAGCTCGCGCGGGTGTTGGACTACTGCCAATGGGTAGACCCCATCACGTACAGCGAAGTGACCCGTCCGGCCGTGCAGCGCGTGATGCCGTTTCCTCTCAACCGCGTGGTTCCCAAGCTCCTTCATGTGCGCCACACCGCCGCATTCCACGCATCGACGTCGCTCTTGTCCAAGGAACACGTCTACCTCACCGCGCGGGATTCGTATGTCGCGCTGAATTCGTTCTTGGAAGCTTCGGATGGTCCGTACTTCTTTGGGACCAAGTACGTCCGTCCATCATGTCTTGTGTGATCTTTTCAAAAGTGTTTGAAACGCGTTCGTGACGTCTGAAAGACGGTGTTTTTTATTTGAAACACGTTTTAAATGTTTTTTTCTACTGTGTGTGCGTTGAGTTTGCCCAAGTCGATTGCCATGGATAATTGAGTTTGGATTATCATTATTAACAAACAGTCTTACTATTCTAATAAAAATATTATTATGTTCTCACAGTTTTAATTGTAATGACGTATTCTTTTACACTTTAGTGCTGTATCTGATTTGACCATTTTAAATAATTGTGTAACCGTTGCAACTGAAGGTTACAATATATAATGTTATGCGAGTTTTTCATGCGACATTTGCAAGGTATTTCGACCATGTAATGTGAATCAAGGTATTTTAATGGCAGAATCGATATTCACTGAGGAAAACTACGAATGCCTTCTGAATTTCATATATTTTTTCTAAGAATCTCAAATACAAGCACACAAAGGGTCGTGGATGGTCTCGACCACTGTAAGACAGAGATTGCCATGGTATTGTGCTAAGATTACTGTCAATATTTCCTCTGGCCAACAATCAATAGCTGGACCTGCGACATATGATACATTATTGAAGTTTACAAGGCATCTCTGTGAATATTCATTCGTTTTAGCCAATCATATATCGCAACCTACATTCTTTTTATCCAATCATACGGCTTTGCTCGATTTCTGGGTGATTTCAACAATATCTTCCAAAATTGGCGAATTATGTCACCATTTGGACGCATGTCTAGCCCGTCGGCAGTCGATGCCGTGGTATTTGGGCACGTTGTGGACGCGCTGAGCGACTGCCAACTCCGCGAAGTGGTGGCCATCCACGGTCCGCGCCTGGTGCAATTTGCATCGCATGTCCGCCACGCGTACTTTGAGTCGGCCGCGCACGCGGCGCTGTGCACGCAAAGCACTTCCAATGCATTTGCGAACCTCGACGCGGCCTTTTTGGCCGGCGATTTCAACGTGGTACCGCATGCCGCGTATATCGTGCCTTTCCAGAGCCTCAGCTGGAGTCAACGGTGAGTTTCTACCTTTGTTTCCACAAGAAAACTCAAAAGTTTTGATTTCCAGAGAGGTGGTCAAGTCTGTCCACGTGGCAGCTGACGACCCCAACTACGACCCGGTGGTCACATTCGACAAAGGCACGCGGAACGTCCTGCTTGGCGGCGTGCTCGCGATAGTGCTGTATGGGCTATCCCTCTTGACGTTTGAAGTTGACGACGGGGAGGACGAGGATGGCATGTACGACGACGAAGACAACGACCAGTGAAGGGCGAACCAAAGACTAGTAGGTCACGTATTGTCGATTTTATATACAAATTTGGGGAGGGGTTGTGCAATTGGATCGCGCCGACCAAACCGATCCACAATCGATCTGATTGGTTGAATTTCATTGAGAAGGTTTTGATTGGCTAATAATACTGAGGTAGCCAATCAAATCGATTTAAATTTGAACGAGAAACCACGCCACGACATTTCACTCGAAAGCACAATAAACGACCACCAACACGACATAACGGGGGTGTTTTATCCTCCCAACACACGACGACTAGTATGTACTACTACTACTACTACTAGACTAGTTACTACCTATTCCACCGGCGGCAACGCCACCACAACATGACGGCGCGTCCTAGTACTACTACCGACGCGACTCGTACTCCTGTACCCTTCGTCGTCGTCATGCAGATCGTCGTCGTCCATGGTGTCGTCGGGAGGGGCCAAATGCGACTCGTCGTCGGCGCCGTATCGGACCGTCACGTGATGGTCTTCGTCGTCGTCATCCTGGTCAATGTACGCGGGGGTCGTGTGCAAGTCTTGTGTCAAGGAGGCATCGTCGTCGTCGTCGCCAACCGATGCCGCCGCCGCATGCTTCCACCCGTTTTGCATGATGGCTTGGCGCTTCTGGCGTTCGCTGTTGGCCGCCAGTTCCTTGGTGAGCAGTGCTTGGCCGGGGGACGCGGCGGGGGACAGCGTCGGACCCGCGCGCTCGCGCTCCTGGACCATGAGTCGCAACCGTTGTTGATGGAACAGGTCGTACTCGGACGAGACGGCGGGGTCGTGCGGGAGCTGCGGGGCGTGGGAGGACGTGCCCCACTCCTCGCGCGCTGCCGCTGCGTGCAGCCGGTACGCCGACGGCAGCGTGGGATGCTGGGACGGCAGGAGGTACGGAGGGGGCGGGGGCATGTGGTGGAGATGAGCGGGCGGGGGCGGGTACTCGTACGGGTTGTGATACTGGGGGGGGTACGGCGGTGCGGAGAATGGCAAGCGAGGGTACGCCGCCGACGTTTTGTACACGGCCGTGGACGGCGGATGGAAAGGAGGGGGGTGCTGCTGCTGCTGCATGTACGTGCCGTGGGTTTCTCGACGGAGCGAGCCGTAGGGGTTGAACGAGGGCGGTTGGTGGTGGTGGGGGGGGGGGCGAGGGGGCTACCACACAGAATACACATGCAACATCACCACCCCAGGACACGACGTTTCAAACGCTGTCACAACCCTTGTGTGACACCGTTTGAGATATCGGACGACATACCTCGTGTAAAAAGTCGGCAGATGGCGGCCGCGCGTAGTGGTGGGTAGCGAGTCCATTGGAATTGAACGACGGGGGCTGCGACGACGTGTCGGACGGTTGGTGGCGTCGGACACTTGTGGCGGTGGGGGTCGCCGGCTTGGGCGGCGCCGTCCCCCCTTTGGACAAAGGTGGAACTGCCCCCTTGGTCGCTGGTTTGGCGCGGGCTTTGGCCATCACGTGGGGCTTCTCGGGGGTCGCCGGGGGCTTCTTGGCCGCCTGGTCGTCGTTCTCGTCCGAGTTGCCACTGTCGTCGTCGGCGGCGTTGTCGCGGGAGCTGCGGCGCGTGCGCATGAGCGACTTCCATCGGATTTTCACCGCGTCTTCCGTGCGCCCCTATCACCACCCCTCGGTTTAAGGACCTTGCTTGGGTCACCAAGTCCAACGTTGTCCGTACTGTGAGTTGTTGGGCAATGACACTCCATCGGTTGCCGAGCTTGGCTTGCATGTCCACGATGACCTGGTCTTCTTCCCGCGTGTAATTGCTACCATGCACACTCCATGAGACAGTGCGGTGGCACCATGATATGTGACGCACCCCTTGTTGATATTTGGGTCCAGATGATTACACCATCGCTCGCGGCACTGCTTGGACCTTGATAATGGGGTGAGTGACCACAGCTAACAATCGAAGCTAAAGGGGAACTCGTGTCCACGTACGTTCGGCCAGGAATCTGGCCCGCCACTTGGCCCCAGTTCTTGCGTCCTTCGGCGACCAACGCGCGCAGCTTGGCGTCTTCTTCGGGCGTCCAGTGCCCCTACGGCGGTACATCGTTCAAAGGACTCGACTTGGAGCTGTATGCGTGTGTACCTTGATGAGGCCAGGCTTGAGAACTTTTGTCCATCGCTGCAGACACTGCGTGTGGTTTCGACCGACGACCTGGTCGGCAATCGCTTTCCAGTTGCGCTCGCCACTTCGTTCGACGGCGACGCGAAGGGACTCGTCTTCGGCTTTGGACCACCGCCGCGGGTTGCTCTTGTCGCCGCCGCGCGCCGATCCTGGCGTTGCGTCGGGCACATGGTCGAGGTTGGTGGTCACGATGGGACTGGGTTTGATTCCCTTTCCCTTGGCGCGTTGTGCAGCTGGAGGCGGAAGCAGCTGCTTCAAGCTGTCGGTACGTTCGCGTTTAACGCCAGATGCCGTCGTCGTAGGCGTTGATGTGCTGCCACCTTGCTGTGTCTGCCTGTTGATGCTGGGCTGATCGGACGACATCGAGAGGGATGTCTCGTACAGTGCCTTTCCTATTGCTGACAACGTCTGATGGGGCGCACTGCCGCCGCCTTCTCCGTTCATTGTGATGGCTTCTTGCTGCTCAAGATAGCACCCGCCCAATATGACTATTCCAGCCCCAAGTGACTGCCATTTTGTATGCAGGGTTTATTTGTATGGGGATGAAAATCAAGCGCGCTGATTGGCTGCCCAACATTCAAATTCTTGCGAATTTGACATGCCAACGCTTTGCCATCTCTCCGTAAGCGCACCATGCCGAAGTCATCACGACGATGGGTGTGACCTTCCTCTGCCGCCTACCACCGTCCCACCATATCATGGGCTTGGACATGAGGGTGACCTGGCTACTTCACCAAACTATATGCGGCAGTTTCACCGCCGTTTCATTCGACATTTTCGTTGGATCTTCGCATTCCGCCATCAGAGCTGCCATGGACGCACGAGGAGCCGGTGACGACTGGGACTTCATGGCGCGACCTGCCGAGTGCGTGGACGATGATCACAATGACGCCATACCTTCGCTGGTATTGGGTAAAGCAATGGTACCCCAGTGTGCAAACTTCATCTTCAGGCTATGACTGGTGTGCTTACCTAGTCTACCCCATCGTCACCTCAAACGACCGTCGCCGCCCTCGACGACAATGTGTTCTTACATGCATCAATGCAGCTCGTTCAGCAACAAAGCGAGACACGCCAACGGGTGCGCAACCTTTGGTACCTCATCCAACGGCTTCGGTGGGACGGCCACCTGGACACGACTGCGATGGACATCCTTCGCAACGACTTGCTACAAGTGATCAAAGGCCTGTCCATGGAAAAGCAAGATGGCACCAGGGTATACAGCCAGCCAACATGTCAGTAGATCAGGCTCACCTACGCCTAGATTTGCAAGTCCGGCGAACTCGTTCACCATATGTCGTCGTCGGGGTGTCGGCAGAAAGTGTGGGCCGTGCTACATCACGACCACGGCCGGTTGGACCTCACGACGGTCCCAGACACTCCCCCGTCGTCTTCTTCGCAGCCTTCGGATCCGTTCGGGTTGTCCAAGCTATCGGCGTCCCTGGCTTGGATTCTCGATGGCGGCAACGGCGACGCGGCGTCGGTACTGCAGGTTTTCATGCTGTGCAAAGTGAACGGGATTAAATAGGGTGCCCCATCTCAAGCTACCAAGTCCGTGTCCGTGCTTGGCGCTACCGTGCGCAGTGTGGTCACATCGTCGTCCTCGCAACTGGTGGAGATCGCGGTGCCGCCTTCGGCTGGGTCGCCGGCGTCGTTGGTCTTTCTCGAGGCTCCGTCAGAAGCAATGCATCTAGAATGGATCGACGCCTTGACGTCTGTGGCGCGCAGCGACCTCTTGGCCATGCAAGTGGCGGTGGGCGGGGCCGCGTCCGCCGGTGTGTAGACGTTGTCTGAACTACCAACGATCGTGGAATGACATCAATATTCATGTCATATAGACATGTACAAGGCAGCGGTGGCGGCGTGGAGCCCCATTCGTGTACCTCTGACGTGGCAGCGTGGGGTCGTCGAGAAGCAGGAAAAGCAAGCCGGCCTCAACCGCCGCGACAGCAAGAACCTGTCCATGCTACAAGTATTCAAAGACATTGCCCGGGACAAGTACGTGGTCGACGGGGTGCCCGTCGCGACGTCCGACGACGTTGTGCGGGCTCTCATGGCCAAGGTCCTGCCGTTTCTCCTCCAACTCGAGCTGCCCCTATCTCCGTCCGTGCAGCGATCGTCGTCGTCATCCCCCGTCGCCCGCCTCACCCGCAGCAGGTACATACACGTTGCCCCCCATCCCGACGTTGAAGTTTCGGAGCTACAGGCCACTTCCAACGTGTATATCTATCTAGCGAAGCCACGGCGCTGTCGTTTGTGGAGCGGGTGTTGCGAGGGAGCGCCCGTACCCAGAGCGGCGGGGACATCTACGACGCCATCGCCCTCGTCTGCGCCAACCCCGCCCTCGTCACACTTTGCCCAGTGTCACATGACGTCCTCCCCGTGACTCTTACAGTCGATACAGTCGCCCACCCACTGCAGCAGCTCCATGTGCACATGCAAGTGTGCATGCAGTTCAAGGCCATGCCGCACTTTCACTGCGTGACGAGCCCTGTCACGTCCCCCCGAGCGGCGTTGTCGTCGTCCACTCCCGTGTCCCCTAGAGAGTTGTTGACAAGTCCGCGGGCAGAGCCGGGGGGCGACTGCGCGGTGCTCACGGGTACCCTCACCCGCACATTTACCTTTGGCGCCGCGGCGGACCCAGGACATGTGGCCATCGTCACGGTCTCGGCCTAATGCAACAATAAACAATACCTGGACGATTTCAAACCTATTGTACGACCAAAAACACTGTTGAAATAACATCACGTTGGGACATGTGGCTTATAAGAATTGCGGAAGCGGACTCGTGCCGCCGTCCAAGTAGAGCGGTTTGTGTCGGATGCTACTAGTACTACTAGAACTACTCGTTGTGGCTTGTGGCACGGGGGGACTAGTAGTACTAGTCGACGACGATGGGGCGGCATCCACGTCGGCACGACAGAGCGGACACGATCGTTCGCGATCAAACCACTCGGCCACGCATTCTTCGCAAAACATGTGCGCGCACGCGAGTTGAACCGGCGCATGCATGGCGTCGTAGCAGATGGAGCACTCGGGGCTGCCGGCTTCGGCCAGTTCCGTCGGGCTCACGTACGTCCCATACTCGAGGCGGGCGGTCACGGCGGCGCGCACCGCCGTGGCGACTTGGGAAAGATGGTCGTTGCACACATAGCACTGGCACCATATACAAGTCAAAACAATTTGATTGAACGATTAACCGTGGCAATAAATAACAATAGCATTCCACCTAACCACGTCAGTCACCGTTGTTGTTTGATAAACACTTAGGCAAAAACAGCAATCAAATCAAACACGTGACACCGTATCTTGACCGTAGAGTCGGGGGTATATATATATATATTATATGTATATATATTATATGTATATATATTATATGTATATATATTATATGTATATATATTATATATATTATATATATTATATGTATATATATTATATATATTATATGTATATATATCATATGTATATATATTATATATATTATATATATTATATGTATATATATTATATATATTATATGTATATATATCATATGTATATATATTATATATATAATATGTGTATATATTATATATATTATATATATATTATATATAACCGTATATGTATATATATTATATATATTATATGTATATATTTTATATTTATATATTATATATATATATAAGGTTACCTTGAAGCCAATGTACACGCATCGAAACAACATGGCAACGTGCTTGGAATCGGCGGCGTTGTAGTAATTAAACCAAGGACACCCGGCGGCAAGTGACCGCGCCATGAGCGTGGACGTCTCAATGGCGGCGTACAGTCGCCGCTTTCGTCGGTACTGCGACGCGGGGGGCGCGGTGGGGCAGCACCAGTCGAGTCGGACGAGGGCGACCACGGCCTTGAGGCTGAGGCTGGCAAGGCGTAGCAGCAGGTCTAGGTAGAGTCACGCATTAGAACCACAAGAATGCTGCCTCCAATGTCACGATTCAATCTGCATATCTCATAGCACTTGCTTGTCGAGAAAACAGTGTCACACACAAGTAGTGTACATCATGTACCGTTGAGCATGACGGTCCAGAGGATGTCGGCGATGTCGGCCGGGTCCGCGATGGGTTTCACGAGCGTGTGGACGGGAGTGCGGTCGCCGTTGAAGGCGGAGAGGGCTACCGAGTCGATGAAACATACGGCGACGATGCCCGCGAGGGACAGCGCGCTCGCCTTGTCCTTCTTCGCGACGAGTCCGCGGAAGCGCTGGTCCAGGGCAATCATGGAGGTCGTTCCAAGGACACAAATGAAGATGCCTGGGAGGGGGAGACGTCATGTATTATGACGATGTGGTGATGACTTGAGTCGGTACTGTACCTTTGATGTGCTGGTATGAGATGTATAGCACAAATAGCACCACAAACGGCGCACTGTACCGGACTCGGTGGTACAATTGGCGCAATTCCGTGCGCAGTTGCTCTTCTACACGAGACGGCATGTGGCGAAATGACACACAACGTCGACATCGACGTACCTGACTCGTCGGCGACGGGAGTCTCCGTGGCGGGAGAGCCATTGGCCGGTAGTGGGACTTGGTCGGATGATGCAATGGGAGTGGGCAGGGTGGCAGACATGCCGACATGGATCGAGTTTTCAGGGGGATGTGCGTCAACATTGTAGTAATCGACATCCGCGTTGATGTTTCGGAGAAGGGTGGAGCGCTCGGTGCCGCCTTCGTCATGGTTGTCGTGATGGTATGCGTCGTCGTCGCGATGCAGTTGGTTCGTAGGTGGCGGTGCCTCTGCGGCGATAGTGGCGGACGCAGCATGGTTTGACGTGGGGCTCGGAGGAAAGAAGAACGATATCGGCGCAGTGAGCGAGCGAAGGAAACCATGTCTCGTCGCGGTCGTATCGATGGCACGGCGGGGGAGTGTATTCGACCGAGTGATCGGCACAGGATGATGGTGCATGGACGAAACACTGCTGGCATGACGCCTGCTGTTGTTGGTGGGGGACACTGGCGCCGCAGACACACTCGGATCAACTTCCATCGCCCTTGGTCCCAATTTGGCAATTGTATTTTTACCGAATTTGATCGCACAAGCGAATGCTTTATAAAATACGCAATATTTAAATCTTATTCAATGTTTGTATACACCCTCACTGCGTTCTTTTTATATTGCAACCATCGTTCGTTCAGTCATGTCGAAGACACGCAAGTCCAAGTCGACGCCGTACGTCCCGCCGACATCGGCAGCAGGATCGGCCTTCACATACCTCCTTGAGACGAGTCCTGCCGTGCAGCATGCTGCGTCGTTCCTTGAAACTCACATCCCAGTGTACGCTCGCCAGCCATCGTTGGACAACCTCTACGACGGGTCGATCCAGCGCCTCCGGCACTTCATGACCAAATCCGAGTGTCAAGACGCCATCGCTCTCGCCAAGCGCATTGGGTTCGCACACGTCTTTCATCCGCAGACGTCAGAGTACGCGTTCCGAGACAACGACCGACTCCTACTTCGTTCCCCGGCCTTGGCGTCGCAATTGTGGGAGCGCCTTCGTCCGTTGCTTCCACCGTCGCTCGACAAGGCAGTGGGGTGCAACCCCGCGATCAAGTTCTATCGATACCGCACCGGCCAGGCGTTCGGATGCCATGTAGACGAGAGCGTCGTGGACGAACCCACGTCCACCGAGAGTCGATACACGCTGCTCGTGTACTTGAACGACGCGGCGGACTCGGGGCTTGTCGGCGGCGCCACCCGGTTCTACGTGAGCACGTCGAGCCGCCGAGCCTCCAAGAAGTCGAAGAAGGAACCCAAGGAATGCGCGTTGGACGTGATGCCCGAGACAGGCATGGTGCTCATGCACGGCCATGGCGACCACTGCCTCGAGCACGAAGGCGCGCGCGTGGACGGCGGCGAAAAGTACGTGCTGCGGACCGACGTCATGTTTCCCTTGTGACAGCACTTCGAAAGCAAGCTAGAGTACCTTGGCCTCAAAGGTTCACAGAAGTAGAGTCCATACTACACAAGCGCAAGTGCATGGGAGGCCGACATTGCACTATGGAATTATGGCAACTTTGATCCATCGTGGTGTACTAGTACATATGTAGACTACGCTAATGCGATATAGTAATACTAGATGGAATGCAGGTCGTTGCTGTGCAATTCCAGACACGATCACGTTGACCATTCGGTAGATCAGTAACTATGTAGCCCCCCATCTTGATCATGCAATGCACTTCACGGATAGATGACGTTCAGACAGTATATCGTTCGTTCTGGGCAAAGTTGCTGTGTTGGTTCGCCTCGTTGCTACGTTGAAGCGTCGAGTTGCGCCGACACGACCTGAATGGTATGTGTATATGTGGAATATAAGGAGGTGGCTAGACCGACAGCGCCTTGAGCTGCTTTTTGATGCGCGCCTTTTCGTTGCGGAATGCTTGCAACTAGGACGTACCCATCACCAGGTGAGGAATGATGGACCATATTGCAACAGACATACCAAGTCCTTGTCGTCGTCTGAGAGCGGCGCTCGGGTGGCCTTGAGTTCCGCGAGGAACGTGCTTTCGTTGGCGCGGGCTAGCTCCAGCGCTTGAGTGAGGGATTCCACGGTGTCCTTGGTCGTGGCATGCGGAGACACGACCTCCGTGGGATCGATTTCGGGCTCGGTCGTCGCCACGACGGCAACAATTTCCTTCCTGGCAACGTGCATTCATGAGACCGGAACAATGAAGGATATCGAATGAACATACGGCTTTTGGCCTGTGATGGCGGGGGCGCCGCTGGGGACGGATTGGCTCGCGCGCCATACTTCATATTCTTCTAACGTCATGTTCTTGCCTTCGACCCCTTTGATGGGCAAGAACTTGCGGATCGGTTCGGGCAATACGTCCGGGTCTTGGTAGATGTACACGGACACTCTACAAGGAGTGGACAGATGAGAAACGAACGAACGGGGGTCAAGCAAGCAGCGTCGTGTACCCGATTACTCCTGCCATGGCCAACAATTGGAAGAACGAAGAGTTGTCGTTGCCTCCAGAATGCGGTGCAGGGCCGGCACCCGAGGACATCGAGCGTCGTGCTTGTGACTAATTAGACCATTTAGCTTTGGATTGCATGAAGCACGGTCCTTACGATGCTGGTGCGGAGGACGCGGCGGGCAATCATGAGCGTATGTCAAAATGACGACGGGAGGTCGACGGAGGTTGCAAAGACATGCAAACCGTCCGGATAAAGATGCGAGGGGTGATTATGTATCCAGAGGTTGACGGGGTGTTTTACACTTGGGCAAAATGGAGCTGATATGTTTGGCCCATTATCCCACGGGATAAACGTGAATTATTTCGGCATGTTTGAGGGAACAACACGGGGGAAACTGATGACTGTTGGCCAGTTTCGACTTCGTCATGCGACCTCCCGTCGCCATCGCGGTGCCGGTCACACCCACGAGTGACTACAACAACCTCCCGCAAGCACAGCTACGACAAAACGATGCCAGCAATGCCGATGTCGCCATGGCCATCCATGTTGGGGACCCGCCGCCCACGACTTATCGCGTGCTTCCCGCGCTCATGTCTGGCCTCGAGCAAAGGTTGGTGCTCCGAAAAGCCGTGATTTTCCAGCTCTTCTACTTCACTGTGAGTTTCATCCTGTTCCTCCCTCCCTGGTTCCCGTCTGCCCTTGCATGGGCATTTGGAATCCTTGGAGTGTATGCCAGTCACATGCACGTGGACATTCGTCGCCAGCGCGCCACCGTGTGCTTTGCCATATTCAACGGCGTTTTGGCTACGTGCTTTCTGTCTGAAGTGGTGTTTAGCTTGATCAGAGTCACCGCGAATGCTGTCGACTTGGACTATGCACACTGTATGCTTTGGATGCTGAACGTCCCCGTCTTGTGCTATGCCTCTTCCAAGGCCATAGAGTACCACCAGGAGCTGACAAGGCGGCTTGCTCGAGGAGTGACCGTCGTGTCGTCTGCAGCGCCAGTGCATCCGCAGAGTTGAATACAAAGCTCAAGCCCGGGGTATTCTTTCTGCTAGTCTTTCGGACCTCACTTAATATTAGCAATGATCTCTCGACTTGTCCATTAAGTGGCCGTACAGTATCAGTGTAGTAGCTGTCGTTCAATCATGAAACATGTCGATTACTACGTAAGTACTTAGTAGTAGTTCCTTCCTCATGTCCTGAAATGTCAAAACCAAGAAGAATATCCGGATGAGGCCAACCCCTTCAAGTCGAATTCTCAAGTCCGTAAACCGAGGTAATAATCTCTCCTTTGTGAATTCTACATACAAATATTAGGTTTCACAGTTTGATGGTTGAGTTCGTGGTGGCAGTAATGACCTCGCAAACTGCAGTTGTCGTTTCATGGATGTGGCGTATCCGGATCATCTTCGACTTTCTTGCCTCACTCACCCTTCATAATCACGTTGCCGGGTTGCATTCAAGGTACGCAGGATCGACGATGCGTCGTGACGCTTGACATATATATGTAGGATGTCCTACGCATATCTATTCAAGTACATCATCATTGGGGACACTGGTGTCGGCAAGTCATGCCTCCTCTTGCAGTTCACGGACAAGCGCTTCCAACCTGTCCACGACCTGACTATTGGCGTCGAGTTTGGGGCACGCATGATCAACATCGACAGCAAGCAGATCAAGCTGCAAATTTGGGACACTGCGGGCCAAGAATCATTCCGATCTATCACCCGCTCGTACTACCGCGGGGCCGCCGGCGCCTTGCTGGTGTACGACATTACGCGCCGGGAAACGTTCAACCATCTTACGAGGTGGTTGGAAGAAGCGCGCCAAAACTCCAACTCAAACATGGCCATCATGCTCATCGGCAACAAGTCGGACTTGGAGCACCGCCGCGCCGTGAGTTATAAGGAAGGCGAGCAATTCGCGAAGGAGAACGGACTCATCTTCCTCGAAACGTCGGCGAAAACGGCGGCCAACGTGGAGGACGCCTTCATCAAAACTGCGCAAAAGATCCACGCCAACATCCAAGCTGGTATTTGCGACGTCACCAACGAGGTATGCTCCTTCATTTCGTCACTTGTTCGTTGACCACGGCCATGTACAGGCGCACGGCATCAAGGTCGGCATGACTGGGTCGGCCACACCGACGGGCTTTGGCGGCAATGCGAACAACGCTAATAAGGGCGGATGTTGTTAATCGAAGTATCTAGTTGCTAACAAGCTATATAACGCTGATGTGGTGCTTACTTTGGACTCGTTAGCTGCAGCAACCTTATTACCAGTTGATCTCTTTGCCTATTATGTACACTAGGGTACCTCATTGCGTATTCCTTCATGGAATGACTCCCACATGCATGCATCCACATTGAGTACTAGTCTTCGCATCCACGTCATGTGGAGCGATTGTCGGTTTACCGTCGGGTGAACGCGGCGGCGTTGCGGATCATGTCCAGTGTTCCGTTGAAACAGCATATCGAGTGGGGCTCAAGGCAAAAGGTCATCTTTTGAACCAATCAGCGATGCGTGTTTTGGATCGCATCAATATCATTGGCCAATAAAAATAGGTGCCTACCTACACATTCAAGATTGTTGTTCTCCATATTATTTCTACTACGCATCAAGGTAACCACTTCCAAAATCGAAAGCCACCCCATCCTTCCACATCGCCATGAGCAATCCATTTGAAGATCCGTCCGTGCGCATGGCTGCCACATCTCCCTCTGGCGCCGCCAAGGTAAGGCGTCCGTTCACGACAGGATACGAACACTAACGTGGACTTTTCGAGCAGACGTTGGCCATGCCACAAAAGCAACCTTCGTTTAATCAAGCTGGCGCTGCTCATGTGGCTCCAATCGCCACTACTGTCAACCCTGCGCAGGTCGGAGGAGGTGGTGGTGCCCCTCCCCCTGGGACACCCAAGACTGCCGCCGAAAACCTCATGGAAGAAGTTGGCTCGTCGTAAGAACGTCGTGTTATACGCGTCGTGTCGGTTGACAACTGTTCGCAGGATCAAGAAAACCGACTCGGCCAAGATCCTCAAGGTCATGCAAACTGTCAACATCATTCTCGCTGCGTTGACCGTCACGGCGGGCATCTTGTCGTGGGTTGCTGGCTACGTGGTGGACTTTCAAACGTTCATTGCGTCTTCGTACATCATGTAACGTTAGGTCCTCAAATCGTGATCCATCTCATGACATGATGTCTAGTACGTTTGGGTTGCTCTTGCTCGGGTTTGAACTGCGCACCGCCACGCTGGACGTGCTGCTGCGAGCCAACTTTGGGTTCATGTACGGCTACAAGACCCGCACCATCTTTCTCCTCTTGTAAGCACCCTTCCTTCCTTTGTCTCTCTGACGTCTCACACAGCATTGCCATCTGGCCTCTGTCCATGGGCACGTACTGGGTCACCATCCTCGACGCCGTGCTGTTGTTCCTGAACGCGTTCTTCAACTACTTTGTCGTATCGAGCCACCCGGCGTTCGCCGGCGAGGCCCCGCCCGCGTACGACGGCACACGCGTCGCCCTTGGAGCCTCCCCCATCCCCGTCAAAGCCGATTCGCAGGTGTAACGAACAACCCCTTAATATCAATACCACTCTATATACTATCCATTTGGTCAGGAAGGTGGGAATGCATCTCATGTTCTTAGTTAACTACGTTGGCTCGTGCCCTACAGTTTTGGTCTTTGAGACTCGGTTGAGTACAATCTCTCCCATTGGTCAATCTGAAACATATTGTCCGTTGATTGGCTATAATCCATTTTCGAATATGTTTTCTACCAGTAGTAACGTTAAGGGCAAAGTGGATAATAGCCAATCCGATGTCTCGGAGCAGTTTGTACGAACCATGAAGAATTAACGGAACTTTGAAGAACGTGTTTGCAAATATTGTGAATTCGCCTGGTTTGTCGAATCACTATTGACTGTGAATCACGCCGGAGTTCTCATTGGTTGAATATACTTATTTCCTTCCTCTAAGAGCCAATTAAATCATCCACTCAAAAATGGATTAGCCAATCGCGTCGATTTGTGGTTCGATTCGGCGGCGAGATATTCGATCTTTGTATCGAATCCACGGAATACTACTGTAGTATTCGAATGAAATGATCCAGTGGTGAAGGCAAGTTAGTTCTATTGGCGTGGTTTAAATCAACAGATCGTCGCCGTTGGTGTGGAACACTGCCGACACGACCACGAAAAACGTGACGCTCCACGCCAAAGCGCGGCGTTGGGGGGTGAATGTCGACGACAGCGCCGACGTCGTGCGTTCGTACAAAGTCTACGTAATCATTTTCCCATCATCACAACCAATGTATAGATTAATTGTACCTGGGGTTTGGCAGGGGCACGGACGGACTTGGTCTTGAGGCCGCCGAGGAGGCCTCCCGCGGCAGACGAGGCGGTCGTGGGCTTCTGGCTGGCCTTCAACCGTTCGTAGCGGATGCGCGCTGAGGTCAGCTCTTGGTCGCACAGACGGATCTCCACGTCCATGTCCGCCTTGGCTTTAGACAAGGCCACGGCTTGCTGAGCTAGGTATTCGATCTCGGACAACTCGAACGACGCCTGGATGCGCACGCGGCCTTCGACCACGGGGACCGTAGTCCCATCTTCCGCCGCGTCAACTTCTGCCTTGTCCTCGGCATCGTCGGCCGCTTCGGCGGCTTTGACGTCCGCCTCCTCCTTGACGTCTTCAACACCTTCAACCGTGGCCTCAGTTTCGACTGTAGTCTCGACCGCAACCTCGGCGGACGCTTGAACCTCCGATTTGGCTTCAACTTCGGCCTCTTGAACAACTTCGTCCGACACTTTGGCTTCTCGAGCAACTTGTTCCGACTCTGTGGCTGCTTGGGCAACTTCTTGCACCACGTTGGATGATTCGTCGTCGGTCTTGGTTTCTACTTCGGTCTCCACGGCGGCGGCGGTGGCGGCATCTGGAGCAGATTCGTCTTGCTTGTCTTCGACTTGTGGGGGTTGGACAGCGTCGTGAAACGTATCTGCCGCCGCAGCCTCCTCCTCTTTGTCAGCAGCATCGTCCGTGGTGGAAGCATCAGTGGCCGGAGGAATACCAAAGATGGTTTCGGTGGTGGAGGGGGTAGTGCTGCTGGGAGTCTCGACAGACTCGGCGACAACTACGGCTTCTTCCACGACCTTAGGCACTTGGTCAGCTTCGCCAGTGGCCACGTTGAACCATGCATCCACATCCCCGCGGAAAAGCGATGCAATGGGGATAGTGAATTCCTTGAGAGGTGTTGCGTCGTCGCTGTCTTCGCCTACCGTCACGTACGCCACCGCCTCGCGCTGTTGGATCGCCTCAAAGGCAAACGTCGCTGGGAACGCGTCCTTGTCTGCCCATGCCACTTGGTTCTTCTTGTCTTCGCTGGATTCGTCGATTTCCTCAAAGTCGGGGATCGATTCCGGTTCAACGTACACCTTGATGACCGTGCCGGTCGGAACCTCACCTTCGGCGGCGACGAGCGTCAACGACAACGACCCGACGGTCTTGGCTTGATCGCCGCGGGCAGTGTACGCATCTTGGATTTGGTGCAAGATCTCGGTCATCTTGACCTCAATATCCTTGCACACGTTGACCTTTTCATTCATGCGCTGGCGGGCTAGCAAGTAGTCATGCGATGCTTCCTGGAACGACTTGCTCATGATGATGGGTGTTGATTCCGTCAAAGATGAATGGCGACGCGGCAAAGGCAACACTCGCAAAAGGGTGCGGGGACCCCCCAAAATGACCATCAGGTCCTAGAAAAACCGCTCTATAAACGCGTTATTTTAATTCAACGCTTTTGATTCGACACGTTATATTACGGTATTTATTTCTAAGTACTGTTTAACGTAGGTTCAAAATAACCCATCACGTTTTAGGGGTCTAATGAGGGGACTATCTAAACAATTCAAGGACTTTGATTGGCTATCGATGTTTCGACCATCATTCTCAGTTCTTGGGGCTATCTTTCCATGACAAAGCCAAATCTTCTTCCACGTAGTAGCGACATGGCCTCCGAGACCTCCGCCGAATTCAGCTGGCCGCCCCTCGAGAGCAATCCCGAAGTCTTCACCGAATACCTCTACCAACTGGGCCTTCCGTCCGACTGGTTTGTCGGCGAAGTGTTCGGCTTGGACGACGATTCGCTCGGGTTCGTCCCTCGACCCGTCGTGGCGGTGATTGTCACGTTCGAGTCTCTGAAGAAGGAGACTGATGCGGTAGCAGCGGCCAAGGCGGACTTCTTCATGAAGCAATCGCCCAAGCTGGATTATGCATGTGGCGTGATAGCCTGTATCCACTCAGTGTTGAACAGTTTGGACTCGATCACGTTGGTGGAGAACTCGATCCTTGAAAAATACTACCGCGCCACCAAGACCCAATCCCCCGCCGACCGCGCAACGACTTTGGAAAACATGACGGAGTTCCAGGAAGTCCATACGTCGTACGCGTCGTTGGGTCAGTCCTCCGTCCCCACCGCCGAGGACGACGTGAAGCATCACTTTGTCACGTTTGTCCAAAACGCTCTCGGGCAACTGATAGAGTTGGACGGGCTGAAGAAAGGACCGGTTGTCGTCAACGCCGAGAGCTCAGACATCCTCAAAGACACGGCGGCGGTGATACAAGCGCGGATAGAAGCCGGTGTGTACAGCGACAGCCTCGCCGTACTCACTCTTGCCAAGGTCGCCGATGAGTAGTGCAACTCGGCAATCCCATCTTGTGATCTCCAGCCTTTTCACGTTCCCTTTTGGCAATATATATTTGAGAATTTAAGGTGAAAAAATATATATTTCGAGTGAACTTTTCAAGATCACTTGGTAGACGTTCGTACTTACGTTGGGATTCTTTGGAAATCGCAAAAGTAATATTAATACTACTTAGTACTTCAAGGTAACGTTACTACTAGTAACTTCTACGTACCGAATCCCGAACAGCATCAAAATCGCGAACAGTGTCAATTTTGACCAATTAATGACTTCCCTTGGTGGCCGATCAAATTCTATTGGCTATGATTATATTCACCACTCATGTTGGCACAATCAAATTCAATCTAATTTAATTCCAAACTGTAATATATTATCTGCATCCACTATGATGTGGTTGAATTCTGTCATTAAAATGGTGTCGAATATAATGATTTTCATTGACGTTTTGAATTTAAACATCCAGATTAAAATTGGCGCTGTTATTTTGCAAATTTTTATAGCATCATACTTAACACAAGACATTTGAGTGTTCGCGATTTCGGAACTCTTGAAGTTCCCATCTCAGCGTGAAAGTGGTGATAATAATTTTCGTCCAAATCGCAAAACTCATTCAATTGTGCTGGAAATGGCACATTAAAATGGAGCTTGAATTATATTTTCTTTGGGTACCCTCAGATTTTCTCAGACTAGTCTACCGAATTTACCGTACATCTGTAACCCCAATTTTTGACCCTTAAGTTGTAACGATGGAAATCTCCAATACTTTGTTCAAGATAAAAAAAGTGAGATCTGATTAAGCAAACTTGAGCTTTACCATTGACTTGTAACTACCCAGCCATGATTGGATATTATTTAACCAGTAAAACCATGTTAAAATCAAATTTCAATTTGCTTCAGGATCGAATTGAAGGCCATCGACATTGTTGGCTTATCGAGCGGCGAAGGGATTCGAAGCTGCCCTGCACACGAGGTTTGACGTGACAGTTTGGCCGTCAACGATGTGGTTGTGTTTTGGTGCGAGGTCATGCAATTGAATGCTGATGGGCTCGAAGAAACCCTCAAGGTTTACAAGATTATTGGTGCGGAGCAACTCTGCCCTGTGGGCGTTCTTCCCCGTCGTTTGGTCAACACGAAAGCCAAGTATGCGAACAAATTTGCAATTGTTGTAGAAGACTACAGAGTCGATAACAGTGCTTGGAAACGCAATCGATCGAATAGGTGCCTTGGACTTGTAAGAGCTGTACTGATGGACCACATTGAGGAGTACAATAGATCTTAGATAATGCAAAATGAATCCATTCAATCAATGATGTACTTTGATGTTGAATTACATGTATTATTGCATATCACAAGCGCCAAAGGGTTCACAGTTGCCCGCCAGGCAATGAGGGTCTTGTCTTTGACCCAACGCGACACTTGGCCTGTCTGCACGCCGAAGGCCTTGTCTATTGCATAGAATGTCTTGGCAGGGCCAAGTGCAGCCCCGTAAGCTTGAATGACTTTGACTTTTTAAGCGTAAGGATATGACCTTGCGCTTCCTTGTCTTGGAGCGGCTACGTGGTGGTTCTGCAGTCATTTGGCCTGTGACGTGTATGTCGTGCACTTTGAATAAATGTGAAACCGCGCGAAACATTTTGTCCAATCATAGTTATTCAAATGCGCGGAAACAATAGTAGTATATATTTCAGCTTTACCATTGAGTTGTAACTATTTCGGAAACATTTTGGGGGTTACAGATGTACGGTAAATACGGTAGTTTCTCCAGGACATCAACTTGAATGGACAGGTCAAATTTTCGGCAAAAAGTGTTCGGGATTTCGATGCGTTACCTTAGTACTAGTAGTAATAGAAAACAATTTCATACTATTAATAGTACTTCGGATATTAATACTATTAATAGTATTAATACCTACTGTACTTTAGTAGTGCTAGTAGTATAAATATATATAAATACTATCAATATTACTATTAATAGTATTTCTTATATATCCCCATTTTTATCCGGAATAATTCGGATACGGGATCGATTGGCATTCGTTCAAATTGAACCAGGGAATTGAACTGGCAAAAGCGCAACAATGACCGACAGTAGCATCGACGCGGCAGTCCAAGCGCTGATCGACTCCAGCAATGGCGCTCTGGAGGTGACGTCCGTGGAGAACAAGGACGGCGCCAAGGTCAGTCGCATCAAGTGCACAGCGACAGGCCACGAAATGCCTCCTCGGGCCGACATCGTGACCGCCCATGTGAACTCGAAGCGGTTCAAGAAGGCGACGGAATGGTACAGCTACGACTTTTCGCAGTTCGAGCCGTACATTGTGTCCCACCGCCGCAAGCCCAAGTGTCTCTTCTGCAACGTCACGGGGATTGTGCTCAACAAGATCCCGTCCGAGGTGGAAAAGCACATGCAAGGTCGCAAGTTCGTGCGCATGAAGGAACACGTCAAGTTCTTTGACGAAGCCGAAATCGACAAGGACGACGTACGATCCTTGCAGGGCATCATGTCATTCACGTGGAACTATGTAGGAGGACTTTGACGCGAACAAATTTGAGTTTCTGAATCGGCAGTTGGTCGGATCCGAGGACGAGAACGACGGGAACGACTCGGATGACGACGCGCCAAAGCGCAAGGGAAAAACGGCCAACGACGGCGGGGATGACGAAGAGGACATTGACGCGATCTTCTACAAGGACCACAGTGACGACGATGGGGACGATGCAAGTATTGGCGACGATGATGAAGAAGACGACAGTGACATTGCAGGGGACGACGACGACGATGACACTGCGAAACCTACAGCTAAATTCGTCAAGAAAGTGACAAAACCAGCACCGGTACGAGCATATATATATATATTTATTTATCCTTAGTATTCATGTGGTTGTAGAAGCGAAAACAAGAGGTGCCAGCACCACCACCGAAGAAGGCGGCAAAAAAGGCGAAAAAGTAACACGATGCTGTGACTTGCAAATGTTGACTGTTTCGACACTTATAACTGGCGGCAGTGGATTCTTAGTCGAATCGCGAATGGTTCGATATGTAGATAGATGGCTAGTACGAATTCGATCTGACCCATGTGAAATATGAGTTGGCACTTTGCAAAGTTAAATGTAGATAGACGGTAGGAATGCTGACTTGAGAAGCCCACTGTGGTGTGCCAAGAGCGTCATTAGTTATGGTAGTGCTGCTACGTCCCCACTCTGTCGAAGTCACATTGTACACGCCCCAATCCCAACACAGCGACGCTTCTGCTTTACTTCTTGGCCACGACCAAGTACGTTTCCATGCCAATGGGTTGCCCTGTGGCCAGCCACGCCGCCGCCAATTCCACGAGAACTGTATGCCGTCGGAGGTGGAAGGCCTCGTCGTCCACGGGGAACAGCCGGCCCGCCAGCGTCGCATACTTTTCTGCTTCCCATTTCTCAGCAACGGCCAAGTACAGCCACACGCACGCAGACGAGAACCCCGCGGTTCGAAGTTTAGCCCGGAGTGTCGGCAGGTCTCGTCCCAGTGCGTAGTTGGATGTGAACCCCGAAGGGACGCCGAGCTTGTCGTTGGCGGCGGCCAGCAGCCGGAAGAACGCAGTGTGCTCGACCTGGCCCCAGATCACGAACCCAGCGACGCCGCCAGACCCGAGCACGCGATGGGATTCGCGCAACATGGCGTTGGGGTCTGGTACCAGCTGCAGCACCAGCGTCGAGATGTAGCGGTCAACAGACGCATCAGGGAGCTTTAGATCTTGGGCTAAGTCGGGAATTGATGAGTCATCAACTAGTGTACTTGACATGTGGACCAAGTGTACGTTCATACCGTTGGCTTCGACCACGTCGATGGGGATGGTGCACTTCGACGCCAAAATGTTCTGCTTGGCGAGATCCAACATGGATGGAGACAAGTCCGATAGAATGTACTTGGTTCCAAGGCCAGACGATTCCAAGTAACGCAAGGCATCGAGGGAGCCCAAGCCAGCGCCGGCGCCGACTTCGAGCACGGACGTAGCAGTGTCAAGGTCCAAGTGACGGTGGAGTTCGCGGGCGCTTTGGATGGAGATGGACTTGTTGAATACCTCCGTGTAGTCGGCGGAGAACGCGTTCCACTTGACCCGCAGGTCTGTGATCACGTCGAGAGGCGGCGTAGTCATAACGTTGCCAATCAGGATATGAGATACTATGACAGTCGTCGTCGTCAGAGCTTCGTGCAAGTTCGGTACAGTTAGATGATGTGTACTGTGAGTGTTTGCGAAAGTACTGTGAGTGTTTGCGAAAAGTATAATCACATTTCGAACTAATTCTATGACGAAAAAAATACTCGTGAGGTCAAGGTCAAATGTCTTTTCTCACGGATTTGAAATGTCATGATGCTTTGATAATGACAGGCAACTTCGCAGGATGCAATCTCAAGGGTATTTATTGGCCATGGCCACACAAGCATGATCATAGGTGCCATTGAGCCCACTGCATTCTGACCACGTCATACTTCAGTCGCGGGTAACGTTATTCGACGAGCGGGACACTAACTACATACTATTAAGAGTACACTACACTACGCACTACAAGTAGTAGTACTGTATAAGTTTAGCAACACCGTCACAAATACCTGCTTGAACAGACACTTGAACTACCGCCCGATCTATGGTAGTTCTAAGGATAGAATGCGCAGTAAAAAACGTGGGTGGCCAATATGGAGACTCATTGAATCTTATGTGACGGTGTGTTGTCTAGGGTTTCTGTGCATGAAATACTGTACTGGTAGCGATAGATGTGAATGAACAACCAAGATGGGGCTTCAGCGACGAGGTTGAGAGAAACAAGTCTTGGGGAATCGAGTGCGATGTTCAGCTTCGCCAAGAAACACCACCACTATACGTTGCAGCGTCAGTTCTATCCTTAGAACCCAAATTGATTTAGGAGCAGTTTCATTCTTGAATTGGCATCGACAAACGTCGTTGTGAGCGGGGGTTGTCAATAGAATATCCTCACGAGTGTCACTTTCCAATTGCCAACATGCCAGGAACCACCACCAAGAAGCCCGTGAGCCCGTCGAAAAAGACAGCCACGAGTCCCAAGGCTGCCAGCCCCAGCAAGAAACCTGCCAGCCCAAACAAAAAAAGCGCAGCCAGTCCTAAAGGCGCTGCCCCCGCCAAGCGCGCGGCGGCCACAAGTCCTCACAAGGGTGACAGCAGCCCCAAGAAGAAGATGAAGTTGGTCGGGTACGAGAACTTTGTGCGGCACAACCCCAAGACGGACCGCTTCACCATGCACAAGTTCCACCACATCGAGTTTTACACGCAAGATGCGACCAACGTATCCAAGCGATTTGGGTGGGCGGCGGGTTTGAAGCTGGTTGCCAAGTCGGACCAGAGCACGGGCAACCACGCGTACGCGAGTTACGTCCTCCAGTCGGGTGACCTCAAGATCGCCATCACGGCGCCGTACTCGCGCAAGAACCAGAAGGACGGCGGCCACGTCCCTCCCCACCCCGGCTTCAACGTCGACTACGCCCATGAATTCTGCAACAAGCACGGGTTGGCGGTGCGCGCCATGGCCATCTCCGTGGACGATGCGGCGCTGGCGTACGAACTCTCAACCAAGCACGGCGCAGTGGGGGTGTGCCCCCCCAAGACGATCAAGGACGCCGCGACCCACACGACCCAAGTCATTTCGAGCGTCAAGTTGTACGGAGACGTCGTGTTGCGCTTCGTGTCGGGCGACTACAAGGGCCGGTTCCAGCCCGGCTACCACGACGTTGAAGGGCCGGACGTGGGCATCGGCCTCGACCGACTGGACCATGCGGTGGGGAACGTGCCTAACTTGATTGAGGCTGTGCAGTACGCTTGCGGGTTCACGGGGTGGCACGAGTACGCCGAGTTTACGGCAGAAGATGTCGGCACGGTCGACTCGGGACTTAACTCGATGGTGCTGGCCAACAACAATGAAATGATCTTGTTGCCTATGAATGAGCCTACGTTTGGCACCAAGCGCAAGTCGCAGATCCAGACGTTCTTGGAGCAAAACGAAGGCGCGGGGCTCCAGCACATGGCGCTCAAGACCAACGACATCTTCCACACGCTGGCCGAGATGCGCAAGCGTACGCACTTGGGCGGGTTTGACTTTATGCCCAAGCCGTCCGCCGCGTACTACAAGAACCTCCCGGCGAAGATTGGCGACGTGTTCACGGCGGCGCAGTACGAGAAGATCGAGCAGCTCGGTCTATTGGTTGACAAGGACGACCAAGGCATTTTGCTGCAGATCTTCACCAAGCCATTGGGCGACCGCCCCACGTGCTTTTTTGAAATCATCGAACGAGTCGGATGCATGGAAGAGATCGGCGGGCGCTTGGAACAAGCCGCGGGCTGCGGCGGGTTTGGCAAGGGCAACTTCTCGGAACTGTTCAAGTCCATTGAAGACTACGAGCGTAGCTTGGACGTGTGATTTGATCAACCAACAACGAAATACATAAATGATTTTTCACTGCCTTGAGTTTTCACGTCGAAATATTGTGCCAACGTCAGCAGCAACCCACCGACCAACAAGATGGCCCGAGTACTTCTTGGCCAGCTTCATCGCCCCCGGAAACCCTTGTCCTCGACACACCCTGTACCGCGTTCTTGTTGCAACGTTGATCGTCCACTGACTTGACATGCTGGACGTCGGTCCCGCTGGGAACCAACCAAGACAAAAAATCCAATGTGAAGTCCACACGTAAATATATATTTAACAGCGCTGGCTTGGGCTCCCTCGATGCCTTGCGTTACTTGGAAGCGTCTGGCCTTGAAACTAAGTACATTCTATCGGACTTGTCTTCATCCATGTTGGATCTACACTTGGTCCACATGTCAAGTACAGCAGTTGATGACTCATCAATTCCTGACTTAGCCCAAGATCTAAAGCTTCCTGATGCGTCTGTCGACCGCTACATCTCGATGCTGGTGCTGCAGCTGGTACCGGACCCCGATGCCATGTTGCGCGAATCCCATCGCGTGCTCGGGTCTGGCGGCGTCGCTGGGTTCGTGATCTGGGGCCAGGTCGAGCACACTGCGTTCTTCCGGCTGCTGGCCGCCGCCAACGACAAGCTCGGCGTCCCTTCGGGGTTCACATCCAACTACGCACTGGGACGAGACCTGCCGACACTCCGGGCTAAACTTCGAACCGCGGGGTACTCGTCTACGTGCGTGTGGCCGTACTTGGCCGTTGCTGAGAAATGGGAAGCAGAAAAGTATGCGACGCTGGCGGGCCGGCTGTTCCCCGTGGACGACGAGGCCTTCCACCTCCGACGGCATGCAGTTCGTGGAATTGGCGGCGGCGTGGCTGGCCACAGGGCAACCCATTGGAATGGAAACGTACTTGGTCGTGACCAAGAAAGAATGATCCGCCGCTTCGGCTGAAGTGAGTCATGGTATCTAAATACATGCAAGGACCTGTATGTGGAGATGTAGCATTGGGACACATAGCTGTACATGTAGGCAAATGAATTCGGAACTTACTGACTCGTCGTCGTGGTGAGGACAACGTGATCGCAGGCATTACCATGCATTCGCAGTGGCAACGACAACAGCTAGCACGCGGATGCTCTAGACAGGAGCAATCAACCAGGGACGAAGGGAGCCAAGGCAATGGCTAACTTCTACTGTACCTTCCTCACAACCATTCATTCGATCATGGGGTGCAGTAGGGACGATATCTGCGGTGGTGCGGATACGACTGGATACTACAGGACCACTAAGCTGCCGGTTCCGCTGTCATCTCGACGCTCGATTCCACAGCGATATCATGAAATCGGCGTGGACTTCGTGATGATCACGGCTACAAGTAGCGGTCAAGTGATTATGATGTCCGCCACGCTAAGGCCAGCTTAATGGATTCGCGGCGCATGCGTGGTTTTGCGGCGTTGCCGGCCGTCAACGACATTGCCGTGCAGTTACGCCAAAGATCAGAATCACGAACGACAGGAACAGGCACAGCGGACTGCCCAGCGTCATGGCCTTCCGTCGCGTTGCTCAGAGCTGCGACGTCTGTACCACGGAAGCATGCGCCGAGTCATGATAAAGCAATCTGTATGTTCCATGGGCAAAAAAAGGAATTGCAGATTCCCTTCGAAAGTCGCCATATTCCATTGTGAGACACCATCGGCATTCTGGGTTGTGATCCTTCCACTACCAAGAGCGGAAGCTTTTCCCTGCTCTGTGACCAGCCTGAGGCGTTGCACCTCTCTTTAAGAACCTCGTGGCTTTCCTTCCGGATATTCCACAATGTTCACTCCTGGTTTGGAATGGGCCCCCCATCCACATGCCGTGAATAGATCCCTCACAATAGTGACCTCTCCCTTAAAGAACCCTACCCCGCCAGAAACTTGCGGTTACAAGCTGAAGCCACTCAGCCCGGTACAATAGAAAATTCAAATCCAATATAGGTGCGTGCAATTAGTCCCGAGTTCGATCCCCATAAAGTGCACTTTGGTAGCCCAATGTAGTTAGAAGTCCTAGGAACACACAAAGCACACGACGATCAACTACTACATGCAAATGCGATCGAAGTGTTAGACGTGATCTACGTATACTATTAAGGGATGATTCTCTTGCCACGACTAACTACTAGTTACTCGTTGAAGTTACGTGAGTTTTCACGGTACAGATTTGTTCTGAAAAATGAACTACTTGATGTGAAGTGTGTACCCAAGTTTAAAAATACATTTCGCGATGGATCCGGCGCCGCGCCTCGTCCCGTCGTACATGCGTGCGACGTCGAGCAGCGTCAAGCGGAACATGCCATGCATCCACCTTCATCCTCCGTCAGCTTCGAAGAAGGGCCCACCACCACCCTCGTTACCACCCACCACATCCAACCGACGGCGGTGGACGGCTCGACCAACAATTTTTGCTAGCCAAGACAACACTGTCGAGTGGCGATCCATACCAATCCAAAAATGCCCCGACGAAGGCTTGACACCACAAGTCAGCACTCCCAGTATCGATGGAGACAATCAAAGCGAGCCAGAGCGTTCCCGCCTAGAGTCAGCACCATCGCGGCCACCTCGGCCATCAGATATGACGTCGGTGCAAGTTCTTCGCTTGGAAGCTCTGGGCAACGCACAAATGGCCCTGATCAAGACGCTTCAAGACGACGTTGGCAACCTCACGAAGCAGTTCGCGTTGTTTATGGCGCAACCTTGTGCAAAGTCGATTACACCTGCTCCAGCCACCAGCTTCCCCCATTCGCATCATCAGCGTGTAGCCACCAACGAAGGCAATACACAGTCGAAATGCAATCAAACTCACGAGGACGAAAATCAACGTCTCGCCGCCAGCCTGGACGAAGCCAACACTAAGCTCTCAGCCCAAGACAAAACCATGCGTCAGCTCCAAGCCGACAACGACGAACTGCAGGCTCTGTTGCGCGCCGCAGGACGAGATCTCACCCGCGAAGAGGACCGGGTAGTCAAGCTCAAACAGCACATCGAGTCGCTACAGCAAACAGCTCTTATGCCAGTGTGCAACAACCAACACGAGCCGTCCTCGCCCACGTCATCCCCTCAAATGGGCAAACGCACCGCCCCCCTGCGATTTGGCTAAGACCTCGTATGCCAAAAGTACATTGCCGCCTCGACCAGATCGAGCGAGTTCGGTGAATATTTGGCTACAGAAGTTGCGCCATGATTGATGGAAATCCGAGTAATTGTCCCATTGAGGATCATACTGTATGACTTTCCGTTTTGAGACTTGCATATACTATCGATTGTTTCAATCCACAAGCATTCGACATTATTGCGAGGTTGATACAGCCAACAACAGGTTATTAATCAAACCATCGCGCCCTGTACATCTAGCCACAGTCTGCCGACACATTCGTCGGTCATCGACCCGACATGACGCTGTGCCAATATGCCACCTTGGCGCCGTGGAGGGCGTGGTGCCATCTCGAGTGTTCGTCCAGGGACTCGAGATACAAAGTCCAAGTGTCGGAACCACATCGCCACGGCAACACGATCGAATACGTGCCATGTTCGGCGTGGGTTTGAATGTCGATGTCCAGCACATCCATGGCCGCAATAGCATCGCGCTTGACAGAGTCGTCCTTGAACATGTACAACGTCGTGCCTTCCAACACGAGCCTAACCACGACGAGATCAAACTATGTTTTGTGGTAGGGATAGTATGATGACCATCCACACACACACACACTCACGATCTTCATATGCGGATGAGGTTCCTTACCACTTGCGACGGCGGCGTGGGTGCCGCACCCGCGTCACCTTGGCCCATCCGTCCGACCGAAGGGACGTAGGAGCCAATAATCGGTACAACGTCGCCAGACTGGGGGAAGTCAAGGCGGGGGGCTTGGGGGCGTGGAGTTGTGTCACCAAGGGCAGCTTGTCGTGGCGCCGAAGGAAGTATTCGAGGTAGTTCCAACAACTGTCTGACGGCGAGAACGTGGACACGCACAGCTGTAGCAAGCCCCATACCTAGCCCCCCACAAGCAACTCGTAAAAATATACATCACAATCGTTATACCTTGGTGGCACGCCATGAGGCATCAACATGAGCGGCGGATAGCCCTTGCTGCTGCACGAGTTGCACGTAGATTTCGTCTGCGAGGCGACGGCTGGACAGACCCGTGTGCACTAAACTGTGGGCATAGCGGAGGGGGTAGAGGTCATTTTGGTCTTGAGCACCCACGTAGCCGTGAATCCACCTCGATATTTGGACGGCGCACTTGGTTTCGGCTGCGTCGAGGTCCGTCAGCGACGTGGTGAGGGCCGGACGTTCGGCGGAGGAGATGGTGGCCGGAAGCAACAAGCACTTGGTGGGGTCGCGAAGTCGTGGAAAGTGCTGCATGTCAAATATGTCGCCGCAGTGTTGAAAGAACTCGTGCTTGAGGGCCAACGTGATGCCCAGCACGTCGGCTGCCGGCGCGTTTTGGTGAATGGCCCACTACGCACGAACGACGATTCAACTTGGATTCATTCTTGAATTGTAAACCTTTAGCTGTTCCTGTAGAAACTTGTCGCGCGACATCTGAAGCAGGCCTTCAACCCTGGTTAGGGCGGGCGACGGAAGATGGAGCTTCGCACCCCGCCGAGCAATCTCTGCAAGTCGGGCAGTGTCAATGTCAAACTGACATAGGGCAAACTCGAGCTCCAACTGCTTCAAGCTCTTCAATAGCCGCGCCGCGCGCTTCACAAGGCGCGAATGCACTTGCATGCTAACAATGCAATAAGTCGATGGTGTACATAGAGTGAAGAAATGGAAGCTCATGGGTACCTACCTCATCGCCTTGGAAAGGGCATGTTCGAGGACATCCGGGGACTTGAGATCAATCGCCTAACAAGAACTGTGAAATGATGATAAGAGTAAACGAAACCCTACGTGACGCAGCTCGTGGCGAATGTTCTTGGAAGCTTGGACGGCATCCTTGGCGCGAAGTACGAGGTCCCGCAACGTGTAGTCTCGATGTAGGTGGTGACGATCCACTTGGCCCAGTCCTTTGACCAGCGCCTCGTAAGATTTGGACGCAAGTGCAAGCTGCAGCTGCTTGGCTACTCGAACAGACATCCGCTTAAAGTCGACGAGGTCCGTGGCGGCTTGCTGCTCCATTTCCAACGCATGCGACATCGTTCGAAACCACTTGTCGGACGCGAGCAGGTCGAACTAGATAGACATATGCGATGAAGTGCACTCGTGCCGGACCATCAACGGAGCAAGTCGAACCTGGCGATGACCCGCGCTGAGAATGCCCTGCACTTTACTCCACGCCGCGTCGACAGTCCCCAACGACGTGCACTCAAACAAGTCCTACCCACAAACAAACACAAGGAATGATGCTCAAGGACAATCATATCGAGCCAACACTCTTGCGTTTTATAGTCGGCATTTACTTTAGCCGCCCGACGCAACTGGCTTAACAGCAAGCACACGTTGGCCGCGATCTCGGTCTTGTCGTACAGTGGCGCCAACTCAAACACATTGCCCAAGTGTGTTAGGCGGTCAATGTGGATGTGCGACTTCGCCGCAAAGTCTGGACAAACCTACACGACATTTGAACCAATCGCTCAACACATACGATAATGTGGGCTACGATTTTGGAGGCTATTACCGCGATCAAGCTCTCGACTTCGCTCACAAACAGCTTTTCCTGGCGGATGGCCTCGAGCATAGACTGTGCTTCGCGCACAAGAGTGGGGTCGAACGAGATTCCAAATTTCAACGAGACCTCGGCCATTTGGTCGCAGAGGTCGAAGAAGACCCCTTCTTGGGGCACTTTGCACAGCCACGCTTTGGCCAGCAGCTTGTGCATACGGTCATACTCGTCGACAATGTGCCGAGCCAGTGCCACCTCGTTGTGCCACGTGGAAGTGATGCTGGTATCGGCATCGGTTGGCACAGCCACTGCGATGCACGTTTTCAAAGTCGCAAGGCCTTCCATGGCAGTGTGCTGCGCCATGATCTACAGGACCATAAAGTTAATTCCAGGGAATCGATCGCAGCTGGTGGTATGTGCGTGTGTAAAGATTCAACCCGTAAAGTTGCCCGAAGTTTGCCCAAGTTGTGGCACAGTTGCAACGTCGCATGCAACGATGTGCTCCACATGCGTTTTGTCTGCAATGCTGTGACAAGGTCGTCCACAGGGGTGCTTGTCCATGTGACAAAGTTCGACTGCAATGTCGATACAGTGACGGCAGAGTTCGCAATCGCATCCGCCAGCGCGAGAACGTCTGTCGACTCGGTGGCCGTTTCCTTTACAAGCAACAACATGGTCAGACGAAAAAGAAGTCCAAGTTGAACTGTCCTACCTGCAACGCCGCCCGAGCTCGTTCCGCCACCTGTGCCGATATCATGGGCGATCGAAGCGCCTTCTCCACCGTGGCGACGTGGATGACCTTGGACCGAAGCATGAGGGTCACTTGAACCACCGCCTGCCGCTCAGTCTGCAGGCGATGATACGCGGCCGTGAAGGCGATGACATGAGGGTCAGCCTCCAGTCGCCATTTTGCACACAATGCCAAGTCCGCTTCCATCGCCTCTACGCAGCACCCGACGATTGGTGCTTGTCTTGCATGCTTGTTGGGATATGGGGTACCTAAATCGTGCCGGGGCTGCTGGATGCGAAGGAGTAAATCGTGTTGACGGCGGTGCCGTTCCAAGTGCATTTGGCCCTCGTGGCATTGAAGCAGTAGACGGCGAGACAAGTAACAAGTCGGGAATCGTTTCACCAAGTCGGTGGCATGTTGCACGTGCTGTGACAAGGTGGCATCATCCAGGGATGCCACGTCATGGAGCAAAGCCATGCTCTGGCCAACGTGTCGACATGCAAGTCGCCACACTGCTCGCCGCCACACCCCCTGAAGGATCGTCACTGCTGCACCTTCCACGGCGATCCTCTGGCGACGGAGCCACTGGTGCATCTCCAACGAGCTAAATACACTCGTTATCCCCACAGCGAACCCCCCGGGGTGGGGAAAGTGCTGAATGAGGTCGCGGCATCGCTCTGCCATCGGAATCACTTGTGGTGTGTCACCTGTCGTTGATTCGGTAGGGGGGGCTATTACACGATATGAATGGTAAAACAACTCGTGGGACTCTTGGAACGGGTGCAGGCCATCGTGGTGCAGCGCCAATGCTTGTAAGATCCCCATTTGACGCAGCTGGTCCAGGACGTACGGTCCGTCGAACACGTCACGAACCTACGACCAGTTCAACATCCCATCGTAGTTCGATCGTTCCAAAGAGTACTTGATCGTGGTTGGGTTTGATGCACCGGATAAAGTGAATCGACGTGTCCTTGAGTCGTGCCAACAGCTCCTTCAGTTGCCGTCGAAAGGTTGCGCTGATGGTGGCGTCGCCCCTCGTGGTGGGGGGACTAGGGGGCGCCATTTCTCCAAGCAAGGACATGCATTCCTGATGGCAGAACTCCAAGATGTCGTCTGCCACGTGATCCTACATTGCAAGTCATTGAATGAATCAGGCATTGAAACGTCTCAAACCTTATTTTTCGCCAGCAAGTCGGCACAGTCGTACGTGACTGGCAGGGCGTAGTGAACCAAAGTAAACGTCAATGTGGACTTTCCGGCCTTGAACACGGTCGACGCCTTGCCGTGCGCTGTGACAAGCTTCGAGTGCAGCGAATACTCGGATGACTACAACCACACACCATCGTTAGTCGGTATTACTACAAGAAACTAACTACCTTTGGAATGGACACTTCGTCGTCTAGCAACGTGAAGATACCCTTGGGCTTGCTGTCCAATACCTCGAGCACCTGATTCGTTACCGTTAACATATACAGATAAAACAATCGTTTGCAACCGTTCGACCTCTAGTTGTTTGTACGGGAGCTCAAACTTCGGAACGTCCAGTCCTTCACGTCGATATCGGTCCAAGGCGTCGTCAAACACCACCGTGTGGAACAGCTGATGGAATGAAACCCCATGTTATATTCCCTTAGACAGCAAAAGTCGGTCAGTTATCGTACCTGCTGCAGTTTTTCGTTGGCGAAGTTGATGCACAATTGTTCGAATCCGTTGCGGTCGAACGATTCAAACCCAAAAATGTCGACGAGCAAAATGTGGCTCCGCGGTGACGTGGCATGCTTCATCATGGTGGCATTGATGCGCTGTAATAACCAGTGAAATAGTCGGCTGTACAGGGCCTACCACCAACCACATCACCAGTGTCAGACGATTTCTGTAAAGTCGCCCTAAGATTTTGCATACTTTGACCAAGGCGTCTCGGGCGTCCGACGCGTGCTCCTTGTCCAGTGGCATGTCCATCGTCTCGCCGCGGACTTTGAGCCGTCGGACACTTAGCCTCGTGGCGAGGGTTTGTGGAAGGCATTGCAGTACTGCGGCAGCTTGTTGCAGTCTAATAATGTTGTCCTTAAGAAAGCCCAGTGTACATCACAAGGGAAATGTGACTTGGTCGTACGCCTTCTGGGGCAACAACTCGTTGGTGTGGAAGTGCACATTGCCGAGGTATAAGATGCCTTTGCAGATGGCCACAACGCCTTCCTTTTCAGCAGGTGTGAACCCCAGCGCATCCAACGCTGCCATGGTCACCCCGAACGCGGCCTTGTCTTCTTGTGTAGCGCCAACTTGCCCAAGAAAGGCAAACTCGCCTGCCGCGGTGCTGTGTTCCATATTTGCGCACAGTTGGTAGAAGATGTGGTAGTTGCGCTCGCGACCTTCCACCCGAGTTAGTCGCGACTTCTCCAGCAAGTACGACGTCACGGTACAGCCATCGATCTTTCCAGATGCATTCAGCTGCAACTTGACCAGTTTACCTATCCACGTATCATCCAATCAACACGACTCACCGCTCCAGGTCCTTACCAAATCGTGAGGAATTTGCATTGTGCATGGTAGTGGCGTTGCCGAACGCGTCCAAGATGGGACTACACGCGAGTAACATGCCCTCCAAATTGATGCCGTCGTGGCCAGTCACCTACACAACACAGTGCGTTTACATCGAACGTCGTTTGAAATGTTTGAATGCATGGACCAACCCTGGAAAAGTACTGCATGCACAGTCTCGTGACTTCAGACTTGCCCGACCCACTCTCGCCAGAGATGACTATTGACTGCGATGTCGCACATCTCAAAGCAGCTTCGAATGCCGCCGCCGCTACTTGGTACACATGCGGCGGCATCTCGACGTGGGTGGGTTGCGTGTACTGCTGAAGCAGGGTCTACAACATCATGTTGGAGGATTTGACGACCAGTTGGTACTCGTCCAGTACCTCTGGGGCAGCAAGTTTCTGAAACGGATTCATGGACACGAGCAACTTGCCCACGTTGGTGTAAATATGGTGGCGGAGAAAGCGCCGCTTAAGGCAATGCAACGCCCCAGCCTCCTCCGAAGAGCCCAAGTGCACGAGGTTGTCGACCGACGACGACGATGGTGGCAGCGACGCAAGCTGGACCACTGCGGCGGCTGCCACCACAACGCACGACGACGTCGCTGCTGGTTCGTAAAGGGGCCGCACGACGAGATTCGGAGGCTGGGTTTCGACAATTCGCACAAGTGTATAGCCATCCATTGGATTTGCCCACCACGCTAAGGCACCGTCGTTCTCCTAGTCGCATGTGATGTTTCAATGCAAGCTACTGTAGCAAGAATTGGGGCTGTAGTCACGCACCACGAGCTCTTGGTTCGACGTGTTTTCCGCATGACTTGTCTGGTTTGGCTCTGGCGGTGAGTATCCTAGAATGCCTAGGCTTGTCGCGTGACACTTGGAGTTGCTCGCTTCGTTGCTTGACTCGATCGAAGTGCCACGTTTGGCCAGTGGAGGCGGCGGTCGCGGCATCAACTTGGACGGACTCGTGCGCGCGGGACCGAGTGGAGTGGCCCATATGGCTTGTCCGTGCATGGGCATTTTCGCATGCAGCGACGGCCGGTCCACCAGCACATGCTCAGCCGGGTCGTCGTCGCTCGACAGCAGCGTCGTGCTGTGGACTCGGCCAGCAGCGAAGGCAGCTTGCAGCTCCGGGAGCGTAAATGGACCCTCGCGACCGCCACTGGTCTCGTGGACGTAATAAGCCGCCGCCATGCCAAAGAGTGTGAAACCGGGCCGAAACTGCTCGAACGATTACATCTACTACGTAGTACTATTGATATTAATACTACTAGTACTGGTAGTACACTATGCAAGGCGTCGTAGATAAAAAATATTTCTTGCAAAGCACAATTTAGGAACTATCATTGGATAGTAATCTCGCGAAACTGAATCGTTAACATTTCGTGCACTGAAATCCGCCACCTGTGGGATAAACATGCTTGTCAAAATACTCCAGTAGTATTCAATCAACAGTTGCCTGTGCTGGACGCACTGCATATTGATGCGGATCGCGGGTGCTGTCGCCGCCTTAGGCTTTGCAGTCGTCAGTGGCCGCGAATGCGAATCGGCCGACGTGCTTCCACTCGCGACGGACGTTAACGCATGTATCGCCGAGTCCAAGCTGTCATTGACCAATGCTACCCTCGAAGAGATTCAACGGTCCTGCGTGTTCAACCCGTGCCGCAACATGATCGCAGCTATGGGATCCATGAACTGCACTATCAACAACGAGCCAGTTACAGTCATCGGTAGCTTGTGCCGTCCCAACGCCACCAATTCGTCCGCTTGCACGCCATCCGACACTTCGGCATTTGCCCCGCACCTCAAGCAGTGCCAACTCCTGTCTGGTGTAAACAGCGTGACCAACACCACAGCCTCTATCTTTTGTAAGTACGACATCTGCGTCCAATACACCAAGCTATTCACGCCGCTAAACTGCTCCATCAATGGATCCCCTGCCTCCACCATCGCCCGGTATTGTGATGTTGGTCTGACCACTCGCCCCCCAACGAACCCCCCGTCCGTCCTCACGAATTCCACCACCGAGTGCGCTTTAGACGACACCCCGCTGGCGTATCCAGACCAGCTCCGGCAGTGCCTCGTGGCCGCCAACCTCAAATCCCCCCCCGCCGGGCCTGCCGACTGGGCCCCGCTCTGCATGCTGGATCCGTGCGTCCAAGCTGTCCGGTACTTCGCGGGGCTGTCGTGTACCGTCGGCGGCACTCCGGCGTATACACTCGCCAAAGTATGCGAAAACACCATCCCATCGCCGTCTCCCATCAACCGTCCCCCAACGGTGGCGTCAAAAGCCATCTTGCCGTCATCACTCGGAACATTGCCACTTCTGGTGGTACTGTTGTTGTGTAGCTGACTAGCCTAAGCGATACAGTTCTCCTGTCATCGTACGAAACATTTGTATGTAGGATACTGTATGATGATCTGGTGTATATGATGCCAGTGTGGAATACTGTACGTTTCAATGTGTACCCTTCGAGGTGCACTGGCTTCGAGGTGCACTGGCCCCACAACTGAACAGTATTGGAACACGAATATAAGAGGATGCAGGGAATGACCAAAGTAGCGAACCTCAAATGAATTGGCAGCATACCAAGCAGCTCGATCGTACTAGCTCTTATAGACACACTAGGGGCTGAGGACTTTCCATTGGCCTTTTACTACTTCACTGTCAGCTCAAAACTGTTCGGTAATTTTAACAGAAATATAACTCTATAAAACAATACCCTTCTATAGATTATATGAAACCTGTTGTAACTGCTTACCCTAAACACAGAATTTCAATACTTCGACATATACATACTTAAAGATAAAATGGTTATCCTAAATTGGTTATCAAAATGTGCGTACAAATGCTTAGAAAGGAACAAATTTACTTGGGAATTTCATCGTCTAAACTGATAATTCGATTATGAAGCAAAACTCAAATAAAGTAGAACTGTCGAAGTCAATAATATTACTTGGAAGTGTTAGGTTTGTAACGTTAAATAAATACTTGGGGGAAGGCCAAGCGTTAACTAGTTGACCTATTCGCCCAATATGATGGTGTCTCGAGGCGAATCCGGTGCATCGCCCAACATTGGCATGCTGAAAATGTCCGAGTGCGCACTGCCGTCACTGCGCATGGACTCCATCCACACGCTCGGTCGATGGGGATGTGGATCGCTCTTGCTCTTCTGCTTGCGAAACGGCTCGTTGGCAGGGCTCAAAGCGAGGTTGGCAGCATCGGTCATGTCGGACGAGGCGCGGCTCCATGTCATTGCTTGGGATGATGCCTTGGGTTTGAACATCGAGTGTCTGGGCTGTATTGGTGGAGGTTGATGGACCAATGGAAACTTGTGGCAGGGGGCAGCGGGGGAGTTTGTACATAGGGGATGACTGTGCAGGTAGTCAGTGTTGGAGGTGCGGAAATCCTTGGGGACCCCAAGAAAGTTGGCGACCAGCCAGCACAGTTTGGTGGCGTCGCGGGACGTAATGGCGTTCTGGTGGCGTCGGTCTTCGCCCCACTGAAAGTCGAGGAGAAATCGAACCAAAGCCGACAAGTACGTGTGGAATCGACCCACACGCGCTTGTATGACCGACGCGGCCATCGAGTTTGTGCCCACAAAGAGAACTTTGAGCGTCTTCTTTGGAAAGTCAAAGTCGGCGAGGTTGGTGCGTTGACCTACATGGGCCGCGTTCGCTGGGGCGGGCTTGACCTTGGAAGCGTGGGCAATGGTTTGCACGCTGCGCCACAGCATGCGGAATTGGGTGTATCGACGAGGCACGACCCAGTGGCCCTTGCCCACTTCATTGACTTGCACCATGTAATTGATGTGCTTCTTGTACCCGTGGTCACTTGCGTTGGTCGCACACACCGCCACGTCGACGTACTGCAGCACGTGCATGCGACTGGTGGAAAACGGCTCGGTGGGTAACACCATCATAGACTGACCCATGTGAGGAGTCGATATATCTCGGACGAAAAGTCGAAAATGACCGGTGGTCGCCAGCACATGACGATCGAGCAACGCCACGACAGTGAAAATCAGCATTTCTGAAACACCTGTTCGGACGATGGTGTTGGTCGTCGACCAAAACGGATGGGTCCCCCCACTGCACTTTGACGTTTCACATACTGCGTCTAAGTTGTCCTCAAAGGTATCTCAATGATGTGGGGGGGGGGTATAAACACTTTTCTAGTGGTCAGATGGCAGTGTAGTGGAATTCCAGCCAAACATCAAGTTGGTACGTTGATGAGATTGTACACGAACGATGCACGAACATTCGTTGGCGGGTCAGTAACTGGCGACGCTGTTCACATCTTGGACTTGAATGGCGTTGTCTCCTGGTACATACTTGCAACGGTGTAAAAGCTGGTCGAACAAGCGGCGCACATACTATGCACTAACAGCAAGTAACGTTATTATAAATACTAGGCATTAATACCGGTAATACTAAGTATGTATGTACTTAGTGTTACTACTACGTAGTAACGCTAGTAGTAGTATTATGTTGCGCGAGAGGGGTAACAGTAAACTGCGATTACAAAAGCAGGTTAACGTTAGTTGCGTTATCACGAAAAAACTCAAACCAAAACATGTAGAACCACCAAGTATCGCGCCTCGTTTTTATGGAGATCGCAACGTGTTCCAACTCGTCGCACATTGGTACCGGCCGGTACTGTAGTTGGCACAGTGTTGGATTGTAAACGTACGAAGTAGTACGAGTACCAGTAGTACTATTAATACGTATTGTGCTTTTCACCCAATTTGCCCATTGTTTTATCACGCAAATCAATGGATGTCAAATATATCACCACACGTTAAACAACGCAAACCGTAGGTCTGGCACTCGACCTAAATATAGCCCGGTCGTTACTCACTGGAGCATCTCACTGACAAAGTGGTCGACACCAGCATGCAGCGCGAACGCTTGACCGTCGAGTTCCCGGAGAACTTTCGGTGCCACATCACTACCAAGGTAGGTAAACCCTTGGGCAAGAGTAGAACGAGCGTTGGCAAGCCAACCGAACTCACCGTGGCCAGCGACACGACGTTTGGTGTTGTGTCTGCCCTGGTCGTTGACAACGTCTCCGCTGCGATTGCCGACTACCACGCCGACGCATCGAATGCCAAGCTCCTGTGGGACTCACAGGTTCCAACGGAAGTGTATGTAAAGGTTGCAGCCAACACGACCCAGGATAAGTACACCAAAATCACACTGGTAAACTACACCGATGTTCTTCGACAAGTTTGGGATAACGCTAGCAAAGTACGCAATGCCCAGGCATCGTTCACATTGCAACTCTTCATTTACGCCGGTAAAAAGCTCGAATGATATGAATAGATCAAACTTTTGTCGACATTATTCACATATTGTAATTTACGAAATAGAAAAAGACATATTGTAATTTACGAAATAGGAAAAGACATGAGCACGGCGATAAGACGTGCAACCTCGAACAACCTCGTGACTGCGGCAGCTCGCGTTGCAGGGTACATTGAGGACCAGAGCATGGCCCTTGGCCCGCTCCAAACCGAGTACGCTACTCTCGTGACGGCTCATTTGCCGCCGTCCGCCCCCGTCGAAATCCCGACAAATACGACGATGCAACAACTCGGTCACATTGATGTTATGGCTGCTCGTCATGCCGACGAACGCCGGCACGAAATGAATTCCCAGACCACGGAAACGTACCGTAGGGTTCGTGTTCGTTTTGGCACTATGGCCAGCGCCCCAGTGGATTGTTTTCTGTTGGTCGAAGACCTTCGGAGCATTCTAGGAATTCCTCCATTTGACCTGACGCCATCCTATCGCGAACCATTTGTGGGGGAAGTTGTCGGTCCAAGTGTCAACATGGATGACATTGATCACATTAATCTCTAGTAATGTCAATCAATTTGCAAAACAATTCGAACAATTTTACATTAGCCCGCTTTCGAACAATTTTACATTAGCCCGCTACATTGGCCCGCTCCAAACCGACTACGCTACTGTCGTGACGGCTCGTTTGCCGCCGTCCGCCCCCGTCAAAATCCCGACAAATGCGACGATGCAACAACTCGGTCACATTGATGTTATGGCTGCTCGGCACGAAATGAATTCCCAGACCACGGAAAAGTACCGTAGGGTTCGTGTTCGTTTTGGCACTATGGCCAGCGCCCCAGTGGATTGTTTTCTGTTGGTCGAAGACCTTCGGAGCATTCTAGGAATTCCTCCATTTGACCTGACGCCATCCTATCGCGAACCATTTGTGGGGGAAGTTGTCGGTCCAAGTGTCAACATGGATGACATTGATCACATTAATCTCTAGTAATGTCAAGCAATTTGCAAAACAATTCGAACGAATTTACATTAGAAAAGTTTCTTGGTCTAGCGCTGTAGAATCATTACCGCAATGGCGATACAAATTGTATCCTATGCGCTCACTTTTTTTGTGCATTCTACAAACGCCACGTCTAGTACAGCACGGATATTGAATCGAAATGCCATGGGATACTGATTTCCCTCGCTATTGGAAACGCTGGACTTCGAACATTTTATACGATTTATGAAATTATGTAGGTATAAATTGTTGAAACAGTGCTTCACAACCAATTTATCGTCTACAGGGCTGCCTATCTCCAAACTCGACAACCGATGACCGAACACAGCAAGTTCGTCGTCGAGAATACAAGTACGAGCCCAGCAGTTTGTGATCGTCGACGACGACACCGACCGCCACGCCTCTTTTGCCCAGCCCATTGCTTCCACAAGAGGTACCTCATACAACCGATCTTGACGACCGTTCATAACAGAATTGATCTGTTCCAGCGCGTTCTGAAGCTGCCGTTGCTTCACTTTCGCCTTGAACGAGGCAATGATCCCGGCGTCTTGTGGCTGCAGGTACGCGGTCGTGTTCGGAGGCAACATGTGGAGGTTGATGTTTGCTAGGCTAGTGCCATCAAGAAGCAGGTGCGGCGGGGCATTGTCAACAAGCATCAGAATTTTGCGGTCTTGTTCGACCATCTTCTCGTCCAACGCCGTCAGGTACTTGTTGAATATGACCCTATTCATCCATGCTTTCTTGCTGGATTGGTAATCAAAGCCCAAGTCAGCTCCCGTAGCGCCGCTGAAGCATCGTGGCTTGGCTGCGGTCCCAATGAAAAGCGGGTCGATCATGTCCGTTCCCGTGGCGTTGGTCGTCAGGGCTAGCGTGATCCGCTTTTTCGACTTCTTCGTGCCTGGCACTCGGTTGCGCGTGATGGAGCGGTGGGGTGATAAGCAGTAAAAGAACGAGGTCTCGTCCATGTTGAAGACATTGACAGGTGAGTAACCAGCAGTGATGTCTAGCATCTGAGCACGGCCAGTGTCTACGACAGCTTGAGGAGTCGAACCCGCCTCGCCGTGCTGGACCTTGCTGGTAAAACCGTGTTTCCTTTGCAACTTATGGAGCCAACCTTTTGAGAACTTTAGATTGGTCGACACGCCGGACTCGCTGCTGAAGGCCATGGCTTGCGAATCAGCTTGCCCGTGATGCATACACCCAGCTCTTCGCAGCGGAGGACCCAAGCAACGACTTTTTGCTCAACGTCTGGCCGGGAAACTTGACGCTCTTGTGTTCAAGCATGGCTGTCAGCGCGCTCGCTTTTCGTGGTGTGTCGTTTGATGGCTTTGCAAATTGCGGATTTGGTCGGCGTTGACACGAGGCCAAAGGCACTAGCTGCCCAGGTTGCCAAATCGGAATACGTAGTTGCAGGATCGCCCATATGCTTCGTGTATAATGCATGCTTGTCATCCAAAGTCATCCTTGACTTAGGTTTCTTCATCTTGCAATGTGTCAGACAAGCAGATATCATAAACCTCCACACATTTCAAAATTTCAAACGTACTCTAACTTTTGATAATATTGGATTGTAAAAATTATCAAGTTTTCTGCGTTTCCAATAGCGAGGGAAATCAGTACTTGTCAATCCAGCGCTTCAGCAAACTAAATCCCACCTCAATAGGATTTAGCTGCGGAGAATATGGTGGCAGAAAAAATAGCAATGCTCCACGACTATGAACTGCTTCTTGGAGCTCCTTGTACATGTGGATTTTTGCGTTGTCCAAAACCAAAATTGAACGCGGCAACGGCCACGGGTTCAAATACGGCATAATATTTTTGACCATGACGTCATGAAACGTAGCACGATCAAATGTTCCTAAATTATGCAAATAAATATATAACAAAAAGGACAAAAATAGGCAAATATTATACCGTCCACATAATCCCACGCTAAAAATCCGGAGGTCGTAAATGCCGCAAGCGCTGACACCCGCTGGTCACGAGAAAATGGAAACTTTACAATTGCCTTTTTGTTGCGCTTCGACCAAGCGTACTTGCGAATCGAATCGCGTCCGTCCTTGGAAGTCTCGTCGACAAACACGAGCTGGTCGGGGTACGAGTAGTACGGGCTCAGTCGCCGATAGTAATCACGCAACTCGAAATCTGCAGCCTCACGCGCTCGTCGTTCTAAGACTAATATACAACGAATAAATACTGGAAATATATTCGAACATTTAATACCTTTTCGCGTCAAACCTAAGTCATGCATGAGTGCTCTACATATCGTTGCCGCAGATACATTCTTGAGCGTCGGGAATTGGTGTCGCAGAGCGTCTTTAAGCTCTTCGATGTAGAAACAAGGGTGAACTGTTGCGTACTCGTTCACCCAGGCATTGACCTCTGCCGGCCAGCGTGACCCTGTCGAGCGCGTCTTCACCTGGGTCACGTTACCAGTAGATGTAAACATCGTGTTGAATCTGGTTACGCTACGCCGTGACAGCCCGAGTAGGACGCGAACGATGTCAACGTCAATGCCGTATACTTGGACAAGCACAACACATCTCCAACGCTGTCGATGCTGATCATTGTAAAACAACTTGTTTGCCCATTTGAAATGGGCAAATGAAACCGAGCACCTCCACCAATTCTTATCCAATCAAAGCATCACGAATAGTAAGAATTCAACGCTGAACCGTAAAATAACTTCACTTGCATCCGTAAAACCATGGATGGATGGCGTAATTTTACGACGAATTTTTATTAATGCATGGTTTTAGTCCTGGATCAGCCAAAAAAGGTGAAAAGCACAATATTAATAGTAACAGTTACTATTATTTTCGGGTACTAAGTCTAACAACCAATCACAACCAAGAACGAGACTCACACTATTAACCCACCAAAGTCCTTGATTCATACACTAAATACTGTAAAGCACATATACTGATTTTTGGACCTTCACAGAGCAGCTTTTTACTTGGCAATTCCATCTCCATGATGCCAGTCCAACCCCCCCCGCCGCTGATCTATCTTAACAATCGACACCATTCGTCCGAAGTGTTGGTCATTGCGCATAGTAATACCTATTGATGCCGTTGTTGTCGTGTTGCGTGGTCATCATGGTTCGCCTCATCCACCTATGACTTTTGTTTGTGTCGAGCATGATGATACTGTATGCAGTAACCGTGGCGGTTTCGAGGTGTAACCGATTCTATTCCCCTGGGATGTCGCCACGGCCAACATGGTTCGAAGTGCCGGGTACATCTTGCTGCCCTTATCTACCCCAATATTGATCGGTCAGCTCACGTGGCCACGTATATGATTTTGTAGCCGCAAGCGAAGGTCCCATGGTGGCATCCGATTGAATTCGATTGACGAGCCAGTGGACGAAGCGCTGTCCCCGATTAAGTTGCGCGCAAAACGGTCGACGTCGTACGTGGCAGCGTCGGGATTGGGGATGGCTTGTTCATATTTGGTCACGTAGAAAACTCACGTCAGACCAGGAGCGACTGCTGTCGCCATTGGATTTGGCCTACGACGAATTGCCGACAGAGTTGATGGCCGGCGATGACCTGAATCTTTCGGTACGAGGACGACACATGTGCACAAAGTTGGGGAGTCGTCCAAACGTAGAGATGGACCCTTGTTGTGCACGACTCGTGCCTTGCCAAACTGGCCACGGTACAAACTCAAATCGGATGGCCGTCGTCGAATCAAACTGCCGACGACATTACCCCAAATGCCATCATGACGTTGCTCACGGGTAAGAGAAGGGCTTAGGGTACAAGTCATCCCAACGCTGTACCGGTAGACTTGCGGAAGACGTCGCCAACTGTACCACCAAAGCAGCCACCGACCTCTGTGACTCTGAACCTCCAAGGCGCGGAGCTCGTGAGTTTGAAAGGAACAGACATTGCTCAAATTGACACAAAATCTCCGTAGGTCTCGGACGGGGGGGTTCGCCACGCCATAGCCGCATTATCCATTCGGCTACATGCGCTCAACCTCAGCCGCACAACCAAGGTACAAGTACGACAAAAACGTAACGTGGACTTCACCAGATTGTCATGTGTAGCTAACAGACGACTTGGTGCGATGGGTGGCGGCGAATTGCAAACACCTTCGCGAAATTGACTTGAGCTACATGGTGCATTTGGGTGGCATGGGCGTCTGCGCCATTGGAGAGTCATGTCCCCTTCTCCACGGTAGTATTTATTCACTCCATCTCATGAACAATCTACGGACATAATGAATACATGGAGCAGCGTTTTCTGTCCGCGGATGCAAGCACATTCCCGAGTTTGCACTGCTCAAGGTCGCGCACGGCTGCCCCTTGCTCACGCATTATGACATTTCACATTGTTGTCATGTACGAAAAACTACAAGTTTGCTCTTGAAACTATGCTGTCAACGTTGTTTGATGGTAGGCGACTGACTTAGTGCCGCGGACACTAGCTTCCACGTGCCACAACCTGCAGCTCTTTTACGCGCAAGGCTGCAAAGAGGTCGGACGGGTTGACTATTGCTACTGATGCCTGGGTAATGCAAACTCGAATGTAGATTTCAGACACGGGTATTCTGTCCTTGTCCAACGGATGCCCCGATTTGCTTCACATTGACCTCAGTCGCAGCGACTTTCAGTACAAACTCACCGACATGGCGTTGTTGCCGCTGTCAGAACGCTGCAAAATCCTTCAAGTACGTACGGTACCCCAGAACCCTCTCTATGCATCCTAATATTGTATACATGGGAATAGCATGTCAACGTGTCAGGTTGCGACTACCTCACGGACGCAGGGCTGAGCTGGCTCGCGATGGGGTGTCCTGCGCTAGCCCACGTCAACGTGTCTCATTGCGTCAAGTTGACAGACTTGTCACTTCGAGCGGTGGCCGACGGTTGCATCCGGCTCGGGCTTCTCGACATCAGCGGGTGTCCTCGGATGTCGGACATTGGGCTCCGTTACCTCTCAGTGCACTGCCGGGACCTGCACACCCTTGGACTACGCAGTACGATTCTCATTTCGGACGGCTTGAGCCTTGGCCGCGAGAATGCGCAAGGGCTGGCGGCACTCAGCCACGGTTGCAAGCGCCTGCAACACTTGGATTTAACCAAGTGCATTCGTGTTGACGACGTACGTAAGACACTGGCCACACAAAAGGAACCGAAATTGGCTGAATGTGGCAGGATCTCGGTATTGTAGGCCGCGTGCAAGCAAATCGGCCGCGGGTTCCACGATCTCCGCACGTTGATTCTGTTTGGTTGCTGTAGTGTTTCCAGCACGGGCGTTCGCGACGTGAGCCGCCAGTGCCACAAACTCACCCTGTTGGATTTATCACATTGCCGCCTCGTTGACGACACCGCGTTGGTCGCCATAGGCGGCTCGGATGGCGGCATGCCCCTACTGCAGTCGCTGCGGCTTCGAGAGTGTGAAAAGGTCACCACCGCTGGCATCCAGCAGCTGTGCAAGGGCTGCATCTACATCCGCACGTTGGACTTGGCAGGTACTGTCGTTGTCGTCGAGGTACCTCTCAGTTCCAAGTCACGACAACGTTGTCGTAGGCTGCCACCGCCTCGACGACATGGCACTTCTCGCGATATGCGACCACTTGACCGAACTTCAGCACTTGTGGCTCGCGGGGCTGCATTCGATTACGATCATCGGCGTGTCCTGGCTGGCTGATCGGTGCATAAACCTCATGGAGTTGGACGTGACGGTACGTTGTCACATTGCCTCGTACTTCGACACACACACGCCGAACTCTACACAGAACTCGGCCATTTCGTACATGGCACTCAAGCCGCTGCGCGCCGCGTGGAAGTATGGCGACCTCCGCGAGCACGGCAAAGTGAGAGGCATCGTGCCAAAATATCGAGCCATGGACATGATGTTCCTCGACCACTATGGCACGTGCTGGAAAGCTGCGATTCGCATCCAGGTACAACTTTGTTTTTTCTACGATTTGCTTTTGTTTCACACGTTTCAAGTGTCTGTATCGAGCCAAAGTGGCGCGCCGGGATGCCGCGCGTCGACGGGAACAAGCGCTTGTCCACTGGGCCGCGTCTAAAATGCAGAGCGTGTTCCGCGGCCGGCAAGCTCGACAGTACGCCGCGGTCCAGCGCATGTTGCGGCGGCGACAGCACGACGCCGCCACGAGGATTCAAGTAGGGCCATCATATGAATATAATCCATATCCCATTCGCATTCAAGACTTGATGAATCAACCCTCGTCTTCCTCCTCGCCCTCATTCCAGGCATCGTATCGAGCCCATGTCGCCCGAACGCTGGCCGAACGGCTGCGGAAACAACGCGACCGCGACCGGTACGTTCGCATGGTGATCCGCGTGCAGTCGGCTTGGCGACGCAAGAAAGCACGCGACGTGTTCAATTCCAAGCGGCTACTCAAGCAAGCGTGGGAGGCGCGGCGGCAGATAGCGGCGGCGGTGCTGCAGCGAGCGTTCCGGGCATACGGGTGGCGCAACCGCAACTCGCTCTTCTCGACCGTAAGAACCAACAGCAGCTTACCAGCGTGCATCATCTCAATTTCTTCAACTACTTAAGGCGTTGAAAGCCAAGAAAGCCGAACAACAAGCCGCGGCCAACAAGCTTCAGTCATTGTACCGCGGTCGCGCGGCGCGGCTGGAGGCCCAGCAGAAGCGCCAAGCGCTGAAGCTGTTTGAACGAAAAAAAGAGCACGCGGCGATGTGCTTGCAGCGGGTGATCCGGCGGCGGCGGGAGAACCGGCTGCACCAGAGGCGGCTGGACGAAGACGCTGCGGCTCGCAGCGCGGCCACGAAGATCCAGCGCCGATTTCGACGACGCCAAGACATGCTGTCGTACCAGTTGATGAAAATTGGCCGCGAGTTTCAGCTGCGAACCGACGCCGCCTTGCGGCTCCAAGCGGCATGGCGGCGTAAACAAGGTACTGTCACAGGACATGGATAATGACGCCATCTTGTGAAATCGACATGGCAGGACACATGGCGAAGCACATGCTACGGGTGCTCAAGGACGAGCAGTACCAACGACGAGCGAATGCCGCGACCAAACTGCAAACTCGATGGCGGGGTCGGCTGGGACGGGCGGCGGCAGCGCAAGCTCAACAAGCCGCCATTCAGGTACATAGTCCTACTGGCATGCTTGGAATGAAAACAGAGGGAAGCATCCTTCTCCTCATCATCATGGAATAGCGTCTTGTGCTTCAAACCAAGCTGGAAAACCACTTGGCAACGGTCATTCAAGCGGGATGGCGCGGCCAAAAAGGGCGGCAGCGGTACCGCGAGGCTGTGGACGCGCGGAAACGACGGTGGAAGGAAGTGCCCAACGCCGAAGGCACTGGCGCCAAAGTGTACTTTGTAAGTGTCAAGAGATGTCGACTCGACATCGTTATGGATTGCAAGTGATGACTTGTGAATGAATGATTGTAGCACCAAGACACGGGCGAGATTCGACATCGCATGCCACAAGACTTGCTGGACTTGCTACCCAAACCCCGCTGCAATGACTGCGGTGGATATATATATATTATATATATATATATATTTACTAATATATCGATCGATACACAGACGTCGAGGTCGCCATGGTCGAATGCGGGGATTGTGGCGAGTTCTTTTGCAACGACGTATGAAAATACACGAACTTGCCTATGACTGTCGATATAATTTGAAATACTAAAGCAATTCCCTATGACTTATGAAATATAATATTCATGTGCGTATCACTTGCCTATGACTATTGATATATAAGTACGTAGTACTAAAATAATTCCCTATGACTTATATGACATATAATATTCATGTGCGTATAACTTGCCTATGACTTTCGATATAATTTTAATACTAAAACTATTCCCTATGACTTATGACATATAATATTCTTGTGCGTATAACTTGCCTATATGACTGTTGATATATATTAAAACAATTCCCTATGACTTATGGCATATAATATTCGTGTTGTCTATGACGTTTGACATAGCAACACTCGGGAGCATTGTATGTATTCGTGCAGTTTGCATGAGCAATATGTCTTATATGTGATTGTAGCTAGTCTATTCGAATGAATAGAACTAGCTGCGTAATGAAAGTATGACTGATGCCCATGGGACCTCCTTTGGTAGTGCTGGCATGCGATCCACGCCGGAGGACGCCGCCGCAAGCATTGCTTCCGCACGCTGTTCGACTACTATGGCAAGCGGATCGACTATGGCGACGGCGAGTTCCCGTCTGTGTGGCCGTCCGAGATTGCGCAGGATGAACTGGACGGCTGGTATCTGCGCACGAGCCCGTTCCGTGAGCCGAGCTTGGTGTTGGGCGACTGGGAAAAGTATGTGGACGACACGAGTCACCGCGAGTGGTACTTCAACCCGACGACCAAAATGAGCACGTACTTGCCGCCGAATGCGTTCAAGGCAACCGCGGAAGACGTAGCCAAAGCGTGGGTGATAAAGCAAGAGGCAGCCAACCACGTCGCATATTACTTCAATGAACGCACGGGACAACGCACGTTTGAGCGACCGCCGACGTTTGTCGAAAATGGCGAGACGATGGGAGAAGCCGAGCTGGATGAGGGAGGATTTCGAGGAGGTGGAGTGGATGAAGGCAGCACCGGAGCGATCCAAGAAGCAGCGGCGACGAATGAGGATGCGACCCCGTACGGAATGGACATGGGCAACGGGTGGACGCAGTATTGGGACGACACGTACCAGGTCTACTACTACTTTAACACCTACACGCAAGAGTCCACGTACACACCACCAGACGGCGCCGTGGAGAGCATCGCGTTGTAGAGTTGTAGCATAATTTAACGAGTGGGGTCGAATAAAGCGCGGTGGAGGCTGCTTTGGACATCGCGAGAGTCTTGTGTAAATTGTGTTGCGTTGCCCATGTACCTGACGCAATACGCGACCCGGAGCTGCTTTGTGCTGTCTTGGTGCGTAAGGTCATAGTAGTCGACAATCGTGACGCCCATCTCGCCAAGCATTGCCACGCATCGGAGTAAACTCGGTCGGTCGGGAAATCTGCACAGAAAGTATCGCGACCCTTGTTGGATCCGAGCAACATGCTTCCCCACGACGACCGTGTCGGGTTTGGGAAACGATCTCTTGAACGTTCCGGAGTCCTTGAAGCACACCATGTTCTTGTCCACAAGCAGATCGTACGACTTCTTGGACTGCTTGAGCTTGCCGTCGACCTTGAGCACTAAGCGCGCGCGGAAGTGCATGCTTTGGTTTCGTGTGAATTTTGAAAATGACCGCGCGACATTCATTCTTTCGGTACTATGATACCAGGTTTTGATTGGATAACATATTGACCAATGAACCGCGAAAATTTCACACACGCGAAACGACCTATTTTTCAGGGCAAGAATAGATCAGCATGGAGCCGACACCGCCGTGGTGGCGGCAGGAAAGGCGGCACCTGCCGCCTGCCAGCAATCGATATGACCAGCTAGTAGAACGTCGGCACGTGTTGCCTGTGGTGCATCCTGTGGTCGACCACTTTGCCAACATCAAACCCAAAATGTTTCCGTCTCCAAAGGAACCGCGCACGGAAGGTGTCAAGGTTATTGGCATGCCACCCGTCATGGAAGATCGAAGTCGAGGCATCAGCACGCTCGTCAACGGCAACAACTTTGTGCCAACACAGCCATTGGTGCGGTACAAAGTATCGACTGTCCATCCAAATGTCCTTGCTCAAAGTCAGCGGGACATCCAAGCCAAGTTGGAGACACGGATGGGGGCCAAGAAACATCGAGAGACGCTTGACGAGCGCAACATGTTGACGTATAGCGCACTGGGCGACAAATCGTACAAGCGTCCAGAGCATTCACCAGGGTTTTTCAATCTCCAGTTGCATCCGCGGCACATGAGCAACAACGCGATGGACTCGTCCAGGCGGCAGCAGCTCCTGGACTTGGAAGACGACGGGCATGGTGGCGGCAGTGCAAAGGCAACCCAGACCACATACGAAACCAAAAAGAAGATCCAAATGCTGCTCGAGGAAAAGACCGGCGTGACGTTACTCAGCACGTCGAAAGCGGGTCAGTTGAGCTGGGAAGACAGCACAGGCAATCGGACGTGGATCAAGAAAGACGTCAAAGGACATCCGCAAGATAGTCGAGAAGAAGATGAAGGCGGTTAACTACAGCACATAGTACTGTACTAGTAAGTCGCTATCCAACGTACTTCGAAGTAGTTCATATCCTTGTCAAGCCACGAATCTTGGTCAAGGGTCATGTACGGATAATATCCGGTAGTCCCCGCATCGTGGAACCAATGGATCTTGTTGGTTAAGCGCCACCGTCGCTAGCACAACATCGGACTGGATGACAGAAGCACCAGTGTCTCAGAGCATCTATGAGTTCACCATGGGCAGTGGAAAGGGCAATCCTGTGGTGTACTTGGACATTGCTATCGGACACGATCCGTTGCGACGTCTGCGCTTTGAGGTCAGCTAGGCTAGACTTGTTCTTCGATCTCAAGCGGGGACCATGCTCTAACGACGTTATGTTTCTCAAGCTGTTTTATCCCCAATTGCCCATCACAGTGGAAAACTTTCGACAGCTTTGCACGGGTGAAGGCGTCGACAAAGCTCGAAAGAAAATGCTCTGGTAATCACAGCCCAGCTTCATGATCGCAGCTGTGTACCTCTTTTCAATATGCTACGCCTTCACGTAGGTACAAAGGCTCCAACATTCACCGCGTGATACCTAGCTTCATGATGCAAGGAGGGGACATCACGCATGGTTAGTACATTCTTCCTTACACCACGACCATGAACATTCTAGGGAACGGCATTGGCGGGTCCTCGGCAAACTCGCGCACATTTGACGATGAAGTACGACACCCACATGTGATTATTTCTCATCCAGTGCGCTGACGGTAGCACCTTATGTAGGGATTTATGTTCAAGGTAGATACAATGATGTCGTGATTGGCATTGATAGCGGCGGCATAGCACATGCGAGGGACGTTGTCTATGGCGCACCAAGCCAACACCAACAAGTCCCAGTTCTTTGTGTGTTTCCGAGAGGTAGTTAGGCCCCGTGGTTTCTTCAAACAAAATCGTCTTGAGATAGTATTAGTGTGGCTGGCTCAACGGCAAACACGTTGCGTTTGGCCAAGTGATTGCAGAAGACTTGGCGTACTTGAAGGACTTTGAAGACGTGGGGTCGTCCACGGGGCTGCCTCTGAAACCGATTGCGATTCTGAACGCAGGACAGCTGTGCGGAATGAACTTTGCAGATGCCACCGACATGGGCCAGGATGACGACGACAAGGACGACGACGTTGCGGTGGGCGGAGGAGGGGGCTCAATGTAGCCTTCCTTGACCATGCACAGTCTGAGGTGTTCGAGCAACAAGATCGAAAGCGATGGACGGACAAGCGAAAGCAAACTCAAAACGACAAGTACAGTATCGCAGTTACTATCGTACAGTATGCTGCCGAGGTAACCCCGACACTATTACATTTTGACAGCGGAGCTGGGCGAGTAGTTCATGGTCACTAGTATTGTACTAGGATAGTGACATCCAGTATGTCTAACCTAATCGAGCACGTGAAGTGTACGACCGGGGTACTGTAGTCCTTCGAAGTGTACTTACTGTACGTTGACGATATTGAGCAAAACCACAAGAAAAGTACTAGTAGTATTCAACTGCGAGACCGCCAAAGTATCAAGTGCCTAAAACTGATAGTGACCGCCGCCGTTGTTAGCGCTGGCCATGGGTCGCGTCGGGGGCGCGGCGCTGCGGCGCACTTTGAGAAGATGTTCGATCCAGTCGGCTTTGACGGCCGGCGACTTGGCGTGTAAAAACAGAGTGTCGTGCGAGTGATCGGGGAACGCAATCGAAAACGCTTCCGCCACGTCACGGTCTTCTTCAATCACGGCGCGCCCGACGTCGATGGGGGGATCGTCACTGCGCGATCGTTCAAAGTCGTCCTTGGTGTTGTAGTACCTATTAACCAGCACATTTACACTATGGCAGCCCCTTCTGCCGTCAAGTACCGAAGTGCCGCGCCGGTCAGGACAAAGTAGCGCTGCTGCCACTTGGATCGCTGCCCCGACGACGTCACCGCGCCTTGCTTGATCAAGTAGCCAGCGAAAAACTGAGGACTTTTGTTGGTCGCGACTTCGTTCACGCGCACATTGCCTTGTTGCTGCATCAATGTCAAGTTATAAAGAATACCCATGCGGGTTTCATAGTCAAAGGATACGATGTGCTTTTCACCCCAATTTGACAATTTGGGGATGGTTGAAATCGCCAACAAAGCCAGCAAAGCAGTATGATTGGCTATAAAGAATGAAGGTTGCATTATGATTGGCTAAAAACAATGCATTTTGCAAACGCAAGCGATGTTTCATTCCACCGGGAAAGAAGTATGAGCAGAATTTCACACATCACTTTTTAAAAATACGGAAAATATATTGTGAATTCGCTATAAACTTCCAAAATTCGCGCGATTTGTGTCAATCAATATGGACTCTCGCTCGAATTTTGATTGGTTGAATATCCTTTCTGTAAGAGCCAATCAAATCCACTCAAAATTGGATTAGCCAATAGCGTTGATTCGTGATTCGGCGGCGAGATATTCGATTCGACGGGGTCTGGAAATTCGTATCGAATACGCAAAATATACAGTATTTTATACTCAAAAAGATATAATAATTTTACCGCCGTGTCCGCGAGCCGACGCAAGGTCGCATTGTGGTTGAGCACATGCTCCAGTTCATGCGTCTTGTACTCGAGAGATGCTCGCAACGCGTCAATGTCGCTCTACCAAAGCAACAACCGCACGCAATACGTATATATCAGAATCGACACAAAATCCTACCACGAATACTATATATATATATATATTTACCTTGGACTTTCGTTCGGCTTCTTTGAGGGTCAAGTCGCACTTTTGCACTTCCTGGGCCGCGAGTTCCTTCATGGCCGTCGCCTGGCCTTGCGCCGACGCCACTTGGAGCCCCGTCGCGTTCACGTGTGCCTACATCAACCACATGAGACCTTTCCGACACTTGGTTTGGACCAGAGAGTTGAGGAGGATTCGGTTGTTGTTGGGATGGCAACTGTACTTGCAACGTGTTCAAATGGGCGGCGTGCGCTCGAGTCGTGTCTTCTGTCCACTCCATCACTTGGTTGAACACGCTTTGGCTCATGTACTGGCAATACGCAGCGTCCGCAGACGGACCCATGGCCAGCTTGACGTAGTCGGCGTGCAGGTCCTTGAGGTCATCCAGGTAGTGCAGCGTGCGCTGGTGGTACTCGAGCGGGCCCAGCGTGGACGTGGTGAACGAGTTGAACTTTTTATCACTCAAAAACGAGAGAAGGTGCTTGCAGTACACCATGGAGGCCGCCGCGTTCTTTTGCCGATACACGTCAAACACAGCTTGCGCCGACGTCCGGAACGAAGCCTACGCGACTACTCGTTACGACCTAATCTTGTGGCCAATTTGCCAATTTGGAGCGAATCAACGGGAAATATCGAGCAATGCAGTATATGATTGGATAAAAAAGGATATGAATGTGGACATGTGATTGGCTAAAACGAATGGATCGTCACAATGATTCAACTTCGAGATATATATTTCAAAGATCCGGCGATTGTTGGCGGTTCATTCAACCAACCGCCAGAAGAAAAAGAAATGACGAGTCGAACAAATCACACTATAAACGTACCCGGAACGGTTGCATGTCTGGCTGGTCGCCAATGTCGGCGGCGCGCAACGTGCGGTCGGCGAGTTTGTCGCACAGGTCGTAGATGGCTTCGAGGTCAGCCGCGGACACGGGCAGCGTCACATGCTGCAGCTCCGGCTTGTCCTTCTTGGCTGGAGCCGCCACCACCACGTCGACGTCCACCTACCCACCGCCACCAATTAGTGTGACAAGCCATCTCATCGCTCAAGCAACGGCCCTACCGCTTTCGGGGACGGGACCATGCCCCCGGGCACGAATTTCTTCAAGTTGCCAAACTCGTCGAATTGCGCCGTGCCAGCGCCGGCGTTGACGACTTGGGCGTCCGCGGCGACTTGTGTTGCGCTGGTGAGCAGCCCCTCAAAGCGATCGGCAAACTGCTCTTTGCCGTCCACGTAGTCGGCGACGCGGGCGTTCATGTGCTTCTTGAACGCGGCCACGGCGTCGTCCACGGCGTCTTCGCATTGCGCTTGCACCACACGCGTCCATGCGCTTGAAATCACGGGCGCCTAATGCAAGAGCATATTCAACAACATCCCAGGGAAAAGGAGGGGGGGCAGGGGGGGGAAGCAGGGGGGAGTTACCTTGCCGCTGTTGAGGGCTTCCACGTACGACTTGGCGAGGTTGGTAAACATGGCGCCGTTCAAGGCTTTGCCGTAGAGGCTTTTGGGGGCGGCCTTGTCAAAGAGGCGCGTTTTCATCGCTTCAAACTTGGACCGGAATTCGCCGCGGAGGTCGCCGTAGGGGATGTTGGGCAAGTTGCGCAGTTGGGCTTCGTCTTCTACGGGGCGGACTAGGGTCACGCAGTCGCGCTACGTCACACACATATATAAATATCTGCAAATCGATGCAAGATGGATTGGCGGCGACGCGCGTACCTCGCGGAAGAAATCGGATAGAAGCATGCGGATTTGATCACGGCCGGCCACATCTGCCGAGAAGCCGCCCTACATGAAGCACAGAAAGGTGGCACTATGAGTACCACGAGTACAAGATGAAATGATATATATATATCATTTGTTGAACGAGTATGTACCTGGGGTTTGAGGGCGTTTTCAAGGTACTGTTTCGACGTGATTTCCTTGCCCTGGTCCTGCAACTGCAAGGTAAAATCGCGTACGACCCACAGAAACGACGGAAAGTACTCGTGGAGCGCGCTGGAGGATTGGCCGTGCCCCGACGCCGACGAAGTTTGAATGTGCTTGCTCAAGTTCACGACGAGACTCAAGTCTTCAATGGCGTTGCCGTCAATGACGCCGCGGCTGTTGTAGACAAAGTACGACCCGAGAAGCAGCGCCAGCGCGAACAGCCGCGTGTCGTGCGTCTGTTCTCGGTCCACGGAACCAATGCCTTCCGTGTCGAGAAAGATCACGGACGTGCCGTTGTCCAACACGAATGGCTCGCCCCACATCCAGATGCCCTTGGTGCATGCGTTGATAGTACCCCCCACAGCGAACCCAGTGTTGACGTTGGCGGTCGCCGTGGCTGTCTGCTTGTTTACGAGCAGGTTGAGGAGAAAGGATTTGCCCGTCCGGTACAACCCCGCGACAGCTACGACGGCAATCTTTCCCTTGATCTTCTCCAGCTTCTTGACGGCAGCCTCCTCGACGTGGAATGATCCATCAGGGTCCACGCGGATCAACTGCACAGGCGCGCCAGATAAGTCTGCCATCGTACTTTGCTTGATGGAGGAGTGTGTACGTTTGCTGGTGGGTTGAACGCCCAAAATGACACACGTTCCAGATATTATTTTTCACTGCATACATTGTTTCATATTGAATTAGTCTATTGATTTATAATACTGCAAAAGTCAGCCTTACCATCAGAAAGGACTGCGATGTACGCACGCATGCATCGATGGATCGTCATGATGGCTTATGACTAATGTGCATGTCCTCCCGACCTCCAACACGTCTATGGCGGTATGTATACATGGCGAAGGGAGATTCAGTCGATTGAAACACTTAGTATAACGTAGTTATGCATAAATCATGTCGTTATTTGTCTTCTGGGGTGGTCTCCGCCATCTTGTGCTTTCCAGGGGAGACGACGTGGTCATGATGATGTTGCTGGCCCGACTGCATCTTGGCCTTGATGACTTCAATGTCGGTGCGCTGCCGCACGCGATTGAACGCCCCAAGCCATGACAAGTGATCGCCCTTGTCCTTGGGACGCGTCTTCACCACCTCTTCCAAGTCGATGAACGCATCCAGCGACAGTCGAACCATGTCGTGACACCGCTCGGCCTTTTGCCGCGACGACTTGATCGCTTTGGCGTGGCTCTGCACCTCTTTCTGGACCACACACGCATCTTCGTACGTGTGACGGCGGCGCGGCGCCGTGTCCGACACCACTTGCGTCGGCAGGTCGCTGGATGTGCGCGTGGGGTCAACTGTATCGCCGTTCTGCTTTTGAAGGTACAGAGACAGCGATCCGTCGTTTGCGTCTTTGACCGCTTGGACGCGTGCCAAAATGTACTTTACGATGGCATCACGTTGCGACGACGCTTGGTTCTACATATGCCCCATCGTGGTCAACAACCTCAACGTTGTCGCATGAGCCATGGAGGTGGCGACGATCGTACCGCGTCGGCATCAGATTTCCCGCCGCCGCCATCGGTCGCCTTTTGCAGAATCGCCAGGTCCAACGCGAGTGGGGGTAGTTTCTAGAACATAGTGAGCATGGCAAGGACAGGAGACAACAGACGGACCTGCTTGAATTGTGTGCTTTGCCCGACAACGGTGACGAGGTTGGCGTTTACAGCTTCGTAAATGTGCAGCTCGAGGGTTTCGTTGACGCGCCAGAACAGCTTGGTACCGTCGTAGATGAGACGCTGGCGGCATGGACTGCAGGGGCGGTCGGCTTCGCTCGACAAGCGCTACCGAGGAGTTGGCGTCACGTGGTGGTAGTGGAGGCGACACGACGTACCCCACTGAGCTCCGCCTTGAACGCAATGTCGGATTCATTCAATGCCGCTCGATGAAGCGGCGAATGGTTTACGTGGTCTTCGAGCTTCTTGGCTGACCGCATGCTGATCTTGCACACTTCGCACGTGTACACGGGCTGGAACGGACTGCTCGCTCGGCCACTGTTCTCAGGTGACGAAGCCACCTAGTAGAGAACCATGCTGGAGGGTTATGAAGGAGGAAGAAGGGCGGGTACCTCGCATTGAGTGAAGATCGTGTTCATGGAGCGAGGCCTGGATGTAAAATGATGCGAGTTCAAAATGGCGGGGTACAGTAACTTCAACGTTTGCTATGTTTGGATTGGTTGCACGTGATTGGGTATTCTACATACGAACTTTAATGAAGGGATAGGATACGTTGTCGAGCACAACGAAGTATTTTAACGAATGCCAAAACTGGTGTCAAGTACTTTAATGAAGGACTCGTACATTCCCGAAAGGCGACACACCATACCATGGTGGAAGCGATGGATTTCGCTGATGACTCAGCGAGGCGGCTGAATGTCCTCGTGCTGTCCAACATCCACGGCAACATCGACATGGTTAATCGGCTGTGTGACCACATCATTCGGTGCCATGCTGTTGACGTGGTCTTCGTATGCGGGGACTTCGTCTTACCGTACGTGTCGACAGTGACGCCCTCCGAAGCGTGTGTCGCAGCAGCGGAAGGCGATATGACGGCGGTGTTATCACGACTGGAGATGATCGTCTGTCGCGTCATCTACATTCCTGGACCGCACGACCCTCCATCCACCAAACGTATCCATGAGCTCACGAAGTCTCCACGGTTGACGCCGTATTCGGTCAATTGCGACAAGGTCAAGGTGTCGCTCACGGCCGACATTGACGACCTCCATCCAGACGAAGTGCATGCGTCTCGACCGATGCACCTAATTGTGGAAGGGTCCCAGGACGAGCATCACGCGTTCGAAGTCCGCACGGAATATGCCGCCGCAGACGACTACGACGACTGGAAGAGCAACGTGTATGCGAAATTGGCGCGACTGCCGTGGTGTTGTCGTATTGCCCCTCATGCATCGTCTAAAGAAGGGTCTATGGAATGGATAGAGAAAGGCCAGTTGGTCTTAAACCCAGGTACGCGCCGTACGCAAACTACAAGACATTGACGTGGCACGACGACAGGGTGGCTGGACGCGGGTCACTACGCTGTGCTGACGATTGGGCACCGCGATGCCGACGAAAACGATGGCGACGTCGGCTACGAAGTGACCGAGTGCACCATGGAGCAACTGCCGGTAGTAGAGGCTTAGCGAGGAAAGCAGTGGTTCCTGAACGAAGGCACTTGGATGCTGTGTCGAAACGGCACCGCGATGACTCGTGGGGGGGCGTCTGTCGCTGTGCCCCGCCGGTCTAATAGAATTTTTTCACATGTGGGATCTGGTTGAACTTGGTACCTTGATAGTGGCGGGTGGCTGCAGTCGCAGCATGCAGCAAGCGACGGTGGAGCATCGTGGTCTCGTTCGCGGACGAGTCGCTGCTGCTTTCCTCTGACAGAACTACCGGGTTGATTTGGATCATGGCTGGCTTGTGTTTTTGCTGCCGATGAAACAGCTGCCTGTGCTGCGGTGTTGCCGTCGTCGTGCTAGATGATAGGGGGACCTGGACGAGTTTCAGCGGAGTGTGGCTACGATGGTGTTTTACAGCGCTCGAGGTCACGCGTGGGCGGGGTGATTCCACTGAGAGCAAGCCTTGGGCCGACGGGTCGGCGGACGACTTCTAGGATTGCCACTGGCGGTCAGCTACGTCATGTACACGGGACAGACATATGTCGTGCATACCGCGTGCTTTAAGATACGCAAAAGCGTTTCCTTCGGATGATTGGCTGGCCGTGGCGGTGGCGTCCGGCGCGGCAGAGTGTCGCCAATGCCCTCCATGACGGTGGTTCGAACGACACCACGACGAGTAAAAGATCGAAATCGTGGCATTGGATTGGCTATGATTATCAACCAATCAAGTCATTAACGACGCTTGATTGGTCCGTTTTGAAACAATTCCACAACTTCACATCGCAACATGGCGCAAGGAGAATGGCAGAGCTTGATCACAACGCATGAAGATGCGCCATGTGATGGGACGGACCGCGTCAACGAGTACTTCATGAAGGAGAGTTTGGGGAAAGGAGCGTTTGCGAAGGTGAAACGATGTGAACGCCGCGTGGAGAATGCGCAGCCACGACCATTTGCCGCCAAGATTATGTCGAAATCAGCGCTGCAACGGATGAAAGAATACGTGCGGGTGGGTGAATCGATGCGTGCCGTGACGGCACTCGACAAAGTGGAGGCCGAGATCGAGGTCATGCGGACATTGTACCATCGGAACATCGTGTTGCTCTTCGAAGTGATCAACGACCCAGGGAGCGACAAAATCTACCTCATCTTGGAGTACATGTCTACTGGTCCGTGCATGGTGTACAATTCCGTGTCCAAGGCATTCCACAGTCCCATCACGCGTGGACCATTGACCGAAGAATGGGCGAAACAGCACATGCGAGACATTGTCCAAGGGGTCAAGTACCTCCATGCACGTGGCGTGTGTCACCGGGACATCAAGGTACAACATACATGCACCTCCTTCGTCCTCCATCATAACGTTGACATCATGGTAGCCCGACAATATTCTCTTGAACGCGGACAACCGATGCCACATCTCCGACTTTGGATGCGCGCAATCGTTCCTCCCCACGGACAAAATCACAAACACGCTGGGAACATATCAATTCTACGCCCCCGAGTGCTGTTCAGGGGACCCGTTCGATCCCTTCGCGGCAGACGCATGGGCCATTGGAGTCACGTTGTACGTGTTCCTGTTCGGCGTGTTGCCGTTCGACGCCGCAACACCCAAGGACCTGTTCGACGCGCTCCTGCAGGATCCCGTGCCCATTCCATCCACTGCGTTCTCTCCCCTCTGCATGAACTTCCTCGAGTTCTCCCTGCATAAAGACCCGTCTCAGCGCATGACCGTTCTAAGCATGGAACTGCATCCGTGGCTTGCAGTTCCCGACGAGGACGAGCCGCTGTCGTTTTGAAAATCGGGAAAACAAGAAATTATACAATCAAATAGCCTGTTTCAATTGATAATTCCACCTCATGCATGTTTTATAGAGGTATATAACCTGTATTATTTTATATTGAAGAAGTCGCAATGGAATTGCGAGCGACTCTTGTTGCGGCTGCAGTCAAGGGTGGAGTCCATGGCGTAGCAGCCCACATCGACGACCACGTGGGCGATCTTCATTCGTATCTCTCGTGTGTTCTGGATGCACAGGACTTACCACTTGGCGTCAAACGAGTCATCTGGAGCGGCATGGTGCATCGAGCCACGAGGTTTGCCGCCGCCATGGACGCAACTCGTACATCGCATGCGTTGACGCTGATCTCTGCTGTCGAAACAGATCGGTATGTGAATCATCTAGCACGTCTTGTGTTCCAAGCGCAGAAACCACCACCTCCAGCCGCTTGGATGCCCAGCGTGGACACGTGCGTCATCGCTCGGATGTCTGTGCCCACTTGTAACGTCAGTACCGGCAAGCGCGCCGTTGACGTCGACTTGACAAAGCCTTCTTCCCCATCAACCCCGTCAAGTAAACGAATCAAGGTGGACGACGACCACGATAGCGGCATCCCTGCTGCGCCACTAGACCCCATCGACCCCATCGACGACATTACGTACCTCGCCATGAAGATGGACAAACGAGCTAGCGCATCTCAGGTGTCAACATCCGTCCCATCATCCGCACCTCTTCCCATCGAGCCGCTTGTACTTCCCGACGAGGTGCTTCCATCCTCACGAGAGCGCGGCAGTTCCTACCTTCAATCGTTGGCATGCATGTATGTTGTAGATCCTGGCCCTGGTCTCGTCCATCAAGTCAACACCATCTTCCTCTACAACCAGCGACATTACCAGCCGATGCGACGCCATCCTCCATGCCGCGTCGTCGTTGCTGCAACTCCCCGAGTATTGCTCCACCGTGTATTTAGAGTTGCTGTGTTCGACACTGGCGCTAACTTCCCTCTCCGACGACGCTGTCCTCGTCTTAACCACGTATGTATTCCAATGCTACCATTTCAACAACTTTCGCTGATGGTGTCTATGGCTGGCTAGCAAACTCGTGGAGGCCAAGTGGACCAGCTACGACACTGCGGTCGTGTTGGAGTCGACGCTGCTGGTGCGCGTCCAAGCGGCGACCTCCGCTATCCCCCGCTCCCTCCTTAAAGCCCTGCAGGTGGTGGCCACATCCCTTCCGCACATTGCCATCGACCGCATCCTCGTGCCCGTCCTTACTAGCGCCACCGCGAACGCGCCTCAATGCGAAGCCATGACCCGGCTCGTGCGCGACGGTCTCGGGCCGTCCCTGACGCCGCTGATTGTTACGCGACTAATCGCCGCCAACGTCCTCCACAGCCCCCACGACCGCGTCCTGCTGGTCGTGCAGCAGATCTTCAACGCCAAAGCCCCTCTCGCCCAGGTACTTTAACTGGCATCGTCGAGGGAATCTGTGACAGAGTACATCTAATCACGTGCAGGACGCCATCGACCTCGTCGTCCACGCACTGGCCCGCGCTGTGTCTGCCTCCCCCGCCACCACCACCGCCTCCATCAAGTTTGCGTCCGTGCTGTTCACCGTCGTCACCAAGTACTCGGCGCTGTGTGTCCGCCACCGCGACGCGCTCCTTGCGATCGCCACCAAGTGCACGTCGAGCATGGCCAAAACAGCGCTGCGAGCTATCGACAAGCTGGCATGACGTTGTCGTAGCGATAATATATAATATATCATAACACACAAGGAACGTGTTAGTAGTGTGTATTGCCTTGCTAGAGTTTGTACAGAATCCTTCGTTTTACATGTACTTCTAGATCCGCCAGTACTACTACGTAGTACAATGATTTACTAGGTAGTATTACTAGTAATAGTAAATAGCGGGCGACAACCATGACCGCCGCATCCGCAGAGCCCACCTCACAGCCAAGACGCTCCAATGGCACGCCCGTGGAATCTCCTTATTACCACCTGCCCTCCCTCCTCCCATAGGTACGCCGAGCCGAGCCTCAGGCCACCGCGACACCCCCCGGACCCCGGGATACCACCGCCAGCGGTTTAAGCATCCTGTTCCCCTGGAGCAGACACAGTTAGGTTTTCAAGTAGTAAAGTCCGCTAGCTGCTAACCCAGCTAGTACGCGGCCGAGGCTATCAAGTGCCCGCTGAGTGATTTTAACTTTACAGCATACTATCAATATCAATTAGCGGGCGACAAGAAGTCCATCGACAAACGTCAATCATATTGCATACCACATAGAACTGCTACTATAGTGGTACTAGTTTGATTACTTGATCTCGATATCAACGTGGGAACTTGTTTGCACCAAGGTTACGATCGAGTTTACACTTTTGTTTCTTTGAAATAACTATCATCTTGGTCGTATGCAAGTGTTTACTTGCCGATACAAAAGTCGGCAAACAGCACGTCTAAAATGTCTTCGACGTCGACCCGCCCGACAATGCGCCCGATGCATGCCACGGCATGCCGCAGCTCTTCCGCCGCCAATTCCGCCTGTATATATATATATATATATATATATATATATAAACAACAACCAGTTAGGAAGACTAGGACGTTACGACCATCCGTGGAACGATGTGTTGGTTGTTACCTGATGGGGGTTGGCCAGAAACGAGTCCAAGTGGCTTATGCACGCGTGGAGGTGCTGCCGGTGCCGCTCCCGCGTGATGATCGCATGGGTTCCGTCGGTCGCCTCTGACGAGAAGACGCCTCGCACACGCTGCTCCAGCGTTGCCAACAACCCATCGACGCCATCGCCACTGGCGCACGACAAGGCGCAGACCACTGGGGCGTGGGCCACCGCCTACTCAAACATAAAAGTCCTCATTTAAACGCTGGGTTGGGAGTAGTTGGATTGAGTTTTCATACGTTCAATAGAGCCGCTGACGGTTGAGCGGTGTCGACTTTGTTGAGCACGACGATGGTGCTGGCATCGACGAGCGCCAGGAGCGCCGCGTCCACCGCGCCGTCCTGGACGTCCACGACCACAAGCTTGAGCTGCGACGCGTCGTTGCATCGAAGCGCGCGATGGACGCCTTCCCGTTCGATCACTAGAAGAACACCAATAAGCAAAGATCATTTCAATGAGAATAGGAGAAGTCGATGAGTTGTCAAATCGAACCGTCCGACGTATCGCGGATGCCGGCTGTGTCGTGCAAGACGACGGGGTACCCCGCCAAGTTGAGCGGCACTTGAACGATATCGCGCGTCGTGCCTACATTGAATATATATTGAGAAATTATAGGAATAGTATACTTGAATGATATAAAAATAAAACCTACAGGCAGTAGTTTGAAATAATTGATCGCGACCAATATATAATCGACAATACCATACAATATTACGTAGTATATAATATATAATACATATACTACGTAATATTGTATGGTATTGTCCATTTTCTTTAAATTTCCCATTTTCCATGGGACAGACAAACCGAGGGCGGAGACATCTCATTGGCTAATACCACTTTGCCCTTTCCAGTAGAAATCCCAAAATGATATTGTAGCCAATCAAGCGGAAATTCATACCACATCTCCAATACAAATGCTGCTGCTTTACGTTTTCTCGACCAGAAAATCGAACTGTGAAAACAATTCAATGGGTACCGGCAATGGGCGACACGATCGCCGCGTCTCGTTGTGCGAGGAGGTTGAGCAGACTGGACTTGCCGGCATTGGGCGAGCCAAGGATGACCACATGGACGCCGTGTCGGAGAATCTCGCCGCGCCGGCCATCTTGGAGATGCCGCTGGATGGATGCATTGAGGTCACGGACCCTGGGATGACGTTTGATATCACCACGATGCTCATGAGTTTACAGCTTTTGCGCATGCTACTTACGACTGAATCACGGCAATGTACGCGTCGTCTGTGACGTCGTCCTCGTCTTCGCCAAAATCGATCAACGCTTCCGAGTGCGCCAGACACTGCATGATGCTGCGCCGCCAGTCGTCGTACACTTGACCGATGGTGCCAGAAATCTACAATTCTTGACAGCCAGTCATTTTAAAAACAACTGAAACAGTACTTGGGCCAACGCTTGCGACCGCTGGGCTTCTGTCTCGGAATGGAGGAGATCTGCGAGGCCTTCGACCTGGTGGTTCATGGCCGTGTCATGATGATGCAAACACATGTCAACTTGAGGCACACCTGCATCAAGTCCATCTTTTGGTTCTCAAAGGCCCGTTCCGTGAACTCTCCAGCCTCGGCGGCGCGGTAGCTCTAAGGCGATGGTCATCACGACCACTTGAACAAGCTGACGAGGAGTTGTTCGTACGGGAAGGGTGCCGAGGGCTTGCAACACGCCAGAGATCACAGGACGACTTCCGTGCACGTACAACTCGACGCTGTCTTCCCCTGTGAAACTAGCATGCCGTGTCGTTCACGGCCGTGGAAGCATGGAACATGGTACCTCTTTGGGCCAAGAAACCGAATCGCCACAGCAGTGTCCAAAAGTTCCTTGGTAGATGGATGCTTAAGATCTCGTCGTACGGCCCTATACGCCACTCATGAGTCTGTATTCGAGCGCTAACGTGATCAAGTCGCACATTCGTGGTGACGGTAGCTTGGACGTGGTCATTTGAAGCAAGCATTGGTCTGCCATGGGGCCAGAGATGCGTATGACGGCAACACCTGACCGACCTTCGGCAGAAGAAAGCGCGTAGATGGTATCCTGTGAAGACATGCATCGAGCATGCATGTGCCAGCGGCGTGCCACGGCTGCTCCGCGTCGAGATAGCATCCTGTTGCGATTTGATTATTGCGCCAACCATCACAAGCTGTCAGTCCTACTTTATATTTTAATCAAAATATCAGTACAGTTATTAATACCTCGAAGTAGTCAAATATTCTGTAAATTCCTCCACTATGATTGGCCAATCCAATCCATATTTTAATCCAAATAGTCACATAAATTAGAGGGAATTCATCGACGTTCCATCAAACATGCTCTTGCGTTGTGTGCGGCTGACCAGTGTGCGCCGCGCCATGTCCACCTCTGCTTCGTCCGTCCCTCCGAAAGCCGCCATCTGCGTGATCGGCAACGAAGTCCTCAGTGGGAAGGCAAGCGGGGCATTGTCGTCGTAGTCGTCCATTGGTTCAGTCATGACACATGACTCGTGTAGACGCTCGACACAAACAGCAACTACTTGAGCAAGTTTCTCTTTGGCCGTGGTGTCGACGTAGTTCGGATTTCAGTCATCCCAGACGAAGAGGATGTACGTCCGGTCCTTCCACGATGAGATCTTGTCGCCTTCTGACCGTGTATGCTTGCAAGGTCATCGTGGACACCGTGCGTCACTTCTCGACCCTTGTCGGCCCCGATGGCTATGTATTCACGACCGGTACATACTGCTGTTTCTTACAAATCAATGTCTCACGCCTTGAGCGCAGGTGGCATCGGCCCAACGCACGACGACATCACTTACGGTACCGAACTACGCTTGTCTTTTGTCGCCTAATCCCTTTCCACATGTGTAGATAGCATCGTGCGTCAACGCGTGTCTCCCTCCACCTTGACCACACCATTGACATGCTCGTAGGCGAAAGCCTTTGATGTACCCCTCGAAGTACATGAGCCTACGAAAGAAGCGTTGCGCCAGTACCTTGTGGCCGACCACCGCGGCCACGACCTGAACGACGATCGACTGAGAATGGTCACGTTTCCCCAAGGTAGATGCTGCAACCACCGGCGTCCTCAATCACATTGTTTCAAAAGACTCGTGATCATGCAGGGTGCGACGTCTTGACGACATCAACATGGGTACATACATGGGATGACGACGTCATGTTGGTCATTATCATGTCGAATGATGCAGGTGCCAATTGTGAAAATGCAAAACGTGTACGTATTGCCTGGCATCCCGCGCCTGATGAAGCAGATGATCGAGTCCAACGTGGATCACTTCAAGGGCATTCCCATCCACCAGGCGATTGTATGGATGCATGACGATCGTTGAATGTCATCCTAAAGCATGTGATCCGTAGGCACGCACGAAGAAACTCGAGGGGTCCATTGCCGCCCCGCTGAAAGCAGTGGCGAAGGACTTTCCGTCGGTGATGATTGGAAGCTACGTCAACCTCAAGGGTACCAGATTGGTCGGGTAGGACGAGGCTGACGGGTTTTTCTCGCAGAGGACAACGTGGCGTTTGAAGATCGAGCGTACAACGTCCAAGTCACATTGTACAGCCGCGTGGGGGACGACATCCGCGCCGCCTTGCCCGCCGCCGTCGCCGCCATCGAAGGATGGGTCCATGAAGATGTCGAAGTTGCGTAGAAAGGGACCATGTTCTGACAGTTACAACTTGATGGCATTCGAAGATCGTTAAGCTAGAAATTTGTATGCGTAATCGAACTTTTTTCCAACTCGAAGGGTTTCGAAGATCATCATTATTACTTCGAAGTGCTCAAAAGCAAAAAAATCCCAAGTGCAAACCGATCCAACATGAAGCCTCCACAAAGCGTTCGCCTCTTGGACGTACCAGACGAAGATGACTGGACTTGTGACCCCTGCCTTCGTGAATCGTACGATTCGTTCCATGCCCTTGCGATTCCATCGACGTATGCCTCGTTTCCTGATGCGTCCATTCCCGACGGCGGCAGTCGGGCTGGACAGAGGTGGGACAATCTCGTCACACATTGCTACGCGGGCGTGATGGACATCTACGCTGCGACGTATGTCTTTTGGATTCACTTGATGTCCCTGGAAACAGTAAGTAGCGTATGCCATGCACGTTGTTCCCTTAACGTTATATGGAACCCGCAGGTTCTCGTCGTCGTCCTGGCCGCTTCGACGACCTCCGCGTACTACTACATTGGCCTCCGAGCCAATGGCTCGTCGTTTGGCGCCAACCTTTCATGGACCCTGGTCACCTTTGCCATCATATCCCCCATGGTTGATTTCTCACCACAGCACGTGCATTACGCTCATCCATGTCGTAGATCATGCAAATCAAGCAAGCCTTCACGCGCCGGGAGAGCGCGCTGGATGCGATTGCCGAGCGTACACCTCGTTCCCGTCCACTTTACCATCTACTGTAATGCGACGGCTTGTAGTCAAAGCCATCATGTCCAACGTACTCATGGCAAATGCGATTTGGGACTGGGGCAAACACGACCGCGCCAAGCTACCGCCGGACCACGCCGTCCGCACCAAAGCCATCCTCGTTGGCATCCTGTCAGACCTTGGGCGGGTGCTGATGCTGCCGACATTTACCCGCGGGCGGCATCGGTTCACGACCTCCGGCATGAACGAGGCGAAGGAGTTCATGCATGCGTTTCACTACCTCTGTCGGCGCATCACATTTTCCACGACGTTGCTGCACCGCCAAGTGGAAGTCATGAAGGACGCAGGGTTACCCGCCAACGAAGCGTCCCGTATCAACCAGTACCACTGGTACATCCAAGCCCGCGTCGACAAGCTGTGCCATATCAAGGTAACTTCTACGTCGAGGATGCTTCTCTCCAGGGGGCGATGCGATGATCGTGATGTTGATGTGATGACGATGATGGATGTGTAGCTGTACCGAACCCCGCAAGCCACGCGATCGTTTACGCGCCTGTGCATCCTGGCGCTGCCGCTTCTGTACGGCCCGTACTATGTGTACATTGCCACGGCAGGCACGACCAACTTTGCGTTTGCGCTCACGCTGAGCATGGCCACGAGTTTGATTATGATTGGCATCTTCAATGTCGAAAAGGCGCTGGAAGATCCGTTCACGGAGGAAGGCCTCGACGGCGTCAAGGTCGAGCGCGCGATGCACCGGATACTCGACGCGTTGGACGTGGTCTTGCCGCCTTCAACCACCCCCCGTGCCAAGAAATAGAATTCTACCACCACCACCATGTCGATGATGACGACGACGTGGCTATTGTTGTGTTCATGTTAAAAGTGTACGCTGCTAGTTACTAGTAGTAGTTAGTAGATAGTAGTTAGTAGTACTGTCGCCAGCACATGCAAACTGCAATACGCCGACGACGTTTTAAGTCAAGGAATGCGTCGACCCGATTGGCATAACAGCGAGTTTGAACCAGAGCGTGAACTAGAGGAAGAGAAGCCATTCTCAATATGTGGCAACAGTGATGATATTTGCGACTCTCTTGGAAATCTTGATATTGACGACAAGTCCACCAGCACTACCACTACCGCTATCGTCAAGATGCGTACGCGGTCGGTCACGTCGGATATTGTTTCGGTTTGCAGCAGCATACCAATGCTCCAAGCCTCACCAAGTAAATCGTCAAATACCAGAAGCCGTGCGATCACTTGTGATTCTGACATCGATTGAAAGCAATTAAATTCGAGGTATTATTGTCGATTTGCTGGGAATTTCCGGATACAGAGAGGTTCAAATCCCTACTAGTACTTTCATAAACCACGCGACGGCGTTTGATCGGTTTATCTGTGAGTTTGGCAGTTTCGCATTTGCGCGCCATTTCCAAACGCACGCCCTTCTGGCCGCTCGTCGATACCCATGAGCGCCATTGAGTCTGTTGTCTTCCACCGACATGCCAGCCCCAACACTATGATGCTATTCCTCTACGACTACTACTTCTAGGGCCGAAGAAGTCTTGTTTGGCAGTCCTCTATGGGAAGGACGAGAAAACGATTCATTTCACACCCACGACGCACCAACACAGTCGAACGTTGCCAACCTCACAGCGGACGCGTTGCGCTGACCGACAGTCTCTTTGATCGTAGCCTTAAGTGTGAGCTCGTACAACGAGGTTGAGTGCGCCCCCACCTCTGGTTGTAGGCTTAGACGTGGGCTTTGTGAGGATATCGTGTTCCTCGCGGGAGTGTCTGCAACGTCCATGGTGGTGTCCGCGTCAGGGATAGAAAAAATCATGATCCACGCGCGACTCTGCGTGGATGTTGTGAGTTGCTGTGCGGCTTTTTAAAGCCTGTTCTCTGAAAGGCTGGTTTCGAGTAGCCAATCATAGTCTAGCATGAATGGATTAGCCAATGGGCGAGGTTTGTGATAGGTTCAGTCGGCGAGATTAGATTCAACGGAATCTGGAATTCTGTACCAAATCCGCAATAAACAATCAACTGCATTTAACCAATTTGCATTTAACCAATTTGATGAGAAAGCCAACACGCATGAATTAAAGATAACAACATTTTAAAATAATACATTTGTTTTTCATTTTTTATTGAAAAATGGTAGTCAATTCAGGTAAATATGAATAAAAAATTAACTTAAGGGCTCGAGGTAAATTGGGTAAATGTTAGGGCTCGTTTCATGTTGCGGATAATAAAAGTTCATTCTTATCATACCCTACGTTTAATAATATAGACCAAACACGCCTCATAATTCGTTACGCTCTGTGAGACAAAGGGTTTGTCTTTGTATTCCCACATAAATGCCAACATTGGCGAGTTGGTGTGGCAGATTGTCATTTTAGAGGTTTTGCATAGGTGCATTAAAAATAATGAAACTGCGGGACAACGCCGGGCAGGAGGACAGGAGCGAGCGTAGCACGGAGGTGACCGATAAGTTCGCCAGCGCGTAACTCCGATGGGCAAGTCCAGATGCCAACGGCGCCAGGGAACGCGGGCACATTTCCAGGTGCGAGTCCAGCGGGAATAACGACTGCAGACGGATTGATCTTCATAGCCTGCAGGTTGAAGATAACCGTTGGTGGATCGAGCAGCTTCGCGAGCGCCGGATACTGCTTTCCCAGTTCGTCAAGCAGATGCATGATCTTTCGCCCAAGGTCGATTGCGCGACCGTCAACTTGATGTAGCGTACCAATGCCCTGCATGAACGACAGCAATGGCCACAACTTGAACAGATCCTTGTCGATGGTGCATAACATCACGTCGTCGGGGAAACTGTCGCGCCCAGCGGCCTCAATCTCTTCGCCCGTCTTCCAGACAACACCGCTTGGTTGAAGACAATCATCACGACTGAGGCAGTGCTCTTGTAGGTCGACCTACAGAACGATTTTAGAACATCAGAGAAAGCTGTTCAACCCCAGACGGCAAGTTACATACCTTCTCGAGGCGCTTAATCAGTTGGATGAATTTGCTTTTGATTTTCAATTTCCGATAGCTATTGGGAGGCGCATGCCGCATAAGGAAGTTGCAGCGGTCGATGACATCCTTGTCCGTGAGATCTCCAGCACGCTTGAACTCGCTGAAAAACGTGAGCGTTTCAACGTCGGTGAGCTTGGTGTTTCGCGGGATATCTCGCCAGCGGCACCCAGGAATGAGGTTTGGGAGCATACTTGCGTCTCGCAGTTCCTCCTCCTCCTTTTCATCCTCCTCAACGCTGCGCTTCCGCTTCATCATCACCTACAATGTGTGAATCGAATTCGGACAAAAACAAATCTACCAATAGGACTGACTTATTTTGATTATTGTATTTGACTGGCTAAAATATTACTAGTACTAGTATCAATTGAAGTATACAGCATAATCACTGTTTTTGTGTTTTTGTGTCATCGATTTTTGAAAAAATATTATAATCACTGTTATAGTGATAGACTGTTGTCGATCAATTTTTTGAAAAATTGAAATGTACTGTTATCGTGATATACTGTTATCAATTTGAACAATTCATATTTACTGTTATACTGATATACTGTAATCAAATTTTTGAACAATTCATATTTACTGTTATACTGATATACCGTTATGGACTTTTTATGAAAAATATAAAAATCACTGTTATAGTGTTATACTGTTATGCAATTTTTTTTTTAAATATAAAAATCACTGTTATGGTGTTTTACTGTTATGACAATTTTCGAGGGAGTAAAATATAAAATTCACTGTTATGGTGTTTTACTGTTATGACAATTTTCGAGGGAGTAAAATATAAAATTCACTGTTTTGGTGTTATACTGTTATGCAAATTTTTTTGAAAAATATGATAATCACCGTTATGATGTTTTACTGTTATGGAAATTTTTTGAAAAATATAAAATTCACTTATATAGTGTTATACTGTTTTGGAAATTCTTGAGGGGGAGAATCGGTGTTATAGTGTTATAGTGTTATAACAGTATAACAGTATAACAGTGAATTTGAGGTCTTTACTGTTATACAGGAAAGACATTTAACGTTAAAGTTTAACTTTTTAAGTAAGTTAGCTTTAGTTAGCTCTAAGAGGTGGGTGAAAACAGCTTGCTGTTTGAACCATAACTATCGCGGCAGCAGTCCCCTCCCTTCGTTTTTTTACGGCGTCAAGGTCGAGCGCGCGATGCACCGGATACTCGACGCGTTGGACGTGGTCTTGCCATCTTCAACCACCCCCCGTGCCAAGAAATAGAATTCTACCACCATCATGACGATGATGACGACGTGGCTATTGTTGTGTTCACGTTAAAAGTGTGCGCTGCTACTGTAGTTAGTAGATAGTAGCGGATGCGAATCGCCAGCACTGCAAACTGCAATATGTAGTAGTAGAACCATTGGAAACCATACTTTGTTTAGGGCAACAATACGATATGACTAGCGTTAGGTGACGATTTGCACTTAGCAAACTGCAAAGTGCAGTGCCATATGGGATAGTACACGTACTGCCACGTCACGACCACCCCTTACATAGCCACGTAAGAAACAACGGGGGCCAGATTCTCGGGGTCTATTGTACATTGGTTTATGCTGACTAGTATGCTGACAGGAACACACTACTATGACGTGGGGTAGATAGCATCAAAGGCATTGAAGATGCGGTGAATGGCAACGTCGATCTGGACGCCGTCGAGGCCTTCCTCCGTGAACGGATCTTCCAGCGCCTTTTCGACATTGAAGATACCAATCATGGTGATGCTGGTCATGGCGCTGAGCACGAGCGCAAACGCAAAGCTCGTCTGGCCATCTCCCGAATCGATCAGGTAGATGTAGTACGGGCCATAGAAGAAGGGCAAGATCAAAATGAACAGCCGCGTGAACGACCGCGTGGCTTGCGGTGTCCGGTACATCTACAAGGCATCGTCCATCACCAAAACCAAAACGCCCTTAACGCCACGCATATATATATACCTTGATGTTGCACAGCCGTTCGATGCGGGCTTGGAGAAACCAATGGTACTGGTTGATGCGCGACGCTTCGTTTGGAGGTAGCCCCAGCGCCTTCATCCGTTCCACTTGCATGTGGAGCTGCTGAATCGTCACCATCATGCGCTCAAGGATCGCATCGACGTGCCACTGGTACTGCACGGCCAAGTCCATTCCCCGAGTGGTTAGTCGATGCCGTCCGCGGGTGAATGTCGGCAACTTGAGCAGCGAGTACAAGTCGCTCATGAGGCCTCGTAGGAGCAACTTGGCGCGGGGGTTGTGTCCGGGCGGCAGCTTCGCGCGGTGATTGTCGCCCCAGTTCCACGTGACGTTAGCAAGCAACACGTTGGACGCGATGGCTTTGACTAGGGAGGAGAGGTGTCAAGTAACTAGATGGACCATGGACGTACGGTCGGCGAGGTTGTCGAGCGCGTTTTCACGGCGGAGAAACGCTTGCTTGATCTGCATGATCATGGGCGACACGACAGCAAACGTGATGAGGATCCAAGACAGGTTGGCGCTGAAGCGATGCGTCGTTGTCGGCGACGACGGATCTGTGGTAGACGGTGTGCCAGACATGTAGTAGTACCCCGATGTGGCCCCGACAGACACCAGCAGCACGAGGACACTTTCGAACCCCATGAGATGCGTGACGAAGATCACCGTTGCCGCGTACAAGTCTAGCAGCGTATCGCGAATATGCGCACCCAACGACACGTCGACGTTGACGCTCGGCTTGGCGGCGTAGTCGAGGTCGATCGTCGCGGCATGGGGCAGTGGCGGCAAGTCGGACGGCCCATCGTGACGTCGACGATGGGGGGCGAACGAGGCCGACACGAGGGGGTCGTCTGTCCAGTCGGCCAAGTGCTCATGTAGCGACATGATGTGGAGTTTGCAGATGATACATTCGATGAAACCTTTCTCAGCAACCCTACCCCTCGTCAAAAGGTGCTCCGATCGCCTGTCTGATCGCCGCCATGAAAATGCGGCAGGTCTACTACGAGTCCTCACACATGCAGCCCCCGTGGAAGCAGGCGGGAAGGACGTCGTGGGTCATTTGAGTGCGTGAGGATTTACGTGTTAGTTCTGCAGCTTCTGGTCAGGTCTCGATTTTCGCCGTAAATTGCGCTTTTTATCCATATTCTGTCATATTTTGAACATTTTATCGATGTTTGGTCTAATGTTTGAACTTTTCAGAACTTCAGAGTTTGGTCCATGAGCATGTTGAGTGCAGCGTTTCCCGCGGCGGCGGCGGCGGTTGCGCCGACATACGGCTCCAATGGATGTGCGTGCGATGGCGCGCCATATGCATGCTGACATGGAGAATAGATGTGTTTTGGCAGCCCTTCTTGAGCGACACGGGACTCGCATTCCTGCAGCAACAGGTTGACCGGGTGTTGACCATGACGCAGTAAGTAGGTCACGTCGTTCCATAGCCACGAAAGCCGCAATGTACAATCTTGCTGCCATAGTGAATCCATCTCCACCGAATGGATCATGAACATTCACTTGCTCGGGGAAACATGGCTGCTCGACCTCGTAAGGACCCATCAAATACATGCGTTGTTGCTCATCGTCGGGGTAGGCCATGGACACCCACTTGCTGGATGCTGTCCAAGTATGTACACATACACTCTACTCCTTCACCACGAGCGACTCCAGGAATTTTGTGGGTCCAACATCACGCTGCTTCAGACACACTTGTTTTGCAAACCTCGAGGGTACAGAGCCAACATACCCCCCCCGAATTCTCCAGTATTTGATTTCTTGGCGCCATCGTCCTTAGCTGCCTGCCGACCCCGTGGCACCAGGACGGATCATCGGACACGGACATTCCATTAGCCACTGTCTGGTATACACACATGGCCATCGTGTCCCCCTCATCATTTCCACGTCATGCACGTTGCCAACGATAGGATCACCTTGGACGACCTGGACGCGCCGTCGTCTGGCGCACTGGTGGTCCTGCCCGGTCAGCACCAGCTCAACCTACTCCCAGTACAGTCCCCTGTAACGCTACATTGAGTGGATTCTTCCAAGTACAATGGCTAGAGCGAAGCCAGCGACCACTTTCAATTCGACCGCGTTCTTCCTACATCGTATCTTTCCCAGCACAAAGCGTTTCGCTACGCACTCCATGCTGGCGACGTACGTTCATTCCTCGTCTATTCGTCGTGTGGGTGAATGCAGCTCTGTGCAGGCGGCGGTGCACCACCAGTGGCTACCCCACGCGTCGGACACCAACACCATGCTGCCCTTTCGACGGGTCATTGTCTTACGCTATATGGCAACGTCCGTGCTCGAAGCGGAAGGCGTCGCGCTGTGGCGGCGCACCTCTGGTTGACTCTCCCTGCGTAGACAGTTCCTAACAAGCGAGTAGGCAATGCGTTGGCTCCAGTGGACCCAGTCGACGAAGACAAGGACGAAGAAGGCGAGCTGTATCCTGACTTTCGAGCTGCCAATGTATACTTTGAAGGGCGCAACATTTGTTTGCGGGGGAAATACGTAACCACCAACCCATCCAATCATGCTTTGGTAGTACAAGTATGTAGTTAGTACTAGTATATAACGTCACCAACGACACCTAGCGCACCTCTTTGATATCAGCTAAAAGGATGGGCTACCACTACTACTACACGTCTCGTTAAGAGATCGAGTGGCGGTTGTACTGTGGATGTAGATTCAGCTTGGGCACTTCGCGCTTGAGTAGATCCAGCAATTCCAGGTCGGGAAACGTGCACGTGATGTCGCGGACAGACGACGCGGCCGCCTTACCCCCTAGAAGCCAGCCCACGGGGTTCTTGACTTTGCTCCACAGCTCTTGCTTGATCTCCCGTACCAGCAAGCTTCGACTACTCGAACGTTTGGTAAACTGCCGCTTCGTGCCCCGCATGTCCTGGCGATCGAGCAGGTCCATGAGCTCTCTTTCGCGCACGGCATGTTCCTTGTTGACTTTGTCCAGCTCTTTGACTTGGGTTTCCAGATCTTCGATGCGCTTCTCGACAAGGGAAGTGTCGCCGAGTAGGCTTAGCTTGGCCTCGAGCGCTGCTAACCGCCGGTCCTTGTCGCTGTTGTCTTGCAGGAGCTTGTTGTGTTCTTGTTCGAAATGCCGTGCGCGGTACTTGACCAGGATGAGTTCATCTTCCAATGCACTTCGTAACCGATGGGTTTCATCCAAATCTTTGATCGCTTGAAACTCCATGCTCATCCGAGTGATCTCCCACAACAACTTGGCGCCTTCCAAGCTTCGCACTTTGTGTTTGAGTTCGCTGCACGTTCGGTGCATGTCGAGTAGCATCGCTCGCGCCTCGAGGAGCTCGACAGCGTCGCTGGATGCCATCGCCAAGTGAGGCAAATGGAACTCTGCCCGCATGACGCTGCTGCAAAGTTCAGGCAAGACGGTGGTGCCGCCATCTCCTCCTCCATGTGTGTGCATCGTTGGTCACGAGAACGTTGACGATTCGTAGAAGATGTCCAAACAAGACCTGGTTGCTGGAAGGCTGGCAGGTTGTCGAAAGGTCGTTTCGTTTTTTATGTGTTTGAAACGACTCTGGTTTCGAATCCCAGCGATTTCATGGGTCCACAGGTGGAATCATCCGTTCGAAACGGTCAACCGATCTAGATAAATAGAAGCCAAAAATTCGAACCCAAGAAGTCAGCAATCGCATTCCAGCGATGTGAAACGCCGCAGATGACTCTAGGCACAAACACTTGATTCAAGGTGGGTGAAAAGGCACGAGCAGGCACATGGTGGCATGGCATTTCATTTCTAAGGCCGAGAGATTCCGAGTTTGTTGTTGTTTGTAGGAACGTTATTTGGTTGTAGGTCGTGGAGGACGACAATCAATCGTAACGGGTGTTGACGAGGTGGAGCGCTTTTGATGACTCGAGCATCGAAACCGTCGAGACGGTGCTGCCTTCATAAGGGGCCCTCATTCTCTGTGGTTCCATATCTGTCGCATACAAATGTTACTGTGGATAGCGTTTTTAACATCGCAGCAACACTGAACAGCAGCTCGCTCCGTCCTGGTGAGCTATAGCTGCCATTTCTATCACTCTCCATGGCTACGGAGAATGCTGTCGCGATTGAGTGTGAATGGAATCGTACGTGTGGTGATGATATGCATCTTATTCTGTGTAATGTACCGTACTTCGCCAGTAGATCGCGTGCAATATGGATTCATTCCGCAGTACGACAGCCACTTCAATCACATTGGTTGGTTGGCGTCGACTGTTCAGTGGTGATGGTTTGGCCAGTCACCAAACTAACTTACTCCATTATCATTCCTACTCGTCCTACAGTTAGCGCGTGACTTGGCTATGCGACTGCATTGCGGACTGTCCGCGATTGTAATGTCCATCATGCCTTTATGCTGTACGTACTACAGTAATACAGTACTACTCGACAAAGCGCGATTTTTTACAGACATCAATATCCACCAATATGTATGTACACATTGAGATGGACACGTCCTAGAAGACGTTCACACATTGCCGTCGATCGAGTTTGGTCGACATAAGGTGGCGAAAGCATTTGCAGTTCGACGAACAGGTTTCGTCGTGTTAAATAATAGACAGCAACAGTCATAGTTGTAGCTCACGGAAGCACCGGCGCGTGTGCATGTTGAGATGGATCAAAACCGGTGTGACAGCGACTGCAGCTGTCTTGAAGCAACGTGTACGAGGCCTTGACACAGGTAGACACGGCGAAAAAGTCGTCGCGCTTGTGGAGGGTTGAGTCCAGTGCCACGGCGGCGGCGAGCGCTTTCTGGGCAGCCAACACGCTCTGGGTGGCCACGTGGAGAGGGCTTGATTCCTACGGCCATATTCATTATCCTATGCAGAAACAAACGGAGGGGGGGGGTCGTACAAGGTCCAAGTCGTGGTCATTGAACATCCGAGCTCGGAACCAGTCGGTTTCGTCCCCCCGTGACCACGTGTGCTCCGGCGACGTCCGCAAGAACTTGAGTTCGTCCAAAAAGTACTCCATCTTCCGTGCCAGGCTGAGAAAGATGGATGCGCGGCGAATCTTGCGCATCTTGTGGGGAAAGTGCCCCCTCAACACGGCCTGCAGTCCCGCCCGCGTCAGCACCATCGCGTCCACAAAGGTTAGCGTCCGCACTTCGTAGTGCCTCACGCCGTTGGACAAGATCACGTCTTCCCCCACAAAGTTGCCCTTTCCAATCACCTTTCCGAGCCGCGCCACAATGCTACAACGCCGTAACCACGTGAGTACTACGTACAATCCAACATTGCGAGGTACCCTTTCGACAAGATAAACATGCGGTCGGTGAGATCTCCGCGGCGAATCATCGTCTCGTTGGGGGGGAAGAGCATGGCCGACAGGTGCTGCGTAATGGCTGTGACAAACTTGGTGTGCTCGGTCTTGGGGCCCCCTTGGAAGAAGGGCACGCGGTGAATCCACTCGCCCGACGTGTACACGCCCAGTTCGCCCTTGAGGCCCGGGGACAGCGTGTCCAGAACCCGGGAAAAGTACTTGTGGTTCATCAAGTCTTGGGTGTGCAAAAAGTACTCGCGGAACGTGATCACCAAGTGTTTGGGGAGTCGTTCCTTTTGCAGCAGCATGTTTAGGTGGTCCTATTACACAACGGCCGCACGTGTTGGTTACGAAGACACGAACGAACGACCCACGCACCATGTTTTGACGAAAGTCTGTCGTTGCTTCGTCCATGCTGGACAAGACCCCACAGATGGACCCAATGACTACACGAGAAATCGCATTCGCCGTTTAGTTGTATCGTTCAGTAGGCGAAGCAATATCATCTAGACAGTACCAAACGAGTAGGTGCCGCAGCCAGCAATCATGCACACAATCGCGATGCCTTTTTCTTCAAGGGTGACCACAGGAATGTCGCCGTAACCAATCGTCAAGATGGTCACAACCGCCCAGTAGAGCGACGTTACGTATTGCGTTTGCATGCCCTTGTTGTCGATGCCGTACACTGACATCCACGACAGTTTGTTGCCTTGGGCGTCGGTATGGTACTCGAAGTGCACGACGCCGCCCCAGAGGCACCCGAGCCAGTGTGCGAGCAGTAAAATTGTGGCCAAGTGTCCCGCGAGCTTGAAGATGGCCATGGGAATGTTGAGTTGGGCCTGCCATCGACTGAAGATTCGGCTCGCGCGGAATACTCGCACGAGTTTAATAACACGCAGGATGCGAAGGATGCGGAAAATGGTTAGCTGGCGAAACGCTTCGTCCATAAACTAGACAACACAGGAATTGCTAAGCAACGGCGGGACAAACATACACGTACGAGCCCAATAATGTCGAACGGCAACACCGACACAAAGTCGAGGCAGAACCAGCCTATATATAACGAGGAGTAGGTGAGCTTTCACAATTGGCTTTTATGATATATAGGCATTTGATTTTGCCTTTGACGTATTGCTTGATGATGAGCGGCAGCTCTTCGACCATGGCATTCGCGTGGGGATCCCAGTACGGCGTGATAAAGTTGAACACCATGTCGATACAAAACGACAAGTCGACGCATCGGTCGAAAATGAACAGCGCGTCCACGTCGTCTTGCTGGACAAAGGCAATCTCAAACGGCTACCATGTCACATATATATATGTCACGACAAGTTCAATTGCGGATACAATGTATGGAGAGCCGTACCACGGCCACAGCCGTGTAGCACAGCAGCAACATGGTGTAAATGTCCCAGAACCACCGGAACTTTGACGTGGCTTTCAAGTGCGCCGACGCCAAGACCAAGTCGGGCCAGTACTTTCGAGACGCGACTTTGGGCTGGCATGTGGCTTGGCGCCGGCCGTGTGGTGGCGGCGGATTCATGGCGCGGCGGGTCATGAGGGGGGTGTCCGTGCTGGACCTGCTCAGCTGGCTATGTTCGTCGTCGCCGCTCGCTTTCCGCATGATCAAGCGCATCGTGGGTTGCTCCATCCCCCGCCTCCGAACGTTGCGAACATTCGACTGCATCCTCATTTTGAGCATGGGTGCCATCAACAGCCCCGACTAAACAACTACTCGTCAGTCACATTCAAGTGGGGGAAACCAACCGCTCGATGTAGTAGTAATGGCTTGTCGGGCCGTGTGGATGTCTGGGCCATAGCCACCACCGGCGTGGACTCGTCCACAACATCCATCATCAGCTGCAGCTGTTCGGCCTCGAATTGTCTCGTCGACGACGAGCCTACGGCGCGGGTAGACGCATCGGCATGGACCGGAGCATGATGATGCGAGAGGGGCGCGGTTTCCCGTGTCGGTCGTGGCTGGTGCTCCATGTACGCACCCAAGTTGCAGCGACCCCCGCCCTCAACACCAGGATTGTTAGGCGGTTCAACTGCCGTTTCAGACATCGATTGCCAAAAAACGTAACGACACTGTCGGTTACAGCACCGTCGATCCCTACTCTTGTTGCATGCAGACGTGGGCCGTCACACTAATCCTATATGTACATTGTACCACTAGTATGTTGTTGTTTATGGGGTTACGGTGTACTTATTGCAAGGCAGATCGTCTAATACTTCTACTCTCTTAAATATGAGCTCGCCGACGAAAACAGCGACATGCCTTTGGCGGCAGCAGACGCGGCGGTGGCCGTTACGGACGCCGCCGTCGCGTTGCTGGTGAGGAGGGATGTTGACGAAGACAAAATCTGATGGATCGACGACGAGGCCCGCTTGGTTGACGGCGGCACATGTCCCGACGTCGGGTCGGTCGCCTTCACGTTCACGGGGGGAGGCAGGAGGAGGCGCTGCGACGGCGTCGGGGTGGCCGATTGCGCGCGCTTGAGGGGCTGGGGCGGGGGCACGGGCAGGAGGGCGAAGCGGGGGACGGGGGGCGCCACTTCCAGCATGGTCAGGCCAGCGTCCGACACGACAAAGCCGGCGTCGGCAAACGAGTTGTCGTCGTCGTTGGATCGAAACACGGAAAAGAGTAGGCGGGTCATGTGGTACTGCCGCTTGACAAGGAGGACAACGGCCGAGCCAAAGAGCTCCCAGTCGACCGGGTCCACCCACGCCAGCAGCGGCGCCATGTCGTCGTGGTCGCCCCATCCGAAGCGCAGGAACTCGGACTCGCCCACAAGGACGCGGACAAAGTACACATCGAAAATGCACTGCAGCGCACATGCTTGGCCAAACGACACTGGCGACGACGTATCGCGATGGCTCGACAAGGCGGTTACGATGCTGTGCATGTACGTGAATATCCACTGCTTGAGCTCGTGCCGAACATGCGACTGGACACGTTCGTGCAGATCCGCAGACGACGTCGTCTGTGACAACGTGGTGGAAGTGGCGACTTCAAACAGCACGTGGGAGACGGCGGGGGTGGCGCACCACGGCAGCCACACCAGGAGCGACGTTGTCGCAGAGTTGTCATCTTCGTCGTCGTCGCTCGTGATGGTGGCCGGAACTTGAGTCCACGACGCATGGTACACACTTCGCCATTCCTAACACCACCATCATTGGTCATGTTGCCATGTGAATTTGTACGGACGTCGTTGGAATAGCCAAAGAAACGAGTGGTCGTGAGCGCGTCCAGCACGGGCTGGCCGTGGGTTCCAACTACGTGGGCCACCCATTGCCGACAAAACGAGTCAGCCAACTTGGTAAACACTGGTCCCGTCGCAGCACCCCCTACAAACTCTGGTGTTAGAATATATACATCGTGGTATATGATACTTACCTTGGATGGTCGCGAGATGTAAGAAGTACACGTGATACGGTGACAACCGAGTAGTAGGCATGAGCCATTCGAAATGGGATACATTCATGCGCAGCGCCTAATGTCATGTGAGCATACATATCTTTGGATAGAATACTATCCTCCTCCAACGTGATATATATATATATATTTGCAGGATAGGATTATATATATATATAATCCTATTCTGCAATGTGATATATATTATACAGTATATACATATCATCACTCGTACTTGAAACAACGGCAGCAGCTGACTGCACAACAGCCATGGCGTCCCGTGGTCAGTGGCTTTTTCTGTTTGGATGGTTGCGAAAGCGTCTTCAATGGATGGCCAGGAATCGCCGAGTCCTGCTGCGACCACTGGTTTGGACATTTGGAACAGCCCTGGCATCGCGGCGTTCAAGTTCAAACAGTGCTGGGCCAGCCGCAGCAATCTCGTTTTGGTGGGAAATGCATGGCTGGCAAAGGTCGTGATCACATCGAACAGCACACGAATGCACTCGGAGGCGACGACCGGCTGCAGCGTCGCAGCGGACGACTCGCCAGTGTGTTGGATGTCGACCAATCGGCCGACAAACGTGGCCGTCATGTCGTCATCGCGTTCGTCGTCGTCGTCGTCGTCGCGCAGCAAGGCCGCGTCCAAGGCGGTCGCGGCGGCGTCAAATGCTTGGGCAAACAACCGCTGGGTACAAGTGGCAAACACATCGGATGCGAAAATAGACCAGAGATCGTCGGCATCCTTGTTGTTGTCATGGGAGGTGGTTTTGCGGGAATCCAAGGCTTGGCGCACAGCCTGCCACGTCACCATCATCGATTCATTCGAATGGCGGTGGTGGTCGAGTTGAGATTGCACCACTTGGTGCAAACTCGCCACCGCTTCCACGTCATGAAACGACTGCAACAAGGCCACGAGGTCTTGTCGCCACTACACAACACGAACGAACGACCGAGATAACGTCATCACGAACGCGCGAAGGATCGAGAAAAGGACGTACGGTGCGAATAGCATCGATGGTCCAGTCAGTGCAGGCTAGCTCGAGTGGATGGACGTCGATGTCGGCCAAGGCAGTCGACAAGGCGGACGTCGGCACGGCAAACATGGCATGCGCATCGTTCAACGTCGACAGCACAAGCTCAAGCGACGCCAGTACGGCGTGCTGCTTGTGGGAAGGTGAAGCTGCTTGCCGTAATGCCGCCGCCGCCGCCGAACGGCCTTGGAGGAACGCAGAGTGCAACGCGTGGGCGGTGGACGAATGCTGCAGCTCCAAGAGGACGAGGAGGGCTCGCTCGTAGAACGACGTCGGTTTGGTTGGAGCACGCAGACATTGCTGTGCGCAGGACTGAATTCGCTACGAACGACGTGAGCAACGTGAGATGAGAACTGACTGACATACGTGTTGAAACGATGGCATCGCGTCCAACTCGAATGCGACGATGCCCATCATGGGGCCGCCTTCCATGTCCGAAAAGGTCACTCCGTCGACAAGTTTGAAGATGGAAAGCGCTTCCAGGGGGTTTCCTTGCTCCATGGCGACCCACATGCGCTCGGACGCTCCAACGACCAGGTCGACAAGGTCTCCATTGCTATGACTGTGTGACTGCGCTGCATCTACTGATATCACAGGGGAGACCTCGCTTGACAGTGTTGTCGCCATCGTGCGCGCAACACTTGACTCGAGCGTATCCCACAGCTGTGGCATGTCGCGCAACGCCGCATCGAGGCGCTGGGACGCTTCGTGCATGCTCACGATTTGATCGGCAGCGTCAATTAGGTCCTGGTAGCGGGAGCCTCCCATGGCTTGCATCTCTTTCTCCTTTGCCGCTTTTTCGGCTCTCGATGTCGCGAGAAGCTTCTGGGCATCCACCACGGACACCTCTCGCAGGATTGCATGTACGTCCAACATGATGTCCGTCCTTGGGACACCTCGACCGAGATAATAATATGCAGCGTGGAATTTGAAAAGTATTATTTTAATAATATAAGTTCTGGTGAATCCCATTCAATAAGCACTTTAATTTATTTTAGTAATAAGAAACTAGTTAAATTAATATAGATTCGTATATAATAATATTTCGTGATTTCATAAATTGATATTAGTATGCCCAGTATTTCCCTTCAAAAAACCAGAATTGATCATGCCACCGTCGACCGATTCGCCAGTGCCGACACTTCCGCACTTGCGTTCTGGTAGGAAGTAGCTGCACATGAACCAAGGCTCACTTTTTCCATCAGTAGCACCGGTAAAGCGACCCAGCAAACGATCGTTGGAGACGTCGTCTGCCGCCGTAGAAGCATCGGCGGGGTCGCAACACGCCACTGGTACGACCAATCTCTCGCTCTGGTCGTCTCGCGAATGAAGATTCACACTTGCGACATAGGTCACACCGCCGCCATGACTCGTTACTTCAATGCTGTGCGTGCGTTATACACGCACGGCAAGCCACGTGGCAGCGGCGGCGCATGGACAGCGTTGGAACCTCCAGTCCGTCCCTTCGTCGCACAACAATCCACGGACAACTCACTGACGACGACCATGCATGCATGTAGTTTGGATGCGCGAGTGTGGTCGAGTCGGCCGACGTGCTGCGGTATCTCTTGTCCCCGCTCCGTCCGTCCCATGTCCTCGGTATTCCCGCGATCCATCATGGTCATGCTCGTTCTAATGATGTTGTAGACACGTGGACACCGTATGAGATTTCGTGCTTTGAGGTGGGCATCACGCAGCTAGGCAAGCAGTTCCATGCGATCCAACGATACCTGGTATGCATGCACGTCTCCATGTCGTCGTGGACCTTCCCCAATGTGCGGTAGATCCCGACCAAATCGACGCGCGACGTGGTCTTGTTCTATTACATGTGGAAAAAGCACGGCCTGGACAAAGCCGAATGGGCCGACAAGGACGCCGCGCACGACCACTTTGGCCTCAAACGCATGAAGCACGAGCGCAACCTCCACGGCATCCTCCCCACCGCGTTCGACCTCATGAGCGACGAAGACGACAGCACAACTCTGGCCGTCAAGCGTGCGCTTTCTACGCGTGAAATTCCCCCCTTTGAATAATCCCCTAACTCGTAGAATCGTCGCTGCTCACCCAGCAGCCCCGCCCGAAACGAGCGGCCGCAGGCGCCGGGCTGTCCACCAACCCATCTGCGACCCATCCCAACCTTGTGAAACTGGCAGGTTCGAGTTGCACATTGCGCTAGCTCACACTCTGTCCTATTTCATCAAGTCCTCCTTCTCCGTGCTGCATGACCCCATTGTCGTAGCTTTGCGAACGGACGGCACCAAACTGTTTTCGACCTTGCGCGCCCTCTACGACTCGTCCACAGATGACCACCATGTATGTACACGCCAAGACTCTTATATGAGACTGACGATGTGATTAGACATTGCCGACGGGAGAGCTGCGACTGCCTCGAGGTATCGTCGCCACCGCCCCGCTGCGGTCGGCTGCGCGACCCCCGCACCTCTTAGGTCCATCCGTCTCCACACAAATGCACAACATATTCATATAGCGAGTTTGTTTCATGTAGATTCGTGGACAGCGTGGGAGTTGAGTGTGTTTGAAAACGGCTTGGACGTGTATGGCAAACACTTTGACTATGTTGCTGCACTGGTACCGTTCTATTTCGTCCCATATCGACATTTCCTGATGCAGTGATGCCGTGATGGTCGTGTAGTTGCCTCGCAAGGCGACGTCGGACGTGATCGCGCTCTACTACCTCTGGAAGAAGTTTAGTCCGACAGTGTACCGCCGCATGAAAGCAGCATGGCCAGCGTCCCCATTTGGGAAAGTCATCGACCCCCCCCTCTCCTCGTCTAGCCCCCCCCCTCTTCTCTCGGACGATGACGCCACCGCCCCTTTGTCGACTTTTCAGAACGCCACACCACACACTTAGAAAATAACTCGTCTATTGCATCGAATTAATCCCCATATTGCATTGAATTAATCCGCATCGTTCGTCTTGCTGTCTTCTTCATCATCGTCGTCGCCTTCGGCCAGGCGCAGCAGGTTCTGCCGCTTCAACTGCACCAAATGGTGCACGGCAAAGTACGAAAACTCGTCAATGTCGACGTGTCCGTCGCCGTTGGTGTCGGCCACGGCCTGCAGCGACGTGATCTCCTCGTCCGACAGGCCCAGCGACGTGTGCTTCATCGCCGCGCGGAACTCGTCCATGTCCAGCACGCCGTTGCCGTCGCGGTCTTCGCTTTCGAATGCTTCCATGACGATCATCTCGAGGCCGGTCTCACTCACGCCGTGGAAGATGGCTGCGACGGCGTTCACGTCGTTCTTGCATCTTTGCATGCGCTTGGCGACGTTGTGGGGGTTGATGAACTGCCGGATCATGCCGGCCGCCGTCGTCGCATACGGCACGTAGTCGACCATCACCACGGCCGCATCTCCGTCGAGGCTGTCGTCAACCGACGACGACGGGTGGCGTGGGCTGTCGTGGCTGTTGTCCTTGGCGTACCCGATGAGCAGCACCACTTGGCCGCGACTAAGCATGAGTTTCTTGAGCCTGTGCATGCAGTCAAAGAGGACGCTCCGGGGCAGCTGGCCCCGCGGCGTCACGATCGTCGGGTCCCACTCCTTCTCGGCGGCTTCGAACGTTGTCAACAAGTAGCTTTCAATGTCCACCGCAAGCCCGAGGCTTTGACCTTGGGCAATGTAAAACAGAGCTTTGGCCAGGATCTTGTCAAAGTTGGCGTACGGGAGCTTGCCCTCGTCGTTCATGGGCACGAGGGAGATGGCGAGGTTGATCTCTTCGCGACTCAAGTTGGCCAAGGGCGACGCAAGGCACTTGCGGAACATGTCGTAGCTGAGGCAGTCCGCTTTGGTGCGGCCAGACGCGTTCGGGGGGAGGTAGTCGGCGGCGGCAAACGCTTGGTTGAGGATGGCCATGGTGGTCGCGCACTCGGTGTGGAAGTAGTCCAAGTAGTCGTCGTACAGTTCGTTGAATTGCGCCTTGAACTTGTAGCCTGACGGCATGCGGGATAAGACGTCCACGGCTGCCTGGGCGAATTCTTCGCAGTTGATGCGCCCGTTGCCGTCCAGGTCCGCTTGGGTAAACAACAACTCCACTTGGTCTTCCCTACGAGTTGAAGTAGAAATAGTCGTTGCTTAACAATTTGGAATCATTGGAGCAACGGATGAACGAACCGAAAAAGACCCGAACGAAGGGCGTCGCGGAATTCGGCAAAGCTGATCGACCCGTCGCGGTTCCGATCGTATTCGTCAAAGAGCTTCAAGAGCTGGGCCTTGATCGCGTCCGCGTCGATGGCGTTTGGGTCCGTTTCCTGCACGTCATAACGGGGCTCTTTGACGCGAGACCGCGTGTACTCGTCCGACAAGTCGACAAGACCTGACCGCTTGAGCGCGATCTTCCGTGCGATCACCCGATCCAGCAGCCGTTCGTCAAACTCGATGTTGTCTCGAAGGCGATACACGTGCCGGTCGTTTTCGATTTCAAACGACAAAATCTCACGCAAGTCATCTTTGAGGGTGAACTTGACATGCACGACGGCGATGGGGCTGGGAGTGTCGGGCCGAGGTTTCCCCATGATGGCATGGACGATGTGGCGGTACCGGTTGTCCACCGTCACAGACGCCGTGTATGATAAGTTTAGTCCGATGATATAGCGGCGCACTTGCACCACAGACGACACGAGCACGGACGTCGACGTCTTACTCATTTGCTGATTTCGCCAAAACGATGTGAAACTGCCGTTGACCTGCGATGGCTTGAAACGGCCAATCGAAACCCAGCAATTGATTGGACCAATCCCTGAGCTTCATGAGGGGGTATAAAACATGCTTTTGCACCAATCACATGCGTCGAAAAAGCGCTCGACGACATCAACATCGTTTGGCATGTCATAATTCCAAAAGCGTCATGGACTGGTACTTGGACGAGCAGAGCTTGGCGTTACAGTACTACGCCGCGACCCCTGGTCAGCGCACCTTCAAGGTCCGGGTAGACGCTTTGTGCGACTATGTCCGTCCGCTGGTGCTCAAGGCATTTATCCAGCGCTCCAAAACTTGGGACATCATCACGTCCGACGCGGACCCACGGACGCCCGACCTGCTGGTACGTCCCAAGCATGACGATGATAAGTGAACATGTGGGGTGATGGTTGTAGTGGCAAGAATACGAAGACCTGGACTGGAAGGAGATCTTGCGTGGCCAAGTGGTGGCCAACTCGTACTGCGTGCGCAAAGGCTTGTCGCGCAAGGCGCAGTTGTCCATCTTCCTCTCCAAGTACATTCGCAAGCATCCTGGCTGTATCTTGAGCAAGGCGCTGCCTGAAACTCTGGTCGTGGACCTCTGGGACGCGTTCGACCAGAGCTTGGCCGACCTCGGCGTGAGCTTCCGCAACCGCCTCGAGTCGTGTCTGTGGGAAGTCAAGCAACTGTTCGACCCAGACAACCAACACGCGTACGCCCCCGACTCTTGCTGGATCATGAAGCCCAGCGCCACCAACAAGGTTTGCAGCTCATGATGCTCTTGGCTGCTGTCTAACGTGACCATCACTCCCAGGGAGCCGAAGTGAACGTGTTCAACACGTACGACAAGTTCAAGGATATCATTTCTAACTGGACCGACATCCGAGGTACACGACCGTCCCCCCAGCAATTATTTGTGCCTCCATAACAGCAATTTGAGCCTTGAACAACAACTGTATCATGACCATCCTGTTGCTAAATGCCAAGACCGTCGTCATCGTTAGAATGGGTGGTCCAGGCGTACATTGAGCGTCCGTTGCTTCTCCGCAACCGTAAATTCCACGTACGTCTCGCTCAAAGATACGGTTCGTCGTCACTGTATCGCAGGTCCGGGTGTACGTGGTGGCCGTGGGCGCGTTGCAAGTGTACGTGTATCAAAATGTGCTTCTGCTCACGTCTTTGAACGCGTACGACCCCAAGAACGTGGACGACAAGCTGTCGCACATCACCAACACGTACCAGCAGCAGGACCATCCGGACTTTGTCGAGGCCGACTGCGTGCTGCTCTTGGAAGACATGGAGCGGATTCTGACGCAAGATCGTCACATGTCGGCCACTGACGCCAAGAGCGTCACGACAACCATGCTGGCCGATATTGGCGCCATCACCCGCGAAGTGTTTGCTGCGTATCGGGGCGAGTTTTCCGTATTCCAGCCACTACCCAACTGCTTTGAAGTGTACGGCGTGGACTTTGTCGTGGACGAGGACTTTCACGTGTGGCTGTTGGAGGTTGGTGGATTCGATATCGTGAATTCGGAATTAGAATCAGCATCGAGTGGATATGTATGGACATAGGTCAACCCTGGCCCTGACTTCAAGCAGACGGGCGGCCGACTGCAGCCACTGATCCAGACGCTGTTTGAAGGCATGGTGGACATTGTCACAGATACGTTCTTCACCACCCCCACGACCCCCACGACGTACCCCGCGTTTGAAAAAGTGTACGACGACAACTGGGGCACGTCGGCCTCCATGACATTTCGAGAAGACTAAGACTGGCATGCATTGTTTGGAACCTAAACTTGTTGCTTACATGTTCGAAATCAAGATCTATAAGACTTTTGGATTGACCTCGAGTTTCCACATCGTAATATATACTGTATCGCAGCCACCCCAACTCATCGCATGCTTGTGCGTGCCAGCGTGTCGTCGGACCAACACCGACAACACTGTACAAGGCTATACTAATATAGTAAGTATACTATTACATCGTTCTCCTTCAATGACTTCTCCTTGTCTCCACCACGTCGTCCATCATATATATATATATATATATATATATATATATTAGCTTAGTCTTATCTTCTATTATTTTTATGTTATACAACACAACGATGAATATATATATATATATATATATATACTAGTATACTGTATCTCATATTTAAACTGTATTCTGTCGAGCAACTGTGGATTCCGCAACCAACCACATGCCCTTTAAGTCTACGAATAAAACTGGACACACTCGACCGGAGGCACAAACGTAGGGTCAAACCGGGCAAAGTACGCTTTCCACAGCCTACCCCATATATAAATAACGTTACCAATCCGAATGAAATACATAGCTCTGCACTCATAAATATATCCATCATAGTACATGGAAACGTACACAATGTTTTTCCATGCGGTAGACGGCGCCAGCACGGTGCGCTCGGGGCTGAACCGGGGGTTGGCAAACGTGTCGCGTTTTGATTGGACGTCGCACCAGATGTTGGTAGCTGCGTACTTGTCAAAGCAGTCGACGCGAGCCTTTTCGCAGTCAAACATAAAGTTGCCATACTTGCAGCTGTACACGTGGTCTGCCAAGAACAGGAGCAACGTCGACGCAAACTCAAACTCCGTCTCAAACTGCCGCAAGAGCTGGTGGATGCAGTCGAGCCAGAGCAAAAAGATGGGCGACCGCTGGTCGTTGGACACGTCACTGCGGGCGTGGCCACACCGGAGCCCAAATTGGTGGCCAAAGCTGCACCATTCCTTCTCCACGAGCACCGCGAACCCTTCCAGCGTCCGATAGAATGGATCCAGCATGAGCTCGGCAAGCGACACCATCTGCGCGGTGCGGTCCCATCCGTCGCTGCAGTGTGTGAGCACCGACACGCCGCTGTTGTGCACGTAATCGGCCAAGTCCCACGACGCCTTGAGCACCTACACACACACACAATACACCGTGTCACATATCTACCAAGTTATGACAATACATGCATTCATCGGATATACCAATCGAACGTGCTTGAGCCAGCCAGAATGGTCGATTTTGTGCAAAAAGCTGGCGCTGTCCGTCGTGTCCGTCGGATCGAACGCCGCGCTCACACTGGAAAACGCATTCCGAATCGCGTGGATGTTCTCCATGTTCATGTGCACGAGCTTGGCGCCGCGGTAGTTGGCCGTGCTTTCAGTTCCTTTGCCCATGGCTTTGTTCCCCGCCGCCGCGAGCTGCCCCCGCGCGTCCATGATGACATATCGATGCGCCGACGGAAACAACAGACTACTGCTGCTGCTACTTCCCCCTCCACACAACAAGGCCGCCACGAGCTGTTCGTCTTCAGCACACCGCGCCGACTTGAGACCCACGAGGGGCTGTGACGACCGCGCGATCACCGCGTGGTTTGTCGGGTGCTGCCAGCACACGACCGGGAGGCGCTGACTGGACCGGAACGCCGCTGCCGCCTGCAGCTTGACGTCCGACATGTCGGCCGGCACCATCACGAACCGCGGGTACGTATCACACAACAAGTACGCTTGATCGATGCATCGAAACCGGCCGTGGAGGAGGCCGAGGCGCTGGTAGTCGGCGCGGATATCGAATGGCGCGACCACGTCCGACGGCAGCGTGTGCGGGCGGTAGAAGAAGCAGAACGCATCCGTGAGCGACGCTGGGAATGCCAGCACCGACAGACACTTGTGCGTGCGTGTAAACTCTTGGCCATCTCGAAAGGCAAACTGAACTTGCTGTGTGTCTTTGCACACGAGCGTGAGTGTGTGGTGGTGATGGCGGGGGTGGTTTTGGCTCGAGGCGGCGGCGAGCGGATTGAAATCGAGCGGCGTCGCGTCCCCCACGAGAATAGCAGCCACAGACAAGATGGGAATCTCCCACATCGTTCCAATGCCGCTGCTACTGCCGCCGCCGCCTCCTTGAAATAGACACCGGTAGTTGGTCAGAAAGAGGCGACCGGGGACAAAATGCGCCGCGCATGAGCCCGACGCAGCGTGGAACACTGGCTGGTGCATGGAGGTCTCGACGTGGGCATAGCATTGCTCGCCATCGAGGAATGACGGCAGGGGCGTGTCGTCGGGGAGGACAAACGCTGGCGGGGGCGACAATGCCGACGACGACGCGAAGGATGTTTGGTGGAGGGGGGGGGCGGCATGCTCATCAGGCGGAATCGAGTCGGTGACATGCAGAAACGACACGTACAGCGGCCGCGGCAGCAGCGCAATATGCTTTTTGATCTCGTCCGTCGATATCTGATACATTTTGACGCCATTGATGCTCTCGACCAAATCGCCGACAAATACACGGCCGCTTTCAAGCGCTCGACCCGACACTTCCTTGACCGCTAGGCGAAAGTCATATGGGGACTGCGCGTTCGTGAGCACAATGCCGAGGGGGGATCCATCGTCAAAGCGCACGACGTCCATGTCGTCGTGGTCTGTCTCGATCATGGGATTGTGCATGAGGAGCGCGCTGTCGACGATCGATTGCGCGGGCAGGCCAACGGACGAAGGCCGCATGAGCAGCTGCAGGCACCCCGTGTTGTCGCAGTCCCGAAGCGCCGCGGAGAAGTGGACGAGGACCGCCACACACATGTACGGCAGCAGCTCCAAAGTGGTTGGGTCAGACGACGATAACGATGATGCGAACATGGCATCCCATACCCGCAATGTTTGGTCGAACGGGAATTCCCGCGCGAGAAGGAGACGCAGCCATCGAAGGCAGTACGTTTCGGGTAGCACTTGGACGTTTTGGAGATGGCGCGCGAGTTGGGGGTCGTGCTTGGCGAGCAATTCGTACTGAACGACGTGGCAGAGCAGTTGGAGGGCAGATTGCGCGGTCGGGCTCGGAAAGGAGTCGGCGTTGTCGGGACCGTTGGACGCGCGGAAGAGAGGGCGTTCTTCGAGCGGGACGGCGGCGCCGCGGTCCGTGGGTAGAGGGAAGAGAGTGGTGTCGTCGTCTACAGCGTCGGTGGACGGGGTGGCGTCCGACTCGACGGGAGCGATGGTTTGGATGGCATACAGTGGTTTCATCCACACCATGATGCGCTGGAACAGAATATACGTGTCGTGCTCGAGGAACTCGACGCGATCGTCGTCGCTGCCGTCGATTCCATCGACGCACGCGTATAGGACGACCGCGACGAGGTCGTGCATGCCTTGTCGGTATGCCAACGTCGGATGCTGCTTGCACCACACAAACAACACATTGCGCAGCATGTCCATGTAGTCCTTCCGCTCTTGGAAGAACGTTTCTTGACCTTGCGGATACAATCGGTCCAAGTCGGTGTTGATTTCCCGCACAAGAGTGTCGTCCGCGAAGAACTGGTTCCACGGATTGTCGTCAGCTTCGCTCAACGGGTGATGTTCCGAGGTCGGGCGGAACTTGAGTTGGTCACGCAGTGTCTCGTAAGCCTTTCGCTCTTGGAACAAGCTCCCGTCGCTGCCGACACCCAGGTACCGCATCCATCGAGCTCCATACCCGTCGTTGCCTGGCATATTTGAAGACCTTGGTCGGGTAAAGTAAGCGGCGAATTGTGCACGATCTTCGACGAAATAACTGCAGAAGGTAGTTTCCTTGCATAATCTATATGTTCAAATGACTCTATATGTTATTTAATGTTACAGGTTGTTTGTACGAGATTTCGACCACCAGATGGTTTACGCATTGTATTCAAATTCAGAGGTACAGTATTACCCTTTTCGCCCTTGCCTGCACAGATATGGTGAATATTGCATTCCCATTGGTTGATTTCTATTTTTAAAGCCGTTTCATTGGCTAATGCATAGCCCGGCCTCGGGTCCATCCAGTATTTGTTTGTAGAGGGAAGTTTAAAGGTCGGTGTGTGATATCCAGAGGTTCGTATTTTTCAATGCGTCGGCCAGCAGCGGACCTCAGCGATGATGAGGGCGGGTACGACAAGAAGACCTCCACAGGTACGGAACGATGCAAAGGTTGGATGCCAGCTGACTCTCATTATATGCCTGCCAGATTACGTGCAAGGTGGTGACGAAAAGCACGGGAATGCTGCCGCGCATCCGTCAAAATGCCGCATGATTGATCGATCCGCTGGGTCGAACCATTCACTCGGCACATGGAAGTACGTAGATTGACCTGCTAATCCGTCAACCAGCCCTTCATGTGTGTTATGGTCGTAGCATTCGCCGCCTTCGCGCGTCTGACGCGTACAAGCGGTACCTGTCTGCGCCGTTCCACACGTTGGTCAACATGAGCGTGTACAAAGTGGTGATCGGTCTCTCGCTTGTCTACTTGACTGTCATCGCCGTCTTCGGGCTGCTCTACCTCAGCATCGACAGCTCGTGCAACTTGGCCATCGCCACGTTCCCCCAAGGGTTCATCTTTTCCGTCAGTGTGTTGTTTACGATCGGGTTTGGTGTGGGTGGCAACGACGTGTTCTTCAACAGCTGCGGCAGTGCCATCACCCTCATCACGGCCCAGGTGCGTCAATCGTCGTCGTTTCTTGTCGTGCACTACCACCATCCCCGTCCTCATTCATCACGTCTGTAGACGATCGTGGGAGTGTTCCTCGATGCGATGGCGTTTGGTATCTTTTACCAGCGCTTTGCCCGCGGCCAAGTACGACACAATCTCCCGCATGTCTCGTTCCTTCGATCCCCATCTTAACGCTGGAATGCTCCCTAGTCCCGCGCCAACACCATCCGCGTGTCGGCCTTTGCTTGCGTCCAAAAGATCCGCGGCCACCTCTACTTTACGTTTCAAACGTGCGAAATGCGCAAGCACCAGGTATTCATCACTGTAACATTTTGAAATCCCATTTGTCTTGTTTTTATTCGAAGAATACTTTTCGTGGTCGTTCTTTAATTCGACGTTACGTTCTTTTATTCGAAGTCGTGGCGTTCTTTAATTCGACATCTGTCTTTAAACCCACCTCTAACATTGCTTGCAGCTGTCGGAAGCACACGTGCGATGCTATGCCGTGCTGCACAAGTCGGTGCATTTTCCCCATCAAGTGCACCATATGCAAGCGTACCCGATGCGGCTGCAGCAGCCGGATGACGACTTGAACGGATGGCTGATCTTGGCCTTGCCCACCATCTGCGTGCATCGGCTGGACGCGTGGAGTCCGCTGGCGCCGCCGCCGCTCGACCCAGAACCCACGCACAACCCCGCAACCCAAGCACTGTTCCCAGGTACAAAAGTGTTTCCTATCTTGGTCTAACGTGGTCGTAGAACCGCCGCAACGTGCGGTGGACATTGAGTCTGGCACCCGCGAAAACAAGTACCGCGTTGACAAGCCCGCGCTCTTCAACTCGGCGACCACGAACGTCTTGACGCCCGTGACCAAAGCCGACATCGACCGGCTCTTGCGCTTCTGGAGCGACACGGAAGTACGTCCATGACACAACTACGCATGTCCCCCTGAATCACACGATGGTGTGAGTAGATGGAAGTGGTGGTGGTCGTCGAAGGGGTCGACGCGGCCACGTCCTCCACGACCCAGATGCGGCACTCGTTTAAGGCGCACGACGTCGTGTTCAACGAACAGTTTGTCAACTGTGTGTTCATCGACAACGAGACCGGGGGCGCCATCATCGACTTTAAGCACTTTGATCGGACCACCCCACTCGACTTTGCGGCGATTCCCGTCACTACGCCGCGTGAAGCTGTGTAACGTGTCGTGCAAGGACTCGTAATACATACACATTACATTGGTTTTCATGCATAGTAATAATACCTTCGATTGCAAAATGATTGATAGGTTACAATTATTATGATATTCTACAGGTATTGTCATATTTGCTGTACCGCATAACTCTACCTAAACCTCTATAACTAGATAAGTTCAAGAGAAATCAAATATAGGTGGATAGAAATTATACGGAAGCACAGTGAAAATTGAGCATCATTCCTGATCGATTTGGACCATAACTTCTAAGATACTCTAATTAGGACTCTCTAAGCATTAAAATCGGATTTCCTGTGAAATTCTCTGCATGGAAGTATCCCTATTGTCTAGGCAATATAACCTATTTTGACTGAGGTACAATTCTTTAAAGCTCAACAAAGCGAAACCTATCAATCATTTCCAATCAATCGGAGATAGGTACCTGGTATGTATATTAGATGAAAAACTACGAGACGAGCACTTCAAATACATTTCTTGCAAGTTGGGTGGTGTTTAGAAACACCGATTTGGAGAAGAGTCGGACCGTTCGTTGACTCGTAAATAGGACAGACGTCGCAGGCTGTTTACGCCGACTTCTTAGCAGTTCGCTTGGCGGGCTTGGACGCAGCCGCCTTCTTGGTCACCTTCTTCGACGACTTCTTGGGGGCGGCCACCTTCTTGGCAGGGGTAGCGGCCTTCTTGGCGGGAGCAGCAGACTTCTTAGCAGGCGTCGCCTTCTTCGCTTCGACCTTCTTCACAGGGGCCTTCTTAGAAGTCACGGACTTCTTGGCAGCCACCTTCTTGACGACCACTTCCTTAGCAGCGGCAACCTTCTTGGCAGCGCTCTTCTTAGCAGCCGCGGGCTTCTTTTCAGAAGCAGCCAACTTGTACGAGCCCTTGACTTGGATCAACTTTTCGCTGTCCACGCCGGCCTTCAACGCCTTGTTCAACATGTGGCTTTGGAAGTTGTTGGTCTTCTTGCCTTGCACAAACTTGGAAATCGCTTGGCGAGACGATCCGTTGCGTTCGGCCAAGTGTTGGATGGCTTCCTTGATGCAGTCATAGTACGAAGGACCAGTGGAAGCTTTGGCGGCAACGGGGGCAGCCTTGGCGACGACCTTGGCAGCGGGCTTCTTCTTGGAAACAGCTCCCTTCTTCACGGCCGGCTTGCCCTTGGAGGTTGCGGCCTTCTTGGAAGCGCGCTTCTTGGACTCGGCGGGGGCGGCAGCGTCCACGGCGGCAGGGGCCACTTCAGTGGTGGCGGCAGGGGTAGGTTCAGCGGCAGTCTTGGCAGCAGCTCTGGTCATGGTTTCTCTCGTGCGAAATCGAAAATGACCTCGCAATTCTCACACCTATTTTACTGGAATTTGGAGTTGTTGCAATAACACAAGGCCCGCGATGTGATTGGACAGTTTAATTTTCAGTGTTTGATTGGTTAATTCAAATGCTAGGCAAGAGATGATTCGCGGAAATTTTGCTACAAGTCGCTGATTGGCGCGATTCAAATTCACCCGCGTCGAGAAAATGAGCCATGTTTCCTCCTGCTCCAATCTGATTGGCTGCTGAGGGTAATGCAATATTCAACCCTCACGGCAAGCATTGCTGATGCTAGACAACGATGACATGGCTACATATACGTATATCTACTGGATAGAACCTGGTGCTGGCTAATGCACAGTTCGTGAGCGAGGCGGTGCAGCGGGGGTGACCCGTGGCACAGAATGAACCCCGACACGAGCCAGCAGCTAATCCTTACTGCCAACGCCGCCGTTTGGATCAATGTCCACGTGTTCTGGTGCAGTTACGGATGAGCTGGCGTTAACATATATACCTTAGACCAACTCGATCTGGGTAAACACCGTGTCCAAATCCCGAACGGACGCCGGTGCTGCTCATCATGAGCATGGCCATCATGCAAATGACAAACGCCATCCACTTCCAAATCATCCTGCAATCCCATCGCACATGTAGCTCGTTGTAGTAATTGAATGCGAAACCGATGGTAACTAACAACACCAAGTCCTCTACATCTCACAGACTACATCCCGACACAGTGACGACGCAAGTTCCGGGGACTCACCCCAAGCGACTGCTCGCCACCGTACAAGCTTGGCCACCGCTCGCATAACCACGACCTCATCACAACCACCACAGGCATTAAACGTGTAGCTGGGCATTCCGTCGAACTGTACATCTCATGTAGCAGTCATTCTCTGCGGTACTACCTTGCCGTATATGGCGTTCTAAGCATCACAGGCATCGCAGAAAAGGAAAGAACGGTTGAAGGCAGAAATATTAACAATAAAGTTAAGACTCGGGGTGGAAGGCCGAGTGTTGCAAAAGTCCACGCCCGCTTGATTGCAGTTGATGGCTTGCAAGCCTTCCTCGACCCTCGATCATGTCCATGCCCATATGGGCCGTCTGGGGCATCACGCCGCGTCGTTGGCCCAGTTGTCAATCGTCCGCCAGATCCCTTGTGGCCATGATATCCTATGATTCCTATAAATTCTCCTTAGCATATCAAGTAACCACATGGAAGGGCATAGTGCAGAAACCACCTCACTTGCAAGTGCACAGTGCACTTTCATGGTACACCAACTACACAACTTGAGAAGCGCCATGACGTGGGTCCCTCGTTACATGATGCAACGTCTCGCAGTTATCGACTATGTAGGACATATGTACTGTTGCCATGGGTGTCGGATATGCTTCAGCATCTTCGCCAACTCGGTTGCAGCAGCATGTCGCGACCCCAGCAGAGCAAGTTTGCCGATCGAGCCACTTTCACCGCCCTGTCGATGTGGTTGTCCATGAGCCTCTAGATCTTGATGCGGGCAAGGCGGAGCTTTTCGATGAAGTTCAGCACCAGGTCTTGCAGCCCGTCCTCCACCCCCGTGGTCCCAACATATCAAAATGAGCATTCAATATGGTTATTGCAGCAGTGTTGTTGTTTATGTACCTACACCGGTAGTATACGTATATATCCACGACAAAGAGTCTCCACCTCGTCCACGAGTGTGTTAATAGCATTCGTTTGACTGGTCGCTCGCAATTGCATCAACGTCAAGTCGCGAGTGGCAGCATTGTACCTAACCAACCAGTCCTTGAACTCGACTTAGCCGATATCTGTTTTGGCGATGACGTAGGTACGCTGCTTCCGTCGGGCCAGTGGCTTGAAGTGGCGCTGGGTGGTCGCCACAACCTCCTGCGCATGACGCTCTTGATCGTGGGTCGTCCGTCGTGCGACGCTGGCTGCACCTTGATGCGTTTAGGTCAAGCTGTTTTGACCAGTATTTCCTAATTATAATAGAACGAACGTTACTGACAGTGAAATACTTCAATGATAATTTTTGATGTGGATAATATAATATAAATCCAGTACTATCTAAACAATACTACGTAGTACAAGAAAACGATTGTCAATCGCGTTCATATTATCCCGTGTCCGCGACGTTTCGAAGATTGCACAAATGCTTCGGCCATCATCGTATTGGTCGCCATGGGCAGCGGTAGAATAGCTCGGCTTCGGTCCACACTCGAGTTGCTCTTTGCGTGATGGTGTTGTCTATGTGGGTTGATGGAGTGTTTGATGGTCTGCTTTCTCGCTGCCACCATCCGATGGACAATCACTTGGTCTGGTTTCATGGCAAAGTACACTGCTTGGGCTCGTTCGACCTGGTGCCGCCTTGCTTCCAAAGCGGCCGCCGTGTACTCTTCCAGCAGTGCGTTGCGTCGTTGTCGTTTGAGAAATCCGTGCAATCTCGCCAACGCCGTAGTCAAATTGCGATGGCGGACACGATGAATGTACCATTGCCGCAGCCTCGTCGCGGCATTCCATCGTCGGCACTTGAACAAGTAGTGACGGACGAGGCGTTGGATCCGACCGGCGTTGGCATGGGCCCGTATAACCAGCCCCTTGTCCATTCCATATCGTAAATGTGTATGTGTGTTTTGGTCATGGCAGGTCAAAGTACCTTGATATGCCGACATGCTTTCAACCCTCGGCGGTGTCGGCGGGCCATGGCTAGCCGACGGATGCCTTGGACAATGCGGAACAAGCGCTCCGTCTTCCTGATCCGTGCGGCCCACATCGCCGCGCGCACGGCCTTTCTCGCAACATGCCCTCGCCACAGGGCTTGGAATACCCTTGCACCACGATGCCACGTCACCAAGAGATGTTGCTGGAGACGCATGACGTCCAAAGTAGACTCTTCGATCGCTACCGATGCCGTTTGCAGCTGGCTACTGCTGCAGTACCGCCGCCGCTTATCGTCCACACTGTACTGCACCAATGGTGCCATCACGTCGAAGTACAGGTGTCGATGGCGTTGCAACAGACCCAGCCTGTAGGTTCAGTCGCTTAGCCAAAAATCTCGAGTGAAAACCTTGTTATTCGTACCATGCATCTTCAGCGTATTTATATCCATGATCTGGCGACGTTTCCAGATACTCTGGCGTGTACGTGGCGAGTTGCAGGACATGGCTGGGCGGTAGTGGCGATGCCTCCGACGATTTCATGGGCGATTTATCTATTTTTAGTTACGTTTTCTAGGAGGCACAATTGTTTGCAGCGATGTACCGAGCCAACAAGAGTGGGTATGCCCACTTTGACGAGCGTAACCTTGGCGGGCGGAGTCAGGTGGGGGCCGAACTCAAACGCTTCCAGGCGGTGGTCTTGTCGCCCAAACCGTCTCCTGAAATCACTCCGCGCGATGCCCAGTCGTATGGTACGGTATCTGTAAAAGTGTAATGTCGTGATGTTCGCAGTGTACTTGCATGCAAGGAAGCGCCCTGAAGTGGACCATTATCCGCCACCTCCATGTACGTGTATTACTCTATTCCAGCCATGGAACAATCTCATATTCGCATCGCGTGGGGTGCTATAGGCTATCCACCAGGCTACACTCTTGTGAGCAACATGTACAGTCGACAGAACGTGAAAATCTACCGAGTATTGCAGTCAAGAATTGCGTTCACTGTCCATGTAGTGATGCCATTTGGAAATGCAGTTCGTACCAACAACGCCAAGACTACCGCGACCATTGCCAGCGCCTGGCTCACTTGACTCAACACATTCACGATCACAGCGCCCACGTACGACTGTGATATAACTACAAGCGCAATTTCATGGCTGGGACAGAGTCACGAGCGGCGGAATGCCAGTCTGGTGCGAACAAATTTCCCTGCCATGCACCCCAGCACCCGGCGGATTGAGGTGGCGACGGGATTTACAATAGTGCAGTGTCTCATGCAACATTATAGAGTCCTCGGCCTCCTCGAACCGCGCGGCCCCGATCGTGCGGCCCCACGATGCGTTCCAAGCCCGTCGTCCAGCCAGTGACGCCAGTGGTCATCCCCAACAACTCGAGCAGCAGCCAGTACCGCAATAAGTTGCTCGCGTACATTCGACAAATTCAATCGGAGGATGTCAACCTTGATCACGACTACGACCGTTCCCATATCACCACCCCACACCTGGCGGCCGGCACGTCCGTCCCGCCTGCCGACGAGCCAGTCCAAAGGACCCTTCCACTGGGTTGGGACACAGCCGTAGACTCAAAAGGCCGCCGGTATTACATCGATCACGTCCGCAAACAAACGACGTGGGACGCACCCCCTGAGCATATAATCAAAGCCCCCACTGTTAACGAAAATACCAAGTAACTAACAACACTTAGTACAATTAGTTTCCATGCACATGCAACAAAGAGAGGTCGCGACTACAGATGTTTGTCCGGACGCTAGAATTGCGACTGGTGTAAAAAGTAAACGACGCTTTGACCCGACTTGGGCTGGCGGTTGGCCGATTCGGCGGCCGACCGGCGGAATTCGGGCACCCGACGGCATACTTTGCGCGCCATTTGCTTGGCTACGGCCACGTTGGAGCTCGTGAGCGACGCGTGGCGCCGGGCCAGCGTCTTCATGATGTACTTGACCAGGCGGGGCTTGATCCACGACCGCAATGCGCGATGCATGAGCACAGACGCGCCGCTCATCGTACAGTGCGCCACGTCATCGTCGAGGCGCCACCCGCCGTACTTTTCGCCGGTCCGGATGTCGGTCTCAAATGCCGCGCGGATCAACTTGGCGAGGTGGCTGCGGCACCCGTCCTTTAAATGGACGTCCATGTCCTGGAACAAGCCCATCTTCTTGTCTTCCTTGGCGTGGCGGAAGAAGCCCTGCACGGCGTTGTTCACCGCGGGCTCGTACAGGGCACAGCACGTGATGGCCACGTTGTCGAGAATCTAGTACCCCAACCATCCGAAAACACATGTCATCACTTTGCTGCTATTCTCGTCCCAACACTCCAGAGATTCTAGCAAAAACTAGTACGTACAAGACTGGTGGTGTGAAGCAGCGGCGAGTGGGCCAAGATGAGGTCGTCGAGCAAATCCAAGTGGCCAGGCAGGTACGACCGGGCGTCGAGGTAGTCGAGTGCCATTTGCTCGAACGCGGACGGACCGAAACGAACGAGGTCGGCGTCGTCGTGCAGCAGTCGGATCATCGTAAGCGCCACGTTGGGTTCGTCGTCGCCATGTTTATGCAACGCGGCGGCAGCCCGAAGCATGTCGAGCTGGTGGCTCACAAACGTGTCCTTGTACGGATCGGTGGGCGACACGAACGTGAACGACTTGGCGTGCGCGACCATGTCTTGGGACTGGCTGAACGTCCCATGCAGGAACGTGAGAAACCCAGTCGTCCACAGCGGCTGCAGCATGCGTTCTAGGCACGCCTGCAGTTTGAGCGTTGGAAGACACACGAGCCGTTCGCAACTTGAGCCGAACTCGTCCATCATAGACTTGGCAAACTTGGCTGGGTGTTCGAGCACGTCGGGCGCTGTGGCACTCGCTACGACCAGCAAACTGTCTAGAATCGGCAAATACCACGCATACGCCTGTAGCAATGCCGTGTTCCACACAGGTTGCTCTTGGTGGTGCAGCAGCCCGAGGGACTGCGCCATGTCGCGCTTGACAAACAAGTTGGAGATACGTTCACTTTGCATGTTTTCCTCCAACAAGCCAAACACTTGGCATCGTCGATGCAATTTCGCCGCGTGAAAGTAGTTGAACAGGAACCGGATCTCGTACATCCCTGGCTCGGACGGCGTCGTGACCATCATACGCCCCGTGACTGGGCCAGACCCGTGGTTGGCAAAGAAGGCCGACGGCGGGACGATGTCCAGCTTTGTGCAGTTGCGGGTGTTGTGGATGTCCCGGACTTTGTAAAACGCAATGCAGTTTTTGTTCTTCGGGTGCGCGAGAATCTCGTACGAGACGCCATAGATGTTCCACGACACGTTCACGGCCTGGTTGGCCCACATGAGCGGCGAGTCGGAGCTGAGTCGAATGAACAAGTCAAACGTGCCGACTCCCACGGCGTTGGAGCTGAACTTGTTGAGCGGGTCAAAGTCCTCCGGCGCGGTGGCCATGGCAACATGCCCGCCGGACGGACGGCGCTCGGCATCGTTTAGCAGCGGCGTCGCCTCTTGGTTGTCCACCACAGCGTACGACGCGCGGGACGAATGGTCGCGCTCGTCGTTGAGCTTATTGCCGACGTACCGCAAGTACAGAAACTCGTACTTTTCCATCCCGTACTTGCACGGGTAGATGCCAGCGGCATTGCCAAACACGAAGTCCTCATGTCGGGGGTGGTCTTCGGCTTCGTTCCAGTTGCACGGACGGAACTTGACGTGGCCGTTCACAGTCTACAAGACAAAGACCCCACGATGGTCAGTCTCTGAAGACTAGATTCCGAGATTCGATGGGGGTGGTTGGTACCTTGGACGACTTAGCAGCCGACGCGCTGTCGTCGTCGTGGTTGTTGTCCATGGCATCTTCAATCGCATGTCCATCAAACTCGTCCTTGTGCTACACACAACGTTACGTCAGAATTGCACGTCAAACATATCGGCGAGAAAGATCAAAATTGGCGACATGAACCGACCTCTTCGATTTCTTCAAGCAGAATGTCATGCATTTTCTTGGGCGACGGCGGCGAGTGGGCGAGAACGTGCTCAAACATACTTTCGGCGTGCGTAAAGTCCACCAACTGCTTGCCGTCGCCACCGTCGCCGTCGGCCATCCCTGCCTCGGGTCGGTCCTGGTTGGACGTGGCTTCGTTCTTGTCGTTGCTTTCTTTGGCCAGCCGCTCCGACGTCCGGTGCAGCGACCCTATTTTTCTGTGCAGAATCTTCTCGAGTGCCACGGCGCGCTTGATCATGACTTTGTCCTGGTGGTTCTCGTTGGCCGCGTCCGGCTTCCACCCCAACGGCTCGGCGTCCGAGTCGGACACGAGGCGATAGCACACGCACTGGTCCATCGTCCTCCGCGTGAGAATGTTGTCGAGCGACCGCGCCGGAAACATGCCGATGGCGTCCGACGCGTGGAACCGGCGTTTGGAATTCACCCGCCAGCTCACCGTGACTTCGCCCTCGCCCACGTCCAGTTGGTCCGACTGGATGATGTAGCTGACTTCGGGCAGCGCAGACAACACGACCAAGTCGCCCTTGGTGTCCTTGCTTTTGTCCTTCTCGTTGTCATCGTCGCTGTCGTCCCCGTCGTCGCACTCGTCGTCCTCCGACTCCGTTTCGTCCTCGTCACCACCGCCGACATTATCCCCCAACGGGGCAAACTCGACATTGACCCCCACGATGCCCAATTTGTCGGCCACCGCTTTTTCCGCGTCCTTGACCTTGTCCGTCACAGCTTTCGTTGCTTTTTCATTCACAGCAGATACTGCGTCCCCCAGAGCTCCTGTGGTGTCGTCGTTCAAGCCCAATTGACTTTGAATTTGGCTCAATCCTCCCTGCTCCAAGTTGACCACCTTGGCCATGTCGTTGGAGGCCACTGCTTTCGCCGCCGATTGGGCTGTATTGATCGCGCCTTGCAGCGACTCTTGCAGGTTCGCTTGCTCGACTTTGGCGAATTCTTGGAACTTTCGGTACGTCTTGAGCAGTTGGTGGTTGAATTCCATCACTGGCGCCACGAACGCAGCGATGAGCGCCGCGGCTGCGGGCGTGCCAAGGCCGTCGGCACTCTGGTTTATCAGTGGCATAAGCACTAAAGTGAGCACGGACGCCAGCTCCACCATCGAGCTGAGCCATTTCGTAAGCGTCGCCAGGAATTCCGTGTCCAAGAGGTACACGACCCCCGTTTCGTCGTGGTCGTCGCGAGCCTTGCCCCATCGCATCAAGCGCAACTTGACTTTACCCACACGCTCGCTTTCGGGCTTGTCTGCTTGCAAAAACTACGCCCATCACCTGTCAATGTCATGACGTGGCAAGCTCGTGTGTTACCTGGTCATTGAGAAAGTAACTCAGAATCGGCCCTCGGTTCATGCAGTCCGAGATGAACGTGAGGACGCCCGCCGACGAAAACGGCAGCCACAGCAAACTGTTGACCTACAACCCCCCCATAAACACATGTTAAGGGTATTTCTACCTATGCAAATGCTATAGTACCTTGCCATGCAACGCCATCATTTGCAACTGCTTGACTTCGTTGTTGGGCTCCATGGGAAAGCAGTTCTTGCCGCGCTCTTCAATGTCGTAAACGTCCCAGCGGTCGTGGTTCCATAGCCCAAACGTCACGGCGAACACATCCAAGAGCGGTTTGATGACTTTCTTGAACAGCCAGTACCGTTTCCACTCGGAGTTGAAGCGGCAGCAAAACTTGTCGGTCCACGACGACGCCCCTCGCAAGTGTGCGCGGGGGTACATGTATCCGCGCTTCCCCCGCCACCCAAACACCGCGCCCAGGGCTCGCACGATGCTCTGGAGCAGCAAGACCGTGTACACGTACAAAATGACAAACCAAATGCCCACGTAGCCGTACGTTTTCGTGAGTTTGTGAAAGTTCGAGTACTTGTAGTCCATAAATATGCGCTGGCCAGACCCGTGAAACCAAAACAAGTTGCGGAACGAGCACCACCGCGACCACTTGGGGTCCTTGGCGTTGTCCCCGTAGTCGATCAGGTTGACGTTGTTGTCCACCGAGTCGTGGATGCCCTGTTTGCGGCCGTGATGGCTCGCTTCGATGCGCTCGTCGTCGCTCTTGAGGTCGAAGGGTGGCACCCAGCTGAACATGTCGAGCACCAGCAGCGGAAAGAAGAAGTAGAAAAACGTGATCAGGAGCGACGCCCCGATCACCTGGAGCGCGTAGTCAAGGCCGGCCACCGCGCACTGCTGGCTGGCTTCCGGCTGCGTGAACGATCGGCCGTTCTGCAGTTCGTTTGAAAACGCTGTCCACTGCTGGGCGATGAACAAGATAAGCACTTTGATCACAATCAGCACGGGGCTCACAAGAATAGACCCAAGCTGTTCGAACCGGTCTTCGCCCGTCTTTCCGAGCTCAAACGGCAAGTACGACCCGATCTTTTGCACCTTGGCGAGAATGTCCTCTTGAATGACAATGTACAAAAACAAAGCCGTGGCCCACAGCGCGATCCAGTTCACGACCATGCCCGCGCCGTGGGTGCAGTTGGCAAAGAACTTGAAGATATTGAGGTCCACCATGACGTACTCGAGCAAGCTGGCAAAGAACTCGTCGAACCAGGCAAATATCTCCTTGATCACCGGTACGACGTCCCGCAGCGCTTTCAAGCATTCCTGCTGGAGGTTGCGCACGGTATCGAAGTTCAAGTGTGGCCACGTCACCTTGAGCGCCAAGTTGGACACGAACGAGACGTTGAACGACAAGTTGAGCAACGCTACAAAGTACTTGAGCGCGAGCACGAAAAAGTGAAATCCCGACTCGACGAGCGCCAGTTTCTGGTGGATTGAGAGCGTGAACCACGACGACTTTGGCTCGGTCGATTGAATTGCAAACGGTCCCACGCGCCCTAGCTCCCCCAGCGACCCCCTGTTGTGCCCCCGACGCATGTACTTGCAAATATACATATCTCCATCCGACACGTCGGCCCCCACAAACTTGACCACGGGACCATGAACGCTGCCCGCGACCCCACACAGGTCGCCTTGGGCAAACCCCGATTCTTTGATCGGAACCTAAGCCCCCATGCATAGAATGAGGCTTTTTGTCACGATAAGGGAGGGGGGGCTTACTTGTCGACGAAACAAGTTGTTCTTGACCTGCCCTTGGTTTTCTAATTCGAGCTCGGTCGTACGACATTGCAGCTCTTCGATGAGCTCGGCAATGATGGCTGGAAAGTGCGCCTTCAATTTAGGCGATCCTTTGTGAAAGAGGGGCAGACACTCTTCAAACACGTACAACCACCGGACGTTGCGTAGTTTCTTCCATGCGGTCCACAGCGACTTGTACGTGCGCGCTTTTTGTAACAAACTGGCGTTGGCAAATTGCACCACGGTCAGCATGATCTGGAGCTCCCATTGGATCTGCTTTCGAATGCGGTTGGTGCGCTCGGCGTCGCTTGTCTGGAGTTTGCCCAGAATCTACCGGTCAAACCAATTGGCTGTAAATGTGTGTTGTGTTGTTGGTTCTATGTCCTCTACCTTGACGCGTAGTCTGTCGGACGTTTCCACGATCACTTGCGGCAAGATAAGCACGCTGTCGTGGGTCAAGTCGTTCAAGTGGGGGTTCAACTGGGGAGACACCCCGCCCGCGCCTTCGAGCAAAAAGTCCACGCGCATGTTGCTGGCGTAGGAAAAGTTTGGCGGCGCGGTATTCGACGACGCCCCGAGCATATTGGGCACGCTGTGACGTTTTTCGTATTCGAGCCGAATAAGCGCCCACCCCTTGACTTGGTCTTCCAGCTCTTGGCATCTCGCTTCGATCTGGAGGATATGTTGCTCCAACGGCACTTTGTCAGTAGTTGTCGCCAACTGCCCCTTGAGTGTCTACGTTAAATTGTTGTATTGTCAGGGTGGCCATGCCAAGCTTCTAGTATCGTGGCAACGACTACGGACCTCCCATTCGACCAACAGCGCGTCCAGCTCCGCCTTGGTCTTGGCCTGCTGGGTTTTGATCCCAGCGACGCCGTTCAGTTTGGCTTCTTCCATGCCTCGAACCTTCATTTGGAACAACGCCAGCTGATCTTCCAAGCGCTAATTCCACACACCATCGCATTAGTGCAACATGGGACCCTACGCGTACCTTGCGCTTGGCGGCACGGAGGTCCCGCACTGCGAGCTGGCCGTCGAGTCGCGTGCATTCGGCTTGCAACATCGCGATCGAATTGTCCAGCTCGGCGTCGTACCCACACGCACGGAACCACCATGGCGACGATGCCACGGGCATGGTGCTGACTTGAATCACTTGGCTGGTGGTCGTGTCCACGATAGACAGCGAGCACTTGACCGTTTTGACGTCCACCAACGGCGTCGTGCCGAACACAGTGTGGATGCTGTTGATGCCCACATACACGTTCAGTCCGGCGCTGACCCCGACGGACGACCGATAGTTGACCCCCTCGATGGTTTCTTTGCGGATCAAACTCAGCCGGTACGTGCCTGGTGGAAGCGACAAGTCTCTTGCTGACGGGAGGAGGAACCATCCGGCCGCCGAGCTCCCCCCTGGACTGATTGTCCGGTGCAAAATATCCGCCTTCGTCTCGCCGTTCGAGTACAACCCCACGCTCGAATCGAAAATGTCCCAATTTCCAGTGGTCGGATTCCAGAACAACGTGAAGAACGACGTGTTCAACATGACCTTTTTATCATCGTTTTCGCGCACGAGTGAGATCGAGTCGCCTTGCTGAACTCGGAATTCGTCGCTCGTGGTCCACGTCACCGTCAGCGGGGCGTCGGCGGGGTACTCGAGCTTGTCGGGGTCGATGGCTACGAGCGGTTGGGCGTCGGCCATTTTGCTGATCGTGTCGCACTTGTACTGGACTTGCAGCAGCAGTTTCCCGGCAACTTTCTGGTCGTCGTCAAAGATCATGGCCAAGTCGTCCGTTTCGAGCGAGTCGTCGTGCAACACGTCCTGAAAGTCCTGGATCGGTAGCGCGGTTTGGCCGACGCATTTGACTTTGAACTTGGCGCGTTTCTGGTTCTGGCGCCACGCCGCCTGCTCGTTCTCGAGCAACGTCACTTCGCCACGCAGGTCGACAATCACGTGCGCCAACGCGTCGGCTTCGTGCTCCTTGCGCTTGAACTTGGTCATTTGTTGCTCCAATTCTGCCGTCACGTCGTACAAGTGCAACGACTCGACGAGCAATTGCTTTTGCTTGTCCAGCAAGCCGCGAATCACGCGCTCGGACTTCTCTGCACGCCCAAGCTCGATCGTGGCCTGCAGCAGCCGCTCGTACTTTTGCGGATTGAACTTGCGCGCCTTTTCCGTGCGCTTGAACAACTTGATGACGACATGCGTCTGCCGGTCGGTCGTCCGCGTGCCATCCACATACAGCCGGAATCGATCGGTGGAAAATTTGACCACTCCTTCGGTCAATGGATCCTAACGGCAATCTCGTGTGAGTATATTGAGTCGACGATATACTGTATCACATGTACCTTATTAACCAAGCGCGAGATCATTCGGTGACTTCGCAAGTCCACGGGCGTTGTAGCGTACGGGTTCATTGTATGGTACATGTCGATCATTTGATTGCGAGACGCTTGGTAGTCGTCTTGGTTGTCTACGAATCCAAAGTGCAATGTCACGAAACTAGCCAGGAAACGGCGTAGTGTTACCACGGGGGTATTGCTCAAACTGATGCTCCATCGATTCGTAGGATGCCACGAGTTCTTGGGACTGGCCTTCGTCCCAGACTTCATGGGGCGCGCATTTGTATGACGCTTGGCGCTGGCCAAAGAGCACTTCGCGCGCTTTCTTCCTCCACGGCTTGCGCTTGGGTTTCTTGAACTCGTCGTTCCAGTCCGTGCCCGTGATCGTGTACACAACCACATAGTACTGCTCCAACGCGGTTGACGACGCGTCCGAGTCGGCAGTGTCGCGTAGTTCGCTGGCGCACTTGACACTCAAGTGCAACATGCCCTTCTCGCGCGTCGCCTATCATGCCATCCTGAGCTGACATGTGTAGAATACACTAGGACTAACCAAGTTGGACTCAAACGACGTGGTCCACGCCGGGGCTTTGAGCTCGATCACACGCTCAACCACTTCCTCCGTCCGACTGAATGCAATGCCAGCGTTCACGGCTTCCTCTGCAAAGTCGTCCGTGCTCGCGACCGTGTCTAGGACATTCGCGGCAATGTCATTCACGCTAATTCGCTCGGGGGCAGCTTGGATCTCCGCCGCGAGGGCCGCTACAAAATGTATGGCTTACAAATCTAACAAGGACGTTTTTAGACTTGCTTTACCTGCTCGACTGTGACGAGGTTCAGGTTCCATCTTGTACGCTTGAATGTAGTTCCAGTCGAGGATCGAGTCGCGATTGCCAAACGCTGCCGACGGATACAACTGGACAAACCCACCGCAGGTGATGCCGGACGAGGCGGTTCCGTGGTCGCCTTCGATGGTCGCGCACAACTTGGCCCATACGTCGTCGTCGAGCTCGAACGACGACTTGCGGGCGCTGAGGAGGTCGCGCAGCTCTTGTTTCCGCATAACCCTACACAAGACACGTGGATGAGAGAGCCCGGCAGAAGCCCAACAACGACGTACTTGACTCTAGCAAACTCGTCAAAGAGCAACTTGGAGTAGTGCAGTTTGACCCACGCGTCGACGGGGTTGACTTTTTTGTTGGCGAGCGCAAATATGCGGTAAAAATCGTTCTGGGTCCACTCGTACTTGGTCACGTCGGTCTTTTGCATCTGCTCGAGAAACGCGGACCACGTGAGCGACGGAAAGCACGCCTTGTGGAGGCCGCGCAGGCTGTCAATGTGAACTGTCGTGTGGTTGTGGCCGTCTTCGAACAAGTCGAGCGCTTCGTCAAACAGCTTGTCCACCGAGTGCAAGTGCACGTACAATCGCTTCAAGTCGTGGCCTTCAAACTTGGCCGAGAGAAATCGTCGGTCCAAGTTGAGCAGTTCCAGCACACTGCAAGTAAACTGCTTCTCCGTGAGCCCCACGCGGGGCTTGGCGTCGATTCCCCTGCAAAACTTGGTCCACTTGTCCACATCCATCGCGCCCCCTTCCCCCGTCACAGCCTCGCGGAACAGCATCGCGTTCTCGTACGGTAGAAGTTGTGTGGATTCGTCTTGAAACATGCGAAACAACAGGTGAGCGTACTCCAGGATCGTCCACAAGTCCAGCGGCGACGTCTTGAGCCGCGTGAGCACGTCCACGAGGTTCTCGGGGGCGACGCCCCCCGATCCCCCCAGAAACGAGTGCCAGTGGTCGTGCAACTCCAGCCGCATTCGCCCCGACTCGGCGACCGTCACCTCAGACGGCCCCGCGCTCTTGTCCGCCACGCCTTGAATCCCGGTCAACGACAGAATCACCTGTGAGTTTTCCCCGATGAACTCGCACGAGCTGCTCAACGTGATTTCAAACACATGCGACGCGGCGTTCCAGTACGTTTTCGACGCCCGGACTGTCGCCGGTTTGAGGAACTCGACGTCGATCGCCTCGACGTCCTTGGCTTTCCAGTCGGCCGTGGGCATTTCCACGACGATGGTGCTGTTGGGTCCGAGATCCGTGAGCGCGTGGAACGTCAGCGTTGTGCGGTCGCCCATTTGCATGTAGTGCGAGTGGAGTCGTAGAAAATGCAGCGTGTACGGTTCCTCCGACTTGACGCGGGCCGACAGCGCTGCCATGACAGTATTGAAGTGGGTGTTGTCTGATGACCCAGACAGCGCGAACGGTTTGATGGTGTTGATGCGCTCCGGCACGCCCATGTTGTTTTGAAACACGATCGCGCTCAACACGTCGTCCTTGGCGACAAGTCCGTCGACAGCTTTCAGCGGGTCCAGCTCGGCCACGACCGCACATTGGCCGAAAAAATCGGCGGCAAACGTCACCCCTGCGTCGCCCCGGACCACCTCGATGGTTTTCGGGCGAAGGGATGGGTCGGCAAACTTGGTCGTGGGCCGGCCTGCCTTGGCCGCGATGAAATTCTCTTGCACGAGCGAGCGCCACGTCGACCAATCGTTGAACAGAGTGATGGTCGTGCCGTCGTCGCCGGTGTGCAAGACCACCCCCGGCCCGGCGAGCAAATGCGTGGCAATGCCATGGATATACAACGTCACGAACGCGTCTTGCTTGATGCCCTTGGAGCCGGTCAAGGTCACCGTCACCGTCGATGACGCCGCGTCATACACACACTGCGGACGCAACAAATCTTGCAAAGTCGGCTCAAATGTTATGGTAATCGCGTTGGTGGGTGCGGTCACACCGGGGGGCAGTTGGACGGAGAACGACCCCCCCCGTCCAATCGGTTCGTACACGCGGAAGGACAGCTTCAAGTCTGTGTCTTGGATGTGGTAGTACACTTCTTGCCGCACAAACACCACTTTGCGCACCGTTGCACCTACGTTGCATGTCTGTTGTTAGAATTCGTCCCAAACGTGACATGTCGAGATATTACCATGTGTGTCGAGCTGAGATTGCACTTTGTCTTGCCTCGCCCGCTCGCCGTCCACGGAATCGAGGGGGTCGAACAGGATGAGCTGGCCGTCTATGCACGCGACGATGTCATCCTTTTGAATCGTCTGGTGCTTCTTTGCTTGGCCGTCGATCGAGTGCACCGACATGCATTGTCCGAAAAAGTCACTTTGCACTTGCACACCCAACGCCCCGGGCTCGTCAAACGAGATCTCGTACATCATCATGTTGTTGGCGTTGTGGACAATGATATCGTGCGGCGCGCCGTGCGCAGCCTCCGTGACCCGCGTCGATTGGCTGGTCGTGTCGCCTGGGTACGCCGTTTGGTTTTCTTCCAAAATGGCACACCATTCCTTGTCCGCAAGGTTGCGTTGCTGCGAGGACCCGACCTTGAGGAGTCCATGAAGGGCTTTGCGGGAGATCAAGTTGTCCTTGGAGAAATGCGTCGCGAGCTTCTCTTCGGCTAGAATCGTCTGCACGACGTCCGACGGGGCCATCGGCTTGCCGTTTTGTCCAAAGAGAAAGTGCCCCGCGGTGGCTCCATTTGTGTTCAAGTTGACATGCCACGCTTGGCCAAACTGGTGCCACTGCAGCTCCGACCGCACGGCTTGGAGCTGGTGACACAACCGCTCCCAACTGCGCTCGTCCATCTTGGCCTTGATACACGCCTTGCGCTGCATGGCTTGCAAGGAAGCAAACGTCAACCGCGAAGATACGGCGAACTTTTCAAACAGCATGAGCATAAAGTGCACAAACTCTTCCATGGCGGCGACTTGGCGCATGATCGACAAGTGCACAGGGGTATGCGCGCTATCGTGAATGCCGAAATATGGGGCGAGCCCAAATAGTTCGTTGAATTCAGACTCGCGCACCCACACGTCGCTGGAGTCACCGTGATGCAGTTCTTGCATCGCAGCTGTCCACTCGGCGGCAGACACCACGGGATGCCCCACGCACCGTCGAAGCTGGTTGAACTCGTCGATGCTCATGCCGTCTTTCTCACGAGCTGTCGCTAGGGGCTTGGGGTGGAACCATGCAAACAGCCGCTTCAACGCTTCGCCAGGCGCAATGTTTTCGTAAAACGGCAGCGACATGGTGGCGGTGCCGTCATCTTGCTGTCGCCTTGGACTCAGCTGCGACGCCGCCGCCCACAGCGAGTCCTGGAGCTCCCGATCCGAGCTCATGTCGTGGATAGGGGGCTGTCAGGCTGCTACTTCTGGTTGCTACTTGCACTGTGAAACTTATCGTCGCCCCTGCCGAACCGGCGCGAAACGGTTCGTAACCGCCTCGTCGGTTTTGGATCTGACAACATGTACAAGTAGTATCAAGTTTGAGAGGTTTTGGCCTAACATGACACTGTGGCCCTCGACGTCAAGGATGTGGGATGGGTGGAAACTGCTTCTGCACCCACATATTTTGTGTTGATGACAAATTAGTTAGTTGGCTGATTGATTGGTGTCAGACAATTGTGAGATGTACTAGTACCATGTACTAGTACTACAATACAGTAACTTACCTATGATCCGCAGCAACTACATACACTTTCCATCGTGGGTGAGGGGGGCCCGATGTGGTCGGTCATTCGCGGGCGTATCCAGTGCGCTCCATGTCGACTGTCGCTTGTTCTGAATCCAATGCCGGCTCGCAGGTTCGACGCTCGATTACATTCGGATGTGCGTTGAGCGACCTCGAGAAAGGGTAGGATCTCAAAGTACAAGACACGTGGGGTCCACACTTACACTGTACACGGTACTTCGAAGTACAACGTACTGTTGAACTTTGACCCTTCGACACGAATCATCACGAATTCCTTTGAAGGTCCAAGTTTATATACTTGTATATTTGCGTCGCAACAACGACTGTCCCCCTCGCATTCGTCCGTTCCCTCGTCTAACCTGATCAAAATCAAAAATCGAGTTTCGGTACAGATTATTCAGATTCTAACCGCACTTCCAGTACGAGCATCACACCAAGCCTGCCGCGTCAACCTTTCCTTATTGACCAAACCAAGATATATGGCCAGCAGCTACATCATTTAAGGTCGGACAGGATTTTCACTGGATGTCGTCATCAGCAGTCCCCCATTTACGCGGCAAAAATACGCATTCTCTACATGAATGGAGGTCCAGCGCTACGTCCCCCGCAGAGTTTGGTTTCTCCAAAGTGCTTGGAGGCCCCTTGGGAACTGCCCGGCACTACGTAATGGTGCGAGCATCGTCGCAGGTCGAGATTAGCTTCTACTTGTGCACATCCTCGAACTTCGTACAGTGTAAGCGAAACATCAAAGCCAGGCCAGTCAACCAAGTCATTTGTCCCATATGATGGGCCATCTTGATTGGCTCGCAAGCACCTCGGACGTTACACCGTACAAGGAGTGGCGTGTACCATTGAAATTCGGATCCTGGAAATATTCGCACCTAGAAATGCCTGAATAAATTGCAAAATCGGTTTGAATTCGGACATTCTATCGACGTTTATACTATTTGCCTTGTTAGTATCGAATCTTCGGAATTGCGTTACCACGTAGTGTGACAAATTGACGCATTCGGGGCCAGAATCCCCAAATGCTCAGAGCATTCCACATTTTATCGAGTCTTCACAACCATGACCAGCGCTCTCGGCGCTAGTCCCGCGGACAACAACGCAGGAGACCAACCGATAGACAACCAGCAACAGCTACAGTCACCGACGGATGACTTTCACATGTTGGACAAATCGCTGGTAGTAGTCACGGACCTCCTGTTGATTGCGAACGAGGACCGCCATTCCGACAGCTCGACCTTGCGCGACTCGATATTCCTCGACGACGAGCTCGTACTAACCAAGGCCAAGCTGGCGGAAATGCAGCGGGTTTGCACCGACTTGGATTTTCAGGTGAAGCAGCTCGAAGCCGCCAAGTTACTGTGGGACGTCACCCGACTCGCCATGGACTTTCAAGTGATCAAGGACAAGGACGCGCACAGTCGCATTCGAAACCGACTCGAGGACGAGCTCATCCGCGCCTCCCACGCGGCCAAGTTCTTCCGCGCGGAAGCGGACAAGCTACAGGACCAAGTCGTAGCCAAGGACACTCGGATCCAGGAGCTCGAAGCCCAAGTGCAGCTACTCCAAAACAAGAACGACATGAACCTCCGGTTGAAGCAGCTCGAAGCCCAGGTGCACCAGCTCACGGCAACCAACCGCACCCTTATCACAGAGAACCACGAACTCAAAGTGCACCAGTATGAGCTCCAGCACGACCTCCAGCCGGTCCAGCGGTCGTCGTCGTGGAACTTGTTCAATCAAAACAAAGCCACGTCCAAAGCCAAAGGCGTCGTGCTGCTGAAAAAGTCGACCAATTCGCCGACCCCAACCAAAGAAGTGCAGCCGACGGTCAAGTCTTCGGCCAACTTGGAGCTGATCCGAATGTTGAAGCGGGAGCTGGACGACAACAAACAACGCGATTCCATCGACGCGTGGTACTGACGTAGGCGCGGAAGTTATAGTTATTTAGAATAGGGCAATTATTATTACCACATAAAGTAGTTAAGTTATAAGGAATTGACGACGCGATAGAGTTGGTTGTGGGTGTTGGTTGCTAAGGAAGGTAGTAAGTACCCTACTGTAGTGAATTCGGTACATTTAGCCGCTGGGCTCGACTGTCCGACAATGCAAGTACCGATATCATTATCATTGAAAATGGGGAAGGTACACTGGTTGTGTGGACTCCAATATGTATGTCGTCGTCGACAACACGGGTCGATGTAGTAGGTACAGTGACGTGTCATGCTGTGTAGTCTCGCAGATCCCCTACACTGTAACCAACCAAACCAGTAAGTAGAGTAGGGTAAAGTGCATGTTTGAGATTGCATCTGTGCAATGTCTCGAGACCAAGCCATCGACATTGACGTTGGCTGTCCTATCATTCAGTAGATTACAACAGTACCTGTACTTCTTTTGAGACATCTCAGGGCGGCGACATAGAACCTGTCAAGTCTGTCAAGTCATGCTGGAGCTATCGTTATGTAGCCTGTGTACTACTGTACGTACTGCTAACGTTAGGGGCGATCAGCTACTTGTAGTAGTACTAGTACAGTACTAGTAGCTAATAATTCTCGTTGAATTCACAATGCCATGGGACCCATGGCATTGTCATGGGTAAACATGCACTAGTGAGTGTATGGCTTTGCCTTGGAGTGGCATCACATCCTCCGTCCCCAGGAATCCCAACTCATTTTCACAAGGACACTAACGTTATGGCTGTGACGGAAACTACGGAGCGATGACTTGGTTGCATGTGTCGGGCAAGGGCTTTTGCACCGGCAAGAGCTACAGCACACTGGTACAATATTGAATACAAGGGGCGCCACATCACAGACTTCAACGACAATTCGGCTTGCGGGGTTTCTAGATCGAAATCCTCGAAAGTGAACGCCGGGGGACTGGCGCCAACCGAACCCCCATTGTTGCCAGCATCAACCACCATCTCGATCCTCTCGCTCCAACTACTCGCAACCTTGAATGACAAATCGGTGCGGAGGATACCAGCTTCAACCATGCTGCGCACCATTGAGTCGATTCACTGCAACGACGACATTCCACAACAACTCAAAAGAAAGCGTAACATTAGCCACATTCTTGTCCATCGGCTACGGCAGTAATGTTCAGCCCATTCCAAGGTTTCATATCAACGACGTACGTACTACAAGTGCAGTAAGTACTTCAACTTCTGCCCTTCATTCGGTCCAGACACGATTGGTACTAGCTCTCACACAATTGGCATCTTCTTGACGTTAAGTTAACTAGATTTTGTAGCTACGGTATGCCCTGTTAACATTGCGCCATCAGTGGGGTATTAAGTTAGACGACACCCCGTCCGGTCGACGTATTCACGTGTGCATCGCGCGACGAACTGCGCAACGTGTTGACAGGTTTGTGAGCTTTGACCGAGCTCGACGTGCAAATTCCGCAATTTCTACGGCAGCCACGTCATCAACACCATTGACTGGTGCTACAACAACCCACGAACCGTGGATTCATCAGCAGTCTGCTGGGCCAATTCGACCAAAACCGTGTCATTCTGTAGCTGGGACTGCTGCAGGCGCTGCTTGGCAGCTACCAACTGACTCGTGGCTTGATCTAGCTGGTGCTTGACATCTTGCAGCTCGATCGTCAGGCTCGGCACCGACTGCAAGCACTTGTGCGTGTACTAGAGCAAGTGTATCCTTGTAAAGACAACGCCAATCATCGATAAAGGAGCCCACATCGGTGGTAGCGTGAAGTTGTTTGGCAGCAGCGTTGACCTCCGCTAGTGTCCGCTTAAGCTCTGCCGCTTCACGAGCTGCAACTGCAATCGCGTCGTCCAAGACGCGGACTTGTGCATCCTGCGCAGCTTTCTAGTGAATGTTGTTGTGAATAGGCCAATAAATCAAGACTGCTGTTTACGTGAGACTGGCACTGTGGCAACATGGACTGGCTGTGTTCCAAATGCAGACGGAGGTCCTCCCGCCGAGCCCGCTCGCGCTCGATGGTGGCATGGTACCCTCCCACTTTTGCACGGATCGAGTGGAGCTCGGCTGCTAACGCAATGTGTTGTTCGAAGGTTGCTGTGATCTAGTGCTGCCACGTCATACGGATCCTGTCACAGATGGATCATTCTTCACCCGCTTTTCGTCCTTGACGTTAAGTGACCCCGCGAGGAGTTTAACATCGGCGAGGTCGTACGACTGGCGCTCGCGCTGCTTGTGTGTACGTGGCGGAGGTTTGGGTGGTGAAGCGACCAGTTTTTGTAGCTTGGCCCCTTTCCGTGGCGAATTTAACGGCAGCGCATGCTTGATGTGCTCTTTCTTTGCCTGCTCCGACAAGTACATGGCCAAGTATCCGACTGCCGCCACCGGCGAGGACTGTTCCTGGCGGGGATGTGAATATGGAGATAGAAGTGGCAATGACGTCGAATGGTTGGATTGATGATGCTCCGCAGGATCACCCAGCAGGGACCTCCTGGCATGTGTCATGTCAGTCGTGTGGTCATTCGATGTATTCTGGCGGTTTCAATAATGGTCTTCATTCAAAAGTACTGAGATTAGAAACTTAATGTGGGTCTTATGATCAACTACGAGGCATGATTGGGAGCAAGGGCACGTTTCTAAAGCAGCACCACTTCGCATCGAAATGAAAGCGTCCATGTGGACTACTGTACAGGATTCGCATGTAGTATACTAGTATGCACCTTCATATGATGCAGCACGACAATGCAAAGCATAGAAATATCCAACTCCCTACCATGCAGCACCAACATCAAAGTGGCAGCAGGTGGATTCTAATACTATGTGACGATATGCTTCTTGGCGTGAAGGGTGGTGTTGAAAAACACCAGGTGCAGAGCAAGCTACATGGTTGTAGCAAGCAATTTAAGAGCGTTCACCGCGGATACGGCGAGCCAATTGGATGTCCTTGGGCATGATGGTGACACGCTTGGCGTGGATCGCGCACAAGTTGGTGTCTTCGAACAAGCCGACCAAGTAAGCTTCGGCAGCTTCTTGCAAGGCCAACACAGCCGAGCCTTGGAAACGCAAGTCGGTCTTGAAGTCTTGGGCGATTTCACGCACCAAGCGTTGGAAGGGAAGCTTGCGGATCAAGAGCTCCGTCGACTTTTGGTAGCGACGGATTTCACGCAAAGCGACGGTACCAGGGCGGTAACGATGGGGCTTCTTCACACCGCCGGTAGCCGGGGCGGACTTGCGGGCAGCCTTGGTGGCCAATTGCTTACGGGGGGCCTTGCCACCGGTGGACTTGCGGGCGGTTTGCTTGGTACGAGCCATGTTGATCGGACGAGGACAATTCAATTATGACCAAGTTGGGACGACTTGATGGAAAGCCGAACAACTCCAGTTGATTGTCAGACACCAAAAATTCCCGCAAATCAAATCTCGTTATGACTGAACTAAATCGATTTCATTGGCGGAATTTTAAGTATTTTCAACAATAATCGATTCCATTGGCTGTTTGGATATTGTGCTTGAGAGCCAATGGGATGCTTTCGTTCGCGCCCATTTTCCCCGCCAATGGCGGAATGGGGTTTCGAATGTCGTCACAAGTTTTGTCATTTTGAATTTCACCTTCAAGCAACAACAATGTCTGGTCGTGGTAAAGGCGGTAAAGGTCTCGGAAAGGGCGGTGCCAAGCGCCATCGCAAGGTCCTTCGCGACAACATCCAAGGTATCACCAAGCCTGCCATCCGCCGTCTGGCTCGTCGTGGCGGTGTCAAGCGTATCTCTGGTTTGATCTACGAAGAAACCCGCGGTGTGCTCAAGGTGTTCTTGGAAAACGTCATCCGTGATTCCGTCACCTACACTGAACACGCTCGCCGAAAGACCGTCACGGCCATGGACGTCGTGTACGCTTTGAAGCGCCAAGGCCGCACCTTGTACGGTTTCGGAGGTTAATCGGTTCCCCATCTTCTTGATAGCCTTTTGGTCGTCTACTCTGGTGTTTTTCAACACCACCCATTCACTCGAGAATTTTTACCGCAATATCCCTTCCATCGTCATCCCATTGAGTCGTATTCCCAAGCAAGCATGCATACCATACGTCAGGTGCTACCATGCATTCAGTGGTCAAGTTTTCTTAATCTCTCCTTCCAATCTTTGTCCGCATCAGTGTACGCTCACGACCCCTATATTGCGTGTACGTCCTGCATCGGTGTACAGGGAACGACGTGTACAAGCCCATTAGCTTTGGACGCTTCAAATGCTGGAAACACTCCTGAACGTTATGGTGACAGTATATTAGGTTATAGAAGCGCTGGAATGTCATCTATGTATCCTGGTACAGAAGCCCGTTTTCCTGTTGTTCGTCTTCGTGGCAGCAATGAAACACGGACGGATCCGACCCAAACACTTCGATGTTGTCTTCAATCACGCGGAGCTTCTTTTCCACGAGCGTCATGAACGGCAACGAATTGTCCTGCACACACACACATATGCCATCACACTTGTGCTCCACACGTGTTGCTAGTAGTACCTGGGGGGACATCTCCAGCTCGACGGCATCCTTGCAGAACGCACCCCCATGCTGTACGTACTCCATGAGATGTCATATCCTCACAGGTACACATGATGAATCTACCTGAATGTTGAACTCCGCTTCAATGCACGCGTAGTACGCGGCCACCAGCACTTCTCGCCGCTGAAACAAAATTTCCAACCGAGCTTTCAGACTGCGTACCAAGCTAGCCAGACCTTCCAGCTGCTTGTTGTGACCTACGACGACAGCACAATATATCAATGCCTTGACTACTTGTACCCATGTTCCGTACTCGCCAGCATCAACCCGCATGGAGCTAGCGTCGCCACGCCAGACGCAATCAACCCCTTGCCCGCGGCGAGGAATGGCAGTGTCAAGCCCGCAGACATCGGCGCCGTCAGTAGCGCGGTCACCGTGACCTACCCAACAGACACGACATGTCAGGCGGACGATCGGTCGTTGTCTTGGCATACCAGGACGCCTGCAACCAGTCCGGCAGCCCCGGCGGCGACGCCCGTGCCGCTAAAGTCGGCAGTCCGACTTCGCATGTGCAGAAACGTAATCACTTCCACGAGAAGCGTACTGCATTCCAGCAGAATCTTGTCCAAATCCGTGAGGAAACTCTGCAGGTCCGCCTTCATGGCCTGGAGGCTGGTCGACATGAGCGACACGAAGCGCTCGATACGCTTAAGGATCTTGAGGTCCGCCGCTTTGTCGCGGCGGTTCACGGGTGGCAGCACGAGCGTTTTGATTTCCTGCAAGTTGTTTTGGAGGTTCGCCATCAAGTTGGTGTCGTTCCAGTTGGCCAGCATCACCTCGCGCGATTCCTTTTGGTCAAAGATGCGCTCCGCGACCTTTTCACAATGCAGAATGATGGAGTGGGCGCTCGAGTCCAACTTGCTCTCAGAGAACGACGTCGTGAACAGGAACGCGTCCCGGAGGGTGTCCAACGCGTCGTCGAGCGCGTCCACTTCGCTCGCGTCCGTGTCCACGAGCATCCAATTCGACTCCATCGCGCGCTTGATCTCGTCCTCCACAAACGCCGTCTTTACGATTTTCACAACGTTGTTGAAGCCCTTCTCGACGTCGTTCAACCGAAAGCTTGTCGACGGATGGGCTGCCTTGTCGAAGGTCGACCCTGTGCGTTCGACCGTGACAACCTTTGCAGACCGATTGTCTGATTGAATCCGAGCCTTCGTCGGGGGCTTGCTTAACGTGCGTTCCGACTCGTCATGACTGAGGCTGCGAATTCGCTGCGACGATGCCATCCTGCCGACTGCAGTTGTCCTTGCTGGGCGGCAGCGATGTGGGATCATCCGGTTAAGTTCGCCCAAAAGGCGATTCAGGAGGAAGGACGATTCCTATTTAGGACTGCCCAACCTTGTAATGAACTACTAACGTTAATACAATCAATTGATTCTATAACTCATATTTACAAAGCAGACTACATATTCCGCCGGAGTATGGTTCAAGTTCTCGTCCTATTCAAGCACGTGCGTACATACGAAGAGCTGTGCTTTGTTGTTGAAAGACTATGACGTAGAAGAAGTATATTCCGAGACCAACTTGATCCTTCAAGCCATGTATTCCGAAATGAGGGCGGTGGACATCTTCCTAAGTAGGATGTCGAAGTGAAATTATCCGGATACCCAGGTATTTTCCCTTCAGTATGACGACCATCATTGTTCGCTCACGACCACAATACCATACAAATTACAAGTGTATTATTTGAAAACTTCACAGGATATCCTGCGCTTAGAGAGCGTACACCACTTCATGACTTTACCGCAATGTACAGTACAGTACTAGTAAACCTTTGGAACACTATCTATCCACTTGCGTACCCCGCCGACAAGTCAAGAAGCGCTGCCTTGCCACCGAAGGACCACGACTCGTTGCAATGCAAGCGTTATCTCAACGAGTTGTACTCGTTGTCGTCGTGGAAAACAATAGCAGCCCTCGCCCATACAAGTACTGATACTAACGTTACCGGTACTGTACAGTAAGCTTACTGTACTGGAAAAATGAGCAGTCGTGAATTCCTACAGTGGGAGGATCGAAGAACAACTTGCTTGACAGAGCTATAAGCACGCCTCACAAGCTCGATGTACTGCAGCGGCGGCGGCGACCGCAGTAGAGTACCTATTGTACAGTAACTTAACTAACTGTTATTAGTGAATCTACTTGCCCCTTTCGCAGACGACGACTGTGAAAATGATGTTGCACAGTGCTCTCTCTCATTGGAAGCTAAATTTATTTGCGATGATGTGTCCACTGCATACCCAAAACAAGATAATAATATAAGTCACATCGGATTATTCTGATGACGACAAACTAGCCAATCCTGACTTGGTGTAATTCTGTCGCAGGAGGTGGAACTCGAACGACGCCATCATTGCGAGGAAGAGTAGTTAGTGGTCGATGAGCCGAGACAATGATATGTCCGCCGCGCCTTCAGATGCATCTGTCAATGGCGTCGCTACCCAAGCTGACATGCCACATCCGGTGGTGCCTGTCGTGGAAGAAGAGGTGTTTGAAATGCAGTCGCTGCATCCGTACAAGCTGCGGTGGCGTGAGTCGTCACGTCCGTGGTGCGACCGATGCGGCGGAGACCCGTCGTCTCCATATTTTATCCTTCCCTTGCCTTTTGATCCCACATCTACGAGCAAGGACGACGACTGCGGCGTAAAGCGGGGGTGGACGTGGCAGTCACGGTGGACCATCGACAGGCTGTACACACCTTGCGACGAGGAAGGGTGGACGTATGGCATGAGCATCACAGCCATGAACAAGCATTTGGCCGACGGCACGTATCGCGTGAAACCGCGGCCGTACGACATCCTTCGTCGGCGAAGGTGGGTCCGACGTCGCGCTCGGAGTCAGGCGGCGGCGGCAGATGGCGCCGTCGACGAGGGCGACAAAACACGATTCTACCGCGTCTTGCGCTTGGACTCGGCACTGTCGCACATCATGCACGGCCGGGCCACTCCCCTCCAGCAAATGCACAATTTGAAGTTCCACCCCGACGACATTGTCATGGTGAGGAGATAGATTCTTGTTGCGCTTGACGATGGCGTCGCTTGGTAGGAGGGATGGCTCGGCAAGTACGGCTCGTTCACACACAACTGGAAACTTCGGTACTTTTTACTACGGCGCGATACCAATACCCTCGTGTACCTGCAGGACACGTCGTCGCTGCTGCAGCTCGGCCAAGTTCCCATCACCACTCACACAGCCGTGGAAGTGCTGCCCCCTGCTAGCTCTACTTCTCACCATCAGGTACCCGCCCCATCTTGGAAACAACCGCATGTTGCATGCTGTCTGTGTGGTGACATGCTTGGGCTGACTGTTTGATGGGTCATACTAGTTTGCGTTTGAACTGGTCAACGGTGCACGCCGGTGGCGACTCAACGCGCCGACAGAGGCCATCAAGATGCAATGGGTGAATGCTATCCACGACATAATGTTTCAGCGGCAGCCTCCATACTCGCTGCAATGCGCGCCCATGCACCGCACTCGGCCTGACTACCAAACATCATGCGTCCTCCCCCAATTGATGGCGCTGGAAACCGTGTGGGAAAGCGCAGTGTCGTTTATCCGGTCGACCTTTGACGACCTCCTCAGCCACTCCGCACCTGCCAACACCGCCGCCGCCGACCACTCGGTGCTGCTGTCCAAGAACCTTCCGTCCCCCGCCGCCCCTTCCTCCGAGCTCGTGGTACATTGGATCATCTACTAGTGAGTTGTGTAATGTAACTATACATGTGTGGGGATATTGTAGGCGTTTCGCCATCAAGTCGAGGCGACGCTACACACGTTACATCAACAGTACATCGCGCCATTGAAATCCACGACGAACCTGACGCTCTTGAGCATCAATCAAGCCAAAGACGACGCGTACAACGGATGTCTGGCGCTGGTCGAGTCGATCCTATCGTTTCAACCGCCCAGTTCCAAGACCGTACTGAAGCGGCGGTCCGGCGATGCCACGCGGCGGCAGTCCATTCCAAACGAATGGCTGGCCGCAGACACACCATCTTCCTTTGTCCTTCCCGCCGCCACAACCACCGGTTCAACGTCCGATCGCGGCGCTAGAAGACTCGATGAAACAAACCCCCCTCCCCTCGTCCTCTCCACGAAAACCATCCCGGCCAAGGCGTCGCTCACCAAAATACCCCCCCCCACCTCCCCCGTGTCTCCGTCCAACAAGCCGCACCGCCACCCCCCCTGCGGTCGAAAGCACGTCCGCGCGCAGCTGCGGCGGGCATTTGAGCACCGAGCAGAGTATCTGGAGCGGGGGATCGGCGGTCTGGTCGTGTGGGCCAATGAGAGGGACATTGGGTCGCTGATTGCGTACACGCTCGTGTCGCCCAAGTACGTGGACCAGCTGCAGGAGTGCTGCAAAGCCATTTCCGTGCTGCACGAACTCCAAGGCAAAATGACACTGCGCACGCCGCCCACATACCGCGAAATCAAAAACCCCGCGACGCACCACTTCAAGTGCCACTTTGTACTCGACACGTACTCGACTAGTACCAGCAGCAGCCACCCGCCCACGACGACCAAGGATGGCGACGCCACGACCAGACACTCGGACGGATCAGCCGCGCCAGGGGGGACGGCGGACGACGACGCGGTCACATCTGTGACAGTGTACTTTGCCCCGCAATTCCACTGCCTGCGCCAAGTCACCGAGCCCGGCAACACTGGCTTTTTGAACGCGATTGCCAAAAGCGCACCGTGGGAAACGTCTGGCGGCAAGTCTGGCGCGTTCTTCTCGCTGGTAAGAACAACTATAAATATATATATATTGTGCATTTCACCCAAATTTGGACTTGCGAGTCATTTCACCACATAGCATTCGAATCCATTGACCTCATTTAAGCTTGAACAAACTATAAAATACAACGATTAGTATGTATATATGCGGTTTTGCCCACTGGGCCGGATCAAGCGTTTGGATTGGCAGAAATTCGACATATGACGTGATTTGATTGGCTTTGGCGGTTCTTTAATAGACATTGGATTCTGCTGACATCTCCAATTTCGAATCGATTTGACAATATATATATATATATATATATACATATATCCCAAACTGACGATAGAATGTTGTTGTTTCGACTTAGTCGCACGACCAGCAGTTTGTGCTCAAAGGTGTGGCGGCGACGGAATTCAACATGTTTGTCGAGTTTGCACCGGCGTACTTTGAGTACATGGCGACGGTGGCAGAGTCCAAAGCCGACTCGTGTCTGGCCAAGATCCTCGGCGCGTACAAGATCCAACTGCACGGCCACGCCAAGCCCATGTTTGTGTTTGTGATGGAGTGTTCGATCTTTGGCTTTGACTTGACGCAACTGTACGACCTCAAGGGCGTGCGCCGAAATCGCACCGTGGATCGGCCAGTTGTGTACAAGAAGGTCCTTCCAGACGAGAACTTTGTCGACCGGGTACCCGTCCACGTCCGTCCGCAAGACTTGACGCGGTTCCTCGATGCCCTTTCGGCCGATGTGACGATGCTCAGCGCCAATGGCGTCATCGACTACTCGCTCGTACGTTGTCGCATATATTGTGCTTTCGAGTGAAATTTCAATGTGTTGTGGTTTGTCGTTGGAATTTAAATCGATTGGATTGGCTACCTCAGATGAGCTCAACATTAATAGCCAATCAAAACCCATTTCTAAATGAAATTCAACCAATCAGATCGATTGTGGATCGGTTTGGTCGATTGCACCCCCGTCCCCAAATTTGTACTATCATTTCGACAATATACATTATTTGTGATTTCATTGTCGTAAGCGGTTGTTGTAGTTGCTCGCGTTTGACGACGCGTCGCTGTCCATCCGTGGGGCGCTGATCGATTACGTCCACCAGTTCGACTTTATCAAGCGCGTCGAGTCTGGCGCGAAAAAGATGTACCAGTCGCCGACGGTGCTGCCTCCGATTCCATACAAAGTGCGGTTCCTCGAAGCCATGAACTGCAATTTCAACAGCCGACACGACCAGCCGCGGGTCGACACGCCCAACGAGGTCGGTCCTCCTACTCCAGGCAAAGTCCAGCGAAGTCAGTCCGACATTATCACGACGACGTCATCGCATGAGACTGTAGCCAATGGCATCCGCCCCAGGTCGGTCAGCGACGCTGGCAGCCACGCTGGCCCGAGGACCGTGTCGCTCGTGTCCATCGTTGAATAAGTTGTTCCAAGACTAGTGTTATGCTGGTGCCCAACGGTGTGTCTGTACTAATAGTATTTCTACGAGTATACTACGTGGAACTAGTACTACTAGTACTACTAAAGCTTGGGGGATATACGGACCAAAGGGCAATCTTGTGGTCTTTCGACGCTGACGCGAGCCAGTCGCCGTCGTGGGAAAAGCCGACGCTGTACACGCTCTCGGTATGGTACTTGAGCGTGGCCAACGGCTTGCCACGTTTGTGAAAGATGCGAACTCTATCGCAAAGTTGGTCCAACTTGGCACTTTGTGTCCAATGCAAGTAGGTAGGTAGGTAGGTACCTGTGGTCCCAGCCTGCGGTGGCAAAGATGCGATCGTCCACGCTTCGATTGGCAATGGCACTGATGCCTGGCTGCTTGGATCGATAGAACGAGTCGGCTGTGGCTGCAGTCGTGTCGGGATGGACGCGGAGTGCGACGAGGTCATCGCCAGATGTGCCGCACAGCAGCGTCGACGACGTACACACAGCGTCCATGCAAAGCACTAATCATAGCCCACGACCGTCAGCTCATATATTGGCAAGTATGTATACGTAATATAGATTGTGCATATTTGATACCTGTGGATGTCGACACGGCGTGAGAAAGCAACGGCGGCGCGGCGAGACGGAAGTCATAGAGCGCGACGACGCCGCCTTCAAAGCCGACGCATGCAACGGTCTGGTCGGACACTGGCATGCTCGTCAGGGACATGCACATGCCTGCATGAGCATGGTTACGTTCTCGGCGCACTAGTGACGATAGTCAAGGTACCAGATTTTATCGGCGACCCCTCGAAGATCATGGCCGGGTGAGTCCCGGACGTGCGGACGTCGAAGAGCGCCACCTGAGGACAGTGAGCATTTAAACAGCCAATACAGCTGGAGGTACCGTCTCAGCGTGCTCTGTGGGCACGAGGAGCAAGTTGGAGTCGACGACGTGCGCTTTCGTGAACGTGTACGATCCGATGGCTAGGGTCCGCGACTCGCGCATCCCGCCGCCATCAACGACATCCCACCACTTGACCAACCCATCTCGACCTTGGGATACAATGTTCGGCCCCTGCGTTGTCGTGTGGAGGATGCCAGCTTTGGAATGCGCTTGGACGGCGGAGCTGGCTTCGCGCCGCGTCGTCAAGTCCCACACTTTGAGCATTCCATCGGCACTGCCCGAAAGAAGACTGCGAGGAGCAACGCTGCTCAGCGATGCCACGTCATCGTTTGGGGTGATTGGGCGACTGGGGATGAAGCAGACAGTGTTGACGGGACTCAAATGCCCTCGCAGCACGGCAACAGGCGGCGGCGCGCGATTATTTCGTGCCATGTCTTTTCCGATTACTATCCGGATGTGAAGTGCCGAAGCGGTTTCACGATCAGTTTCTTTGAAACCGCACTGACACACGCGCCAAGAAGGTGCAGGTAGCAAGCACCACACCAGCGGCATGTTGAATGAGCTAAAGGTAGTGCACCTCGGGTCCTTCCTTCAACCAACCTACCTACATACCCTATTCGCGTAGAAGCAAACGTCCAAGCCAAAGCTGACGAATCCACCGCAAGACCTAGCGTCTCCCGTAGGGACCAACCCTACCTCCTTCTTGTTTCTCAAACCATCATCATGTCGAGTTTGTAGAGCGTACCACCCGTGCTCGATGATACCAATGGCCAGCTGATTAGTAGTCGAGCAGCCAAGTATCAAGTCGAGGTACCAGCGTTAGCGACCTACATCGACACCACTCTCGAGAATGGGGATGACATGAGCATGGAGCAGGAAGGGGGATTGATCCCCAAGTCGTCGGCGAGGCATCCCCTCCACGACTCGAACAAGATCGTCCCCGTCCGCGAACGCCTGCATCGCAACTCGGCGGGGGCCACCGACGACGCCAACGACATGCGAATGCGCAAGAACAAGGAGTTTTTCCAGTCCAAGCGCGTGCACAAGTCAACTAACGGCCGCCCCACCAAGAGTAACCTGTACAAGCGGCAAGCGTACTTGCATCCAAACTCGCAATTCCGCGCGGGATGGGACCTGTTTATGATCGTGTTGCTCGTGTACACGTCGCTACTGACGGTACGACGATGTAGCCTCCCCCTCTGTGTCTCTCTCTTTCACAGTTGAGTGCAACTACTTGTAGCCATACGAGATTGCGTTCGTGGAAACGGTGACTGTGGACGGCCTCTTCATGGTGGACCGCAGTGTGGACTTGTCGTTTCTCATGGACATGGGCTTCAACTTTATGACACCGTTCGTGGACAAGGAAAACAACCAACTCATTGAAGACATGGGTCAAATTGCCCAAAAGTATCTGACGGGTTCGTACGACCCACAATCACTACCACCCCGCTGTTCCTACATATACTGAATCCATCTGTTGTAGGCTGGTTTATCTTGGACTTTGTATCCATCATTCCGTTTGATGTGATCAGCATGGTGCGTCGTGAACACGTGAATATGCGTTACCAGCCACCCTTCTCACGCGTATTCGATGATAATATTCCAGACGTTCAAAGGCGACTCGGGGGGGCCCGAAATATCGGCCAAGAAAGACTTGACATCACATTTGAAGATCATTCGCATCATCCGACTGTTCCGCCTCATCAAACTCGTGCGCGTGCTGCGAGCGTCGCGCATTTACTCGCGTTGGGAAGCCATTCTCGGGTACGCCCCCGTCCGTTCGTCCGTCCGTCCTGGCGATGCGTTCACTCTTCTTGTAACACTCTTGTTATGTTTTATCCCTGTAACGTTAGGTTCAAATACACAAGCGTCAAGTTGGCCAAGTTTCTGTCGTGCGTGTTGATTCTGGCGCACTGGCTCGCGTGCTTGTGGGGGCTCACGCCGGCGCTCGAAGATGTCGGCCCCGACGAGCACTCGTGGATGGACGCGTACCACGTGGACCAGAGCAGCGCACTGGAGAAGTACGTCGTGTCGCTGTACTGGAGTGTCATGACGATCGGTACGGTCGGGTACGGGGACGTCCAGCCCAAGACGGACTTTGAGCGGTGTATTTGCATCGGGTGCATGCTGTGCGGCGGTGGCACGTACGCGTACAGTACGTCGCAGCATGATTTGTTCATATATGTGCCGAACCCAGCATGTTCTTGGAAGGCGGGCCGCCTTGGGGGCTAGAACATACCTTACCGAGGAATTCTTGTAGTCATTGGGGCCGTGTGCGGACTTGTGGCATCGATGGACGAAGCAGAAACGGAATTCAACCAGCAAATGGTGAAACCCATCAAATCAACTAAACACAAACAGCAATAACGAAACTAACGAACACCAACCCCTGACACAAATGAATGTGTAGGACCACTTGAACGTGTACATGAACAAGGAAAAGGTGCCGCGGGACATGAAGGTCAAACTCCGCGAGTACTTTTTGCACAGCCGCGACTTGTTGCAGCACAAGTACTTTAGCCACGTGATCGCGACGCTGTCGCCGGGGCTGCGTGGGCTCATCTCGGTCTACACCAACGGCGAGTGGGCCAACAACATTTACTTCTTCAACGGCGGGCCATATGACGAGCACGTGCGCTTCGTCACGGCCATCACGCAGCAACTCAAGGCCGAATTGTACCCTCCAAATGAAAACATCGTCGACCTGGGCGACCCCACCGACAAGATGTACATCATTTCCAAGGGAATTGTCGCGCGCATGGGCCGGGTCATGGGCAAGGGGCGGTTCTTTGGCGAAGACGTGATTCTTAGCCACGGTATCCGCAAGTACACGGTCCGAACGCTGACATACGTGGACGCGTACTCGCTGTCCCGGACAGACCTCGAGAGCGTCCTCTCCCACGGCATGTTTCCATTCAAGACCAAGCAGATTAGGGTGGCCGCGAGCTTCTTGGCGCTCAAACGGCTGCTGCAGTCGCTCATGCTCGAGCTGCGCCTTCTGCGACGAGACACGGCCTCCAAGGGGTTTACCAGTGTCCACGAAACTACGTGGATGCGACGGAAATTGCTTGGAGACCCCCTCGCGACCCACAATCAAGTGCAGTTCCAGCTTCATCTGGCCATGGAGCGACTCACCACAGCCGTGAAACACTGCGACGACTCGATGGAGGACGCAGCCCAAGCCAGGCTGGCCTCCTCCACAGACGGCTCCATGTACGAACGAAATGACTTGTCAAGACAACATGATATGTTGACGGACATCCACATGGTGTAGATTGTTGTCGGCGGCCCACAAGCGGACTGATTCCATCGCCACGTCCAAGCAATTGCTTTTGCAGGCCATCGCGATGCTGCAGAAGTTGTCTGACACGCGGGTGCCGCCACTCTCAGCGTGAAAGAACGGGGCTATTAGAAAGCCATGCTGTCTACATATTTGGTCATCAAGTGGCCAATATGACAGCAATGCAAGCTCCATCTTTACGTGGTACTAGTACAGTGTTGACAGTATAACTTTCAACGAACGTACTATTGTACTTGATTGTAATAGTATGATTGCCCTGCAATATGTGCAAGGTGGACGTGTGATGTAGCGTCCATCGTGATATGATATATTAAAACCACTTGGCTACACAATTGTACGAGGGGAGGGGGGGGGTCAGGGGGGGTCTAGGCTTTTTTGACCAGCTCGTCAATGTCGATGGGGTCGAACTGTCCTTTGGTCGATTCGATAAACAAGAGGCTGTGGTCGATCACAATGTGCTGCCTGCCAAACGCGTACACTTGCCGGCCGTCTACGCTCTTGTGCTTTGTTGGGGCAAACTCAATGTTGTGCTGCATCGCAAACTCTTCGACCACGTCGCGCATGTTGACGGTGCCGTGGAGGTCGTGCTTGGGGTGCACTGGCGCCGCGCGCTTCTTGCCGCGGAGTAGCGCGTCCTCGTACGTGGGCGGAAGCAACTTGAGCCCGGGCAAGGTCGCTGCTTGCTGGACACATTGCATCAACTGCAACGCGCCGTGGAATTGCATGCAAATGCGTTCTTCCTGGAGCAGGTCAAACTCGTCAAAGAGGGCCTTCCACCCGCTGTACCACGTCAGCATCTCGGCCGCGACGTTCAACGGGTTCTGAGCCACCCATTCCGCCAGAACTTTGAGCCACTTGGTGAAAAATTCGGCTTCGAGCAGCGCAACAAACTGCCGGTCCGGCAGCACACGATGCCACGCGAGGACCCACTCAAGAGGCTCGAGGTCCTGTGCTTTGGGGTTGATGTGGAACTCGCGGTTGAGCACGCGTACCAGCTTCTTGACAATGTGTTTGTGCGTGAAGAGGGCAAAGTCCTCGGGCGTCCACACCTCCCTCCACGGCAGCAGCACTGCAAACACGGACGAGTCGTTCGGGTGCCATTTGATCAGCGTCCGAGCCAGCGTTTCCCGGATCACGGGGTACAAGTCGGCGGCAAACAGTGTCGCGTCGAAGTGCTCGCGCCACGGCAGCAGCCAGTCGTGGATGCACTCGACATCGGCCACTCTGTCGCAGTGTCGCACGGCGTGTTGGAGCCGCGGGAGCACGTGGTTTGTCAGAATAGACTCCACCATGACCGCCGGCACAAAACCACGCAAGAACTCGATCAAGGCCAAGCAGGGCGGCGCCGTCTGTACGTCCCACCGGTGCAGCGCCGACACGAGCTTGGGCAACAGCGCCTGCCGGACCAAATGGTCGTATATCTGGTCGTGGCGGGTGGTCGAGTCGACGTTGATGGCAAAGACGCCCCTTTCGCTCGTGTCCTCCAGCGGGGCCACGCACGTCACAAGACATTCCTGGAGCATGCGGAATCCCCCCCGGAGGTCCATCGCGCTGGCGTCGACGCGCAGGGGATGCCAAGACGACGTCATGGCCTGGAGCAAGGGAAGGCCGAGCGACGGCACGACGTCGATCACGCGGTGGGCTTCGAATTCCGTGGGGAACGATGTGCGCAGCGTCACGGTGGTGCTGACGATAGCTTGGATGGCCCATATATTGCCATGAAACTCGTTTTGGAGGGTCGACTGGAGTGTTTGCAGGCCAGACACGAGCGAAGCCACGTTGTTGGCGGCGACTTGGTTTTGGCGAAGTGTGCCTGCATCCACGGCATGGGCGGCGCGCAACGCTTGTATCCGGGCGCGATCCATCGATATCTTGGCATGGAGCGCGCGAATTGAGCCTTCGGTTTGGTTGACGATGTGGCGAACGTTGTGCAGAATCTCCTGGCCCAGCAACGGGGTAGTGGTTGGCATGGTGGTGGAAGAAGAGGAGACCGACCCCATGCCATCCGTGTACACTTGCGCGACGGGTCCGCGCATGTCGACGACGAGGTCGATCGCGGACTTTTCTTCTTCGAGCACGTCGTCGATGGTCTTCCGTTTGCGCTTCCTTGACGATGTTGGGATGGATGCGCCGGGAATGCGCTTCCGCCAGGCTCCATCGTCTGGTGGTTGGCCCATGGAATCGTCCGCTTCGACGTCGTCACCCTCCACCTTGCCATGCAATTCGCGCTCGATTTCCTTGTTCTGCTTGAGGGTCACGGCTTCCTTGAAGTCGCCAAACCCGAGCCCCATTTGGTTCGGACGCGCTTTCACAGCGACTGGCGCCGCCACACCCTGCTCGTCTTTCCCCAAGCGCCCTTTGAATCCCATCTTGGCCAACATCTTCATCCCAAATCCCTTGGTGTGCTTTTGCCATGTCCCCATCTTCTTCATGTCTGGCAGCGGCAACATTGGCTTAACTTCTGGGACTGGGACGTTTGCCGGGGCTTCCATCGACGAGGTCTCCACGGGCTTTAAGTCGTCAAGCACCTCCTCATGGACAACCTCCACAGAAACGTTCAGCATCTGCGCAAACTCGGAGTTCGAGAAACCAAGTCCCGCCATCCTTCCTTCCGGCGCAGGTCACCTTCCACACAACAAGGCACTGCAATAACAAATAGATGAAGATTGAAAATAGATGAATCTGTACAATCCCAAAGTGCAAACTGCAGTCGATTTGTGCCCTCATTATAAGTACTGTTCATACTGTGCTTGAAACGAGGTTTTTGAAGAGGCCAAATATGGTTGGTTTGGTTGTGATCCAATCGTCAATCGTTTCATTTGCCAAGTCGGAATCAACCAAGATGGCGCGGAAACGAAAGCTGCAAACGAAGGCGCAACGCATCAAGGAAGTAGGTGCGGAGATCGAAGCCTTCATCGAGGAACAGGGCGAAGCTACCAAGCTCCAGAACTATGGCGACGAACACCTCTTCGCTATCGACACTGCCGGCAGCACGAGCAAGAAGGCCAAGCTCACCAAGGACCCTGCTGTCTGGTCTGGCAAGTACAAGCCCGAGAAGGCCAAAGCCTTGAAGAAGACCATCGACCGCATCCAAGCCAAGCCAGCCGTTGCGGCGGTACGTCTCCATGTCCTTGATTACTGATATGATTTCTCATCGTATCGATTGACAGACTAAGGCCAAAAAGACGCCAGCTTTGGAGGCGTTGTGGGACACGGAAGGCAATGCCGCCACGCCAGCGTGGATCAATGAAGTCGACGAATACGTGGCTCCTGCGATCATCAAGAAGAAGGCGGTATGTCTCAATATTGACCATTCGTGATGCGGAACTCACATGCGATGCCATGTAGCCTCTGAGTAATGCTCCGTCTACCAAGCACAAGGTGAAGGCCGTCGAAGTGGCCGCGGACGGCCAGTCGTACCATCCCGAAGTCAGTGCGCATCAAGCCGTGTTGGCGGAAGCGTTGGCCAAGGTCGCGGAAAAGCAAAAGCAGCGTGAAAAGGACCTCGCGCCGCTCGTCACTGGCATTTCCAACAACTACATCATGGAGTCGTCGGTACGACATGAATAACGTGACAGCACCCTATCGTTGCTCATGCTATGTACCCCGTAGGACGACGAGGACGACAACGAACTTGACGAATCCAACGTCAATAACGACAACGTGGACAAGCCAAAGGTACAGCTTATCGACCGCAAGAGGTCAAGCTGATCTGTGTGGCGTACTAGATCAAAGCCAAGGAAAAACTCACGCGAAGCGACCGCAACCGCCAAGCGCGACACAAGGCGCTGGAGAAGGAACTGGACAGCCGCCGGACCAACAAAAAGCTGCTCGGTCAAATCAACAAGTACGCTTTCGCTGTGTTTCTGTAAACGTTAAAGTCTAATTTGTGTTTGTGGTGCAGTGTCAAGACGTTGGAGAGCGGCGTGAAGAAGGACGAGAAGGTGTACCAGAAGAAGAAGCAGCTCAAGGTGTTGCTCAAAGCTCAAAAGCTGGACGACGAGCCCGAAGTCATGATTGCCGGCAAAAAGAGGTGGGGGGTCGACCAACATTCATCATGCCAACCACCACAATGCATGTCAATCATGTTGTAATATTGCCTTTGTTTTACCAAAATTTGGACTTTTGTGCTGATTCGCCAAATCTATCGGTCGATTCTTCTTTGTACTGACTTTTGTTTGTCAAAATAATGGTCAAGTGTCATACTAATTACAGTCACACACGAACTCGGTGTTGAATTGATCGAAGAGTCGACTTTGATTGGTCACTTGATTATTCGAGTTCTGGGTTTTGATTGGTCATATGTATATCCATTGTCTGCCGACTTGGTACTGCTCATTCGATTGGGCACACACACCCCACTTCAATCCATTCGAATCGACTTGACAATATGGGTCGAGTAGAAAGGTCGTGCGTCCGACGTTGGTGTCCACGGCGGCCGAACTCAGCGGCAACATTCGCTCGCTCAAGGTAGATACCCCACTGTATTGAAAGGGTGTGGCTAACGTGGTTCATCTATTCATTTATTTCGTAGCCCAAGGGATCGGCGATGAAGGACCGGTACGACAGTTTGCTCAAGCGCAACAAGATCGAGATTGGCAAGACCACGCGCAACAGAACCAAATGGACCAAGTTCGTCCCCCGACACAAGTACCGCGACGACTTTACCGTGTAAAGCGCGCACCTTCTATTCGTTTTCATTGGCGGCGGCGATCTATTATACTACGAGGCTGGACAAAAGTATATATAATAATAAAAGCTACTACTACGGTGCTATCAATGCGTGGTGCATTCTTCTTGAGCATTACTACAGTAGGAGATTGTAATAAAGCAGCTCCCAGCCAGAATGGCGGTGGCAACCATGAGCTATACTTAGCACAACATGAAGGTAACGTTACACAGGCATCTTGCGACAGTTTCACAAAAAGTACGATGCCACGCAAGCCAGTGCCGCCGCGGGTACAGCAGCCCCCGTCTACGATGGTCGTGACGATGCAGTGTGTAGAACTTTACCCATCGCCATGCCCGCAAGACGGTTGAGATCAGCTTTGAAGAGTACACGCACAACAAGAACGAAATTCTCGGCAAGATCTACCGACGGTGCAGTACTGCCGCCGTGGATTCGAACCGACGGTTGATGGTGTGCTTGTAGATTGTTTTGGCTCGCGTGTCTGGCCACGACGTTTGGCTTGATTGAACTCGTGGTGTACATTGTACGTTGCCACGTCATTATTCGTAGCCAGCAATCTCACTACTAAGTGTACTCACTAGGTCATTACGGCAATGTACACGACAACGGTAGAGTTCCGTCGACCTGTCTTGGGCGTAGCGCTCAAGTCGGTGTACTTGGTCTACTGGGGCATGTCTGCGGTGCGATGTCCAATGCTGATTGTGTGGTTGGTTTGACAACGATTCTTTTGGCTAGGTGTTGTGCGCGCACGGATTTCACTTGCACCTGAAGTGGCGTCATTTCCTCAAGGACGGCACGCATTTGGTGATGCACTGTCGCTTGTTTGAAGTGCTGGGTCTGGGTTGGTTCTTTGCAGGTAGGTACCTACACCTAACGTTATCATGCAAAAACGACGTCACAGCTCTGGAGAATGTGAAGTCGACCTACGAAAGACCGACGTTTGGGTGTGTGTTGTAGCGTCGTGGCTACTTGGTGGCATCTTTCACGTGTTTGGGTTTGTTGACGTGAGCATCATTGGCGCCAACATGCAGAACATCTTGTATGCTGTGGCCATTTCCACGTTGCTCGTACGACCCCCCCTACCCCCTTTGCATCCCCCCTTCCCCCCCATAATCATAACCATGTCGTAGCTGCAATTGGTCTTGTGCCCTTGGTTTTTCAAAACCATTCACTCGAAAACCACGCAAATCGACGACATTTACTGGTACCCACCTCAAGTCTTTGACACTTGAAAGCAACAACAACGAACCAACGACTTGCTGTCGTAGCGCGGAATTCCTGGGCAAAACCAAAATCAAACACATCAACGTCGAGCCTCTGACCGACTTGAACGACATTCCTTCCGACAGTGAACACGACGTGAACGATATCCATGTCGACAATGGCAGCAGCAGCAGCAGCGAAGGGGGCGCTTCCGAGTCTAGCCACCACGTGCGTAGTCGGCATGACGTCACTATGACAAACACGTGTAGGACGACGACTCGAACGAAAGCCATGGGGATGCAGAGGTCCTCCGCGGCCCCGCGGCCGTGCAGTTTACCATTGACCCCAAGAAAACGCTGCAGAAAAGTGCGTTCTGGGACCTGTGGAAGTCCACAGAAGTCGCGTACGTGTGCTATCTACCCTTGTCGAAAGGGTTGTCGTTCTGAATGGAATGGGACGCTTGTAGTGGGTCGTTCTCGTGCACGTTTCATAACAAACCGCCGACGCTGGCCGAAGTGACCAAGCACTTGAACGCCCGGGGGTTCCACGTCGTATCGTCCAACACGAGCAAAGACGTGGTCGAAGTCTTTTTGTACGCGCACAGTCAAGCGGACGACAGCGTGCCATTTTTGGCAGAATTCATCTTTGTCTACCCCCGGCGATACTTTCAAACGACGTTCAAATGCGCGGTAAGACGTACGGCTCTTTGTCGATTGATTAATAGTATGTCTTGTGTTTGTAACGAGGGTGTATATATTTGATGGGGATATTGCTGAGTTTTCTTGTGTAGAGCAAAGACGTGGCGGGGGAATTTGTCAAGCAATTTCAGCTACATCAACTCATGGACACGGACGACTAGTAACACCACGTAACGTTAGCTAGTCGATCGATTACTTCGTGGAATTGCCATGACATGGGCATAACTTTCAACGGCATACTAATCAAAACTACTACTTCTACACATGGCCACCAGCGTTCGTACGTAGCGTACTAAAGGGGGGTTGATGCATATCTGTTTACTGTGCGCACTGTGGATTGCTTTATTGAGTGTTGTAGAATAATCATACTCAAACAGGTTTCACATGGTGGCAGAATTCAAGGCATATAATTACCAGTTCCTCATGTCGTCCATTCACAAATGGGCTTAAATTTGATCCAGGGGGTTGATCCCCAACAGCTTGAAGCACGTGTACATGATCTTGAGCGTGGCTTGGCAGAGCAGCAGTCGGCTGTTTTGCTCGGGGCTGCCGAGCACGCGGCACTGGGTCACAAACACTTGGACCTTTTCCGACAAAGTGTACAGGTACGTGCACAGCCAGTTGGTTGCAAGTTCCTTGTTGATGAACACGAGTACGTCTTGCAGCTGCAGCAGCTCCACGGCGAGCGCGGCTTCGTTCGGGTCGGCTACATTGAGCACGCCCGACTGCTGGGCCAACGCGTCCATGTCGACACCAGACTTGCGGACAATCGACGACAGCCGCGCATATGCAAACATGAGGTACACGGCCGTGTTGCCGTTGGTCGACAGCATCTTGTCGTAGTTGAACACGTAGTTGGACTGGGGCGACCGCATCAAGTCAAAGTACTTGACGGCGCCGTACCCGATCAATTCGGCGGCGTGGTCGACGTCGGCTTCGGGGAGGGTCGTCTGGCCCGCCGCGATGCGCTCCAACAACGACGCCTTCATGCGCACCTTGGACTCGTCCAGGAGGTCCACGAGGCGTACGGTTTCGCCGGATCGGGTCTTGAACCGCTTGCCGGATTCGTCGTTCACAGTGCCAAACCCGATGTGGTTGACGCGGTGCTTGGCCGGATCGAGGATCTTGGACATGGCGCCGACTTCAAACAGCAAGCCAAAGTGGTCTTGCTGCGTGTAGTCGGTGTAAATGATGATCCAGTCCGCCTTGAGCTCGTGTAGACGGTACCACAGCGCGGCAATGTCGGTCGTATCGTACAGATACGACCCATCGCTCTTGACCAGCATGAATGGCTGCTTGTACTTAGTCGTAAACACAACCTTGGCGCCGTCGCTGTCCTCGGTGATGCCCTGCGCGTCCACCATATCAATCACTCGGGGGATGATCGGGTTGTAAAACGACTCGCCCATCTCGTCCAGCCGCACGTCCAGCCGATCGTACACTTTTTGGTACTCTTTGCGGCTCACGTCGCACAGAATCTTCCACGCGCTGAGTGACTCGGCGTCCCCCGCTTGCAATTTGACCACGCCATCCTTGGATCGTTTGTGAAAGTCTTCATCTTCGTCAAAACGCTGCTTGGCGTTCTTGTACAGTTGCGTGAGGTTGGTGATGTCTGGCATCTCATCCTTCCACGTCGGGAAGGCCTCGGTCAAGTGCGTGATGAGCATCCCAAACTGGGTGCCCCAGTCGCCAACGTGGTTGATGCGCAGCACTTCGTGGCCTTGAAACTCGAGGATGCGACACATAGCGTCGCCGATGATTGTCGACCGAAGATGCCCCACGTGCATGTCCTTGGCCGTGTTGGGCGAGCTAAAGTCCACAACTACCTTTTGCTTTTTGGACGGTGATGCTTGGACGCCTTGCTGTAGCAGCAGCTCCAACCGATTCGCGACAAACGGAGTGGTCAGAAACGCATTGATAAAGCCAGGGCCAGCCACCGACAGCTTCTCCACGACGGGGTTCGAAGGCATCGAAGCGATGATCGCGAGCGCGACGTCGCGGGGCGAGCCGGGGGCGTTCGGGGACCCCTTCAACGCCGTGAAGATCGACATGGACGACGTGCACTGGTAGTCGCCAAATTTGGAAATCTTTGTCCGCGACACTTCGACGCGGAACTGCAGGCGGTCCAACATACCCGGGAACGCCGTGTCCACTGCTTCGATGAACAGCGCTTCGATCAAGCCCAACACATGGTCGTACGTTTTGCCCTGCAGTTGAGCGGCCGTGGCCTGGCTCTTTCGAAAGGATGACGGAGCGGATGCCACCTCCGGAACCACTGCCGTCAACGCGGAGGCAAACACAGGACGCTGGAAGAGAGACGCCACGTACGAACGCGCGGTCACAAGCGGGTACGACGCCTGGGGAAGCCATTCCAGCGACTTGCGCAATGCCACGCCGAGGACGACGTCGGCCAGCGTCAATGTTGAACCCACGGCGAACGTCGCCGACTTGATCTTGGCGTCGATGAGGGTCGCCAAAGCGGTTTTGTCCAACGTGACACGCAACACATACTTTTCCCATTCGAGCCATTCATCGACAGCCAAGTCGTCGGCGGACAACGCTCCCGCGGCAAGCGCGACGTAACGGGCAATCACGTTCGCCCCAGACAAAGTCTGGCTGGTCGAAGGGATCGTGAGGGAGGCGGTGGTGCTGTTCACTTTGAGCGTGAACGGCGTCTGGGTTTCATTCAAGGTGATGACACACTTGAGGGCGTCGTAGCCGTGCGCGGCCAAGACGAGAGGTTGTGGTGCCGATGCCATCTTTGTGTCTACTTCGTCGCTTCGCTTTCTCTTCACGTTGGTGGTGGTGGCCAAGCAATGAACGGGAGCGCCAATCGGATCCACAAGAAGATGCCAATGGCAGTATAAGGTTTGTCCCAGGGATTAATCCCATCACCATCCGGATACAACTATAAGAAAATAAGAGTTGCTGAACTGGAGTGTCGTGCAGCATATACAGGAGGCCGCTTGCTTCCTGGTAGTTGATAATTGACTGTAAAGTCATGACTGTCAATCCCTCAACCGTTTTCAGTCAGCCAACTTGATAATCGGTGTGCGGAGCACCTGTGGGAAAGATGACCAAGTGGACGGTGGGTGGGACAAATGGGATATTCAATTTGTCCCAAACAAACCTCTGAAAACCTATGTTTACTACTGTAGTAATATTCTATACCAGTACTCCGGAGGAATAATAATACTACTATTTAGTATGCTAGGAAGAGCCCCTAATACTGTAGCTCATTTGTAAGGCACATGTAATTTGACCAACGCTCTGGTAGATCCACTATGACCCTTCGAAGATATTGCAAGATCCAAGCAAGTTATCGACGTGAGGTGGTCGCAGCATGCCGCGACTACGTTGGACGCGAACTACTACGATGATCACAACCCTCCTGTGGTTTTTGCTGTTCACGCAACCAGCATGGGCCAAGAGCACCGTGTCAGGTAGATTGATATCTTGCTACAGGGCCTAACAGTGGTGTTCAGTGTCGCGCAAGGAAGGCATTTCTACCGGCCAAGTGAATGTCCTCCAGGGTTTCCCCGGTGCGCTGTCACTCTCGTACTTTTTGACGGGGCCTGGGGATTTGCATTATACCATTGTCCCCCACGGCCATGCGGACGTCGCGGCTGACGCCATTAAATCGGCTGCCCTGGCCACTCCGCCTTCGCCAACCGCTGGCACCTTTACTTCGACATCCGCCACTAGGCTTGCTTGGAACGTGTTGGCTTTGGATGCCAATACAACGTATGATGTGTACTTTGTTGCAGAAGCTAGCAACAGCAACGGAGTCTTTGGCACGGTACTGCAACATGAACTTCAAAGAGAACCTACCCTTTCTACTGTTGATGTAGGTGGTATCTGTCAACGGCACAACAACCCACCCCCACGCCCCTCGCCTGACGTTACAACACAGCGAACCCGTTCGGGCATCGTCCTCCAGCGCCACGTTCAAAGTCAATGTAAGCGCCCCCGGGTTGCTTCATTACATGATTGTCCCAACAATGGCTGGAAGCCACAACTTGTCCGCCATGGACATTTGGTCCAGCAATCAGTCGTTGTCTCTCTTTCTCCCTTCCACGGACGCCATCATTGTGAATGTCACCGACTTGGCACCGTTTACATCGTACGATGTTTGGTTGACGACAGAAGTCAAGGGAAGTGATGGGGTGCTGGGGGCCGTCCTTCACAGCGCCGAGGCGTTCACGACGCACGCCGTCGCTCCAGATGTCGTGCACGTGGGCTGCCTCCCTCGCGGCGGCACCACGACCGAACTCCTTATCGGTTTGCGGTTGCAGTTTCCCCCGAACGCTTTTGCCAACGTCCACGAGTCGGCGCTCCGAGCGGTCCAGTACTCGCTCTGGTATGTCGCGGACGCAGCCACTACATCTAGTGTCTTGTACGATGCCGCGGGGGCCATTCAAAATGCCACAAACTCGACCACCCGTCAAGCTGGTCAATGGCACTTGTCGATCCCTGTCCACGAAAACAACAGCGTGCACATCATGGCCGCTACGGACACCACCGTGGACTTGCACGCCAACGTGAGCGGTTTGACAGCTGGAACGAATTACTCGATGGCCGTGGTGGTGGAGACCAAAGGCAGCCGCGGGTTGGTTGGCAGTGTGTTGAGTATCACCGGGTGTGGCACGCATCCGTTTCCGCCGAAACTCGCAGCCGTTCTTGTTGCCGCGCAAGCCCAGACAACGGACACCGCGGTGATGCAAGTGTCGGTGGAAGCTCTGACCAACGTCCACTACGTTCTCGGCACCCCCGCTGCCTTCCGCCAAGTGCCTCCGCCGCATTCGTATACGTGCCTCTCCACGACATACAATGCGTCCTTTGTCCGCTTCGACACAGTGTCAAAGGTAGCTAATGTCACGTCCATTTCTCTGACGGACCTGAACGCGTCCACTGTCTACGCCGTCGCCGTGTTTGCCGAAACTGTCGACAGCTTTGGAGTGTACGGGCCGCTGTCCGTGCCCGTGACCGAATTCCGAACGAACGACCCGGCGGGCAACGTGACGATCGTCGAAGCGATTCCAGTTCTGGGGACCACGACCGACATTTCAGTTAAGGTGCACCTCACGCAACCTCAGAATCACGTCGCGTTGTGCTGGAAACCCGCCGCACCAGTAGCGTTTACGTGTTTAAACCACACGGGGAACATCGTTGTGGGCAACTTGACACCCGACTCGACGTACGAGCTGTACGTCGTGGCGTCGACGTTGCAGCGAGTCGAGAGCGAGCGTAGTGACCTTGTGACAGTCTCCACCCACGCACCAGCACCGGTCGTCCAAGGGGCCACCCTGGACCGCATTGACGGTCGATTCGACCAGCTACTGGCTACGGTGGCCACGGCGACCTCTGGATGGTTGCACGTTGGGCTGTTCCAAACCGATGCTTTGGAAGGCAAGCCGAGTTTCACCATCGATGGCCTTGTCCGACGACAATGGCCCGCCCATCATGAAAGCGTCCTCCATGTATCTCCAGGCACAACCACCGTGATGTTGGAACACTTGGCGGCCAACACAACATACACGCTCGTGGTGTTTGGAGAAAGCGCGTCTGTCCCCAACGGAACGCAATCCAACGTGTACGGCGACTTGCATCTTGTGAACGTGTCTACGTATGCATTGGCACCCACCATCTTACAGTCGGCCGCACTGCCTCAAAATGCCACGACGGACCAACTCTTCCTCATCGCGAACCTGTCGTCACCAGGAAGATTGCATTTCATGATCTCGGACACAGACTTGCACGATCCTAAGGTACTCAAGCAGCCATTCCAAGGCCAGCACATGACCCCATTCGTTCGCCGAGGCATCGTCGACGTGACGTCGCAAGTGTGGACCACCGTCAACGAAACGCGCAACGGCGTCAACGTCACCGTCGACGTGGCGCTGCCCATCTTTAACGCCAACCACACGATCCACGGCTTGGCCGCTGACACCATGTACCATGTGTTCCTGACCACGGAAACGTTTGACAGTTTCGGGGTGTTTGGCGCCCTGATTGCGCCCCACTTGGCCACCACCCATGCCCCCCATCCGACGTTCACATCCCTCTCGGTCGTGCCCACACCCGGGAATCCCAAGTCCATCTCCCTCAACTTGACATTGTCGCGGTATGGCCTCGTGCATTACATTCTTTTGCTCCGGAGTCTCCCTTTCTCCAGTTTGGAGGATAACGTCACTTCGTCCAACGGTACGGAGGTGCTGATACCGTCAGAGATCGAGTCGGCGACGCTGACAGGGGGCCAGTTGCAACGTGCGTCGTTGGCAGAACTTGGAGGCGGAGTTCTTCACAATGGATCGATTCCCATCTCCCGCGACGAGTGGGCCAAGGTGGACACGACCACACACAAAGCGTTTGCGGACTTAACGTCTGGCGCAACGTACGAGCTGTGTGTGGTGGCCGAGACGGATGCCAGCAACGGCGTGTTTGGTCCGGTAGTGTGTCATGTTGTGACGACGTTTGTCGACTACTCCAATGCCACGCTGTTGGAGGATGTCATGTCGGCCGAGCCAGTGCCAGGACGAACAGACCAAGTGGAGTTGACGTGGCGAAAACTGTCGATGGCGAAGGTGGTGCCGTACTTTGTCCTCGCCCAAGGGGGACATGCCACCTTTTCGACCACCAGTTTTGGTCGGACTCCGTTTTCACAGATTCGACCTGGTCAACATGGCGTGGTGGCGGCAGGATCGCTGCCTAAAGTTGAAGGAACCAGCGACTTGTATCGCATTGTGGTCGGGGACTTGGACGCCCACACAGCGTACTCGTGCTACTTTTCAGGAGAAACCATCGACTCGTTCGGGGTGTTTACCCGTGTCAACAATTCGTTCCCAGTGACGACCCATGCACCTCCCCCAGTGCTCTCGAGCTACTTTGCGCGACCAGCGTCCGGCAACACCACCGGCGTCGAAGTCGTGCTGGACGTAGGATGTCCCAAGAATGTCAACTGCAAAGACGCGCTCGTGCATGTGGTGGTAGCTACAACCGCTTGCGCGAACGCTCCCACCGCTCCTTTTCACTTGGCCCATGGATGTGTCTTGGCATATACCGTGCACAATATATCGATCCCAGGCAATTCTATCGCCAAGCAGCACCTCGTGTTTCTTGAAGATGCCGCACTGCTGGCGCCAAACACTACGTACACTATCCACATTGCCACCGAAACCCCCCATAGTGACGGGGTGTTTTCGACAGTTAAGACCACTTCCGTGACCACACACCCGACGCCTCCAACGTTTGTGGACCTCGCAGTGCGTCCGAAGCACGCGTCCACGACGGAACTGGTGCTCAACTACCAACTGTCAGCCCCGGGGGTGGTGCATTTTATCATTGGGGAAGACTCCAAGCACATTGACGTCCAGTCAGTGTACAACATTAGCGCGAAAAAAACAACGAGCGGCGAAGACTGGCATAAGTACCCCCCTCAAACCATCGCGTATCGCAGGAGCCTCACGGTACCCACGACGTCCCCCCACACCGAAGTCCTCGGGTATTTGACGGCGAATACGAGCTACACCGTGTGGGTCGTGGCCGAAACGGCCGCCGACGCCAACTTGTACACGCCCCTGGCTGTGTTTGCGAATGTGTCTACTTTTGCACCAGCCCCCCTCCTGTTATCGCACGCAGCGTCGCCTACACCTGGCTCCACCACGCAGCTACGCCTGCAGTATACGACGAACGACGTCACAGGGGTGGTGCACTGCCTCGTCGCAGCCTCAACGCTGTGGACGCCGACACTGACCGGACCAACCTCGTTTGGCAACCGCATCGGCTACAACACAAACATCGTGGCCCAAGTGTCGCTCGGCAACGAAAGCAACGTCGTGGACATTTCGGTGCCGTTCGAAGACACGAATTACACGATTGTCCTGGTCACGGAAACCAAACACTCGAACGGTGTGTTCGGTGCGGTCGCCCAATTGGACAACATTAAGTCATCCGCGCCCGCCCCGGTAGTTCTAGACGTCCATATCACGGCCACCGACGCTCGCACCGACTCGTTGACGGTGAACGTGCGTCTAGACCGCGCCGGAACAGTCCACTACTCACTCACAGAGGCCAACCACCCGTTGGCGGTGACAGAACCCCCTCCGTTTGTCGTGGCCAACTCGACCAATGTATCGTTTGTCACGTCTGGACTCCGTGAATCCATGTGGTACGATGTCTACCTCCAGACGGAAACCTTGGACAGTGGTGGCGTCGTGGGCTCGCTGGTCAAAGTCGTCAGTCCCGTGCCTACGCACGGTCCCCCGCCTGTCGTTCTCGAAGAGGTGGACTGTTCTGGAGCACCAAACTGCGACACGTTGGGTCGTGAACCGGTAAGAATGCTATAAAGTGGCTATTGATGTATTTTGACCTGGCTTGGTAGTGTTGGCTAGTCTCAAACACGTGTGGGGAGTGCCGCGAAGGCTATTTCGGCGATGAACCTGGACCATCCAACGGTCTATGCGTGGCTGGCACGAAGAAAAAAGGTAATTTCAACCTTGATAATGGTCAACATGTGACACTGGTACCAGGCAAAAAGACGATTGGGATCAAGGTCAGCGGCGTCAAGCAGCCAACACCGCCAGCCATCGCTGAAGTCGAAGTCCAGTCGAATACTGCAGCTGTCGACTTGTGCCCCGCAAACGCGCACATGTCACTGGAAACAAATCGATGCGAATGTGTCGAAGGCTACGTGATGGAACATAATGCATGCATTCTCCAATGTCCCCCAAACTCGTCCATGTCGGCGCCTGGCCGGTGCCAATGCGACCCGGGGTTTGTGTTGGATTCCCTCCAAACGTCGTGCGTGCTGCAAGTCACAGGCAGTAGCAGCGGTCTCGGAAGTGGTGGCGTGTACACTGCAACGTAAAATCGTACCACAATAATTGCAACAATATACCAATAATGCATCTACATTCACCGTCAATTTCGACAACGACCGTTACAAAGTAGTAGTCTAGGTGTAACTGACAACACGATCGACACATGATCAGTTACACAAAGTGCGTTGACATGACGGAAGCGGCACCGGTGACCGAGAACAAGGAAGGCGAGGAAAAGGAAGAGGCAAAGCCGCCGCCTCCGCCATGGTTCGTCAAGCTCGACCTGAGACACTTTTCTATGGATCGATTTCTTTACACTTTGGACACGTTTATATCGACCAAGAAAGGGCAGACGTCGATGCTGGTGGGATTTGGACTGTTCCTGATGGTGTTTTGCGGCCTATTCTACTCGCTTCTCCCACACGGCGTACCTGCGGGGAAACATGCCACCATCACTACCGTAGCCACTGAAGACATTGCGAATGTCACAGTCACGGTGGTCAACGATTCCGATGCGACCAATGCGACGACGACGGCGGTTGCAGACGTGCCCTCGACGACTGCCGCGCCCGAGCAGTACACGTCCCTCATTGAAAGTATTTGGGCGTGCTGGCTGTTCATCGCCGACCCTGGGGCGCAAGGCGAACTGCACGAATGGGTTCGTACAATAGTGACGTCGTGGAGAAATTGACGACTCGATTTAGAACAAGCGCGTGTTTGCGTTTTTCGTGAGCGTGATCGGGATGGTGTATTTTTTTGTCATCATGGGGTTTGTTGTCGATTCGATTCGCGACAAGATGGAAGATCTGAAGAAAGGCCGCAGCAACGTCATTGAAAAGAACCACTCGGTACTGCTTGCTAGTATACTGTATTGTATTAGTGGGGTACGAGCTATACTACTTGTCGAAACATTTAGCTCCTTCTCGGGTGGTCGGACAAGTCTGTATCGTTGGTCAAGCAGCTGTGTCTGGCCAATGAAAGCGAGGGCGGCGGGGTCGTGGTCGTGCTGGCCGAACTGGAAAAGGAGCGCATCGAAGCCGAACTGGAGTCGCAAATGGAACCCCACGAGTACCACGGCACCAAGGTGGTCGTGCGCTCGGGCAGCCCGCTCATCACCAACGATTTGAAAAAAGTGTCGGCCCACACCGCCCGCAGTATCACGATCATGGCAACGTCGATTGACGCCGATAAGTCAGACGCATCGTGCTTGCGTGTGATTCTTAGTTTGAGAGGCCTGTTCAAGGTATTATTGTCTTCAGAGTTGCCTTTGAATGGATATATATATATCCATGGGAGTTTGCTGTTAACAATGTGCACACTGCCCCTAGTTGCAAGGACATGTGGTGGCTGAAATTCGAGACATTGACAACGAGCCGCTCGTCCATCTCGTGGGCGGATCCATCGTGGAAACGTTGGTGTCGCACGACATCATCGGGCGGCTCATCTTGCTGTCGGCGCGGTCCCCCGGGCTATCTCGAGGTAAAAAATGATCCTATTTTCAGCTATGCATATAATTGTGTTGATGTATTTTTTCGCACTTTTGATGATATATGACTGTGTACGTACAGTGTACAATTCCGTGCTGGGGTTTGACGGCGACGAGTTCTACAACAAGGCGTGGCCAGAAGTCGTGGGGGTGCCGTTTGGGGAGTTGATCGTCCGATTCCCCGCGGCGACCCCTATTGGTGTCAAAACGGTCAAAGGCAAGATCGTGATCAAACCGTCCATGACGTACAAGATTGAAGACGGCGACGAGATCATCGTGTTGGCCGAAGACAACGACACGTACAAGCCGGAACCGCCGACGCTCGTTCCCCCCGTGCCGATCCCGGTAATTCCTGCCAAGGACAAGATCAAAGAGAAGATCCTTGTCTGTGGGTGGCGCCGCGATATTCAGGACATGCTGGTGCTGCTGGACAGTTTTCTAGAGCGCGGCAGCGAAGTGCACTTGCTCAACGAACTCACGGTCTGAAGTCGTGTGATTATTCATGGGTTTAGCTAACTCGAGTAGATGGAGGAACGAGATACGTTTCTGTCCATGAGTGGCGTGGACATGGAGAGTCTGGAGAACTGCGCATTTCTCCATTTTGTCGGCAACACGTCGGTGCGACGCTACTTGGAGCCGTTGCCGTTGGAAATGTACACGTCGATCATGGTGCTGTGCGACTTTCAGCGCGAACTGGACATTTTGAACTCGGATTCGCACTCCCTGGCCACGGTATCGTTGTTTTACCCGGCATGTTGTTGATCATTGGGCTATCACACAGGTGCTGCTGGTGCGCAACATGCAAAAGAACCGCCGGGATATCGTCAAGGAATCGCTGTTCGCGCCGCGGATTTGCGATGCACTGGGCCGATGGACCCGACACGCGAGCAACAAGTGTCCGTGCATCACGGAAATTCTAGACCCCCGGACACAGAAAACGGTGGTCGCGAACTCGAGCATTGCGGGCCATTCTGACTTTGTCATGTCGAACGAGCTCATTTCATGCATGTTGGCCATGATCTCGGAGTCCCGCGAAGTCAAGCAGATTCTGACCAAGTTGTTGTCGCCTAAGTCCAACACGTTCACGGTGCAGCCATCATCAAGATACTGCACGCCCTTAGAAGTGTTGTCGTACTTTCAACTGGCGGTGCGCCTCGTCGAATCCGACGAGCTGCTTGTGGGCTACATTTCCAAGCACGGTACGTGTACACATATATGTATTCATTGGTGGTTTGGTTTTGATTGAACTTGATGAGGTAATGTGATGTTTAGACAAGAATGCGCCGGCGGTGCTCAACCCAAAGGACAAGTCCGCTCCAGTCTTGTGGCGCAACTTTGACCTGATTGTCATCATGGGTGGGTCGACACACGACGACCAACATGTGGATGTGAAGCGTGCGGTCGTCGAATCCATCGAAACCACCCTCCGAAAGACCAGTCAAGTAGGAAAGAAACTCAAAGGAACAACGAAAAACGCGACAGGACTCGTGGCCTCCAACCCCCCCGACCCGAAAGTGCGGACGCGACGCTCAGTCACCCGGCGCCACCTTTCCATTAGGGCAGCCCCTACCTTTGACGCGGAAGTCCAGCTCACACCTGAAGTACGGCGCAAGTTGTCGCTTCTGTACGACGAAGTCCAAGGGTTGTTGCATCAGTACAACGTGCAGTCGGGCTAACGTGAATAACATGTTCGTTTCATGTGTGAAACCGCTCGTGTAACTGCTCCGAGAATCATGGCAACAATAAGTGCCCAACGGTTTTGCAGTGACAAGTCGCCACATTGACAGTAACTATGGCGGATGTCAAGGTCGTGCCGACCATGTCGTCTCAAAAGTACACCGTGGCCGACCAAGGGGACCCCAATAAACGACCGTCGCTTCTGGTGACCAAAAGCAGCGTGACGGAGGCGGCGGTCAAGCCTCCCAAGGAGCCCCGGAACTACGCGTACAGTGCCTTGTTGGCGTATAAAGTGGACACGTTCATCTCGACCCGTCGCGGCCAAACCATCTCGTTGGTCACGTTTGGCAGTGTGTTTACGCTCATCATGGCGGTGATCATGTACTCTGTGCACGACGCGGCCGAAGTCGAGTTTGACGAAGCCCTTTGGAACTCGTGGATGTACATGACGTTTCCAGGGGCGCAGCGGGAGGCCGAAGGATGGGTACGGCGCCCGTCCAGAAATCGCTTGAATCTGACCACAAGCTTGTGTGTAGAGCCACCGTGCAATTGCCATGTTTGTGTCGATCGTGGGCATTTTGTTTTTTGCAGTGATTCTTGGGTTTGTCGTCGACAGCGTGCGCGAAAAGATGGACAGTTTGAAAAAAGGCAAGAGCCAAGTCGTGGAAGAAAACCACACGGTACATATGTCGATACTCGGATTGTGTTGTCAAAACGGGTGAATTGATGATACTGGTTGGTCTGAGGTAGCTGCTACTGGGGTGGACAGACAAGTCGGTGTACCTCATTCGCGAGCTGTGTCGGGCCAACGAAAGCGAAAAGGGTGGCGTCGTCGTCGTGTTGGCCGAAATGGAGAAGGAGTACCTCGAAGCGGAACTGCACTCGCAAATGGTGGGCGAGGACTTCCTGGGAACCAAAGTCGTGTTTCGATCGGGGAACCCCCTCTTGATCATCGACCTGCTCAAAGTATCAGCCCATACAGCGCGAAGCATCGTCATCATGGCCACGTTGGGCGACGCCGACAAGTCGGACGCGTCCGTGCTTCGCATCATTCTCAGTCTCTTGGGACTGCCTCATGTAAGTCGACCACAGTTTTACTTGAGTACTGTGTTGCGTACCCAGACAATTGTCCATGGATTAGCTTCGGGGGCACATTGTCGCAGAAGTGCGCGACATCGACAACGAACCGCTGATTGCGCTCGTTGGTGGCGGCATCGTCGAAACGTTGGTCTCGCACGATGTCATCGGTCGTCTTGTGATCATGTCGGCGCGGTCTCCTGGCCTTGCCAAAGGTAAAATTCCTTGGTATATTATTATTTTTGTCTTTAATTATCACGTGTAGTGTTCAGCGCGGTCCTCGGGTTTGATGGCAACGAATTCTACATTAGCGAATGGCCCGGTTGTGTAGGGGTGCCGTTTGGGCAACTGCCCGAGCGGTTCAAGGCGGCCGTGCCCATCGGCATCGAAACGACGGACGGCGACGTGGAAATCAAACCAGACCCGGAGCGACCGATGGAGGCAGGGGAAAGTATCATCTTTCTGGCCGAAGATAACGACACGTACAAAGCCGAGGAGACGGCGATTGCGATCCCTACCACCGCCGCGCACGCCCTCGTCACAACAGAGCGCCAGCTGGAGAAAATCCTCATGTGTGGGTGGCGTCGAGACATTCGCGACATGATCAAGCTCTTGGACGACTTGGTGCTACAGGGCTCGGAAGTCCACTTGTTGTGTGAGGACCCTCCGATTGAAGAGCGCGACAAGCAGCTCGTGGAAAGCGGCATGGATTTGAGCTCCCTCGTCAACATCGAGCTCATTCACCAGTTTGGCAACTCGGCCATCCGCCGGCACGTGGACCAGCTGCCGTTGGAAGACTACACCAGCGTCATGGTGCTCGGCGACCAGTCGCGGGAAATGGACATTTTGCACTCCGACTCGCATTCCCTCAGCACGGTGTTGCTGCTCCGAGGCCTCCAAGCTGCCCGGAAACGGCGGGCGCGGCGCCGCCTCTTTGCCGAAACGATTGACAACGCCATCACAAAATGGATCGGCAACAAGGACGACCACATCTCCCAGTGCCCGTGCATCACGGAAATCCTCGACCCGCGAACCCAAAAGACCATTTCCAGCAACCGGACAATTGCTAGCCACTCCGAGTTCATCCAGTCCAACGAACTCGTGAGCTGCATGTTGGCCATGATCTCGGAAAGCCGAAAAGTAAAAAAGATCCTCAACGAACTGCTCGGGGCGACGGGGTGTTCGTTCCAAGTTGAGCCTAGCGTCCGGTACTGCGACCCCACCGAGTCACTCAGTTTTTTTCAAGTCGCCAAGCGAGCACTCGTGCATGACGAAGTGCTTTGCGGGTACCAGTCCCGCGTCGCGTCCGACAGCACGGTGCTCAATCCGCCGGACAAGGAAGCTCAAAGGACGTGGAAGGACATTGACTTTGTCATCATTCGCGGCCATCGTGAGCGAGACGTTGCGAACGAGAAAATGGTCGACGACGGCGCGGCAGCGTTTCAGGATGCGGCGCGCCATCGCCATGTGACGGACCTGTTGGAGAAGAACGAAATCGACCAAGTGCAAGAAGATGTCGGCAAGACGCTGCAGTTCGGCCTCACGAGTGCCGACAATCGGGTCGTGGAAGTGACCAAGGAAGTGCTCCAACGACTGTCGGCAAAGCTGTCGGTCATTCTAAAAGAATGCGAACAACACAAGGTGGCCTAACCAGTTGCTAGTTGTTGGATGGTTCTTGGGGGTCTTTTATAATGAAAGCAAGGTTTATTCCAACTACGTTGTGTCATGTAAACGCCAAGACGATGGGGGTGACGATGGCGGCTGCAATGGCAACCGCGAGGGCCGTGATCAACGCCCTCTTTTTGATGTTTTCCCACTTGAGGTACGCCGCCTGCTCTTCGGCGGAAACCGATTCACCAATGGTGATCGCCACGGCGTCCAGCTCGGTCTTGACGTGTTCGATCACTTTGGTCTGTTCGAGGACGACTTTGTTGACTTGGCCCACGGCGTGGACCAAGTGCCCCATCTCGTCTGCTAGTGCTAGCTCCTTCTCCAGCACGTCCTTTCCTGCTTTGAACTCGTCCGAAGTCACAGCCCCACCTTGAATTAAGTCTAGAACGCGTTCAAAGTGGTTGGAATCCCTGTAGTAGTTGTCGTGTGGTACCATATTCGACGACAGCTTCGTGCTTCCTAGCATGCATACGCTGGGTTTCCTGCAGCCGCTTCATCGTCACGACAAAGTCCTTTTGGAGGGCCTTGAGTTGCTCTTTGTCGTGCTTGTGCTTGGCCTTTTCAAGAAAATTCGCCACTTGGCGGGACAGCGCCGTGGCGTCGTCCATACTCGGCTTTGTCTGACTGATAAATATGGCTTCGGACGCCATGTCTGACGCATTGCATCCATCTTCGACGACCCCAAGGCATTCTTTCATGTGCGCCACAGCCTTTAGCGTTTCTTCCACTGTGTGCAGCGTCGGGCCGTCGGTACTCATGGCGCTGATTGTCGACTTTTGCTGAACAACTCGATTCCAAAAATAGCATTTGCTTGTCAAAGTGGCTGTCAAGTGTCAACGCAAACCAAATACCAAAGGCTAATTTATGATTGAGACTGGTTTACGTAGTACAGCACCACGGGCGTGGCTATGCCTGCGATAATGAATAGCAACAGGAACAGCACCAGACACTTTTTCTTTAGCGCCTGCCATTGCAAGTACGCTGCTTGCTCTTCTTCAGTGATGGCACGCCCAATCTGAAGCTTCAAGTCCACGGCCTTTGCTTGCACTTGCAGCACGTCCGTTGTTTGAGAGCCCACGACCTCCCCCACGGCCTTGAACACTTGATGCACAGTGCCGGTCTCTTCCACGAGCTTTGCAAGTTTCACTTGTTCGTCTTTCATGCGCTTCAAGTCATCGGGCGACACCACAGCTGCCTGAATCAAGTCTACACACCAAATTTCATTTTGAACAACAACACAAAACCACGTCACAACACAATCCCACGTCGATATATTTCGACGGACAGAAAGCTGTGCCTACCGTATTCCACCAGTTCTTCTCGCTTCCGAGCGTAGTTGCGCTGAATCACCTGCAACTCCTTCATCGCCTCGACAAACTCTCGATGGGTAGCTTTGAGTTTGTCTTTGTTGGCACTAACTCGTCGCTGTGAGTCCAAGAACTCGGCGATCTCACGCGACAACGCGGTGGCTTCGTCCATGTCGGCTTTGGTCACAGCAACAAAGTCGGGTTCACTTCGAGGGGATTTGACATCGCATTCAGCATCCAGTTTGGCCATGCATTCCTTCAGGCGGGCCACCGATGCGTCAGCGGCCGCCACCGTGTGGATCCCGTCCATTATTTCAGATTTGACTGCTGGAAGTGCATGTGGCGTTGGTTTCGAATCTAAAATTAGATTTCCCATGAATCATTTAATACAATAATAAATGAAATATACTTCTTGGATGATTTATTCTCCCCAATAAATACATTTATATATTAATAGTATTGTATGTATAGTAATACCAGTACTGTATATCGCTAGTTTTCAAGCGCAGTACAGTATCAGATTTTCACAGTACAGTTTCGATCATATCAGTATACTGCCTGTTTTCAACCACCGTATCAATTTTCACAGTATTGCGAACATGGTGACCACCGCTGATTCTCCTGCGCCGGCGGCGCCGCCTGCTGCGGAAACGGTTCCAGTGGATGTATCAGCTATGAAGAACAAGAAGTGGATGTACGTCGATGCAGCAGGTGGTCAGAAGGGACCCATGGACGAAGCAGTGTTGAAACGATTGCTTCGTCGGGGCCTCGTCCACGGCGAGACGTACGTGTGGTCGCCGGAGTTGCCTGTTGCAGAATGGAAAATGGCCAAGGACATCGCGCTATTCACGCCAGTGTGTGTACTGTGGCAAAAGGTGCCCCAGTGGCACTACTACGACCACCTGAAAGTCCAGCAAGGTCCGATCTCGACGGCCGACTTGGTGCGCAAGTTCGAGGACGGCGATGTCGACGGGCTGACGCTAGTGTGGAGCTCGTGCCAAGTGGTTGCAACCTGGACTCCCATGGGTGAAGTGAGTGCCTTGAAGGAAGAGCTCCATGAGATCAACCTCGAGCGAGAGAATGAAGAAGCCATCTTGGCGACGCAGCAGTCGTTGGATCCGAAGCTGCAGACATTCCACGACGATGCGTCGTCGACGCGGGCGATTGTGGCCGAGGACGGAAAGGAGTTTATATACGACCCAGACACACGAAAATGGATCACGCCAGAGGTACCCTTGTTGGCAGCGTTTCGTTAATCATCGAGTGTAGGACAAAATTCTCGACGAGTTGGAGGACTTAGCCGAAGATCGCGGCGACGAGTCGGCCAAGCCGGTCAAGAAGGCGGCTCCACCTGCCAGTTTAAGCCACTCGGACATTCTGGAGGCGGCCGCCCTGGCAGCGAAAACGGATGGCGGCGGCGACGACAGCACCGCCCCCACCATCGACACAACAAATCCAAAGAAGCGCAAAAAATCAAAGTCGAAAAAAACCAAATGGACGTCTTCCAAGCAAAAAACATGGGTGTACATCAACGGCCTGCCGCTTGACATTACGATCCCAGAAGTGCACGACCACTTTGTCAAGTGCGGCGTCATCCAGAAGGATTTGCACACGGACGACCCCAAGATCAAACTGTATCGCAACAAAGACACGGGCCAACTTAGCGTACGTACGACCAGCAGTGTCCGCCGACACTGACGAGATTAAATCATGTAGGGCGACGGTGCAGTGTGCTACATGAAGGAACCGTCGGTGGAATTGGCGATTCAACTCCTGGACAAGTCTGACATCCGACCCAAGTAACGTGAAATAGTGTGAATCGAGTTTGGCAGGTTTCATCATGGACATGGAGCGTAGCTGCCCCATCGACGTGTCTGTGGCCGTGTTTAGCCAAAAGGGCGAATCGTTTGTCGAACGCAAGCGCGTCAAACTCGATAACCGCGCCAAAGTCAAGAAATTCGAGCAAGAAAAGGTAGTTTTTTTGCAAAAATATTATATAATATATATATATATATATATTACAACGGTGGTCATAACATATACACTAGGCATTGTCGTGGGGGGCAGGAGGCGACGAAGAATTTCGCATTGTCGTGCTCAAGCACATGTTCAAACTGGACGATTTCGATGGTATGCCGGCCAATATTTGTTCATTATATATATATATATATTTATTTATTCTGTCCCGTTGGCGGCCCTACTATTTGTTATATATATATATATATGGATCATGCCCTGATTGTAATATTAGACAAGGAAGAAGGCGACGAGCTGAAAGAAGACATCAAAAAGGAGTGTGAGACGTTGGGGGACATCGCGAAAATCACATTTTTCGAAAAGCATCCACTGGGCGTGGTGATCGTCAAGTATCACGACGCCGAGGGCGCGGAAGCGTGCATTGACAAGATGAACAATCGGTGGTTTGCAGGCCAGCGCATTGAGTGCAGCTACTGGGACGGCACGAACTACGTGATCAAGGAGTCGGACGTTGAAGAGGCCGAGCGTACGGAAGCGTTTGGGCAGTGGCTAGAAGAAGGCGGGTCCGACGACAGCGACGACGACGGCGACGATGGGAGGAACGATGGCATGCATGCTGGCCGACGGGTGCTGCCGGATTCCGACGACGAAGAGGACGCTGATGGGGAAGAACAAGTTCACGCAGGTCGAGTGCTGCCCGACTTGGACGACGATTGATCACGACTAAATGTTGATATACAGTACAGTACTGTCTGTGCACACCTGAACGCAGGAGTATGTTCATGCCATTGGTCAAGGTGTAAATAACAACATATTTGGACGGGATGGTGTATTATAATATGCATATGAGACTACAGACGAAGGGTGGTGGTGGTTAGCTGCTTTTAGTTGTTGTTGGGGCTTAGAGGGTTTCGCGCTCAACGTGCCGCCCTGCAAACTTGCACGGGCGCGACGAAATGTCGCGCTTGCAGCAGCACGACCACGAGTACCCCTCGAGGGGGTACTGGCGGGGGAGGTACCGACCGGGGTGGAACGTACACGACTGCGCATTGTTCTTTTCCAACGTAAACGACTCGTGGCAGTGCTTGCACACGCGCGGCTTCTTGAGCACGTCCATCTCGTCCTCAACCTCGCGACGAAGCCTACGAGGGGTAGAAATATATATGAATATATATACAACGCAACACGGATAGTTATATTTGACACTTGCTTTTCTTTCTCCTTGTGCTTCCACGACGCGTCACTTTGCACTTTTTTGAGAAAGTCACTGTGGACGTCTAAGAGTTGGCCCTGGAGTTTGGCGTTTTCGGCCGCCAGCTCCTCGATGCGCTCCGACGACGATCGGTTCATGTCTCGCAAACACTAGGAAATAAGTGGGATTCGTTGGCGTTCAATCAAAATATTATTGTTCAGGATATTTCATTGATGCTTTGATCGAGAAGCCCCCCCCTCTTCCACCAAAGGGTTGTAGTATTGGACGAGTTTATGTATGAGCGGGGCTACCTTGATTTCGGTTTCATGCATGGACAGGGCGTGCTCAGTGTCCTTGTCGTGCTTGTTGTGGTCAGAGCTGAGGCGGCGCAGATCTTTGTTGATGGCCTGGAGCTCGGAAAAGTCCTTTTTGAGCACGTTCAACTCGGTGCGGACGTCCACGTTGTCTGTGCGGAGCTCCTACCAACCAGCCCATGTTGTAATAAAATGCTTTCAACTCGTTGAACGGTTCGTGGATTCGTACATCGATCGTGCGTTCGCGCGTCTTGAGCTTGAGCTGGAGCGCGTCCACTTCGTTTTCAAGCGACGCGATTCGGTGCTTGGACTTTTCACTCAATTCCCGATTGATGTCGGCGACTTCGGCAACGCTGCGAATCTCTTTTTGGATGCGACTGTTTTGGCTACGCGTCGAGTCCCACGCTGTTTCCAAGGACTGCATGACACGACACCGTTCAGGCGTCGATCAAGCGCAAGCAAAAAGAGAGAGTACCTCGAGTTTGGATGACAGTCGCTTGCATTCGTCCGACTTGCGCTCGGCCAGCGTGTCGGCCGAATGCAGCCGCGCCTTGAGGTCCTGAACTTGTGAATTCAGGTCGGCCTTGCGGTTCTTGAGCTCGAGGATCTCAATGCGCATCAACTGCAGACGGCTTTCCGTCGTGGACAACTTGGATTTGGAGTCGTCTAGGGTTTTCAGGAGCACATTCGACGTCTACAATGATTTGAGCACGAGACACAACAACATGTATATGATGGGCTGTGTGTGTAAGCTTACCGTGGCGTCCAGTTTGGCGGCCGTGACGTCGGACTTGAGCCGCTTGTTCTCTTTTTCAAGAAAGCAAATGTTTTCCACGGCCTCTTCAAGCTTGTCGCGGTATTGCTGCATTTGGCTCGAGATTTCGATGCGCTCCTTCTCCTCCATTCTACAAGCACACCCACACCCCAAAAATGAGAGTTGATGCCTTGGGCAGCTTTGTCGGTTATACCGCCGCGACGTGGACGCGCTGTTGACAATGTCGTCCGAGATTTCTTTGTATCGCTCGAGTTCGCGCAGCTTGGCCATGGATTTGGCGTTCGCGACACGGAGCTCCTGGTACTCCCCGAGAAGCGACTGGTACTTTTCTTCGACAGACTTGTTCTTCTTCTTCAGAAGCTCCTCCTCGATGCTCCAAGCCTTTTTCGGCCAAATACTCATGTCTGTGCCTGGCTTTGAAAAGGTCAACTGACCTGACTTCATCGTTTTGAGCTGCGTCGGCCTATTCTTAGCCATCATCACCATCTCGGCTAATTTTATACCCTGTCCAAGAACGAAGCAAAAGAGAGGTGAATAGTAATTCAACTCCAATAAAATGAGTGTGCCTACATTTCACAAGCTATTGGAGCCATCGACGAATAATAATCCCTGGTGTTTTAATCGTTGATTTGGATATACTGACAACGTGTAACCGCTTCAAATCGTTTCGACTAGCAGTTTCACCTTGGGAAAGGCGGGCGTGATGATGAAGCGTCGTAGCTCTCTCACAGTGTCAATCAAGGAAACATGTAGACACTGCAATCGCGAGGCAAATGGCTATATTATGTTGACGTTGCTTCAAACGATAACTATGCACTCGACATTGTTCCAGCACACAAGAGTTGTCGTTTAGCAGAAACTTACCAATGAGTTACCAGTACACAATTTCATGAACATATTTGGACTATAATGCACATTTGGGACAAATAAATGATCCAGAATAATGAGTTTACCCGATATCCGTCACTTCACCGTTTCATCCGCCGATATGCTCGATATGATTGGCGAAGGCAACGGCGTCGAGACATTTGGTCGTCGTGATGGTCTTCATTTGTGATGAGCTCACAGGGCGTATCAGTGGACTCGTCGGTAGAATCGACACTCTAGTGCTAAGTGCAGCAAGGACTCCATTGTACTACAGTTAGTTGGCAGTCGATCTTTGAATCGTTGGTTGTACAGTATGAGGCGGGATATCCTTGATTGTCAGTGGTGGACGTGTATCGCGACGACAGTTAGGACCTCAAAGTTTGCAATTCAGTCGCGTTCAGCCAACGACCATCGTGCAACGGAATCACCTTTGGGGATGCTAGCACTGCTGGACTGTCGTCGTATGGATACAATGTAGGCACAGAGCACGCGGGAACACACAGACTATGACATCATCTGCGTTAGGGTGCATTTTGCAATAAGTCGTCCAGTCCGACTTGGCACTTTTTCAGAGAAAGTAGCCGACATCAATATCAAAAGACTCTTGGTTAAAGTAGGCTAGGTGTTCCGTCCGTCGTTCCTCCCACGCCTGCCGTCGGCAACCCATTCGAACACTGAACGTCCGAAGTAGCGCCGATGCGCGGCAACCAATGCAATTCGCAGGCCCTCGACCAAATTGACGAAGAAGCGCATGACAATCAACAAGCACATGACTCCAGGTCGACGACCTCGGCGGCCCCGTCCATTGACGACATGCTCTCGATGACGGCACCCATGGATCACGAAGGCATGACGGAAACGTCGAGCGAAGTCGACACGGACGAGGACAAGAACTACGAATCGCAGTACTTGAGTCTAGGCCAGCAGTACGGCGCTCGAAGTAAGCAAAAGCGCCAAGAACGACGCATGCAGGAACTGCTCGACCAAAAGATGCAGTCGTTCAATGGCGTTTCCCGCGCGCACGGCACCTCCGTCACGGACCCCGTGCGCCACACATTTTCCAGCGAATTCGCTCCACCGCGATCTATCAGTAACAGCAGCAGCACTCTGAATTCGTCGCACCCGTCCATGGTGATGGGTCCCGTGCTTCAGTCCATAGCGCAGGTGGACATACACGACGGCCATCGCCGCATGCGTTCCTTCGAAGGATGGCTTCTGAAGCGTGGTCAGCGCGTGAAGAACTGGAAGCGGAGGTACTTTACATTGAACAGCCAAGAGCTCAAGTACAGCCAAGGCCCGGGCGAGAAACCCAAGGGGTTCGGCATGGTCGTAGGGGTCAAGACATCGCCCGAGTTCGCGTATGCCTTGAGCATCTCCATGCTTCCAACCCGCGTTCTTGACGTGCAAGCAGAAAGCACAGACGAACAGGAAGCGTGGCTGCAGCGGCTGTTGGTGGCGTCCTCAAGCGCGACGACGATAACTCCATCCCTGGCACCTTCCCTTTCACTGTCGTTACCAAACTCGTCTGCGCCGTCGTCAGTGGCCGTATCCCCTTTGCCCTCCCATCAAGCTCAACCTCGACCTTCCATGGACTTGTACCCAACACCGCCGCCGTCGACTATTTCCACCAAACGCAACAGCTCGTTGTCTTCTCAAGATAGTTCACTCGGCCACGACGACGAAAGCGATGTCGTCGTCGGCCACAACAGCTCCTTGATCATGGACACGGCATCCGAATGCGAAGGCTGGCTGTATAAACAGGGCAGTTTTGTGCGCAACTGGAAGAAGCGGTGGTTCAGCCTCACGCACCATGTGCTGTCGTATCGGGACATGCAGTCGTCCGTGACCATCAAAGGCCACGGCTGCGTCCACAGCGTCCAGCGTAGCACGACCACCCATGCGTTTGGGCTCGTGATTGAGCTCGACAACCACCGCAAGCTCCACGTGTACGCGGACGACGCCGACACGCAGAAGCGTTGGCATCATGCGATCGCCCGCGTATTGCAGCCGTCCGTGGCTCCGTTGACTTCGGGCGAAATGCCCCAACAACAAGCAGCGCCAATGCTGTCAGCTTCCCAAACGCTGTTCAAGCAGTCCAAGACCCACGGCGGGTACATCAAAAACTTTTCAGGGTGGATGAGCATCCCTTCCGGACTGTTCAATGCATCGTGGACGCGATGCTTCTTCACGTTGCACGGCGTCGAGTTGGCGCAGTCGGAGGACACGTCCGCCCCCGTCGCCCGCGTCGGCTCCATCCAAAAAGTTCTCCCTTGGGAAGGTATGGTAACATGCTACTAGTTTGTACTTGCCTAGGTTTCGTGGCTTATACACGTTCCGGGTGTTGTAGGCAAATCCGGCGGCTTGGAGTTTCACATGCTGGGCCAGAAGAACGTGTGGCGGACGCTGTGCCCGTCCGTGCGAGCGGCCACCGCGTGGGTCGCCGCCATCCAAGACTGCCTCGGACGCACCCGATACACGATCGACAAGTTTCTGCGGTCAGCCGACGCCAAACAGATGCAGACGACCATGTGCGGATGGCTTACGCGACTACCGGCCAAACAGCATGGGCGACTGAGGCAGTACTACGTACTCCACCACTTGACCATGAGTGTCGCGAATGACGTGAACTTGCCGCCCCAAGAAGTCGACGTCGTCACAGCCATCCTGTCGTCCGAGGACAGAGATTGCGCGCTCGTGTTCAAGTTTTCCACGGCGCCCGACCTTGTCCTTGAATGCGATTCGGTGGATTCGTGGACGCGGTGGCAGCGGATAGTCCGCACGTGCCTCAAAGAGCCCCAGCGAGCCCACTACAGTTTAAGTTAACCCTCCTCAACCAACCAACCAATCATGCCTACCATTGTTATCGATACAACTCGTGATGTTACCCAGAATGCGTAGTTTTGCACTAACTTACGGCAAGCCGAGGGTAAAGTATGTACATACGAGTATACCTATCTATTCTCAATTGTCCTTTTACCCCAAATTTTGACTTGTGTGCTAATGATTCGCCAAATCTATCGATTAACTGTTTGTTTACACTGAATTTGGTATGTCATTAGTGTCACACTAATTTAATTCCCACACTAATTCAAAGGTCGAAATGTGGATTTGATTGGCTACTGGATTCTTGATCTGGGTTTTGATTGGTCGTGTATCGATTGTCTGCCGGTTTGGTAGCCTCTTATACCCCCACTCCAATTAGACGACATGGCATAATATATCTCCACCACAGTAACAAAGTCAGAATTTTCGGCGAGAGCGATTTACAACACATGGAGTGATGACGGAGCTACAGTAGTGGACGCATCGCGCTTCGAACGCCAGGAACGCTATGAACGATGGGTCTTGCTTTGGTGAAGGAAGAGCATTCTGGCGACTGGAGACCAGTCGAGCTGTTGTTGCTGGCGGCGGTGTACGCTCTCACAATGTGGACATGTCCCTTCAGTCGCCATGAGGTGTTTTTTATATGCGACAAGACTGGATACAAACGCCTAGATACAATAAACCGTATGCATAAAAATATATCTGATGGGAATTCAGTTCATGTGGTAATTTTGTCTTCCGTCAAGTTCATTTCTTACAGTGTTCGGTTCAAGGCATGTACCAAGTCCATGCAGGCGAAGACGGTGCACCATCGGGGCGACGCCGTGAAATGTCCAAGAAGATACCTTATCGGCAATCGTCCATGGCGAGTTTGAACACTGCCAGACTCCTGTCGCCGAACCAGAATGACTTCAAGCAATGCCGGACCCACGGCGCGTTCCACAAAAACTTTGCCGGCTACATGAAGATCCAAACGGGGTTCTTTGGCATGTGGAAGGTCTGCTTCTTCACGCTACAGGGCATTGAGCTGACGATCGCCGAAGACGAAGGGTTGCCCGCTGCCCGCTGCGACACCATCGCGTATGTCAGTGCATCGAGGGGTAGTCAACCCAGCAAATATATGATCGCGGTGTCTTATCCCATCTATATCCACAGGCAAACCCACGCTACTGCAGTTTCACATGAAGTCGAAGAAGGTGTGGAAGACGCAGTGCATCTCCACCGACATCGCGAACGCCTGGTTTTCCGCCGTTGAAGACTGCATGTCCCGGCTCTCATACAGCATTGACCGGTACTTACGAAGCTGCGAAAAGCGGCAGACCCCCACGGTGCTCTGTGGGTGGTTATCCCAGTTGGACGCGAAAGGGAAGGTCATGGGTCGCTACTTCTACGTCCTGCGCCATCTGACGGTGAGCATGGCGCCAAACGTCGATGTGTTGCCCGAAGTGTACGACGTGGTCACGGACGCGACCGCCGCGGGGGCGGATGGCGCCATGGAACTCCGTTTTCAGACACAACCGTCCATGGTCCTGCGCTTTGACTCGGTGGAACTGCTCCGCGTATGGCACGCAGTCGTGCACACGTGCATGAAGGAGCCGTCGCGGGCGTTGTTTGGTTGAACGCCATCATAAGTTGCATGTCCATATTTCCGAGACATCCAGATATAATTGTTAACCTTAGCGAAGTATTATAATATAACTGTTATTAGTAGTTGTGTAAATACATTGTACATAACGCCGATAAACTAACCCATCGAATTGTTTTAACGTTATGTTAACTTGCAAACTTGCCCGTGTATATATTTCGGAACTGGGGATATGTTGGTTGATGACGTGGCAGTTGGAAATGGCTTTCTACTTGGCTGGCTTGGACAAGGCCCGAACAGCGTCGAGACCGATGCGGATCGTTTCCTTGGCAGACACGTCCTTGTCGTCCCAAATCGCGAGCGACAGCCGACAAAGCACTTCGACATACTCGGCAAACACGACGAACTGCTTCTCGCCGTCCTTGATGTCGCGCATCCCGGTAAAGCACTGACCGATCGCCTACCCAGTTCATGATCACGTCAACGCACATACAAAGGCATCTACTCGACTTGCTACTCTAGATGCCATCTCATAGGACAGGCGGACGTACCTGACCAAACAACGCTTCGTGCTTGTCGCTGTCTCCGGTGCAGAAAATGCCGCTGTCTTGAACCAGCGATCGAAAGTCCGACACGCTCAAGATCGGTCCCTCCACGTTTGTCCTATGTATGTATGTATGTATGGTGTATTGTCGATTTGATATGCAAATTTGGGGAGGGGGTGCAATCGAATCGCGCCGACCAAACCGATCCAGAATCGATCTGATTGGTTGAATTTCATTGAGAGGGTTTTGATTGGCTAATAATTTTGAGCTCATCTGAAGTAGCCAATCAAATCAATTTAACTTCCAACGAGAAACCACGCCACAACACGAAATTTCACTCGAAAGCACAATACAGATTGTATTATTTCTCACAAATAGCAAAAGGCATTGTAACTACTTGACTTTGCACTTTCAAAGCATCATCCACATTGCACTTGCACATGATGCCACATTGTACTTTGACATACTGTACATGATGGAGACAGTCCACATTGCATGTAGGTTCGTGGAGAGTAAATCATCCCTTTTAACACGTAACAACGAACGTACTGCTTTCCAGACGCGTACTTATCGTACACTCTGCTCAACTTGGGTTTGGCTTCTTGGAGCATCGCCAGCATGCCCTAAACGAATACACAAATAACCATGTCCTATAAGATCAATGGAATATTTTTCAAAAGAGAAGATGGACGCGTGACCTACGTCTGAATGCAAGGTATCGCGGAACGGTCCGGACGTGAGCCGATTGCAAGCTGGTTTCACCGAGTCTTTGAGTGCTTTTTCCAGCGCAGGAAGGAACGGCATGTCGTCGCCGTACATTTTGTTGTGCGTGACCACCACGAGCACCAGCGCCTGCATAAACTCGACGCGGGACAGCCGCACGTTGCCGGGTTCCCGCAGCGCCCGCACAAACAGTTTGTCCAAGAGAGCTGCGTCCTTGACGTGGTGCAGTAGCGTTGACTCGTGCACAAAGTGATTGAACTCGGCGCCAGACATGCTAAAACGTCGTGTCAGAATTTGATACTTCACCTAGCACCACGCGATTATGGAGTGAGTCGGACGTACGAGTACGCGTCTTCGCCGAAGCCAAGGCTATAATGCTTGAAGATGGCGACAAGGCAGTCGAAGTACTTGAGCAGAACGTCCTCGACGTCGTCCTGGCCAAAGAATGATATATACATATATATCCACGGACAATAGGGTTGTATATATCTTATATATCAAGTGTACCTTTTCCTTGGGGTCTTTGACAAATTCGTCGAGGGCCAGCCGCGCCACGTCGTGGTAAAACGCGCTCTCGAGCTCGTCCTGCGAGATAAACTGCCCCGACTTGACGTGGTTGGCATGGAACGACGACGAGTACCCTTGGAGGTTGCTGTAGACGCTGCCCCCCTTTTTGGCGGCAACGTGGTCGTCCTTTTCGTCGGCGGCGATGAGGTCGTTGTCGTCGTCGGTGACACGCTGGTTGGTCGTGTTGGAAAATGCCGACACAGCCCATGACGACAGTTGGGGCACGCCAATGTCGTCCACGGGAACTTCGTGCTAATGGGATAGAAGAAGAAGTGGCAGTAAGTATGCATGCATATGAATCCGAGGGCGTGATGCGCTCGCTACCTGAAGGACAATCGTGATGGTTTCACCTTCCCGAACACACTCGACAATGCGTGACCACGGACTCAACAGATCGCCCTCAGACTACGTAACTCGATCAGCGGGGGTAGACGAGAGGACACATCAGGATGGAGTGTGCAGGATGCTCGGACGTACGTTTCGGACTTCGCTTGGGAGGTAAAACCCGTTCTTGGAATGCGCGTCTTCGCGGGTACGGCATCGGCCGTGCGGGAGCATGAGGGCATAGCGCTGCGCCGCAACCAATCCTAGCCACTTGATGCTTTGCATCCCTTCGCCGCATGCGACGGGAAAGGACAGCCCATGCACGGCCAACGTAACTTGCATGTCTGTGAAACTTTAAAAGTGCTGGATGAAACCCCCAACGACACTTTGGCTTCGATTGGTCAAATTAATTCGAAATACACCAATCAAATGCATTTGAACGCGAATTTGCCACGAATGGGAACCGATGTGAACTTGACAATAGCGCGCCGCACAAGCACAATGCCGTCCGACGCCCTTTTCCTTCCGAGCGCCAATTGGTACTGCTCGCAAGTACGTGCATGGGCATCCTCGATCTATGGTAGTAAGATGGATGCATCGGAGTAGCTTGGAGCTTGGGGGCAGCCGCGAGATGGATCGTCGACGTACTATTTTGCCTTTGGCTGCAAGTCTCGGGTAGCCATGTATCAGGTACGCCGATCAATCACCTTCCCTACTCACGTGCTAATGGACGCTGTAGGTTGAATTGTCGAGCGAGGTATTTTGCATGTTCGTTCAGTGACATTTGGGCCACGAAGCATGTTGAATGGACATGTAGGGCACATTCTCTCAACCTCGATATGTCGCCGACTTGGGTCGTGGCAAGCACGACAAGAAGGTGACGTCGGTGACGTTCATCCACGGAGCATACCACGAGCTTTTGCTCGTATGTGCTGGCGAGGAAGGGTCCATTCAAATATGGTACGTACATGTGTCCATTGTTCTGACGCCACTCATCTCACGAGAACATGACCATGGCAGGAACGCGTCAACTCTGGAACTTGTGGACCACCACAAAAAGCATAAGTCGACCGAAGTGATGGCGATTTCGTCCAAGGATGACAACGTGATTGTGGGCGGGGACCGCAACGGAGTGCTCAGCGTGTGGACTCGAAGCACGTACGACAAAGGTCTTCCACTTCTTGGCATGTTTTCATGTTCCATCGATGATAGCGGGCACATTGGGTTGCATGTCCCCATTCCCGGGGATTGTATCTACAGCATCGACGTGTGTCCGCAGCGCAAGCATCATGTTCGTGGACATGACATCGTTTTCCATCTTTAGACTAACACGTGTGATGCCTTATATGCTTGCCGTAGGTGGCCATTGGATACCGCAGTGGCAAGCTCGTCGTCGTCGACATCACCGACGGCTCGATCGTCACTCGTTTCAAGGGTACAATATGAGACTTGGTCGTGGACGGTTGGAACCATGTCATGGTTAGGCCACGACGAAGAAATTCACGCCGTGACGTGGCGGCCCAACAACGCGACAGCCGATGCCAAGCCAGTGCTGGCGTCGTCGTCGCGAGATAAGCGCATTCGTCTGTGGGAAGGCGCGACGGCGTTGAACGATCAAGGCGGCAACGCGAGTATGCTCCATGAATGGACGCTCCCTCGACCTAAGAAGGCAGTGTCGTCGCATCAGATGGGGCGGCTGTGGCTCACATGTTGCTGGGTGCCGTCGTCCAATTTCAGCGTCGTGTGCAGTTCCATCACAGGCGACCTCTTTCGCTTGGAATGGTCTGTCCACTGAACTTCTTTGTGTCGATATGTCCGAATCTATTGCCGTTTGTCGATATATTTGGATATATTTCCTACCTTTTGAGTGAATTAGGACGCCCAAGCAGAAAAAGGTGACCGCCCCCACCACGTTCAAGCACAACCACACCCGCCTCGTATTCAACATTGCGCCGCTCGTGGTCGCGTACAACAAGGTGCTGCTGCTGTCCATATCGATGGACCGCGACGTTCGCTTGACAGATGCGATGTCCATGGAGTGCCATGCCAAGCTCACGGGGCTCGGCGGCCACGTGTATGCGCTCTCGTACAACGCGAAGAAGGCGCTTGTAGCCGGGGGCGTCGGCGACAACACGATCCGACTGGTCGACCTGGCCAAATCCACCACCGAGTTGCTGTGGAAGGGACTGCAAAGCAAAGTGACCGCCGTGGCGTGGAACCCCCTCGGTTCGTACCTCCAAGTGCACATTGGATTTGTGTGACAGGGCACACTGTGGACAGGTTCGTCCATGTTGGCGTATGCGACAGAGGAAGGGCACATTGGGCTCTACAACGGCCAAGACCACACGCGCTTCAAGACGTACCATGGCGGAGGGCTCGTCCGACAAGTTCTGTGGGTTGTGCACTCGTTCCCGTCCGAGGTATTGTGACTTTTGCACGTCAAAATCGTGCGATATCACACTAGTTACAGTCACACACTAATAATTCGATGTTGTATGAGTGGATCATTTGATTGGCTACTTGATTCACGTTTTGGGTTTTGATTGGTCATCGATCTTTGTGATTGTCTGTCGATTTGGTGATATTCTGGTCATGCGATTGTGAGTATCCCACTCCAATATCCATTCGAATAGATCGACTTGACAATATGTATATATGTATGTTAGCCTCTATCTGGTGTAAATACTATATACCCTTCTTGAACGATTGATTCATTAGAATACGACGGCCGACGACTGGATCCAGAGTTTGGAAAGCATGCAAGTAGGCGGCGACGTCAGTCTAGAGGAGCTGAAAGCACCCGCTGACTCGGCACCGTCGACGACGTCGTGTGTGCTGTGGAGCTGCGCCGTCGACGGCGTCGTGTACGCGTCCAACCCAGACGCCCCCGACGCCAACTCGATCGCAATGAACAAACGATGGGGAGTCCCGCAGGTCACGTGTATGGCGTGGCTTGGGGGGATGGTGGCGTTGGGGACCCCCGAGGGCGCTGTGGTGGTGGTGAAGCGGCAGGGACTCACGGCGTGGACCCGTGTCCACACATTTTACGACCACACCAAGGCGGTGACTGCCGTCGCATGGTGTGCGACATCGTCCCAGTTGGCCACAGCGTCCAACGATGCAACGGTACTACTCCTTGGATGGAATCGTCATATCACATGTTCATTGGACGTGTAGATTTGCGTGTATGCGTTAGATGGCGGCGTCTTATCTCCATTGAAGCACTGCTTGACTGGCCATGGCGGCGGCATCACATGCTTGGACTGGTCGCCGTCGGGGGTGTACCTGGCGTCGGCCTCTGTGGACTCGACGGTCCAAGTGTGGAAGGTCGGGCGTTCCGAGGGGTATAATTTCAGAGAGCACAGCGGTCGCGTGCTGGCAGTGACGTGGGTGGACGACGCGACGCTGGCAAGTGGTGGCGACGACCAGTCGATTCGAAAGTGGACGTTTGCCGACCTCGTACGTCGTCCTTTCCCATCATATTTGAGTTAGGGGATTTGAGTTGTTGAGCTAAAAACCAATGTGTAGCCACATACCATGCCACCGAAACCCAAACACATTGCCGAGGGTGCAGTGATGACAGCAGGACCCAAGCGTTCTGTGGCTTGTACCTCAACCAAGAAGAACAAGGCAGCGGGGTTGGCCTCAATAGCACCCACCTCCTCAACCACGATGTTTCATACATCGTCACCATCAAACAAGTTGGCCATAGAAATAATACCCACCAGCGGACACGCCTTGACTGACTTTTTGCGTTCGGAACGAGCACAATTCGAAGCGGTAACGTGCTTTGCCGTTATGTATGCAATTTGCACTATGGGATGTGTATTTTAGGAGGGGGATGTCGAAGCCGCGGGACGATTGCTGTTGTTGCAGGGGCGGATTGGAGAAGCCCTTCGACTCGTGTCCCGCCACGGTAAGCCATACAAGTCAATGGATCTTGTTTCATAATGCAAACCATATATATATATATATAAATTGGGCGGTCAATGTAGAAAAGTTAAGCCCAGTGTGGCTTGCTCATGCTCCAATGGCGGGGTTGGATGTGTGGCGCGAGTACACGCGACTGTATGCCGATCGATGCCGCGACAAGCGTAACTTTGGCGACGCTGGTAAGGTGGTGAGGTGTCTCGTGATTTGGTTTGTGTTTTAATGGTAATATATATATATATATATATTTATCCATGTAGTGGAGGCATTCTTGTCGATTGGGGAAGTGTACGCTGCGATCGAGTGCTTGGTGAAAGGATCCATGTGGAAGGAAGCTCTGACGTTGATTCACTTGCGGTGTGCACCCTCCGACCCCATCCTCCAAGAAACCACGCTCTTGTACATCGCCCATTTGAAAGCCCAGTACGCATGACATATACGTGTATATATATATATATATATATATATATATATATATACCTTGTCCTTTTAAAAGCATTGTCTGTCGTTGACCCAAAGTTTGGACTTTTTGTGTGCTAATGATTCGCCAACTCTATCGATCGATTATTCGTTGTACTGAATGTTGCAACTAAAAGTTGGTCCTGTGGTGAATTTGTATCACATTAATTCAAGTCACACACACACTAATTGATGATGGTTTCCTGCACTCTGATATGACTATATATATATATACTTCTGCCGAGGAGTCTTGTGTACGTATATATATATATATACATATACACATGTATGTGGTTGACATGTCTCCATACTCCATGTCGGTCCAGTTTAGAAGAAGCACCACCATATATCAAGACTCGTGGTATAGGGAAATGTGGCGCGACGCTGGAACGTTGCTGCAGTCGTTGTCGATGACGGACCAAGCAATCAGTTGCTTTCTCAAACAACACGACACGTTGGGAGTGGCGTTGGAGCTCATGGACCCCACTTGCACGTCGGTGCTCACACTGGTAGACATTGGGACTCGGGGCGTTTTGAATCGCCAGTTTGAAGTCGTGGAACGAGTCGTGCACTTGTTGTCGGCGGCGACGCACAAGGCCCAAGCGTTTTTGCTGCAGGTGTTTGTGTTTTACACGCAAGACCAACTTTCCGACACTCCGCCGACCGGATGGATGCTGGACGACACGTCCACGTTGTGGTCTCATCTGCATGACAAAGCCAACGTCGACACATTGCCCTTGTGCTTGCAAACCATGCTGGATCAAGTGGCGCCCAAGTCGGACAAGGTCTGGGCTCGACTGATTCCATATGTGCAATCTCTGGTTGGCGATGTGGACGATATCGAAGATGCATTCGCGGGTGGCGTGATTGACACCGCGTTTGTGAAGCTGATGGAGGTACGTTTGTCAGACATTGTCCACTGTAGTTACTGCCGAAGAATAGGCCAACGCCGTCGGCTACATGGTGGTGAAATGCCTGTGTCAAATGAGTTTAGACCTTGTCCAGGGCAACTTTTTAGCCGCATTTGAAGCGTGGAGTGCATGCCTCGCGCAAGTCGCCCCTCTCACGTCCAGCAACAAGGTAGTATAATCTAAGCAACACAAAATCACGAACGTGACTGACATGTCTTGTAGGGGGACCTCTTGGAAGTCTGCGCCCTCGTGTTTCCCACCGGAGTCAACTCGACCCCTCCCCCCGTAGGCGAACTCGTCACAGACTCTGCTTGTAGCCGCGAATTGTGGGCGACCTTTTTCCTCTACCAAAGTGTCGCGTTTAGTCGCAGTCTCCGCGCCGCCGCCGATGCGGACGACGACAACGACCACCGGCGACAAGAGGTTCAGGGGGCGCTGCTGTTCGTGATCCAGTGGATCAACCAATTGCTGCCGGCGACAGTTTTGCAGGACATGGACGAGTCCGTGGTGCGGGTGGCGCAGACGGCGCTCAATGATCTGTCGCTGCTGTATCACCAGCTTCTCGACGATAATCGCCCGCCGTTGGCCGAAATCAGTGCACCCTCGACGTAGCAATACATGCGTTTATTATACAACGTTATTAAAGCAAATGGAATAAGTCGGTGTTGGTGGTCTCGTTCGTGCAGTGTCCGCAGACGAGTGATCTTCTTGTTAGCCGTCTAATATCGAGTCCATGAAGTTTTCTTCGTCTTTACTTAAGATGGAGGACGAGCCGCCGCCGCTGTTGTTCCCTCGAGGGGTCCAGTCCATGGCGCCGCCGTCGTCGTCGACTGATTTCCCTCCGGCCACGGGAGCGCTGGACAGCAACCGGCGGGACGCGGTCACCTCACCGAGCCCCGCGCCCAACGCCGTCGGTGTTTGCTGCACCGTGGACGGACGGTCCACAGTGGGGGGCTCGATATCGACAAAGTTCTTTTCCAGTTCCTTCAACGTCGCGGGCTTGATGTCTTTTAGACGCTTGAGCACCCTCGTCTTGCCAATCAGCCGTTGGGTACACAGTGCGACGTCCATCGCCCCCTTGCGGACCTTTTCGTTGGAATGCGCCAGCGCCGCCGACACTGCGTTCAGGACGAGCGTCGAATTGAGGTTGACTCCAGGGATGTCGGTCGTGGGATCCGCCGTCAAGCCAAACTCGGGCACCAACAGGCGCAGCACGTGCATTTGCACGAGGGGCTCGGCGTCCTTAGCAAACACACACGCGACGACGCATTGCATTGTGTGCGTGTTGAGTCGGGCGAGCTTGAGAATCGCCCGGCAGCTTCCCTTGGACGTACGGTTGTTGGGTTTCTGCATCCCCCCCAGCAGCCGCATGATGGATTGCATGGTCAGGTCCTTCACGGGGGTGTCCCGCCAGTCGACGTGGGGGCCGTAAATTTTGATCAAGGTCGAGTAGAAATCAATCGCTTGGTTCACCACAGGCGCGATCGAGTCATTGAGCGACTGGTGGATCAATGCGTTGTACGCGACGTACTGTAGCTGCGTGTGGCTGCCCAAGGCTGGCTTGACGTCCCGCAGCTCCGACTTGTGCTCTTCGACCGCCTTTTCAATGTCAACCAGCGCCTCTTTTCGATCGCTCCATGTCTTGCTCTCGAGTTTCCGCCACGCCACGGGCCCTGCCACGTTCTCTGCCTCCCTCATCGCCGTTGCAATCAATGTCGTCACACTCGCGTCATCTTCTTTCGGCACTTCGAAAAGCGCCACCGGAGAGTCGTCCCCGACTTCGGGGGTCGCCGACAAAGTCGATTCCGTCTGGTTGGCAGACGGAGCGGCTTGGCTTGTCTTGAGTTCCTCCACGCGGCGTTGTAGCACCTTGAGCATGGCGGGTTTAATATCTGTGAGGGATTCCAGCGCAGCATCCTTGTCAGGGGAATACAGGATGGCCGCAGCAGCAACGTCCAGCGCTAGTTTGCGCGTCTTTTCGTCGGCAATTTTCAGAGCTGGCACTGTCCACGCCAGGATCTTGTCGACTGGCACGACGGTGTACCCCAGTTCAGCCACAAGTTCGTGAATGAGCTCTAGTCGCGACTTGTCCAACGGTTCGCTGTCAAACGTTGCCATGAGGGATGCCATGGTTTGCAATCGAGGCGCCTTTGCAAGCCGAAGCAGGCCTTGGATAGCTTCCCGCTGAGTGCGTTTGTTTGAGTCGTTGAGTTTTGCAAGCAGCGATGTCTGGAGTGCGTGGAGTTGTAGAGGCAATGCCGCATGTTGCAACAGGCGTTTGTTCTTTGCTGTGAGGGGAACGAGCACGCCCAGAACATGTTGCAAACACTCTAACGAACAATACATGACAGGTGCGACACGGTCCACAACCCCGCAATTGATGGCTGCCAGGGATGCCGTGAGCACGGCGGCCGGTGGCGGGGCGCCAGAGGCGGACGGGTCCAGTTTTTTCACAAACAACGATATCGCATCGAACCCGTCTTGTCGATCACCCCACGGATCCGCGCCTAGCAGTCGTGCCACGCGCTCGCCAAATACTGACGTGATGGCGGCGCCAGCGTCAAAGTCCGGATCTGGCTTGGATTCTACCGTGGTGGCTTCGGGGGCGGCGTCAGACGAGGAGTGCGGGACTGTCACGATGTCATCGTCTGTCACCACGGCGGACGCGGTGGCCAATATAGGCGCATCTTCGTGAAAAGCACGAGACTTTTTAGGCTTGACCAGCACGGGTGGTTCCGGTCGATTGTTTGGAGTCGTTGACTCAAGGCGTTCCAGGGGTGGGGACGGGTGAACGCTTGGACGTTTGACAGGCGATGGACACAAATTGTCGGTGGACGCTCTAGCTTCGGGGGGTGCCACTAAACTGCTGGGGGCTTCATGGGAGATTTCTTCCCTTGCAAAGAGCCGCTTCTTGGGCGACGATGCCTGCAGTTTGGACGGGGTCTTGCCGATGACAATCAAGTCTGCCACTGCTGGCGCACTCACTAGCAATTCTTCTTCGCCCAGTACAATACCGTTGCTTTCCTCGCTATCCGCGTCAAACGTATATGCCGATGGCTGCTCGTTGTTGGACATCAAGGACTCCGACGATGCCACACCTTCCATCATCTCATCGTCGCGAGGCTCGCCGTGGTCGACAATGTTCACGTCTTCGTCATCATGCTGCTCAATGTTAACGTCATCGTCGTCGTCATCCTCCTTGTTATGTGACGTATCATCATCTCCAGAAGACTCCAGGCGAGGTGTGCTGCCTTGATTACACAGGTCCAACTGGGACGGCGACGGCTGCATGCCACGCAAGTCGCCTTCGTTTGGCGCCGCATCTTTCTTTCGCCCAAGGGGGTTGGTGAACTTGGACTTGAGGCGGCCCATGACGCTCTTCTTCTTGCCACCCGAGTCCTCCTTCGCAACAACCGATGGCATTGCTCTTTGCTTGGTACTTTCTCACGAGCTATATTGCTGGCTGCTGTACAAGGGAAGCTCTCGCAGCGACGGAACAGAGAACGCGGAGCTGAATGCCTTCAGAATTGCACTGACCAACGGCAGTTAGGTGGCTGGCTCTGCTATGAAACGACTACCGTCTAAGAATACCCACCAACGACTTCTCGAGGTCATCAATAGAAACGCAGTTCCACATATGTGACGGTTAAGGATTCCGTTGAGTGGGCAAATCGATATGTAAAAAGATATGACACACGCGGTATCTAATACAAACACGAGCCAAGGCTGCCAAGGTGGACCAGCAACTGTCGGAGTATGCATCTGCATTGCTGGGCCATATCTTGTCAACCTATTGCGCTTGTACAATTCGTTCGTTTGGGTATTGAGGATTAGCTGGGAATCCCTTGTTGGGATTGGCTCATTTTGAAACTACCTGCGATATGATTGGACAGAACATCGCATACTTCAAGTCGATTTTGCACCTGGATGAGTTTCAAGACCTTTAGCTTGACTATTTCACAGAGAAGCCGCTTTTACTGTTAATGCAAGGATGCAATGCCACAAGCATCGTCCAAATATGCATTAGCTGTACGTAGCCAACTCACCAATACCTCTTAGACACATACATCAACAAATAGTAGGCGTACTGCATGTTCCGGAAATCGTTGGAAATCGAAATCCAGACACTAACAGCATCTATCCGCTATACACATGGAATACTAGAAAAGTACTTGTGCAATGTCCATGTCATTCCGCGAATGAGAGACTAACAGTGCAGCGGATAAGCGTACGTGCCTAGTGCATACACTCGACGATTCGACACGTTATTGCAAAAACAACAGTCTTTCCATTATCGAATAGGGTGGTGCTCAGACACACTACTACTGATGCTGCTGCTTCAACTCGAATACTTGCTCGACGTAGGAGATGACGCTTGCAACATTCGCTTTTGCATTTGATACACGCCAAGGGCCAACAGCGACTTGCCTGTGTTGTGTGCATGCGTGCGAAACGTTTGGAGCTTGAGGTGGTCTGGGCAGTCACGGAGGTTGCAGCCCCAGTACGTGGCTTCTTCGTCCAGTGCCACATAGCCCTTGGTGGAGATATCTTGCGACTTGAGAATCAAAATGCGCAGCTTGGTGCGGGTGGGTGACAACTTTTCCAGGTCGTACCAAAAGATTCGGTGCGACTGGTGTGTCGACGCCGGATGATTTTCATCGTCTAGAATGTTGCGCCCCACAAAAGTGACTCGTTGATCATCGGGGGACGCAAACTCCCGGGCGAGGTAGTTAACCGCTTCGTCAGGGCTGCGGATGCTTCGTGCGTATTGGGCCCCATCCGGCACGACCTACGCCCCAACTAGTTAGCCGCCGCCGTGGACAGAGACGCCAGTCATGGATGTACATGTTGATCTAGAAAGCAGCTAAAGCGACTGTTCCATAGCCCCCCCATAACGAACTCCTCAACCGTGTCGCGCAAAGCATCGCGACACGGGTCGAACGGCATGTCGAACTCGTGCTGAAAACGCCAAATGTATGACAATGTGTCGTTGGTGGCGGCGGAACAGTTGACTTGGAAGTCGTTCAACATGCCTGCCGAAGGGACCCCATGCAGGTAGAAACATCGATCAGTGTTGTGGTACAGCTGCTGGGTGATCCAGTCCATGCCCAGCCTTCGCGCGTGGACATTGTGCAGAAGTGTCACGTTCCGCCACGTGTCGGTAGCTGGAAGAGGTGGCTCGACCTACCGCATGACGTCAAAATGTTGATGTAGTTAGTGTATGATAAACCTGAGGATTGACGACTTGGTTGGCCCACTTGGACAGAAACCGGAAGATTTCCTTGTGCGTGTGGTATTTGGACACCAGTTCTTTGGACAGTTGCTCCTGGAACTCACGGTCGTCCTTCAAACCGACCATGACCTCGCGCCACGGCAAGAGGGGTGCGGAGGACGCTCGCTGGCCGTGGAGCTGGATTTCCAGCGCGGTCAGCTCGTCCATCAGCGCTTGGCGCTCCGACAAGTACTTGCATCGTTTCTGTCGCAGAAGGTTGCGGTTGTACACGAGTTTGCGCTGTCGCTTTGCGTCTTCGACAACCATCGACATGGTATCCAGCGGGCAAATTTAAGAGTTTCGTGTCTGTTGCCATGTTATTGGCCCTCGCGGAGGAATGTCTTAAAAATGATAATCCAAACTCAAGTTGCGTGATGGGTTTAACGCGTTTTATATGAAGCATTGCGTTTATCGAGACCCCCGATGCACAAGACATTATGCGCATTCGTGGCGCCGTAGACGAGTTGTGGTGCCCTTAGAACGTTATCTCATACGCTCCAAAGACGAGAATTTCGTCCGTGGTGGCCCATGGACATGGTACCGATAGCAGACGTAGCATGATCAATGGTCAAAATCGTAAAACGTATCTATTAAACGTCGTTAAGCATATGTCCGGTCGAACAGCGGGTTTAGAGCATCTCCATCACGTGGTTAGCGGGATAAATCCATTGCCAGCTGCCATGCAAAACGCGACGAACTTGTACATGCCATGAAGAATTCGGATATGGTGCAAGTCATCTAAAGACTACAGATCGGCCATCCTCAGGAGGAGACGTTTTACTATTAAACACCTCAGTTCTTTCAGTTAAACCCACGAAATCTTGACGTTAAATCATTATTAGTTACGTTGTTTACCTGGTAATTACCGTATCTTCAAACGATGTTGAAGTGGAGCCTCTCGGTCGAAACGACTGACTCGCGAGCATCGGCGGTGGGATCACCGGCCCTTTCTTGACGAGCTGCGAGGCGTTGGTCTCATGCAGGAGGATGAACTTCTCCAGCACGGCCACCCATGCCTTTGCTTCCCCAGCCGACTAATTAGGTTAAACATTGTGAATAATCCGGATACAATGAAAACGTTCGTACGGATAAATGCTGTATACAAAGACCAAGATATACTTGATACTCCTTTCCCGCCAAAATGTACCTGGTTCCATATATCTCCGTAGAAAAAGTTCGGATGGTTTAAATTCTATTACTCGATCAATTTTTCACCAATCGAAAATCTGAACCGTAACTTCTGTTGGTCTTGTCCAGTTCTATCGTTTTTACGGTATATTTTCCTAAATAATATCAATACAAAGTTGGAATAGCAGTCGAAGTCTTTAGGTGACTTGCACCATACCGGTAACGTGACCGATCAGTGATCCGCCAAAACATTTTATCCAATAACATGGTTTCTCGAATTGTATTGGACAAAACAAAACCTCTTACAATATTGACCTCGTGAGAAATTATGCACGAATTGTCCAACACTCCACCCTGTCAATACCTCAAAAGTTCATACATTTCTAAAACTAATATACCTTTATCATATTATATTTTCAGCTAAAGATTTTGGATTTTGTTAAACTGAATTCAATACTCACTTCAAGTATATATTTTGGCGGATCACTGATCGACTGTGTAAATAGGTCAACTTTCTAAATTAATTGGAGAAACATGAACTGTCAGATCCGATCGGTTTTGAATCCTTGTGAAAGCACTTGAAATTGGCTATCAGAATGTGTGTCCGTCCATCTTTGTTCTAGCACAAATAGCCGCTGAGTAATTCAAGAAGGAAAAAATCCTAATTTTGGCGGATCACTGATCGGTCACGTTACATCCAGATGGACAGGACACTGTTCGCGATTCATTCAAATACCACTTTGCATCAAGTCAACGTTACTGTACCTAGCCATGCTGCCTGGTACTTTGCCGCATACACGTGCGTCAGCAAGTAGCATTAGAACGTCAGTGCCTGAGTATATTTCAAGAACAACGACTCAATGAGGCTCGACATCTTGACCCAGAAAGCAACGTCCTATTTCATGGCACCTCCATAGCCCCATTAGTCAAAATTTCAGATGAATACATAGCACAAACGTACCACTACAGCAAGGACGTGTCGATTTCCACCCTGCGCCAAGGGATGCCGTCAGTGTCGAAGGCTTAACACGTTCCCCAAACTTCGTAAACGTCGCCTTCCGCGCAGGTTTGTTCTTCCGTCACGAGTATATCATGCACCCCCACATCCTGCAACGAACGCCACTGACTTTAGTGATGACTGTATTGTACAAGGTCGGAGCTACATGCAGCCCCCCCTGCCAGCCTACATGCCCAATTTGGCAAGTTCATGGCTCATGCAACCAGTTGACCATACTACTACTGCGTATGCCATTCAACCATAAATTCACATTATAGCACACATAGAATTGGCCCCATTCTGACCTACGTGGGTGCTAACACCTATGATTTAACTGTTAACGAAAATCCCCATGCCCATGATGTCATCACGCTCTAGTGCACAAATATCTTTGTCCAAATTATATATTTCGTCTGCCGAATTTCCGCCATACCGGTAGAATAAACTCACTTCTCCCACTTTTTCCTCCTGACCTCAACACATGAACCGCCTTCATGCACGCACATCTTCAATATCAACAGGGGGGGCTACTCATGCCACTCAATTTACGCCATAAATTCTACAGTACGTCCTGGTACTATGTCTAATAGCCAAACACTTTGAGGCGAAGCGTCTCCGTTGCCGTGGCGTGGAATGTATACACCCCCCCCCCTTGCCGCTTGTCGTCCAGCCACATGCCGCGATATGTGTTGCCGTCGGGGTATGTCATCGAGCCTTGGCCATGGCGCAGGCCGTTGCTGAACGTACCCACAAACACACTGCCGTCTGCGTAACGAATCTCGCCGTCGCCGGTGCGGATGTTGTGCGTCCACCCGCCTTCGTATACGTCGCCTTCCTATTCCCAGCACACATGAGATATTCCTTTTCGTCGAGTAGGGCTGACAAAACAATACTATCATCCCCAGCTTGCAGTCGAAAGGGGGCCTGCCCACCTGGTTGGTGAATTTGCCGTGCCCATGCTGCTCTTCTTGCACGAAGTCGCCGTCGTACACTTCTCCGTTCACCCACACATACACCCCATGTCCATCTCGACGCCCTTGGTTCCATGCCCCGTCGTAAACGTTCCCGTCCAGGTACGCGTACCGCCCTTGGCCGTGTCGAATGCCGTGGGTCCAGTCGCCATCGTACTGCTCCTGCATGCTGCTCCCTGGTCTCCATGTGAAGATACCACGACCGTGGAACTCGTCGTCCGCCCAATCACCAGCAAACACGTCGCCGTTCGCATACCAGAACGTGCCGCGGCCGTGTCGCCGCTCGTCCCTCCACTCGCCGTCGTACTTGTGTCCGCTCGAGTACACCATCGTCCCCACACCATTGACAGTGCCCCATTCAAACTGTCCAGTGTAGATATTCCCATTCGGCCACTCAAACACGCCATGGCCGTGCTTTTGAGCTTGGACAAAGCTGCCAGTGTACCTACCACTCAATACACACGTCGTGGACATCGTAGGGCGAAGCCGAGAATGTACCGGTTGCCGTTGTGGTACGTGAGTCGACCTTGGCCTTGAATATGCCCGTCGACAAACTCGCCTTCGTACATCGACCCACTTGCCCACACGTAGGTGGCTCCTCGGCCGTGAAATCGGTCGCGTTCCCAGGGCCCTATAAGCGTCTCCCCCCTAACAAGGAGAACAAGTGCGAAGCACTGTGTACCTGTGTACACGTCACCGGTGGTAGCGAACCGATACACGCCCAGCCCGGTCGCGTGGTTGGACACAAAGTTTCCGTCGAAGATGTCGCCATTTTGAAAAATGTACTTGCCTCGTCCGTGCTTAAGGTTGTGCTTCCAGTCGCCAATGTACTTTTCCCCCATGGCCGAGATGAAGATGCCGCGTCCACAACATTCGTCTCGCTCCCAAACTCCGGAATACACGCCCCCGTTGGCATAAAAACACACCCCTCGACCACAGCGAAAGTCCTTTTGCCATTCGCCCTACCACGGTCGCATGTATTGCCATCAAGAATTATAACAAATCGATTGATTCAACGAAGGTATACCTTGTACACTTCGCCATTCACGGACACAATGCCAATCCCGTGGGCTTGCCCTTGGTCGAACATCCCTTTGTACCAGCTACCATCTACCTAACAATGTATATTCAGGTAGGACAGTGATTCATGTGCCGTACGTACCCTGGAGAACGTTCCAAAGCCATGATGCACGCCGGCCAACCATTCCCCTTCGTAGCAGTCTCCGTTCGCACTGGTGTGGATTCCTATCCCACGACACTAAGTACTCGAATACCAAACAGCTCGTCGATTGAAGGTCACCTCGGCCGTGGATTTTGCCGTCGCACCATTCGCCTTGGTACACTTCGCCGTTGGGGAATTGCAACAGTCCGATCCCGTGGCGGCGGCCTTGGTCCCACTGCCCTTGGTACCGCTTGCCACACACGCTGTTCCAGAGCCCAATCCCCTGTTCATCGAACAAACGATCGTTCATTTCGATCGAATCCATTGATTGACTGGATTGTACCTGTCGCAGGCCAAGATGCCACTGGCCTCGGTATCGGTCACCATTGGCATAATAGTATTCGCCCCATCCATGAAACGTGGTGCCGTGGATAAAGTTGCCCACATACAAACTTCCGCTCGGGAACCGGGCCTTTGCAAACGCCTCCTCCATGCCTTTGAACGCACTGATCCAATTCACATGGTCCAAACCGTCCATGTCACATGGCCGCGGCCTCGCTTCGACGATGGACGCTTTCGAATTCGGGTCGTCCCCGCCTGTTTCGCCATCGGAACCTCCGTCTTGCTTCCCCACCGACAAGACGTTTCCCACACGCGAAGGCGGTTTCGTAGTCGTTGGCGCGGGATCCTTTGTTCCGTCGTGAATGTCATGTTTGCATATTGAACGCATGAATGTTGTTTATACCTTGTCTGAAAACTGAGGGGTCGCCGTGGGGGGAAAGAGGTGGGGCACTGATTGCCGCTTTGGAATCGCCAGGGGCCACTCTTGGGACGGCACAATCGTCGGCGTGTTCATTACGACAGTGCACGTGGGGCACGTAGGGAACGTGTACCCGACATTCCGGCCTTGGCACACTTCGCAGTACCTTTCCGCGACGAGCGTTAGAGTTAACAAGTGGAAGCAGCCCCAGCGCAGGAATAGTGTACCAAGTGTGTTGGGTGCGCTTGTGTTCGTGGATTTCGTTCATCGTGTTGGCTTTGAAGCGGCACTCGAGCCAGTCGCATGCCAGAAACGCCGTGTATTCATCGGGGGGGTGCCATTGGCTGTCTTGGGTGTACATTTCAAAATAGTAAAACTCGTTGGTCCACGGATCCAAGAACTCCTGCCACTTTCCCACGGTGCGGATGAGAAGGCTGCGCGACAGCAGCTGCCGCATGGCCCACGGGCTTTGCAACACCATGTTTTGCCGCCGGCGCTCCCGCAGCGCCCTTTTCCGTCCCCTAGACACAACTCGACGCTTAGTTCCTCCCTCATCCATGTCAATGGATTCGTACTGATTGCCGCGCACAACGCGCTGGATCTGAATTGCCGACATGTGTCGATGACGCGCCAAGCAAGCCACCTCGCGGCCTTTCCAGCCTCGGTACATGCACTGCAAGGACGTCGCGACGAAGTTTCGCATGTTGTTGACCGTCTCTTCGTGGACACGGGCATTGCGAAGGAGAACGAGCATGGTCCGATCCAACTGGTCAACGCGGCGCTCGTAGATTCGACGCAGCGTGTTGCATGCCTCGGCTTGACGAATAGCCACGTGCATGGATGAATCACGGCAAAATAATACTGCAAGAAGAATCCAACCGAAGAGTGTCTTAGGAGGTGGTCTTTGCGAGGGCTTACAACATGAAACGGCTACGTCTCGCCAGTTACACAAGTCCGCCAATGCGATGCAGAGCGAGTCCAATATCATAATTTTCTATTTACTGTACATGTATCATACACACTATTGCCACCTCGTGATAAATTTGCAGTAACTTAAACTGAGAGTTTCTCACCGCAATTTTGATACCGGTATGGCTTTATACCAAGAAAAGTGTCCGTCGAGAATAATGTCGCGTCAGGGATAGCCAAGTCAGTAAATCGATCGCTGATTGGTGGAAATATGAAACCGCCGTGTCAAAAGTACCAGCTGTCGAGGACGAGTAGCATTTTACCGCGCTGGCCCATGCCTACAATAGTCTTCATTCATTGTACATTTTGATAACTCATGAACTCTGCCATCATCGAAGCTGCCGCGTGGGAATGCAAGTCCTGGGGGGACTCTGTCAGTGCGTTTCGTGTGCACATGGAATCCAACCAAGCGGAATGCTATTCCAACAACGGCCGCGACTGCTTGTGGGTGACGTCCATGTATGTGTGTCGCGGCAACATGGTGGATTTCGATGGCAAGATGGTTGCGCAGCCGTTGAAGCCGCTTCGGTGTGGGCCCATGTACGAACAAGTGTGGGGTATGTCGGGTAACAACGAAACACATTGGTGCAAGGCCATGTATCCTTCGTTGGCACTCATGCCCCAGGCAGCAAGTACCCCCGCGAGTGGTGGTGCAGGAATGCTGCGTGTGACGTTGGCTCCACTGCCCCTGACGGTCGCTGGGAAATCGGCAGCAACCGACAATGACATTGGGGTGTGGCCAGCGATGCTGTGCGGAGTCACCGTCATTGTAGCGTTGGGGGCGATTGCATTGGTCATTTTCATGTGGAAAAAGAAGAAGCAACAGCTTGTGAACATGACTGCGAAGGCGCCAGCGTACCAGCTCAAGGAAGATAACATTTAATCGAGCAGATGGTACCATTGCAACCAGTTTAACTGGAAAGTGCAATTGATGTTTCGCAATTCCTGTCAAGTGTTCATCCGGATAAACCGTCGAAAGATCGCAAAACCAAATCACTGCTGTCAAATTGTCGAAAAGCGATGCGTAGGTACCTACAAGCTATCGCGGCCGCCTTCTTCGCCGCAAGGACTGGGCTGACCGAAGCGTCTGCTGCGCATACAGTGGCCCTTCCCCGTGCAAATGTCGAACTGCTTGCCATTGAAAAGAATCAGGCAGCAGCGCTCCAAGCGGTCGAGTTGTGCGGTAAATACGTCGACTCGTGTGCCAAGGTATTGCGAACCATCCATCCACCAGTTATCATTACCTCGGTCGCCATTCTTAGATAGTCGATGCCATCGGTGGCCACGTCGCTTACCTGGAGGAGCACAACTTGGATTTTGCAATCGTCAACCTCACGATCCCCACGCCAGACGCGAACGTCGTCGCGCTGTCGATCCTTGTCGACGGACACGTGCATTCCATTCCGCTGCAGATGCATCAGGACCCGTCCTTGGCGATTGCCGTGTTTTGCCGTGCGCATCCATCTCTGTCCATGAATGATTGCGACTCGCTCCATGGTCATGCGATGGCCAAGTCGGAGTTTGAATTTCCCAAGGACGTTCCTTCGTCGCACTACTTTCGGACGCTGCGACCTCGCCAGTTGTGTCCGTTTAACCAGCGGCTTTACCTAGAAATCGACCGACTGCTGGAACACGCGTGCTTTTTCATGGACACTCAACCCGAGCCAGCGTACTGCGGTCGCCTCGATCGCGACGAGCCCATGTTCGTCAAAGCCAACGTCATCGGCCAGCCAGGTCCCCACTTTGTCCTATTGACTAACGGCACGCGCAGCCTTCACGCCGTTTTCTTTGCGATGGTCGAACCCTCCGTGCAACTCAAGGCCAGCTATGGCAAAACCCCCGACGACGACATAGGCCATGTTGTGATGCACCTGGAGGGCGTCGATGTCGGCGACGAACGAACGCGGGTGTGCTTGGTATCGACCGCGACGGCGCCGTCTCCGCCTTCCTTTGACTGCTTCAAATCATCAGCGCTGTCGAACGACATGCTCGTGCCTCGGCTATCGCACACTACGACCAGTGTGATGGCGTTGGTGCTCAACGAGTACAACAAGTGCACTTGCATGTCCAACGTGATTCAATGGCCATCACTACGTGGTGGTTTTTCAAAGCAAACCATCTTGGCTCCAGACCGATCCGTGTTTGCACCGCCCCGACGCCACCCGAATAAAGGGCTGCTGTCGTCGTCGTCATCGCTCTTGCACTCGTTGTACGACCAAGAGTGGGGCGTATACTCTCAAAACGGCGAAGATGGTGTGCTGCAGCTGCTGTTTCAGGTCGTGCCGGCGACCACCAAGGTCTTTGTCGAGTTTGGCGTCGAGGATGGCTTGGAGTGCAATACGCGGTACCTGCGGGAAGTGCACGACTGGACGGGCCTCTTGCTGGACGGCAGCCACGTTAACGACACCATCAACCTCCACCAGTACAGACAGACACACAGTCGTCTCATCCCCCCTTTTGATTCGAATCGACATCAACTACTGTATGATGTGGTTGTAGGGCGTGGATTACACTCGACAACGTCGTGGATCTGTTTCAAGCCCACGCCATCCCGCAACGCTTTGACCTGCTTTCTGTCGACATTGACTTTAACGATTACTACATCCTTGACGCAATTCTGCACCAGTACACGCCCACCGTCGTGGTGGTAGAAACCAACAGCCACTTCCGGTACCCCGACGACCGGGTGGTGACGTACGACCCAGTCGGATGGGACGGCGAGACCAACTACTTTGGCGCGTCCGTCGCTGCGTTTGTCCGACTGTTGACCCCCCGGGGGTACACCCTCGTGTACTGCGAATCCCATGGGGTCAACTGCTTTTTTGTCATGTCGGAGCTGTGGCCTGCGACGTGGACGGAAGAGCCTGCCACGATCGACCGACCGCCGAATTTCTTTGGCAAAGGGTGGAGCTACCCTCCATCTCCACATGCGACGTGGGTGTTCCATGCCTAATGCTGGATGGAACTATGTATATAGCGAATATATGCGGGGGCGCCTGCAACTGCAAGTCAATCCTCGCCAGGCTACTTACTACTGGAACACATTCCACATGCTTGTAAAAGTACTAGTGTAAAATAATGTTGTAGTAAATACACCAGATATACCTGGTGTGACCAGAGTGCGCTGCTTGGTGTACATGCTGAGAACAGTTAGTAACAATTGGAGCTTCTCTTTGTGATGCCACACCATCGTAACGACTGCCAGCGGGATCTATTCCATTGAAGGAACTACTGGTTTCAACCAAGTGATCTACATCCGCTCCCTGGTACTCCAACCCCCGTCACTCTCCAAGGGCGATAAAAAAGCCCGCAAGAAGTCAGCCAACTAAGATGCCATGACTGCCTCCAAGTAAATACTAGTTAATTGCTCTAGTACGTTGCTCTCATTGGAACTCAACCCCATAAGTATAATGTACACTCCTCACCATCGTAACGACTGAACGACACGCTTCTACAGGGGAATGACACGTCATTGTATGTTTGCGAAGTCATTTTTGTTGCCCACTCGTTCATACAGTACAATAACAATAAGCGTACTTTTCGGTATCGAGATGAAAAGTCCACGTTACAGTACCCACATTGTGTGGCTCATGGCACCTCTGAATAATTGGTCCCGGCAACCTGTGCTTTCAAGTACACTTCAACGCACAAAGTATAATTTCCCCTGCAGATGATCTGAAGTACAATCTCCAACATGAAGTTAGACAGACCGTCGAGCGGTAACGTTAGGCGTGACGAACTACGTAGTACAGTTTGGTTTTCCAACTGACGGCAAACTTACCATCGGTGCCGTTCACTTTCTATTATACCATCTACAGTCAAGTTTGGATTACTGGAGATGTTGTGGACTCGGAGTTTGAAGAGCCCGACCATCTAGGGTGCTCGCCTTGGTTGACAAAGATGCACTTTGTACATGACGAACGGGTTGATTAACACGTACTCCTAGTAATATTTCAAGAAAAATGGCCGGCTAGGTAGGGCGATGTCCAAACTTTGGCTTCCCGCGACATGGGGTCACCGCACGCACCCGAGGTAACGTTACCGAGAAGTGAGGCACAAGGTTTCGATCAACGTCCCCCAACGAAAGGGTCTCACCTGTGTGGCTGCATGCAGGTTGAATGTGTTGCGGTGGCTGAGTTTTGACTCGCAGAATTCTACATCCAACGTCTGTATTTGTGTGTGTTTATGCATATCTCAAGGTCCAGGTGGCCCTTTTCAGTGAAACTTCGTACGTTCTCATGACTTAACGCCAGATAAAAATTGTCCTTTGGATGTCAGGTGTAGAAATGAATATCTTGTGACATATGTTAGTTACCTATATCTTTGAATAGTATTAATTTTGCCTTTTCGAAGTAAATATAAACAATGCTTTTTATACGAATACTCTCAAAATCAATATTTTGAAATAACCCTAATCCCTATACCCTGGATACCTTCGACCACTGTGAAACGGCCTTTCTGCCCAATCAGCATGGGTTTCACATAACTTTGGGTTCTCTCCAATTTGAACAATGAATTCATGTTGATGTTGTTACATGGTGGCATGGACACCAGACAAGCGCTGCCGCTGGGCCATAGACAGCCTCAAATTCGTGTGGCTAATCCTCCCTTCGGCGTCTCGTCGCGCTTGGTTGGCGGCTGCAGCAAAAGCTTGGACGGCGGACTGCGTGCTGAAGTCTTCATCGTCGTCACCATAATGTCCACCTGGTGCGGCACTGGCTCGCCGCATCAGGCTGTGTCGATTGCATTCCATTTGAAACCAGCACTGAATAGACGACGACTTGGTCGGTGTTTTCTTTCGTTGGGTCGTGGTATGCACGAGCGTTTTGACGATCTCGCCTTCGCTCATTTGAATGGTCCACGCCATCGTACACTGCGCCTGGGTCGTGATGATGGGCCCCCCGCCGTACAGTTCGTGCAAAGTGCACCAAATCAGTTCGTGCACAAGGCGGTACGACCTGTCTTGCGCGGCATGCAGCTTGCCTTGGTAAAACGACAGCAGCGAGTGGTTGGATATCGGGCCCGGGTGCGCCCCGTGACGCTTGCTATAGTCGAACCATGCTTGAAACCATTCGGCGCTCACAATGTAGTACTGGGACGACGCGGGCTGGTACACCTTGAGCTGTCGTCGCACACGCATGACGCGGTCGTAGTCGTGCTCGCGAGACGTGGCGGGTATTGCCGTCAGACCGGCATGCTTCGTTGTCCCTGCGGCGGCGGGAACGTTGCTTTGGACGCGCTTGTCGCCAAGGGACTCGAGCGTGTTGAGCACCGAGCAGCAGAGGCGACAGGTGCGTTCGAGCTGCCGGGACAGGTAGACTGATGCGCGGGCCTTGGAGCATGCGTTGCAAACCAAACGACCGCACAGGCGGCAGTGATGTTTGCGCTTCATAAAGTGGAACATGTCATGGCAGATCACACACATGTTGCTTTCGGCGTTGTCCATCCATGTGACGTCCAGAAGCGGAATCTCTGCGTCAAAGGATAGATGGAACACTTGTCGATTCTTCGACGGGCGAGGAGTGGACATGGATGAGGAAGACCATCGCGGTGGCATCGACAAAGAACCAAGTGATGCCACTTGTGTGAATGAAAGCCATGGATGGGCAGTTAGTTGTTGGAGGCGGATCGCCGCGGTTTCTCGGCGGAATCTTCGGTTGCTGAATCATGAATGAGGCCTGTGATTGGCTCAAACCTCAGATATGAGATCTGTGATTGGTCCGAAAATGTGATTCAGATGGGGCAAATGGCCTGTCCGAGTAGTGTAACAGGTGAAAAGTGTAACCGCCATCCCCACCACTGGATCCCAATGAAAGAATTCTCGCCTGTCGCTCGTCATTCGCAGCATGAACAGTGGGGATGGCGATGAAGGGTTTTGGCCCTTGTGATTGACATTGCATTTGAGACGTGTGCAAAGTAGGGAGGGTTCAAAGCAATCACTTGTATCACATGTCTAGACACATTTAATTTCTTTATATAACTACACTCAAAAGCGTAGATTTTCATCGAGATCATAGACGGCCACAGAGTCAATAAATCCAGTCAAGTATTTTACAGCCCACTTGAAAGTGCCGGTAGACCCCAAACTGTTAACGTTACTTTGTTTCAGCGTCCAGCCTCAAAAAGGGTCCTGATGTTTGATTTGCATGCAATCTCATGCCATGCCTCTCCACTACTAGTATACATTTGGGACCAAAACCAGTGAATACGGATAGTGAGGTGGCGCTGCCTTTATCGAGTTTGCAAAGAAGCGTTACACTACTCCGGATAACTTCTACGGCTAAGTATTCATGCTGTGGTTGGTTCTGACGGCCCGGCTGGCGTGTGGAGGGCACACACCGAAATGCTGTGGCATTGAGGCAATACGCCAGTATATTGTCGGAAGACAAGAGCCCCACATGCACTGCCTACACCACGCCAGACACTTGCACCTCCAATTGCGCTACTCGACTCGGGGTGACGGGTCGCACAGAGCAACCACCCCACGGCCTACTATACCACCAGACTAGGGTCGACTCGTTCTTACAGTGGGTGGGTGTCAGGTACGTCGCACTCGACATCTGTAGGCATTGCTCAAACTTTTATAGGAGGTTAAGGAGCGAAGCAACTGAGGACCCGTTCGTCGATGCTGGCGATCAACATGGACGCAAGACGAGGCCACCATTGGTACAGTGCATTGCGCTCGTTATTGTAACTTCACACCCAACCACGGTCATGTACAGTACATCACACACGAACTGGTAAATGTTGGTGTAGCCAAGGTGCGTATGCAGGTAGGTGATCGGCGTTGCACATGTATGCAGCCCCACTTGGACCTATCGTCACAGAGTAGACAGTAAGCGTTATCGAAGCGATATTATAAGCAGTTTGTGATCACCACGGAGAAGCAGAATTCAGTAAGGGCTAGATATTTTTAGTAAATGAAAAAGTAATTCCAAGTAACACAGGTATTATTAATAAGGGCTGGTCTGGATGCCAGCCACCAAGGGTATTGCTTCCTTTCCGTGGAGGTTTGCCAGTACATGTACATAAATTCTCGGAGTTTCTCTCATCGGATGGTTTGTTCCGGTTTTGTCAAACACATGCTTCAACCGGTTTGCAAAATCTGTCGATTACGAAGATGACTCGGCAAGGTTGCGGGCTGCGTAATCATTGGTCCAAAACGGGCTCGTGTACGGCGTGGCAAAGCAGTCGGTGGCATCCGGAGGGTGGTACCAGTAGTTGAGTGCCAAGTGCCCGTCGTCAGTTGCTCCGTTGAACGACACGACTTCGTGGAACCACGACGCGGGAAGGTAGAGCATTTCGCCCACGTTCACATCGCAAAACGCCGCGCGGGCGTCTGCAAACCGTGGAAACTCTCGCTGCAGGTCATCGTTCGGTCTACTTGTCTTGACGCGGCTAAAGCTCACGGGGTCTTTGACTGTTTTGTCCACTACACGAGTCGTGTCGTCCTCCACGTCTGCTCCCGCATTGTCGTCGTCGTCACCATCATCGTCATCGTCGTCAAATTCCACTTCCATGGCGTCGTCCATCGCCGCTTCAAGTTGTTCTTCGGCTTTCGCCACGCGTTCGGCGGCCCCAGGGACGTTGTTGGCCAGCTCTCGTTCAGCTTCCTCCAGCTACACCACCATTTACACTGTCACAAGTGATACGATGGGGACATGACGCGAGGTATACCTCCTTTTCAGCACGTTGCTGGGCTGAAAATGCAGACGCAGCTTGGTCCGAGTGCAAGTCCGCGCCGTACGCGGTGGTTTCGTCGCCTTCGTAGTTGATGCGACCGTTGGGGTGGACTTTTAGCAGCGTTCCTCTCGTGTACATGGAGTCAACGTCCCCAGGACTGTACAGCCGGAAGCGCTTCCGACCGCGCAGCAAAATGTACAGGTTGTCGTGGTAGTCGTGATGGAGGCCCGAGGTCGACCCCTCCGTGGACATTCCCATCCAAATGTTGATGTTTTGAGGAATCAAATTGCCCTAGTAGGATGGAGTAGTGAGTACCTACATGATTTTCTATCGACGGAATGCAGGTCGTACCATGAGCGCCGGCGACACTGGAAAGTCACCCGACAGCGCTTGAACAATCGGCGCCATCAACTGCGGCCGGTCGGTCTCGGGGTCCGCTTCCACGTCCTGCGTCGTGAGGTAATGCAGCGTGTCTTTGGCTTCCAAGAGACGGATGAACTCGGCGAACGTCATGGGCACTTCGTTGCCTTGGCCGTACGAGTCGGCCGTCGACGCCCGCTCTTCGACCATCAGTTTTTGGGAGCCTGCTTGACGCGTCAAGTACGCGTTGGTCCACTTCGTTGGGGCCACAAACGACGGGTCTTGAAGGAATCCTTTGATGACCACAGGTCGACGGGTCTTGACGTATGTGTCGTAAAACCCTTCTGGCGTCAAGTCGCCGACGTTGACCGAGTCCAGGGTGTAGTTGGCATGCGGCACTTCCCAGCCAGTGTACTGCACCTTACTATCCCGCTTCGCCTTCTTGGTCGAAACCTGCTTCTCCTCGGCGCTACTTCGCTTACTCTGCTTGGCCATGGTACAGTGACAATTAGCTTCACGTCTGCGTGCCTCTGCGCTGCAATTGCACGTCCAATCCTCGTTATCCGGACGCCGTTTCAGAACGAAAGGTTATTTTGCGTAAAGACACAGAAAGCTCCCACTGTTTACTAGTATCATCTATATTATTTTTGAAAGGTCTTTCAACCTTTCACCCATTCTTAAACCAAGTTGTATGATGCTTCGTAATGTCTAAATGTTACCACCACCTCGAATATGAGATTGCATGTTTTTTGGCACATATTTTTTTTTGTCATATATCTTTTTTTTGTCAGAATATTTCATTATTTCGGCAATAAATGGACTCCCTAATGCTGGTCTATTTCACTCATGTATTTGGACATGGTGTCGCACATTAGGAGGCAGCTCTAAAATCGGTAGCTCGACCCGCCATGACTATGTCCACCGGCACTTCGCCCACCAAACCCTCCACGACCGCCGCCGCCGAACCCGCCAAAGCCGCCGCCGCCGGCCATGCCAAACATGCGCATGATGTCGTTCGGGTCCATGCCTCCCATACCACCCATGCCGCCCATGCCGCCGCCCATGTCGTTGTCCATATCTTCCAAATCTACGCCAGAGTCGTACCGTTGCTTCTTCTGGGGGTCGGACAGCACCGCGTACGCTTCACCGACGTCCTTGAAGTCAATTTCGGCTTGCTTCTGTTCCTCTTCAGTCTTGTTCGCATGTCGGTCGGGGTGATACTTGAGCGCGGACTTGCGGTACGCCTTCTTGATGTCGGCTTCCCCGGCATTCTGTCCAATGTCCAGAATCTTGTAATAGTCCTTTCGCTTCGCCTTCTTGATCAGGAGCTTGGTGTCGCGAATGTATTGGGCATATTGGCGCTGCTGGTCTTCGCCCACCAGCTTGGAAGCGGTCTCGTACTCGCGCAAAGCTTGTTCCAGGTTGTCCTTGCCGCCCACGTCTTTGAGGCACTGCGCCTTTCGCAGGTACGCCTTCACGTACGAACTGTCAAAGTAGATGGCCTTGTCGCAATCCCGGATGGCTTCCGCGTTCTTGTCCAACTTGGCGAGCGCCGCGGCGCGGTTGCAGTGCAGCTTGGCGTTGTACGATTTGTTGGTAGGATCGATCGCAAGGCACGCAGAGTACGCGTCGACGGCTTCCTGGTACCGGCCACCCTTAAACGCGTCGTTCGCGGCCTCCTTCTGTGTGTCCAAGGACCGGATGCGCTTGATTTCCTTGACGAAGCGGCTGTTGTCTGGGTCGGCGCGCAACGCTTCCTGCAAGTGGCGGATGGCGCTTGTGAACTCGCCTTGGAAGTACAGACACTGCGCGCGAAGGAAGAGGATGTCGGGCGACGACGAGTCCGACCGCATCAACTGCGTCAACACGGCGAACGCTTCATCATACCGCTCGCACCCGATGAGCGCCTCGGCGCGCCACTTTTTCACGTCGTTTGAGCTCGTGCAAATGGTGAGAGCGCTGTCAAAGCAGTACACACCTTCGCGGAACTTGCCCGCCTTGATGTGTTCCCGACCGCGTTTGATTTTGTCCATGGCCATCTCGGCCGACCGGCGATCGTTGATCAACGTCGCATTGTTCGGGTCCTTCATCAACCCCGACTGGTACGTCTTCACGGCAGCTTCCAAGTCTCCCAACGCCACTTGAGCCTTCGCCTTGCGCTCGTACCCTCGAATAAACGAGGGTTCCATCGCAATCGCACGGGAGGCGTCACCGATCGCTTCCTGGAATTTGTGGAGCATGAGGTATCCGGCAGCACGGTTGGCGTAGAACGGGGCGGTGGTCGGGGACAGTTCAATGGCCATCGTGTACATGTCGATGGCCCCTCGGTAGTCCCCCTTCTTGTACAGATCATTCCCCTTGACCTTCCATTCTTCGGCAGAAGCTTCGTTGTTGCCGCCGACGTCCATGTTGCAATTTCCAAGTTGGGAACTGCTGCTGCTTTCCTGCCAGTCTTTTGAGAACGTCCCGATTATTATTAATTTGACGAAATTTAGAACGCATACAAAGATCCAAATGATATTTTAATTTTACCACGATTACACAAATTACTATGCAGAAGTTTCTCGAAACCCGCAAAAACTGATTGCGTGCAACTCGTTCATGGAAGGGACGGCGGCGGCTACGACTTGACGACGTCGCGATGGACACGGCAACTCTTGAACTCCTTGTCGATGCCATGCTTCTCCCACGTTCGAATGATCTCGCGAGACCGCAGATCCGCCTGGCGAATTGGTTCTGGCACGCGGTATAGCGAACAATGCTGCACCACTTCGACTGCTTTGGGCAACGAGATCTTGTTGCCAATGGACACGTAGATGGGATTCTCAATACCCTCGGTGCACATCGCCATGCCCCATACCTACGCGGAACATGAAACACAATGATGGTCACGCAAGGACACCCTTCGTTCATGCATGAGGTGGTTTTACCTTGGACGACTCGCCTTGCAGTCGCAACGCCACAACTGACGATGACTTGGTATCACCGATGTCTGTAGCGCGCACCGCTGCCTTTTTCTCCTCCACTAATGCACGCACGCTTCGTTTGGTCAAGCCATCCACGTTGAGAAACGTTTTGGCGACGCCAATTGTGGGCAACTGGGTCACGACCCCCAAATGCGATGCAATGCCAAAGCCTCGTGGGTGGAGCTCGCCGTTGCCGTCAACCAACACCACTTGGGGGTGGAATTCACGCGGAATCATGTCGAACAGGGGCAAAAGCGCCGGAATCTCACGGAAGGCAAGGAAGGTTGGAATGTAAGGCAACGTCAACGTCGTGTGGCACGATGCTTCACACGTGACCTTCAGCTCGGGAAATGAGAGGATCACCAAGGTCGCACAGGCATCGTCCGTGCCGGGAAAGAACGAAATGTCCACGCCGGCAATGTAGTTGATCGTCGACAAGTCGACATCGTGCGTGCGGTCAAGCAGGCTACGCAACTACGCACTTCGATGAAGGACTGACCATATGATCCGAGTTAGACGCAATGTGCTCTTACATCGGACTGCTCCACCATCCATGCCGCTTCTTGTTCTCGGTGACGACTTCTACTTTCGCTTAGCTCCGACGAGGAACGCGGGGGCAATGCATTTGGCATCGTTTCTCGAAGAATGCTGCATGAAGTTTTTCTAGCAACTTTCAAAATGATAATGATGGTCGATTTGGTCCTGAAATCCTAAATTTGAAATTCGGCAGCATATTGAATTGAAGATTAATCTTATCCTTAGGGTAGGACTGGCATTTATTTTAGGTCAATTATAATATATTTTTCCGCCGTCATTATAATATTATTTTTGCAACTGATCCCAGCCTTTCGTGGTAAAAATACCTGGTTTGCCAACGGCTGAAAGCGGCGGACACGAGCACGAAGCAGAGAGAAAGGGCGACAACACATCCGCCGTTGTAGCATGTCGGACTCTGAAGGTAAGGAAGGCTGCGTGTATACTGATGTTGCTACGCGCGTGGATGGATTATCCATGTGTCGTCATGCGGCTCCTACGTGCACGATGGGGTGGTAACAATTTTGCGTGCATGAGCAGGTGACAACTCCCCCGTGATTTCCGGCTCGGAAGAAGAGACGGTGAAGACCAAGAAACGTAAGCAGTCGTCCAAGGATGGAAAGTCATCGAAGAAGGCGAAGAAGAGCAGTCGCGTCATGGACGAAGACAGCGATGACGGCGGCACCCCCAAGTCCAAGTTCGTGGACGACGAAGCATCCGAGAGCGGAGACGACGACGATGACGACAAGGTGATCGATTCTTCCGAGGAAGAACTTGACGAAGACGCCGATACGTACGAAAAAGACGGGTTCCTGGTTGCCGACGACGAGGAGGATGAAGAGGAAGAGGGTATGTACGGTGTCGTGTATCATCTCTATGACGTCACTCACATAAACATGGGATCTGTGTAGAACAACCCCGTCGGCGTCGCAAGAAGAAAGACAAGAAGGGGACGACGAAGCGATCGCGGTTGCGCCACGGACGCGACGACCGCGACGAGTTGGACCGCGACGATCTGGACTTGATCCAGGAAAACTTGGGCAAGAAACCGGCGCGGGCATATTCCGACGACGACGAGTCGAATTCCGACGACGATGACGCGCGCAAGAAGAAGAAGTCGAAAGGCAAACAAACGCTGGACAAAGGGTCGAGTCACGACTTGTTTGGGTCCGATGACGACGACGAAGACGACGATGCCGGTGGATCGTCGCGCGGAAAGCGGCGCGGTGGTCCGTCGGATCAATACATGGACGAACAAGACTACAACAGCGAGGACGAGTTCATCGTGTCGGACGACGACGACGGCGGTGGCGGTCCGCGGCGGCGGCGCACAAAGCGACCTGGCAGCGGGCGGCAGTCTGCCAACATCTTACCCCAAGGTCCGTCGTTGGACCAGCTGGACGAAGCCGAGGAATTGTTTGGCGATGCCGAAGCGTTCTTGGAAGCTACGCGCGGGGGCGCCGCACCGACCGCCGCCAGTGTCGACCCCGACTCGGAGAAGAAGGCCATGCTCCTCGACAAGTACGAGCCGTCCGTGTTGAAGGAGTTTCACATGACCACATCCGACTCGGCCGTGCGCGAACGCGACATCCCCGAACGCATGCAGCACTTGTTCAAGCAACGACCGACCTTTCCCGACACTGAAGAACGCGCGGAAGAAGCCGAGTGGATGGTGGACGCTGTCCTGCGCAAGTTGGAACGGCGGCCGAGAAAAGACATGCATGCGCCGCCGCCAACGTTCCATCGCAGCAACGTCGTGACCGCGATCGAGCACGTGCTCCGGTTCTACCACGTGGAAAAGCTCGAGCCAGCCTACGTGCAGCGCTACTGCAAGGAGTACTGGAAGTCGGCGGGGCTGCACGGCGACGAGCTGTATTTGATCCAAGACTTGGACTTGAAGTGGGACAAGCTAGACCGCAAGCGCAAAGTGCTGCAAACGAACGTCGAAGCCGCCGTTCTGGCCAACGACACGACCGAGAGCACGACCGTGCGGTCTTGCTACCAGCAAGTGCTCCGCCAAACTCTGGACAAAGGTCTGGCGGACATTTCGCAAGCATTTCAAACCCTTGAAGTGAACGACAAGCCCAACAAGCAAAAGAAACGCCCAGGACGACGCACGTTCTACCAACTGTGTCTCAAGGGCGGCTTGAAGGCGCTGGCGTCTCAATTCACGGTCAACTCTGCGATTCTGGGCGGGGCTATGGTCGGGTTGGTCCCGGATTCGCAGGTCCAAGTGCCCACGCCCCACGTGGCGCTGGCCGAAACGTGCATGCCGTACCTGAGCGCCGACTTTCCGTCCGTGAACGACGTGCTCAAAGGCGCGCGGCACGTAGCGGCCACGCAGTTGGCGTCGGATCCGAACGTCCGTGCGCGGATGCGCGAGATTTACCTGCGCCACGCGGTGGTGTTTACGGATGCGACGTTGAAGGGCGTGGATGAAGTGGACGAGTTCCATTACTGCCATGGGCTGCAGTACATCAAGGACATGCCTGTGACGGAGCTGATGGACACGGACTTGTACATGAAGCTGCTCAAGGGTGAGCAGGAAGGCGTGGTGACCATCCATTTTCAAATCGAGCCCCAGCACTTGATTGAGCCGTTGGAAGCTGCGTATTTGGACCCAAAGCACGCGAGCGAGGAGTGGCAGTCACAACGTCGCGATATTGTGCGCGAAGCCGTGGGGGGCACGTTGGTGCCGACGCTCCAGGAAGAAGTCAAGGCCGACTTGGTCACGTCGTCGCAGGACGTGGTGCTGGCGCGATGCAGCCGCTTGATGAAGGAGCGGCTGCTCGTGCGTCCGTTCGAAGCCAAGGACTTGCTGGAGCCCCATATCATGGGAGTGTTTGTGGACAACTCGACGGACGAGCCGGTTGCGTACATGGTTGCGCTCGACGAAAACGGCGACGTGACCGACAAGGTCCAAGGACGGTGCAAGACGCCCAACTGCTTGGCGCAGCTGACGGTGATCCTCACGACATTTTTGGAAGACCACCCGCGGATTTCCGCGGTCGTGCTCAACACGAGCGGCGGCAACAAGAGCATGGACGTCGGCGAGTTGGTCGACGTTGTGCGCAACAAGATCCGCCGCCACGTCCAGCACGACCCCGAGTACCTCCACGTGACGTTTGTCAAGGATGACGTGGCGCGCATGTATGCCAAGTCCAAGCGCGCCGAAGTCGAGTTCCCCGAAGAAATGGAGGGCACGCGCGCGGCCGTGGGGGTCGCGCGGTACTTGCGCAACCCGCTCTCGGAACTGTGTGCGATCTGGGGCTTTGTGCCCCTCGAAGAGCCCGGGCGCGGCAAGGAGCTGCTCTACCTGACGGTGGACCCGCTGCAGCAAATGGTCAACCAAGAGATGCTGTTGCGCGCGTACGAACGCGTGTTCATCCAAGCAGTCAACAAGGTCGGCATCGACGTGAACGTGAGCTCCAACTTCACCCACGCGTCGTACGGCTTGCAATTTGTCGCAGGGCTGGGGCCCGTCAAGGCCATGACGTTGATTGAAAAGGTGCGCTTGAGCGGCAACTTGGAGAAACGGCAGGACTTGCACCGGATTCTGTCGGACAAGGTCGTGTACCGCAACTGTGCGGGGGTGCTGCGCATTCGGGAACGTGATGCGCTCAAGGACGCGGCGCTCAACCCGCTGGACGACACGCGCATCCACCCCGAGAGCTACTACATGGCGGTGAAAATCTGCGGGGACGCCAACAACAACACGACGATGGACCTTTACGACCCAGACCAGTACTCGTACGCGGTGGAAGACACAATGTTTCAGTCGGCGACCGCGATCAAGGCGGCGATGGAACGGATGGCCGAGGAACGGATCACGCCGCCACCTTTCAAGCGGTTAGACGACGCGGAAATCGCCGACTCGTTGGCCGATTTGGACCTCCCCGCGTACGCCCAGCGCCTGGAAATGCAGCAGAAAGGGCTCAAGCTGCACACGCTGGAAAGCATCAAGCAAGAGCTGCGGTACCCGTACTTTGACACGCGGCACAAGTACAAAGACCCGATGTTGGAAGACCTGTTCTTCTTGCTCAACGGCGAGACTCGCGAGACGTTGCGCGTGGGCATGGTCGTGCCATGCAAGTTGATCAAATCCGCGGGCGAAGCCAACGTGATTGTTGAGTTGCATTCTGGGATCCGCGCGCAGCTCAAGAAGGACAATTTGCCGTCGTTTCTGACCCAAGACGGCAACAAGTACCTCCGCGAGCACGGTTTTCCCCGCGGCATGCAAGTGAACGCCAAGATCATCGACATCGTGCCGGACGGCGACCGGTACGTGCTGGCGCTAGCGTGCGACGACCGTTCCATCCTGACCATGACGGAAGAGTGCTTCAATCGCCGCGGGATCCCAACGTGGACCGACGTGGATCGCGTGATTGACGACAGCAAAGCGCGGTACGACCGCCTGGTCAACAAACTGCCGAGTCCAGACAAGGAAAAGGATTGGAACAAACTCATGCCGGTGGGCGGGCCCGTGCGCAAGAAGCGCCAAATCGTGCACCCCGTGTTCAAGAACGTGACGCTGAAGGGGTGCATGACGCTGATGAAGGAGCTTCTCCCGGGCGACGTGATCCTTCGGCCGGCGAGCAAGGGGTCGGACCATTTGAGCTTGACGTGGAAGATCGACACGGCCGTGTACCGCCACTTCGACGTGCACGAGCTGGACAAACCCACGGAGGGACGCATTGGGGCCAAGTTGGTGGTCAAGAAGGAAGTATACGACTCGATCGACGAACTCATTGCGCGGCTGATCGACCCCATGAACGCATACCTTGAAGAGATCCGCGAGCACAAAAACTACCGGACCGGCGACAGCCACACGATTGGCGACGACCTCGTGCAGCAAAAGAAAGCGATGCCCCAGAGCGTGCCGTGGGCACTGCACGTGTACCACAAATACCCCGGTTGCTTTTCCATCACGTACGTCGCGCGCACGTCGCCTCGGTCGTTTCACTTTGAAGTGAAACCGAATGGATTGCGCTTCTTTGGCGAACTCTCGTGCGAAATCCCGATCCCGTCGCTGGCCAAGGCGGTCGCGTTCTTCAAAAAGTCCGCCGCCAATCCCCCGAAACGCCGAGACCCCCCAATCAAGCCGACGTCGACGGCGCCGTTTCAAGGGGCGGCGTCATATGGAGGCACGTACCCCCCTCCTCCGCCGCCGCCTTCCCGGGACAACCACCATCCGTCGTACTACGACCAAAACCGACACCGCAACAACTTTGACCAAGGACGTCCACGGGACGACCGGCGCTATTAAAACCGCTCTCCGATGAAGGGTATTACATACGGTAGCTACTGTGGTGGCGTCGTGCGAGTAAAAAATACACTATAAAGTAACTACGGAGGACGTGACACTTGAGTATTGTGAATTCGCTATATAAATTTCCAAAATTCGACGGGGTCTGGAAATTTGTACCGAATCCACACTATTGTGCTTTCGAGTGAAATTTCGTGGCATGGTTTCTCGTTGGAATTTAAATCGATTTGATTGGCTACTTCAGAAAATTATTAACCAATCAAAACCTTCTCAATGAAATTCAACAACCAATCAGATCGATGGTGGATCGGTTTGGTTGGCGCGATTGATTCGATTGCACCCCGTCCCCGAATTTGTATATCAAATCGACAATACTTGGGATATATCTTTTTAGGCTGACATGTGTGGTGATTCCTGCAAACGTTGTCTAATTATAGAGAAGGAGCGTCCGAGTGTGTGGTTGAACTGTTGTGGGGTACTTATTACCTACAGTACATTGAAGCGAATACTAGTAAAGTGGACGAAAGGTCATGGCGTGCCAGGACGACCAAGTACTCGGTGAGACGTGTCGAAGCGGTCGCCACATACGACACACCTACATACACACCAATACAGTACCCCCATCAGCTAGAATAGGTACACAGCAATATTCCACAGGACAAATGTTTACACAGCAATATTCCACAGGAAAAATGTTTGCCTTACGCAAAGTCGGGGTGGGCAGCGACGGACGATTGCAAGCAAAAGTAGCAATATATGTGGCCACAAGACGTTTGATAAGGCGTCTAACCATATCATCGCAAGGGTTATTAGAATCAATCCCAAGCATGAACCAAGGTACCTTTGCAGGCACCGCCAAGCAGATGGGACAACCACTGGAATTAGTCGCGTTCGCATTGGGGAAACCCACCACCCCCAAGCGCTTCACGGCATGCCATAGGCGGCTCCAGTTTATCAGGGGAAGCAAAAATGCCCCAAACTCCTACACGACAGCAGTTGGCTGACACACTATTTGCAGGATCATCGTACCACGAAACCATCCCACACCAATTGGCGGTTCATGTAGTCAAACATAATGGCCCGGGGTTGCACCGCCACAGTTTTGGCCTTTTGCTAGCGAGAAAGCAGAAGATATATATAACTGCATGTATAGTGACACGGATAAGTACTGTATGAACATACCAATTGCATGCCGACCAATCGTTCGGCCAAGGTTCGGTATTGGCCATACTTGAAGAATGCCGCGTGATTCAGGAGTTGGCACACGGCGACGATCGTGCCAATGCGGTGCAAGAGCGTTAGCACGCGCTGGTATTTTTCCTGGCCAACGAGTAGATTGAGAATGGATATAGAGCTTGGGACCGAGTTACCTCGGCCTCGATGGTTCGATCTTCTCGCCATCGCTGGCTCAGAAGCAAGCGCTGTAGTCGCTTCCAGCCATATGGAATGGCTACAGAAAGGAAAAAGAGCGGAATGGTCTTGTGCCTCGTGAAACACGAGGACGCGTACTTCAGGTTCTGCAATGCCATGCCAGGGGTGGGCTACAGAGGTTCATGACTGTGACGATGGTAGACGGATATCAACTAGACGCACCTGCTTCATCCCGACAGAGAACGCAAACAGCATGGCCAGCATGGTGGCGTCGATCTCGGGTTGAAATTTCTCCATCAACCCGGGCCGACACAACGCAAACATGTTCTTGACAGGGTGGTTCATGAGCCCAAGGATCTCCGTGTCCAGGATCATGGAGTCCCACTTGTTCACTCGCAGATGACTGCTTGTATGGAATGGTTCCTTGATGCTGGACTTGGATACGATGTGGCGGAGATGGGCCAAGCATTCAATCGCGCCGCGGTGGTCATCCCGCCATGCCCCTTCCATCGTTGAGGTCGACGACACAGAATAACGTTATCAAATTCATTTATCCAAAATGAGATCAAGTAAACGAATTACCCTAGTATTAATTAATACTTCGAGGTACTTCGAAGTACATGTTTTAATCCAATCCTGTACTTTGCACATATTTATGGATATTCGACCCTTTGCGCAAGTGTTTACGAAACCCCTGAAACATGATATTTATCGAGTTTTGACAGTACTTTTGGTTTTGAGGTCATGGACTCCGACACGATGGAGTCCAAGGCGCAGCACGAAGCTCACTCAGCATTGATCCAGCGTCGTGGTCAACCACAGCGCTCGAACGACCAATGAAACCAGGTATGCCACCCATGACATCGCGAAAGGCCATTATCAATGAACCATTGCCAAGCAGTAGCGCAGTCACACACGAAGGGACCGATGGCACGACAGACCTGAACGGCACAACCACGACAATGCAACCAGGTACGCCACCCTCTGCACCACGATAGATCACTCTCAAAGAACCATAGCCTACGACGTCCGAATGCTGCGTGCGAATGCCCGAGACTAAGGCCGAGATGAACGACAAGGTCACAATGGTAGGAGTCAATTCTGCTC